ATTGGTACACAAATTTTTTATTAAAACACACTACTTTCTTCTTAAATCAAAAATAATCTTTCTCCTTGTGTTCGTCCTTTGCAATCAGCTGTTTGAAACATTTTTTATTCTTTTAGTCACTGACGATGACCGAAAGTAAACTTTATTAGAAACTTTAAACTAATTAAAATGTTTCTGCTGTTTCGTAACTCATCGAAAGTAATGACTTGCTTGATTCTTGTGGCTTGTAATTTTCAATGTCAGTTCGACACAGACCAGCATCAGGATTTTGGTTCATGATGTCGTCATATGGAATTGGATCGTCTAAAATATCTTCGCTTTTCATGTTATCACGAACTCTTTCAACATCTTTGAAAACTCGAATCAGATTAAGACCAGCAAGGTTCTTCAGCTCGTCTTTCGACCAAGGTTTGTAGCCATGACCTTCTTCAGCAAGTTTGTCAAACAGATCGGGATATTTTGAGACATCTTCAAGACCTTCGGGCATTGCACTTACTCCATCGTAATCTCCACCAATTCCAACATGTTCGGAACCAATTAAATCTCTGACGTAATTAATGTGATCTGTTTGAATATAAGAGAAACATTAAAAAAACCGACACTAAGGTAAGAATAGCACTTACTGATAACATCATCTATCTTATTATTTCCACCAATGAAGCTACTGTAGAAATTGATCATAACCACACCATTCTTCTCTTTAACTTTCAACAAAACATTGTTTTTAACATTGCGATGATGGTTTCGCAAAGCATAAACTGATGAATGGCTGAATATCACTTGAGCCTTCGAATGTTCCAAAGCTGCCAACATCACACCTTCACTCACATGTGACAAATCAATGATCATCCCCAGACGATTCATTTCTTCCACAACCTTCAATCCCCAATCAGTCAAATTCTTCTTAACCGCACTTGGATTGTCGTCAATGGGTGATGAGTCAGCCCATGGCAAGTCACAACTGTGAGTCAATGTCATGCATCGAACACCCAACTCGTAGTACAATCTCAACACTGACAGCCTCGAATCAATTGAATGTCCACCTTCGATCTCAATCATACTCGCGACTTTCTTTTGGTTAAAAGCTTCCATAATTTGATCAGCTTCAGTGACGTACATCATGTCGTTTGGATATTTGTTGATCAATCTCTTAATGACATCAATTTGTTCCAACGTTCTCTCAGCTGCGTCTTTATAGTTGTCGTTACAACTGACGTAGGCCACCCAAAACTGCCCCCCAAGTTTCCCTTGTCTTATCCTTGGTAGATCTGTGAAGCTGTTCGGACTGTCCCATTTTGGATTTAATCTCAAATCAGAATCAAAATCAAACTCATCCAAATTATTTTTTTCAAATCGATAAAGATTCCAAGGCAAGTCATTGTGAGTGTCGATTAATGGAACTTCATCTAACACGTCACTGCCTTTGAACGTATCTTCTTGGGATTGAAAGACTGATAAGGGAAGTCGCACTCCCGAAACCACTTCAATGATTACCACAATTATTGTCACGGCAAATATTCTTTTATCTGTAATTTACAATTTTAGTAACGTCTGAAGAAGTTTTACTACAACAAAGCAAAATTCTTTAAATTACTTTTTGTCATTTTCCTGGACTTCGTTAATCTTTAACGCAGCAAGTTAAACTGAAAAGCGGATTGAATTTGCTTCATATTATATATCTCTGAGTTGTATGATAAGAAGTGATAAGTTAATCAACTTTTATTACATATTTTATAGCTCTTCTTCAATTTTCAATAAAGATTTTAAGAATTTATTATCAAGTGGCTTGTAGCTTTCAATGTCAGTTCTACACAAGCCAACGTCAGGATTTTGGTTCTTGATATCGTCATAAGGAATTGGATTATCTAAAATCTTTTCGTCTTTTAAAGTATCTCGGATTCTTTCAACATCTTTGAATACTCGAATGAGATTAAGACCAGCAAGGTTCTTCAGCTCATCTTTCGACCAAGGTTTGTAGCCATGACCTTCTTCAGCGAGTTTGTCAAACAGATCGGGATATTTTGAGACATCTTCCAGCCCTTTAGGAACTTTATCCACTCCATCGTAATCTCCACCAATTCCGACATGTTCGGACCCAATTAAATCTCTTACGTAATTAATGTGATCTGTTTGAGAATAGAATTTATCGTAATTGGTAAAAGAGCTTTAAAGAAATTCTCACTTATGACATCATCTATCGTGTCACTTCCCCCTATGAATCCACTGTAAAAATTGATCATTACAAGGCCGTTCTTCTCTTTAACTTTCAACAAAACATTGTCTTTAACATTGCGATGATGATTTTGCAGCGCATAAACTGATGAATGGCTGAATATCACTTGAGCCTGCGAATGTTCCAAAGCTGCCAACATCACACCTTCACTCACATGTGACAAATCAATGATCATCCCCAGACGATTCATTTCTTCCACAACTTTCAATCCCCAATCAGTCAAATTCTTCTTAACCGCATTTGGATTGTCGTCAATGGGTGATGAGTCAGCCCAAGGCAAGTCACAACTGTGAGTCAATGTCATGCATCGAACACCCAACTCGTAGTACAATCTCAACACTGACAGCCTCGAATCAATTGAATGTCCACCTTCGATCTCAATCATACTCGCGACTTTCTTTTGGTTAAAAGCTTCCATAATTTGATCAGCTTCAGTGACGTACATCATGTCGTTTGGATATTTGTTGATCAATCTTTTAATGACATCAATTTGTTCCAACGTTCTCTCAGCTGCGTCTTTATAATTGCGGTTGCATCCAACGTAGGCAACCCAAAACTGTCCCCCAAGTTTTCCCTGCCTTATCCTTGGTAGATCTGTGAAGCTACTCGGACTGTCCCATTTTGGATTTAATCTCAAATCGGAATCAAAGTTGAAGTCATTTAGACGATTTCTTTCAATAGCATAGAGGTTGTAAGGAAGATCATTGTGTCCATCGATCAAAGGAACCTCGTCAAGCACGTCACTGCCTTTAAATGTATCATTGTTTGACTTGAATACAGTTAAGGGTAAAACAATTCCAAGAGTAACACCAACAACCACTAGAAAGGAAATTCCTCCAATAATCCAAACTTTCTCTGTAATATTCGAATTTATTATTAAAGATGGAAAACGAAATGAAATCTAATTGCACTTGCTTGTTATGATCATTTCAAACCGACTGCTGCTAGACAAATATATTAAGTTGTATCTTTAAAAAATAAAATTGCTCTCTTATCGTTATCTACAAATATAAACGTTGTTACAATTGGGTTGACATTTTGCTATCTCATTCCACTTCAGATTAATACTTCAATAACTTCTGTATACTTTATAATAAGAATGTCTGGAAGATTGATAATTAATATTGCATTTACTTAGCAAATGTGTTGAAAAATAATTAAGAACAATTTAGATAAAATTTTATTACTTTTTAACTTTTATTTGTTTTCATAATTCTGATTCTGTATTAAGAATTACGTCTAAAAGTATTTTGCTGGCATCTTGTGGCTTTTAACTTTTAATGTCAGTTCGACACAGACCAGCATCAGGATTTTCGTTCATGATGTCGTCATAGGGAATTGGGATAGCTGGAATGTTTTCGTTTTTCATTTCATCACGAATTCTTTCAACATCTTTGAATACTCGAATGAGATTGAGACCAGCAAGGTTCTTCAGCTCGTCTTTCGACCAAGGTTCGTAGCCATGACCTTCTTCAGCAAGTTTATCAAACAAATCGGGATATTTTGAGACATCTTCAAGACCTTTAGGCACCGAAGTAACTCCATCGTAATCTCCACCGATTCCGACATGTTCAGACCCAATTAAATCTCTGACATAATTAATGTGATCTGTTTGAGAATAACAGAAATAATTAAACAAGCAATTTATGTTTATTCTGTCGGTGATGTACTGGATAGGAAAATTATTCCAACATTTGACATTTCCACATGAAAAAATTTCTGTTAATGTTTACAAAAACGAACAAGACTTCATTTAAATATTATTATAAATTTTAAAGATATAAAAAATGGAATAAATTTCTATCCACACCACCATCACTCTGATGCCTCTTACTTATGACATCATCAATCGTATCATTTCCACCGATGAAGCTGCTATAGAAATTGATCATTACAAGGCCGTTCTTCTCTTTAACTTTCAACAAAACATTGTTTTTAACATTGCGATGATGATTTTGTAGCGCATAAACTGATGAATGACTGAATATCACTTGAGCCTTCGAATGTTCCAAAGCTGCCAACATCACACCTTCACTCACATGTGACAAATCAATGATCATCCCCAGACGATTCATTTCTTCCACAACCTTCAATCCCCAATCAGTCAAATTCTTCTTAACCGCACTTGGATTGTCGTCAATTGGTGATGAGTCAGCCCATGGCAAGTCACAACTGTGAGTCAATGTCATGCATCGAACACCCAACTCGTAGTACAATCTCAACACTGACAGCCTCGAATCAATTGAATGTCCACCTTCGATCTCAATCATACTCGCGACTTTCTTTTGGTTAAAAGCTTCCATAATTTGATCAGCTTCAGTGACGTACATCATGTCGTTTGGATATTTGTTGATCAATCTCTTAATGACGTCAATTTGTTCCAACGTTCTCTCAGCTGCGTCTTTATAATTATGTTCACATCTTACATAAGCCACCCAAAACTGTCCCCCAAGTTTACCTTGTCTCATTCTTGGCAGATCTGTAAAGCTTCTATTGACTTGCCATTTGGGATTCAAACGTAAGTCAGAATTAAAGTCAACATCTTTCAATCGATTTTGTTCGAGTAAATATAAATTAAATGGAAAATCATTGTGTCCGTCAATCAATGGAACTTCGTCAAGTACGTCACTACCTTTGAAACTGATATTATCATCATTTGATTTAATTAATGTTAACGGTAATGCTATGGCAAGAACAATAATCACTATCAAAGTAATTGCACCACCAAAAATCAAAAATTTCTTCCTGTTCATGACTTGGAAGTTGTGCGATGTTTACTGAACTTGAATCAGAGAAATACTAAATATTCAAGTTGATTGAAAAGAAGACATTCAATTGTCAATAATCAAACTCATTTTTATTATTTTCTTATCTATTTTAGATAATAAAGTTAAAATCGAATCCAAACTTTTAAATTGTCTTTGAAAATATTTCATTTTCCCTTCAAAGTAATCAATTTAAGAGCCACTTGAGTTAATTTTAAATGCTTCCAAGTTCAATGAAAATTAAGAAAAAAAAACTTTGATTCCAATCATTTTCAAATTAACTTTATGAGCCTGGAAAATACTTGGCACCTTGCTGATAATCAACTTGTTGAGTTGAAGAGGTAGAGTGAGAAATGAATAAAAAAAACAAATAGGAGCCTCGCTAATTAGATAATTCATCCATTCGTTAAATTATAATAATTTTCATTGCGTTCTTCACTTACATAAATGAAGAGAGAAGAAAAATTGCTTTCACGTTAAAGCAATCGAAATAGTTTGTAAACCGTTTTCACAACTCACTTTATAAATTTCCATTGAAATTCTTTATATTAGCTAAGCTAAGTGATCTACTTTTGCGAGTTAATTTAATTTATTATTCAAATTCTCTTGATGTTCCAGAAGAATTTCTACAAAATATTTTTCACTTGCATTCTCGATCAAATTTCAAAAGGCAGAATAGTAGAATTCCGAAACAAAAAAATGCATCAAAAGGCAATAAATCATTCACTGCAATAGCCCTGCTATAAACGAGCGAGCCATCAATCGTCTGAATGCGAGAGAGTAGAATGCAAAATTACCATGATCAGAGTGCCTCATGACACGCCACAATCGATAAGGCAAAAGAGTGTTTTTTGAAAAAATAAACATCGCGTATTCGATCGACTTTTGATTGATTGATATTGATCCCATAAATAATAATCGTCGAGAGTTGTAATTATTGCAGCTCAAGATGATTCATTAAAAATTCTTCTACATATAAATATTTGACGGGTGTGTTCATAGAAAGCGATTTCTAATAAATCAATACAGTTGACAGATTTTAAATTTGATATTTCATAATTTTTTCATGTCGAAGTAACTTTGATGAAAAAGAAAAACTGAACGAGAAAGAATTGAAAGAAGAAAGAAAATCTTTAAATTGAATTTGATCGAATCCTAAATTGAGCAATTTTTATGCTATTTTGTCGAATGAGATCATTAACAAATTATTATGATGACGATGAGAGAAATATTTTCACTTTTCCACAACTGCTTCTGATGAAGATTGATGCTGCATAATGTAATCAAAATTACACGGTCGCTCTTTGATCGATTGGCGGCCACATTAAAATTGATTTATTGCTACTATTGACTGTCGTTGAGACCTGTGTTTATTATTTGGTTTAACAATTGACAGCTAAACACTTGCACGATTTAATGCTAAAGAGGTGATTAAATAATCAACTTAATAAAGAGCTTTGACTTTTATCGCGCTTACTACTGATGGCCGCACACAACTGAGAACATAATTGCTCAATTTTTATTGCAAATTGCAATTGATGTTCTTAGTGAAAACGCTTCTTCATTCATGTGCAAAAAACGTTGTCAATAAACAATTTAAATTTCACTTAAACTCAACTTAATTAACCGTCGTGTGTTAAGTAGAAGCTTTAAGCAGATTGTAGATGAATTATGTTCATGAAATCACGAGCTTAATGATGAGATGAATAATCTTAAATTACAGTTCACTTTATGAATATCAAAAACTTAGATAAAGATTATCATTGAGCTTTAGCAAGCTTCAGATTCGATCAATGTTTACGAAAAAAAATCGTTTCTTTAACATTATAATTCCAAATGCTTAAAGATTGAAAAATAAAAGTTTTTTTCCTTGGTAATCGAGACGAGACGAAAAATATTTAATGATATGTTATTCGGTTTAAGAAATATTTTTATTTTGTATTCTCTGATCATGGATGCGAAATTTTCGATGCATTTTCGTCCGTTGTTGTTGATGTTGTTCCACCAAATACTGAACTGGTTTAATGCAATTTCTCAGGTACTCAAAATGTGTTCCTTTTATGAGAAAAGAAAATTCAAATCATGCGTTTAATGTTTAATTCCATATTGGCTTTTAATAATTAAATGTTACACATTTCGGGAGATGCAATTTTTATTTGAAAATTTATCCACTTCTTGGAATGCAATTAACAAAGCGCAGATTGCAGGTTTTTTTTAATTCTAGACACTAAGCGCATAAGTCGATTAATCATTTTTGGCCGCTTTTATTTGTTAGCTCACAAATTAATTGCAAAGGAAATATTAAAGTTTTATGATAAAATAAAAACATTTCCACTTTGAAACTTCATTCCATAGCAGCACATAATTATGTGATCTTAGAAACCTTTCGAATCGAATTAATGTTTCAATGATACAGAAAAAAAACATTCATTGAATTGTTTGATGCTCTTTGCTCTATCCCCTCATGAAATATCGAACAATTGCATCATTTGATGTTGCAACAAATCTACTGCCTCCAATTCTCAATGATTTTTCTTTTTGCATATTGCAGCATTTAATTGAGTATTCATGGTTCTACTTTTCTCATTTTGTTTTTTTTTCAATTCCACACAACAATTCACTTTCAGTTTTGTTCGGAGATTTGCGGTTTTTTTTGCGAAACATATCGAAGCTTTACTTTGGATAATTACGGGTCCTTGAACCAGTGATACCAAAGCACAATAAATTCGCTTATTTTTCTTTCGGTTTCTCGTGTCTGTTGCTCTTTCATTGTCCATATCACTGCCATGTTGTATTTAAAACTCAAGTTGATCTTAAAAGAAAATAAACGTTTTCGAATGTCTGAAATTTATTTCTCTGATATAATTACAATAGCGTGGGATAAAAGGATAAAATGTTAATTATTATTCACGACTAGCATCGAACGAAGCAACTTTGTAACGCCATTTTGCAAGAATTGAATTTATTGCTTAAACCTAATTTCAATGCATTGATGAAACTTTAATGCTTATGAATATTAATTTAATTTTAAAGATTAAAGTTTGTTTTCAACTGCATAGCAAGTTTCGACACGCTGTACGAAATTTGAGATTTTCATCTGACGAACTGCAATGCTAAGGTTGCCTTCGATACAAGTAACTGGTCGTTTGTCTTTCTTTGAATTTTTTATGAGTTGATTTTTGGATGAAATAGCGATATGTTCAATCTTTTCAATCTTCATGCTGCTGGGTCGGTTAGCAAAACGTTCGTTTTTTTGTGCGGGTTGTCCATTCGTCATGTTTACAGTCACCAAATATTCCTTCAACTTCATTTTTAATTCCTTGTTCTGCTTTTGAAGTGACATCTTTTCCTCCTGAAGACATGCACAGTCGATTCGTGTTCGATTGTAGCGCATCCAAAACTTCTCAAGTTTATCGTACATGTGCTATTTAAAAAAAATAATAAAAAGAAATGAGATGAAAGGAAGAGCCATAAATGCATCGTATTATTAAACATCTTTTCCTTCGTTTTAATTTGTGTCGTTTCTTCTTTCTACTCATTGGTAAAACATCGTTCTTACATGTTCTTCGGATAATGGTGATGGTGGAGTCTTCAATTCTTCTTCGCTGTAGTTCAAAAATGTTTTTTTCTTCGGCATCCTATCGACTGCCTTTTGGTGGTCCATCTCCATGTTTTCGCAGAGTTGCATCAACTGAATGATGGTTTTGCCTTTCTTCAAATAATTTTGAAGTTTCTTTAGTGTATTTGATGAATTGTAGTGATCAAGAAGAGAAGAAAAATATTAAAATGGAGGACGAAATTAAAAACATAAACATACCTTATAAGTTTTACTGCCCATCAACGCCAAGAACTTTAACTTTTCTTTATCATCAATAAGACGGTTCTCCATGTCTTCTTTTATCTTGTCCATTTTTAATTTCAGATCATTTCGATGCTTGATGAGTTGATTGATGTTGAAGTCTGTTTTAATATGATTTTAAATATCGACATTAATTAGAAGCAGAAAGGCTTACCTTGTTCATCTTTCACGTTGGTCAACTGCAACTTTAACTCGGCAATCTTTTCAGTGAGCTTTGAAACTTCTAAAATTTAATAAAAATAAATTTTTGTTTATCAAAATTTAATCTCAATTTCTTTACCATTATAATGATCTTGAATGCTTCGAGTATCCTCAGCATCGCGATTACGTAGATCGATGTATTCATCCCGGTACTCTTCCGTATATTTCAAATACGAACTGAGAACATTCTGAAACTCTTTCCACAAGCATTCCATTTTTGCTTCCCGTTCTTTTGTAATAGTTTCCAATTTTAATATCATCTGTGAAACATCATTCAAAAGATGTCATAAAAGTAAAACAGAAACGTTAAGCGGAAACTTCAACTTCATAAATCAAAGCGTTCCATTGTTACTGGCAACGTTTTCTATGCTGCTATAAAAAGCTATCAAGTGTTTGTGAAAAATCACTTTTTTGTGTGCATTTGTTTGCAATTCTTCAATCAACCAACTTGCACGTCAACAACGACGAAATAAAAAAGAAAAAAGAACCAGAAAAAGATGAAATGGATTTTAATTTGTTTATTAATCTTCTGTTGTGGTTTTGCTTCAGATATTTTGGCGTTACGATGTACATCATCTGATGGATTGTCAGTTGAAGACATGAGAAAAGGTAAAAAGTTTGATGTAATTCTTGCAACAAAATTGAAGTGAAAAATTCGAACTGAAGTTTCATAAATTTTTGTAACTCAGCGTTTTGAAGTGAATTTTTTCTTAATGAAGAAGACCAACAAGACTTAAACACATGAAATTTCACTATTTCATCACACTGAGGGAGTTTTTTTTTAATATTCTAAATCTTCATCTAACTCATAAATAAATATTTCATTGCACTCTAAATTAAAACTTACATTTCTAATTCTTTTTTTACTCTTTTTCAATAATTCATATAACTTACTTCCATAAGCTATGCCAATTACAATAAAGAATCCTAAATTTAAATATTTTTTAATTTTTTTAACGTTTTCTCTCTTTTTTCTTAACCCAAAAGATCTCTTGAGTTAAAATTGTTTCACTTCAAATGCAAACTGAGATTTTTCTTTGAAATATTAAACTTCAAGCAAATTATAAAATGTATGATTAGTGCAATTTCAATCGATACATTTGAATAAATGTTATCAGACGAATTAGTTAGCAAAATTGATATGAAAATTTGAAACTAAATTCAACTCGGTGGACCACCATGTGGCCCCCGCAATTCTTTCCTAGCTATCAGATTATGCATGCGAAAGGTCAGCGAGAGTGACTTAGAAACTACAAACTACGATGAATATGAGAATTCTGATGACAATGACGACAATAAAAAAATCTACAGTGGAACATCCCATTTCGAAGCAACTGAACATTCGAACACGTTTAATAACAACACAAACCCTCAAATTAATCAACATTACAATTCAAAAACAGGTGGAAATGATTATAATCCACAGCAGAATGATCAGCGCGACGCAAATCCTTATCAATACACGTACAATGATAATAATAAATTAAATATCAGAAATCATAATGATGGTCATCGTAACGACTCGAATAACAAGCAAGAAAGAGATAAAGCATGCGTATTGCAATGTTTCTTCCAAGAATTGAAAATGGTAAGAAAACTTTTTTTTATTTCGAGTTTATGCAACCTCAAGTCGAAGTTCTTATGAAAAAAAGGATGACTTGAAATACACGAAACGAATTGTTTGTTGTTTAACAAGAATTATCATCTGCTAGTAGCATTATCTGAACGAAGCATTTGATATTTCATCAGAAATATTTTCTTTCCTGTTTCTCTTATTTTAACCAACCAATAATTTATGCAGAGTAATGATGAAGGCTTTCCCGACAAACACAAAGCATTGCACGTTTTGACAAGAGATTTGCGAGATCGAGAGCTGAAGGATTTTTACACAGATTCAATTCAAGAGTGTTTTCGTATGATCGATACCGACCCGAAGCTACATCGTGACAACTGTTTGTTCTCGAAAGCTTTAATCATATGCATGACGGAACGCGCTAAAATGAATTGCAGCGATTGGCAAAATTCTATTGGCGAAGGAGTTTTTATCTAAAAGATATTTTTCATGCTTACAAAACATATTTAAATCGTTCATTGCATTGCATTGTGCAACAAAGTCTACATGATGCATAAACGTATAAATAAAAATGTAAAGAAAGGTAAAAATAAAGTCAAGCACGACTCACGGAATTCTTCAATTCATCTTGCCGTTGGAGAAACTCTTCCTCAGCTGTTTTCGTCGTCTTGAGGGTTCGTTCAGCGAGACCGTAATAAACACTTTCAAGTTCCTTTTGCAATTGAAACTTCTTACTTTTATAGTCGCTCATTTCATGTTCGTATTCTTGCAATATTTTGCTTTTTTCAGACTCATAGTTCTTGCGAAGAAAGTCGAGACGCTCATCGGATATAGCTGTAGAAATAATAAGCAGTTAAGTCTTGAGAATATTTCATGTTTCATCTCATAAGCCAACCTATAAGCTTCTCAATGATATTCATATGCGAATGAAGCATCGCTGAATAAATCTCTTCTGACTCGTCCAAATCTGAAAGTAGACGTCGTATGACGGCATTTTTCCGTTGAATCAACTCATCGCATTCTTGCTTGATTGCCTTGAGGTCCTCGTGCAATTCCCTGCATTTTATTTTTCGCAATATATCACGCCATTCACTTTTAATTTTAGCCACATTCAAGCGAGTAAATGCGTCTTCTTTCTTTAATTTATTCTGTTGTTAAAAAAACGAAAGAAAAAAGAATTTGCAATAAAATGAAATCTGAGAAGAAGAAGATGAACGTTTGCTTGCACAATATTGTTGCTCATCTCTTTTGAAGATGGTTACAATACAACGTTGCTTACCTTCATGAAAGTGCTTATGAGTTGCTGTTTTCTTCGTTTGGCTTCTTCTTCCAACTCTGCACGATGTTGCAGATATCTTAGGCGCTCCTCCTCCGACATTTTCGCCAATTTATTTTTGTCTTTTCCCTTTTTCTTGCCCATCTTTCTTTAATTTATGATAAGAAACAATTTCAATAAACTTTGATTATTGATTTGAATGTTTGATGTGAAAATAATAAACAATAATCAAATGTCCATAGTGACTGTTGTTGCCAAGATGAAGCGTCGGAAAACTGTTGTCTCGTTTCCATAGAATTATTATGAACTTGTTTTCACAAAAAGAGGGAAAATACTTGAACTGTCATCAAGTGTGTGTAATTATTTAATTTTATCGTCAACTATTTTGAAAGTTAATCAAATTGTGTGACTCCAATATGGATGATATTGACTTTGATGACTTTTTCGAACCCGAGGAAGGTACGTATGAATGTAAACAAAGTCAGTTGATAAATTATTAAAAATATTCTGTAGAAAATGTCGACGACTTTAATTTCATCGATCCATCGATATTGAAACAATTCCAACGCGTAAACATTTCCATAGAAAAGATTCAAAAAGAAATTTTTGACTTCGATGACAAAGGTGAAACTGAATAATTTTAATTTTAATTCAAATCAGAGAATTTCTTGTGAAATAAAACTTTCAGATGACGATGAAATTTACGGAGAAAAGGCGACGAGAAAATTTGAATTTCAAATTCAAGTCAATCGCATTTTGCAAATTTTCGATGAAATGATCGAGAAGATTGAAACGCTTTTATGCATTCAAGAGTTTGTAAAAGATAGAAAACTTATGGAGAAATATTTCAATGATAGTGATATCAATAATTTAACAAAATATTGTTCAGGAAAGGATTTGGAAGTTGACATGAATGATGAGAAGGAAAGCGAGAAAATCAGTCAGCTGATTCAATCACTTTTGAATTCAGATTTGCATAAACACGTCGACAGCTACAAGAACAACGTAAGTTGCTTAAATTCAAAATTTATTTCCCGTTCATCGTTTTCATTCTTCACTCAATTAAAAATTTTCTGCTTTAGATTTCACTCCAGAAGAAAATGCTTTTTTCAAGCATTAAAGAATTGCGCAACATAATCGATTTACGTCTCCAGTTGACTGCACCAAAAGAATTGAAAAAAGAACAAATTCTTCATCAAATGTGGAAGAAGTACGGGAAAACAAAAGAGAAAATTGCGACGCTTCGCGAGAAATGGATTTATCGAAAGCAGAATTTCGAGGAGAAGATGCAAGATAAATACGAAACGATTGAAAGATTCAAAAGGGAAATTGAAATGCTGAGAAAGCAGAATGAGACTGAAATTCAAAATCGAATGTAAATTTAAAATGTTATCATTTCTAGATGTCTACTTAAAATTATTTTTCTTATTTTAGACAAGAATCAAACGTCAACATTGTCGAATTATGTGAGGTGAAAGATCATGCGATTGCACAAAAGTTTAAAGCAGCTGAACAGTCGAAAGTAATGTACAATGAATTCTTACACGCCAATTTATCGCGAGAAAGAAAATTGCGTGAACAAAAGTAAGTTTTTAAAAACGAATTACCGACTTAACATCCATTTTCAAACTTAACATTATTCAGACAAAAAGCGGTACAAGCCTTTCAAGCCATCTTGCATAAATACGATATAGAAGTTGGAGAAGAACGTACACGTGAGCTTGATGACTTACAAAACGCACTTGAACTGCAGAGAAAGGAATTTGCTACATGGAAAGAGAGCGTCTGTGAACCGCAAATTAAATTGTAGGTTTAATTTTTCTTTTGCATTTATACTTATCGAGTGGCTAGGTTGAAACAAAGTTTAAAGGAAAATTATAATTGAGACGCATATTTTTTTCAAACTTAAAATTAACTCAAGACACGCACATTTGATGCACGAGAGGGATGAAGCTGAAAGAAGAGAAATGGAACAGTCGATGATGATCTTCATGATGAATCGATCAGCTAAAATTCTACAGAAGTAAGAAAAGAGAATTTTTCATTTCGTTCATGATGATAATTGAGGCGAATTAAATGCTAATGACGAATTATTTGCAGATATTGGCGTAACTTGGTAGCAAAACGCAGGAAGAAAAAAGGCAGACGAGGTGGAAAAAAGAAATAAATTATGTTATCTTCTGATTAACAAATTATAGTACAATTCAGATATCTTTAAGTAAATTTTCTCAGAATAAACATTTAGAATTAAAAAAAATGAAATGAAGAGAAAATCGTTATTTCTTTGAACTTATTTCAGTTCTGATATTCAACTGCTGTGTCTTGTCGAACGACATTGCAACTTAAATTCCCATTGTGTCTTTGAAACTTGTTTCTTCTCATTTTTTTTCTTTCTTTCTTTGTCACAAAAACGTCTGTTTGATCCATTCCGCTCTGACGAATCGCATTCCATTTGGTTTCACCGCAAGAATTTTCTTGCAAATATTTCGCATTAATAACTTAGTTAAAGTATCTTACTTGCTTGCAACATTCGTTCATTGTTCCATTGAAATTTATTCTCCTTAAAGCTGACGATGCTGTTTTACGCTTTTTTTCAATCGTCAACTAAGTGCTAAAATATTTAAAATGACTATTGTAAAGCAAAGCGACTACATAAATAAAGTTTCCCATTAATCACTCTCTTGGCTTACGCTAGTAAATGAGATGGAAAAATCTTCGCTAAACTGTTAAGATTACTAGAATTACCTAAGATAGAAACCAAATTAAATTTACATTACATTAATGATTAATCACTCGTCTTCCCACTTTAATTGCTTATAAACTTGATCTTATTTTGATATCTGAATGGTAATTAAAGCACTAAAGTTAATTTCGCAGTCATTACAAATGACCTTGATAGCAACTTGATCTTCAATCAAATTGAATTAAAATAAAGTTTCCTTGGAGTTTGATATTCACGATTTCTGCTAATTTCAAATTTCCCTAGTGACACTAGAAGAACACATAATCGACTTCCAAAGACCATGTCAATGCCACATCATTATGTCACAACATGAAATATCAAAACAACACATTTCTTTGTATAATCAATGATATGTTTCTATGTGTGCTTCGCAATATAATTCCAACAAAAAAAAACGTAATGAAATTAGCGAGAGATGAAAGAAGAATTTTCTTCTTAAAATTAAAGGGAAAATTTACTTCTCGTTAAAGTCAAAGCGAACATAGAAACAAGCCACGTGACCTTTCCACCCGACTGAGAAGAAGAAGAAAAGCAAATTTAGTCTCATTGAGATTTTCTGTGTCATTTAATCTTAGGGGATAGTTTTCCTCCATCATTCTCAGCCAGTGAAGCTAACCAACCCTTGCAGTTTGATGATAGACTACCGAGAACCCGAATGTTCTTCTTCTTCTTATTATTATTAATGTTGTGTGAAAAGAATGTAAATAAATAGGAAAATTATATAATGTGCGTATTATTTACACTCAAATAGCCTCAAATTTAGGCATAATTATGTTTTGATTATCGCACAATACACGATTCTACTTGCTTCTTTTCATTACGAAGGATTTCTTTTTGCTGAATTGAAAAATTACCTTCAACGTGTGCCATACTTACACACACAGACATTAAGCATTAGTAATACATTCATCAAACTGATTGCATTTTAAATGGTTGAAATGAAGAGGTTTCCCCTTTAATTTGATACAATTGCGAGTGAATGCACTTTGTGCTGATAAATTGCGTAATCAGCTGATTCATTGAGGAGGGAAATTTATTGTCATAATAGATTTTCATGACTTTTCTCACAATTCCTTTTTTCTTTTTTCGAAAAAAAGAATTTTTTGCCTTCCCATAATTTTCAATCACATTGTGAACCCGTTTTAAACTTTGCTATGCCTGTTTGAATACAATTTGTGATTATTTCATTCTACCGAAAAACCAAAAGCAAAATAAAAATAATTCCCGTCACGATGACAAAGAATTGAAACAAAAAGAATAAAAAATAAAAATTCTTTTCAAGTTGTTCGGTGCTTTGACTCGGAAACATATAACGCATGAGTTGAGATCTTTTCCTGGTGCTGTCACGTTTCTGTTAGACTTACACAGAATTTTTACATAGCTTAGATAATAGAACCAAATGGCTTTAAACAATTTAAGCAATTTCTTGCATGCATTACAATGTTAAATGAGATTTATTGATAAATTTGTGAGCAAGTGTCAAACTTTTCGATGCCAACATTCTTTTAACTTTGCCACTTCGATCTCGTTAGGAAACTCACCACAACATTTAATCCTTCAAAGATTCTTCTCAGCTTTTCGGTTTGCATACTTAAATGTACAACAATTCTCAAGGATGATTCCAAATCATGATTTCCACAGATAAAAAAAGAGAACAATAACACGATTCACAAAAAATAATAATAAAGCATCATGAGATAAAATAAGAGAAAAATATAAGCTGAAACCATAATTATAATAATTATATTTTTGTGTTTAACTTCAAACTAATATCTGATGGCTCAACATCATAAAAAAAACCAAAACTGTGGCAGTAGACAGACGATGAATTTTACGATGATGCTTACGCACATTTCCCAACGAAAAACGAAAACTTTTTTCATTTTTGGTAATGAAATTGGATATCAGCAACATGTCTCGATGAAATGCAGAAAAGTCTAAAACAAAAATAGAAAATCGTGATGAAGGAAAGAATAAAAGAACAAAGCTAATTACTTATAATGACGACGAGGATCTTTTATTTAATGATGACACGAAAGACGAAAACGATATTTAAAGGTTGTGCTTGCAGTTTTTTCTCATTGTTATTTCTTGAAGATTATCTCAACTTAATTTCTAGTTGTTTAAGCTTTATGGTGTTTATAGAAATGATCAAGAATATGAAAGAGATTCTTAGATTTAAAATCACCTTAAAGTTTGGACTCCCAAGTACGCAAGCAAATTGAATCATGCGCAGTTTTCATAAATGAAAAATGCTTCCATTTAAATCAAATTCAATTATCGAATTAATTTCTCACACCTTATTATAAAGACATCTATTTCAATTTCCTTTTATATCTTACACCGAAAGCTAATAATTATCTGATTAAACGCTTTGTTATTCAATGTTATTAATAATATTCGAATTGAGACAATGAACTAGAAAACATGATTTCCACTAGACTTGTTGTCGATAATCATTATCCTGTTTAAAGTTGTCATAATCAAATGATTATAATTCGATTGAATGAATTATTCATGATGATTGGAAAATATGCCCATCGAGTCAGGTGAGTAGGAGGGAGACGATCGAGTAGAATACACAGTTAAGATACTGATTGATTGATGGCCAAATCGAAAATATCATTAAATTAATTTCAATTATTCATGAAGTATGGCGCGTTGTGGTGTTGAATTAATTTCGAGCTATGTCGCGTTGACCTGATTAACGTATTCAAATCAGTTATTGATTTCCTTAATCATGATTGAAGGAAGCAGTCGAACAGACTTCATAAATGTCAGGATTTTTTTATAACATCATATAATGGAAGTTTATATTGAAAAGATTCTTTTTATTGAATATCAGGAAGTTTTCTTTAAGCCAATCAAAAATCGTTTTTAAAATTGTTGATGCAATTTAGCTTTTATTGATAGCATCATCTTAGTGGTTTAAAGTTTCATAACATTGTTTAAATGGAAGGCATTTTGCCTAAAACACAATTTTTTCCATACTCAAACAATAAGAAACTTTAGAATGCCATAAATCTTGTTTTAAGTATTCAACATCCCCAGCGAAAACCTTCTTCGCTTGTAGCCATTTTTTAAACCTTCGCGATGTCGGTTTTCAATTTATATTTCAGTCTTTTTTTTCTTGTTTCATGCATTATTGAAAAATGTTTTGTGCTGCTTTGCCTCTCTTATCTGATCGAAGTATTTTCGAGATTAAAGTTTATTTTGCTTTCATCGTCAGGAGATGAGAACTCTGTGGCTTTCGGTGATTCGTTTAAAAGATGATATGTTCCATTTTGAAAATTGCTGAAAGATTTTTTTTTCTTTTTTATTTATTGATTGAAGCGTAAGATATTCGGAATGTTGTTTCGCTTTCCGCAAACGAGTCAATATATCGATGGCTTATAACTTATTGATAACCATTGCATATAATTTTACATGAAGCTCCGAAATGTGTCGCATAAGACATTAAACGACAGACCTGCTCAAGCATCAACTTCAGCTAACAACTAAACTATAATTATGACAATCGACAACACAAAACCCTTGGCGCGGTTTCAGGTGAAACTCGTGAAGTGACGACGTCCGCTGCATAAAGTTGAGTTGTGATCTCTCGCAGTCAGTTCTTCACCTTTTGCGACTCTTTTTTTTCCATAAATTTCTGAAATTATAGGCTTCGCCGCAAGAGTAGAGAGGAAAGTTTGAGGCTTCGATGAAAAACAATGAAATCGATTTATCGAATGAATATGATCATGTTGAGACTACAGAAGAGAGAAAATATTAAATAAGTTTTTCATTACACTAACATTAACCTCATGTTACTTTGATCGAATCTCTCTAGAGGCTCATGAAAATCATTACGAAAACATGTAGAAAGGAATAGTTTTATTTTTATTTTTATATTTTGCATTGTTTTCATGTTCCGAATATTTCACAAAGTTTTGCGGTGCTTTGGACTCTTTTTTTATTAATATAATTCTTTCTTACAGCGTAATGTTTCAAAGGATTCCCAGAACTCTTCGTCAGTGTTTAAATATATGAACAAAGATTACAATAAAATGATAAGCTGCTAGGCCTGTTTAAACTTCATGAGTCGCGGCTTGTGAACTGCTATTTAGGAGCATAGAAAATGCGCAGGAAAACAACATTTTTCGTGCCATGTTTGAATAATATGAGCTATGAAACAACATCATAAACCTCCATTGAACATACGATGAGAAATCTACTCGTGTAAGGTGTAAAATGTAATGTAAATGAATAATGAAAGGTAATAAAATGCGCGCCCGCGAGAAGAGAGAGAGGGTAGAAAAAAATATAAATAAAAAGCAATGTAAGAAAAGCATGCGATTAAAATATTTTTATGAACTTTAATATTCAAAATGGCGCGTGTGTTGTTTTCGGGGTGTGGCAATTATAGGTGAGAGCAGCATACCTTGTCGTTCGACTTTAATGCTCTATTCTAATGAGAATTTTCTTATTTGAATTACTTTTTAAAGCCATTGCATTATTTTCTTGATTAAGAATTCTGAAATGAATTAATTCATGAGTCACCTGCTTTATCAATCAATTGATCAAGTGAAATTTTCTGTAGATTGCATTGGTTTGAAATTAAATGAATTATTAATATAATTCAAATGCAATTGATGTCTTACATCTAATAAATAATTCAAATATTCATTTTGTTAAATATTCAGACGATTTATAAGCGTGAACAAAATCATTTTTGCATTAAAGTTTCAGTTGTCGCCCAGACAGTACTTTTTTAAGTTTAAACAGTTGCATTTTGTCCATTTACGCCTAATGTTTCTTAATATCTATAATTAAACAAAAAGGTAAACCCCAAGGTATAAAATCGCTTATTTTAAACTTCCACTACCTAGTTCAATTTATCCATTCGCAGACTTCATTTTTACTGTTATGATATGCGGTAATGGATGAAGCGCCACCATAATTAGAAAGAGAATCAACTTTTTTGATCGAAATACCGACATGTGATCAAATGAAAGTGCATTCAAAGCCGCAGCAGTTGAATGTTGACCCAAACTCAAATAGTTTTCCCTGCTGCTGAGGGACAACCACATCTTGTGTCCTCATTAAATTATCCGCGTGTTCATGTCGCTTCTCTTTTTTTTAGGAAAGTTTCTTTAATGACCCTTAATGATACGGTTGATGTTCCGTCTCTTTAAATTTCTATCCTATCATTTCCGTTGATGCATCTTGAAAGAATCGAAAGCAATTCCTATAAGATTTATAATCTTATTGGATCAAATCATTCATTCATTCATTCAATAGGCATTTGACAAACTTTGAGAACCTTCCAACTTCCTTTCAACCAGAACTTGTGAGTATGTTAATGTAGCAGTTGTTCAAGTGAAGCGGGTTTTATTGCTTTCAAAAAAGAAAGAAAGAAACAAACAATTCTCTTTAAAAAGAAACTAAGAGTACCACTTGATTTATTTCCATTGTTGCATAGCTCGTTCGCTCTAAAACTGTATTCTGAAATGTTCCCTGGAATTAATCAACACTCGATAAAAGGAAATAATTGTTTCGCAATATAATTGCCGTGAAGAGCGATTTGTTTCACATTTCTGAATTAGTTTATTGTGGTTTTTGATGTCAAGTTCCTTTTTTAAAAATACTTCTTTCCAAAAATAAATCTCAAAATCACTTTAACAGATTTTAATTGATTTTAACTGAATGTTATCATGATTTTTTTGTAAACAAGATTAAGCTCAATTAACATTTATGTAAATGTTCTGTGTACATATGTGAAGAGCGCGTATAGAGAGAAAATACCAACAATGTAAAGGCTACAAACAATTCTCTTTGTCAGCCGGAGAAGAGGAAGAATCAATTAAGTTCAATTTGAAGTAATCACCATCAGTAAAATCAACCAGAAATCATATTCGAATTTCATTGAGATAAATCTAATAAAAGAAAACTTTAATCGTTAGTGAGAAGAATTTAAGTCTCTGATTTAATTTCTTATTTACGCCAAAAGTGATGAACCTGAAACACAAGTTGATGACCCGTGAATTGAATGCGAGTTCCGCATTAGATTCATAAAAGCATTCACGGTTAATTGATGGATAACAAAACTGACTATGTATGTATTTTAAATAAATTTAAATCAATTAAATCTACATTAAAACAGCTATGAATATGCTCAACATTTGATTATATTTATACCAACATAAACATAAATATCAAGATTGATTTTAACTCTGATTTGCCTGGATCATAAATTTTTAAATCTACTCAACTTCACATAATGTAAAATGTTAGTTTAATCTCCAAAGTGTGTCAATCAATTTGAAAAGATATATCTTACATTAAAATCATCGACTAATGACACGCTACATTCAACAACGATGCATAAAAATAATAAAAAGTGTAAAGCACGCGTCGTTTAAGGAAATTTGAAACTGCCAATTTATGAGTGAAGTGAAAGATTTCTGTTAAATATTTTATTTGAATGGTCTAATGAATGAATAGAAACATAATCTTTGTTTAGTCCCAGTCAGATATCGAGACTGGTAATTTATAGATTTTTGCATTGAAAATGACGATTTCTAATCAAATAAATCTCATTCTAAACAATTTTTCATTTTTAAAATACTAAACTTAGTAAGAAAAAGAAGTGAAACCAGTTTTAGTTGATAAAAGTGAATAAAATCAAGGAGGATATTTTTTTTATTATTCAAGAACTTTTTTTATAACGTTCAAGTGAAACATAAAACGTCCGGAAATCACTAAAAGAATGCTGCCACTCCTACTGATGGAAGAAAGACAAGAAGGTTCTTTACGTTTGTAATGCAATTCAAAGAAAAAATCGCTGTTGTGTCTTGATGCGAAACATTCTCATAAAATACAAATATTCATGAGTTTTAAAAATCATTTATTTATTTTAACAAACAGTCGAACATTAAGAAATATTTCTCTAGTTGTTTATACATTTTTATTTGTTAAGAATTGGACTGAACTGAGTCTCGCTAGTTCACGAAAGTAGCCAGCAAAGATGTTGTTGTACTTTTCATATGCAAATTTGACTTCCACCTTTTTTTTTTCGACTAGAAAACAGATGTTTGGTTTGTAGGAAATAAAGTAAAAGAAATAAAAAATCCGCCCGTGTCAAAAATTACCTAACAATACATCATACACTCCTATAAATTTCAAATCGCATGATGAACGGCACTCACTTTTGCCGAGTGAATAAGAGTCCTTAATTTCATTTCATATTTTAACAACCGTATTGATATAAAGTTTCAAGTTGCAGTGCTGCCTAAGAGGAAAGGAATAAAAGAAATAAAAAACTCTCGTTGGATTTAAAATCCTTTCTTTACCTCAAAACAATCCTTTAGATATTACATTGCGATTGTGTGATTGTAAAAGCAAGTTGCGAGTATAAAAATGCAATTCAACTACGAGCTATGAAAAAAAAATATATAAAATACGCCCTCAACACATTTCTTTTGCTCAACATTTTACAAGCATTTCCTTTCTATTGTTTGATTTTATTTTTTATTAATTCCGCTCTCTATAACATTTTAACGATTTTCAAAGAGAAACAAGACTGAAATTTAAAAAGGAATAAAATAATGAAAAAATGGTTTTCCAATATGACTCCAACTCCATGCTATGAAATTATGTACACGAAGAAAAATTGTAGGTTCGAAACCACAAGATATTTGGGATATGTGAAAAATAACGATCCTTTGTGTTAGTGTTTACAATCAAAATTAGAAAAACGAAATCCTGAATACTAAGCCCTGAATCAACCATCAACTTTTCCATCTCTGTACATCTGAAACAAAGAAAATTCCAAACGTTTTATTCAGATTTATGTTTTCCCATATCTGAAGTTGAAAAAACTACACGTTTCCTATTCACCCACTCATGTGTTTGATTTCTTTTGCCTTCGATTGTTTCGTTGCTTTACGAGTGGCTCTCTTGAAAATATCAAAATTTTACAGCATTAGAAGTCTTTTGTTGATATTTAAGATGATGGGATTTTATGTCATTCACAAACTCGAGTGGGTGTTTAAAAGCGAAGAAATTTTTTTATTTATTTTCAAGTAAAATGACTTTTTAAACGATTGCAGACTTTTTTATTTCAAAATTTGGCACAGTTTTAAATCACATGAGAGAAGATTTAAAGCCACTCAATAAATTATCTGGATTTATCAGGTCTGGCGATGACTTCCTGTGCTTATCATGTCTTCAAAGTAAAAACAATGAACTTAAATTGAAAAAAATTGAAAGCAACTCGACATCTGCGCTCAGATCTGAAGTCAGATGATACAATTTAAAGCGAAAGTATATTGTGATTAAATAAACTAATAAAAATCATATCAGAGTTCATTAAATGTCTTAATTTAACACATTTGTTTATGGGCTGACAACGTCGCATGAGATTTCATTCAATGCAATGATATTTATGTTCATTCGCTTGCTCAAATTTACTCAGTGAGAAATCTCAATTGAGACGCTGTTTATTGCTTGCTTTTTCTGTCTGTTGTTTTCATTGTTGAACAAGTAGAACTTATTAAAATAAATTAAACGACATTCATGTGACCCTTCTGAATACATCGCATCGCAATCTTGTTGACCTTTTAACGGGACAAAAGTTCATTGCATGTGCACATGAATATCTCCACTCGGCAGAGTTCTTCGAATATTTTTTTATGAATTTAAACTTCACCCTTCAAAAAGCTGAAGCATTGGTTTGCCTAAGTACATCAAAGCAAGTATTAAAATATTCATCGAAGTAGAATGGAGAAACTTGGAAAATTTCTCATGACTATCAATAGAATTATAGACGAGCGTGTTGCAAAACATTTGTTTGCATGAGATTAAAGACTTAAATCTGCCGTGTTTCTATTCAACAAACCTTTACAAATATCTGGGAATAATGCTTAAAGTTCTGAAACAAATAGAAAAAATGTTTAAGTTAGTTGAGGGAATAAAATCGGCTTGAGACTTCCTGCTGATGATTCGACTAGCATCTCATGCTGTTTTGATGATGTTCATTTCATCATTTCATTGATTATGTTGTGATCTAATGCCATTAGGGGATTATAAAGCATTAATCCTCCCTCTTAATAATACTTACTTAAACATCTTTTCAACAAAATCTAAAATTTTAAATCAATAATTGACAACACAGATTTATATTCTTTGTATCATTATTTTATTTATTTCATACTTAAATCTTATCTAATTGTTTATTTATACAAGTCCTATTTTTCATTTTCTTCATTATTATAAAAAAGTTTATCAATTTTTTTCATGATCTGGGATTTTAATTCTTACAATGTTTCATTTTGTTTTAAGTGTCTAATATCTGCGAAAATATTCTACAAGAATACATTTTAAATATAAATTCGCTGACTTTGCAAATGCTAATCGAACATTTTCCAAAATGGAAGGATGGAAATTGATTTCGAATTTTCTTTTCTTCTCTTAATCACTTGTAAGCTCTGGTGAAATGAATGTTTCACTTTATCATAAATAGTACGATTTTCGCGATCAATTTGATGGAAAACGAAAAGAGATCTTTTAATGATGCGTGAAGCAGTAAATAGTTCTAATGAATTACCACAAAGAATTTCTTTGTTGTTTATTTAAATGCGAGAAAAGAAAATGAAAATCGAAACTTTAACTATTTTTTTCCCTTCAGATAAAAGATTCCATTTCATTAGACAACAAATCAATTGCAACACTTTTATTACAAAAAGTAAATAAAACAGAGAACAAAATTGAATTAATTATGTTTTATACTTTAACTATTTTCATTCGTAGTAGGAGCGGCAGTAAATTCCCATCGGTTCGTATTTTGGCCTTTAAGAAATTAGTGAGAAATAAAAAAAATTGTCAGAATAAAAGTCAACATTGATACACATTTAAAATTTCTCATACATAAATTTGAATAAAAAGAAAATTTTACAACACAAAAAAATTTATTTTCGAAAAAGAAGAGAAAAAAAGTTGAAATGCTTCAAGTCTACCAATTCACGTTATCGTTTCTTGAGTTTATTATTTTCTTTTTGTTTTACAAAATGGCTTTAAAGATCACGTTTAGTTCGTCTTTCTATTGTGATGAAATGTCGATAAACATACTTATGCACATATCTGAATGATATTTCCTTTTATTCTCGCTTGCTCAATATAGAAAGTTAAAAAATCCTAAAGGCCATGTTCTTCTCTGCCAATTATTTAATGAACGCTTCCGATTATCAAAAATCAATGTTTTTATTGCACAAATCATTTATGTATTTATGTATAAAGAAAAAGTCGACAAATGTTCTTGAAAATATTTCATTATTGAATCGAAGGGATTTGATTTTATGAGAAGGCAAGAGAAGAAAACTTCCTCCATGAAATGTTAAGTTATTTCATGTTACTTATACTGAATGTCGTTGATGCCGACACAGAAATACCAAAATTAAATTTATAATATGAATTTTTGCACTTGAAAAATGTTTCAGTGTAATTTCTGTTACGATCGGAAGGTTGCTTGTTAAAAGTATTTCAACTGTCGTTCGTCAGGGTGTCGTCGTCTTCGTCGTTGTCATTGAAAACAAGTTGGAACTTGTAATGAATAGAGAAAGAATTTTTTACAGAGAAATAAGGGCAAAATATTTGGTCACTGGAAAATGTCTGCCTTTTATAAAAGTTTTTATTCATTTTTGTTGAAATCTCACTCATATCAAGCTGTAGCTTTTTATTACTAAAATTTTAATTTTACTTCTTTTTATATTTTTGAGATCCCAGGACTTTGTTATGTAATAAAAAAATTAAAGTTAAGCTTTTATTTTTGCTTATTTTCGTCTTTAATTCAACGCTTAAAATGTCAAGCACTTAATTTACAAAATATAATTTTACTGTACAACGAACAACTTGTGAAACTTTCATTAACTTCTTCTTTTATGTTATCGAATATCAAAATTATTTACATGTAGGTATTTATTGTTTATCAACATTCTTCAATTCTTCTAAGCTTGATTAATTTTAAATTCCATTCACTTCAGTTTCAACTAAACTAGAGACTTTGCTTCACAAAGAAAACAAAATATTTTTCTAAATATTTTCATGAAAATCTGTGCCGTGAGTTATCATGATTTAGAATCTTAGAATTTTCTTTTTTGCTATTTTGAACGTGAGGGATATTAGAAAAGCATTTCATTAAACTGCTGGCCACACTCTGTAAATATTAAACGAAAGAAACGAACATTAAATCGTTTGAATTTTATAAACTAAAGAAAAATTTTACTTGGACATTGACTTTGAGGGAAACATTGAGTTGAAAATTAAAAGAAAAATAGAAAATAGAAAATGAGGTAAATACTTACGTTAATAATGATGGATTCGTTTCCGGCTGGTACCAATACTGTGGCATGTAACCACCCATTTGTGGGGCATGGGTTGGCTGTGGCGGGACGTGTGTTTGAGGAGCCATTTGAGGTGGTTTATGATCGATTTGTGGAATTCCACCAGGTGTTGGTCCCATTCCATTATTAGGCGGACCATTCCAATGAGATGGTGGCGGTTTTTGCTCCCATGGTGCGGCTGTTTGTGATGATGGAGGACTTAAACCTTTAAAAATAAAGAATAAAGAAACGTTTTATAAATGAAAAGTTTTCTACTAGTGAAAGTCAGCTGCTTCGTTCCGTGCTAAATATTTCTTCGTTTAATTAGAACCGTATCGATTTCAGAATTCTATGCTCCATTTTTCCTATCTACTGACGCTTTTCTCTAACAAAACAGCAATTACTTTTAAAAAGCCTTCTTTTTAATTGCTATGTGCCAAAAACTTTGACTTGTTCACGGACGAAAAAAAAAGTTTGGAAATGAGAAAACATTTTTGTTGAAATGTTATCATGCAATTTAGTAAAATTTGTTTAAACGTTAAACAAATAACCATAAAATGCATTTTGATTTGTTTCTTTTTTGACTTTAAAGTACGAAAGATAAAAATTAAAAAATTAAAATCGTTTTGCAATTGCTTCATAGATGGCAGGCAATGCTCGATTGTGTTCGATGATGCATGTTACCAATACTGTTATTAGTAATCGAAGTATCGAAGCGAGTTTTACAACATTGAATGTGTTGGTGTTAAGATAAAGTAGACAATTAATTTACATACCTGGCGAAAGCTCCGAAACAGGCGTGCTTGACGGTGTTGGACTATGTCCAGGAGGTAGGAAATGTGAAGGTGATCCGCTGCTTGAGCCACCTCCAGTAGCTGAAAGATTATAAAAAAGTAAAATAATTAATAATGATTAACACTATTAAGTAATGAGATCGGCTTTCGATTTCTTACCTCCATGAAGATTTTGATGTGAAGGACTATGGCCACCTTGATTTGGTCCGCCGAGTGGCATTCCACCGACACCAGGAGCTTGTGCTGCTTTCATCATCTTCTTGTACTTAGACCGTCGGTTTTGAAACCAAATTTTCACCTAAGCAATCAGATAATGAGAAGAATTTTTAATTTTAATTAGTTCATCATTGATTTATTTCTAATAAAATATTATTGAAGTCAACATTATCAAGCCCCCAGCAAACATGCAAATTACGTTAGATCAGCAGAAATTGTTACAAGGCCTTCGGAAAAGATTTTAAAACACTTATATATGTAAATTAATAATAACAAAACAGCTGAGTATGACGCTCATTGACTCCATCTCGAAATACATAACAATTTTTATTAAAATTATCTAAAATCTCTCATAAATAGTTTATTCTGTAAAGCTTGTCAAGCATCTTGACCGTCATAATGTTTTCATAAACACTGTCGCTTGTCTTTTGTTTTCGTCGTCTGTAAAGCAGCCTTCATGAAAATAACAATTATTAAGCTGAAAGCAACAACAGTTAACTTGCGTTGAACATAATAAATTATTCATTACTTATTAAAAGTAAAATTTTTAAATAAAAAAAATCTCGCAAGATAGAATGAGACAAAACATAATGAAATAGCAAGTTCATAAGAATTGCACAAAAGTGCATACAATTTTTCATTCAACATCAAGAGAACGGAACAAACGAGAGAGTAACGAGAGGAAAACTTTTTTGTAGCACAGCTTACAGTAAAATGTTGGATGCAACATTCATCCGTCAATTCTGATGTTTTTTGTTTTTTCTTGTTATTCACTGTGTAACAAAAAGAATGAGATTTTGTTTTTGATAAAAATTGTGAGAAAAAAGCTTTCCAATGATGTCATAAAATGAATTGTAAGCCTTGCAGCAGAATGTGGTAGAAGTGAAAATATGTCTTCAATTAATTGATTAGATATAAAATATTCTCTGTACAGCATCTTATAATTATTTTATAAGTCATTGCTATCGGTGATACCGTCAATTAATACATTAGCAAACATCTTTAAACAAATCATTTATATTTCCCACTAAGATTATTTGATATTTAAAAATTAATTATTTCTATAAACTTTTTCTCAGTGCTAAGATGCGCTTAAGAATGTTTATTACAGATCATAAAAGTGCGTAAATTAAAAGTTAATTCATCATCTTTGAAGAGAATTTAAAATGTTTACACTCTCTTTATCATTCATCATCATCAACTGGTTGTGGAAGTTGTTAAAGAAGCTTAAAGTAAGTACGACTTGTTTCTTATACTGAACAAAGAGTGAGTGAATCAAGGTATGATCAATGCAATATATTTTACGTTATCATTGATAAAAAATCTATTAAAGAATAATAATTATAATAACGACCAAAGAATAAAATTAAAAAAACAGTAAACAGAGTTGAAGCTTAGTAAAAAGTTGTCTAGGCTTATCAGAATCTCCAGCTACCGACATTATTCATCAACATTTCTCAACATTCAGCAAGTGAATTTCCCTTTTCAGAATTATGACCTTTAACATAATAAAATTTCTCTTGAACTTTAAACTTCCGATCCCTTTGCAAACCATATAAATATTTAAAATGCTTCACGTCATCTGGTTAAATGTATGCCAATCAATTCAACTTGCAACAACCCCATTCACCAATTAAATTCCTTTAATGAAATTAGTTGAAATTGATAGAGAACCGAAAATTTATTAAATTAATTTAGAATTCTTTTTTGTCTATATTTGAAGGCATTTTGTCAAAAATAATTTTTAAGAGTCTCTCATTCTAAGAATTCGTTTCTCAATCAATCGACTTCTATTCATATAAAATTCAACATGTTTCGAATTCCACAAAGACAGTGGAAAAGCTTCGAAAAGATGAAAAAAAAAGAGTGAAGTTGTATATTTAATTAAATGAAATGAAAAATGTAAAAATAATATTTTTCGCATGACAAGTCGTGTGGAACCGACGAAACAGAACAGCACAGAAAACAATAGAAGAGAATTATTGGAACAGGCGGACGAGGCAATTTCCACTGAAAACGTCTGGGTCTCTACTCCGCCTCTGAGGGGAATTCTTGAATAGTTTGAAAATATTCTCTTTTTTTATAATGCAACTCTGCGTTTGTCGGAGAAAAATAAAAAAAAAAACTTGAAAACTTCAATAGTTTCATTTTCTCATCGCCACTGCATTGTACACAAGTCGAGTGTTTTTCAATCTTTTCTTTATATTTTTATAATAATAAATTTTAAGATTTCTATCGAAAAAGTATTTACAGTAAAATGATTTATAAACAATCAATTGAATTAGAGGCAATGACGTCATCGAGATTTGTTTAATGTTGTTGATGTTGAGTCATCGTGAGTTGTCATGTTCATGAGAATTTTTAATGATGAATTTTCACGACTTTTTTTACTTCAACTTGAGCTTTGATTGATGTTTGAAGAGCGTCAATCATGCTTTGTGGACTAGACTATTGCGATTCTTCTTGATAATGGAAATCATTTAAGTATTTTTTTGAAATAATTAATAAAAAAATTATTTTTATTTCAAATTGTATCGGACCGGGTTTTGCATCATCAAAAATCCAAACATATTCGATAACAAAGACCAACAAGAATGTTTTCCTCGATTTTTGTCGGTAATATCCAGAAGCTAAATAAATATTGCGATCATTTTTCGGGGTTTCAATGATACAGACCAAAAGACATTCCTTTGCACCTAAGGATAAAAAAAAGCACAAACGCAAACCAAGAATTAAAAAGCGAACGAAATGCCTATCAATTTATTGCCCTTTTATTTGTCTTCGGCGAATGAACGAAAATGCCCCCGAAAAAATTTATAATATTTCGATTGAATGGAATACTTTTTACTTGCTATCTGATTGTGCAACTGTTGTGAAAGTCTTCTGTATAAATTGAGGTGCCCGCAGATCTTCTTTCCTAGCTCAATTTTCATCCTCAAACCTTCAGTTGAAGTTATACTTAAAAGTATTTTAAAATGATTAAAACGAGCTTGACGATCGACCTTCAAAACATATGAGCCAACATATAAATATTTATTGCAATTCTTATCGATCATACAACTCGCAGTATTTATTGACTCAACAACGAGCAAAAATCAAAAGTAAAACAAGGAAAAGAAGAAGGAATAAAAAACAAAAAACATGTCATTAAAAATTAAAATTCAGCGTTTTAATGTGAAATGTGAGATGCTTTTTTGATTAGACTTCGTCTTTTTTATCTCTCTTTTATCGGTCATATAAGAAGCTCTGCTTTTTACTTTCTTCTCGATACTCTAAGCATCTTTGCAACTGCCATCGAAGGAAGAAAGAAAAAAAAAGTTTAATCAGATGCGGAGCAGAGAAAAGGGAAGCAAAACCTGTGAGATTTAATTTATGTGATAACATTATTTGTAACAGCAATGAGAACAAATTATGCGTTTAAAATGTATTGCTTATTTAAACATTCTGCATTCTGATGCATGCAATATCAACTACAAATACAGTGAGAACTTTTTATTGAAGTGAATAACTTTGTGAAGTCGTCATATCTGAATTTGAGCTGTTTATAATTCTTTATGGCATAAATTGCTTGTATCCAGAAGCTCAAATATTCCCTCCCTTTAAATATTTTTCCATTCACAAAAGCGATAGGCTAGCATTCCATTTTTTACCATTTGCGTAGCGAACTATGAGATGACTCGACAGAAAAATACAAAACAGAAATCTGCCAGCACTCAATAGAAGACAATCGAAGATAAAGCATAATTGCTGTGACTGGCAAATAGGGAAAGAAAGAATGAAACGAGGAAAAGAGCGAGAGAGAGTGAAAACAGAATGAAAAATATAAAACAGAAGCTGCAGCAACAGCAGCAGCAACAACAGCTTGGTTGGGAAAAGGCATTTTAACAAATCATGTTCACAAGACTAAGCATTTTTGCTCTTTTATCAATTGTTTCAACGTCTTCATCGTCGTGCGATTATTTTGTTATTGTTTAAATGAATGTTGCTATGTTATGTTCAGTAAGTGCAGGGTCACCAATAAAGTATAAGCGATCACTTTGAATAAGTGTACAAAGTTACTCGTTGATTTGCTGCTTGTCTGTCTCATTCAAAGTCTGTCGGAAATTGTCAATACAACACTATTGAATCTCAGCCCTCAAAGTGTCTTACATCTCAATTAAGATAATAAAAAAAACTTCGACACATTCAGTTAATACATCTAAACATGCAAGTCGCGTGAGAAAACAAAACTAGAAACGAGCATGCAATTGTTGCACAAGCTTAACATTAACACAGAAGTTTTATTGCTTTTGAATCAAGAGTTGATTTTATTGATAATTTGAAAAGGCAATAATGACAAATCTTGTACACAATTTCCTTTTAATTTCAGCCGCACTTGAAGTTCGTAAAATTACAACAAAAAAAAACGAAACAAGTTCAATTTTTCTTTTTTCGTTTGCATTTTTTCTTGTACATTTTTTTCTCGTTTATGTGGTGGAAGTCAAGCTGGAGCGATAACAGCAAAAGCATATTTTATCGTATTGTAAATTCTCAAAGCTCTTACCGCGCTCAGAGCACCCGTCTGACAACAATATTATGATATAAACTTTTCTGTCTTCGATATCTGGTTTTTGTTGCATTGATAAAAAAAGAACATTTTCGTGCTCTTTTCTGGCGAGCCGAACTATGTCCTATTGGAATTTCCACTGTTTTCGATTTTCGCTGCTTTTAACCATTTTCATTCGCGCTGAGAATTTCTTCAATTCCGCTTTGTACGTTGAGTATGGTTGAAAGGCCATTGATTCATCAGTGTCAGTTGTTGCTTTTTTCTCCTTTGATTTTTCTTTTTGTTTGTCATTTTGTTGGATCAAAATAATGAGATAAAGAAGAAAAACGCGAATTGGATTTGTGAAAAGTTACGTAGCACTTTTTCTTTCTCTCAACCTTCACTCGAGGCCGAAACTCATCATTCGAGTGATTTACTATCAAAACTCGCTTCACCACCAAACACTTGCCTGGTGTGTGCGAAAAAAAGACTTTTTAATTCATAATGCGATAAAAGAGAAAAATATTCATCAACAAAAGCTTGGCAGAAGATTTTCGTTTTCTGTCTGTTTGAAACGTGATGAACATGAAGAATTAATGCGAGAGAAAATTTGTAATAAAAAGTTCAACTCTATTAAAAACGCATTCATCATGTAAGTGCATTAATGTGTTTCCTTCTGTTGATTTAGTTTTGAGCTGTGATTTGTGACGAAGCTTTGCTTGATGTTGGAGAATACCATTAAAGATCGTTACGTAGATATGTTGTAGTTGAACAATTTCAATAGCTATGACTTTTAATTTTTATCAAAAACATAAAAAAAGAAAAAGTCATCAAAATAAAATAAAAAATATTCCCATAAATAGCAATTAGCTTTTCCTTTTCGCTCAACGAAATCATTTTTTATGACAGTGATGAAGTTCCCGAAAAGAAAAAAATATAAATGTACTAAACTTCAGTCAGAAAATTTATGACTTTTCTCATAGTAATATTTTTATGGCGATAAATGCAATACGGCAAGAAAGAGTTGAGTTGTAAATTAAGATATGACCGCAGCCACGACATCAGATATTTATCATTTCTTGGGATCTCTCCCGCGATTGAAAACAAACAGCAGAATTTGTCAACTTTTCAACCGTTTAATACAATTGAAAATTTATATATTTTTGTTGCTGCTACTTGTTGGTTCATAAATAAAGAATAAAAAAAAGGTTTTTTGAGGGTTTCGCACTTTGATCGCTTGGAAAACCAACAAAAGCATAACATCGTAACATGAACAATAGTTTTAAAGAGTCCGAAAAGCGACGACTACGACAAAGACGACAAAAAAAACATCAAACAATTGAGTGATTTTTCATTGTGCGAGTAAACGCAGAGAAGCAAAAACATTTTTTTGTCTTCTTTTTCTTAAAGTATTTTGACGCGATTTCGACGTTTCCAGTAAAATAACAAAAAATGTTTGCTTTGAAGGTTCGATTGAAAAGAAATAAAAAAGATCATTCGGCGAACATATATGAGAAGTATTTTAAAGGACGTTTTTTAGGTTTCAACTCCCAGTTATGTAGTGATCAGCTTCTGTTGTCTCAAGCATGTGAAAAAATTTAACTTAACGTTCGTTCATTTCTTCTGAAGCATTAAACTGTGACAGTTCGTGTTTGTTTGGTTTTTTATCATAAAAAATGACATTGCGTTAGCAGGATGGAATATAGAATTTGATATTAACGTGTTTTTTTTATATATTTATGATTGCTCCCCTTCAATGCAAGTTTCAAAACCCGCAGCACAGATTCACATAATAGTTCAACCTTCATATTTCATTCTGAACCTGATAACTAAAGCGTAAACAAAATATGACAAATTATAGTTCCGCAATGTTATTATGCTTTTTTAGACAACTTTTTCGGCTGTGATTTTTATCATGTAATTAGAATCTTTTGTGAAGTGTATTCAAATCATTCGCTTCAAAAAATTTTATCCACAATTGAGTGATTTTTGTTTGTTTTTATTAAAAGTTTACCTCGCAAGGATGAGCCGGCACAATCTTTTTTATGAACTTTCGACAAAAGTGTTTAAAGTTGTTAAAAAAAAGTTGAAATATTGCTTAGGAAGCATAAAATAAATTGGTAAACTGTTTGATTTGCAACAAAGGTTGTGTTAAGCTTCTATTAAAAAATTAATTAATGTTTCTAATTTAAGTTGAGCGATTCTAGAAGTCAATATGTTAAGATGAAGGAACACAGATGAAGAGAAGAACTCATTTTAGACATTATGGGTGTCGATGCGTTCATAAAAGCTAGTTTTATTCCAAATGAATATTTCAATCTCCTTTATTCAAACACTCGTAGTTTTGCCTCTAACAAAGCCATAAAAAATGATGAATAATAAATTTTAATAAACTTCAACGTGCGGCAAAAATCTTTAGCTGAACAGTTTTCTCTCTTTCATGACCTGGCGCCGAAAAAAAAAACCAAAAAGTAAAATGAATAAGAATCAAAATTTAGAACATTTCAAGAAACGCGCTTTCCTTCCTTGCTTCAGCATCAGCTTCAATGTGAGAAGAGAGAAGATTCTGATCAATAAGTATAAACACATCAACATACGCAGCCCAGGGAACCCAAATAAAGTGGGCAGGAAAAGTTCTCTTTTTCATCTTCAATTTTTATTCCTTTTAAATACACTTTTGAATCGTTAATGATTAAGAAAAGAAAGAACTCTCAGGTAAGCAAAGAAGGAAGAAGTAAAGAAATCTTACAAGCATTGAAATATCTCTCTCGAATTGCGTTTAATTCTTTTACTTTACAATTTATTATGCGATCAAAACGACGACTCTGAAATTCTGAATTAAGGAAATTGTATGAAAAAATAAACTTTTATGGTATTTAATTGAATTGTCAGTGTTGGAGACAAGAACATACGAAAGTAACAGAAGAAAATCTAAAATAAAACATTTCATCAGCATAGTTTCTTATTCACTTTAATAGACGTAGAAATATCTTCTTAAGTATTAAACTTGCTTTTATAAAAGAAAAATATTTTATATTTTATTTAAAACGATGGGAAATTTTGCATATTCTTTAACAATTGTACAAATGTACAAATGTAGATGAATAAATAAATGAAATGTTATTGAACGATTGTAGATTTCGAATTCTTTAAATCGTGTTTTGAAAGCTTTCATGTCAAGGAAAGGGTTGACGTCGGGAAATGCTTTAAATAATTTATAGAATGAAAAAGAAAATATGTTTGATTTACAAGTCGTTAAATTATTGTCTTCAATGCTACTTAATGTTCAGCAACCCGTAACATAGTGGATCTTCTCATGACCCTACTTAAGTTTTAAAGAATTCAAAGTGACCAGAAGTTTGAGAATTATTTCTGGTAAAACGACATCAAACAAATGAATTATTTCCAACCCTTTAAATAAATGAAATTTTCTTTTTGTCACGTCACGGGACATTTTATTAAAAAGTTCCATTTAAAGCTTCAGATCATCGAAGACTTCTTTTTACAAATTATCGCACTGATTTCCTGAATCCCCTCAATAAATAATTTGCGCTCAACACAAGTGAATAACAATGCAATTCCTATCAGCTATCATCAACCAGTTAATGTTGTTTTATTCCCTTTGCGCAACATAAAGGAAGTAAATAAAAAACAATTATTGTGCCGAAAAAAAATACCGAACATTGTGCCACATGAGGTGATAATAATATTTTAAATGATCTCCTTATAAACCTTAAAAACCGCTATTATTTTTAATAAATATTATTATCATGGAGCCGTGGATTTAACTGCTGTTGCCTCGTTCCGACATCACAAGTCTGTTGTTTTTTGACTGCATCTTATTGTTTATCGCGATAGAGGCTTTTTGCCCCGAAAAAAAAAGCAAAGCGAGGCTCAATGCAAAAATTCAGGGGCGTATTTTGCATGTTTCGGCTTTTGAGATTTGTTCTTTGGATAAGAAGATTTGTGTATGAAAGGTTTTAATGTTCAACAGTTCAACAGATTTGCCAATACATTGTGAAGTGCTTGATTCATTTTAGACAACTATTTTGTTACTTTCTTTATCAATCAACGTATTAAGAATGAGTGCGGCACTGACTTAACTTCAAAGAATTCCCTCTGCACTTCGAGAAGACTTCATAAAACGTTCCTCGTTTCACATGTAAACTGTCTAAAAAAACTCAGATGCTTTGCTTAGCAAACTTCACTGGCAATTCTTGTTAAATTTTTTCTCTCCTTATCTTCCTCTCGTCAATAAAAACTTTCAAGAAACTCCAAACGAAAAGGTTTTCGTTGAAAATGTTGCAGAAAAAAAACGACACAAGGGCCCAAGGGCGTGTATCGGGGATTGAAGATTCAAGTTTCGACGGTTTGAAATGAAAAGATTTCTTTCTTAAAGGATTCCTTAGATGCCTGTACAGCAAAAACGCAGCTTGCATGAGAAAGAAGTCAATCAAAATTGAATCAAATAAATATTCAAACGTTCTCTTACGTATACACAACAACAATCAAATGGCCGAGTATCAATCAATTTAATTATTTAAAATTTCAAAGTGGAATTTTATGTTACGAATGCTTTTTACTTCTGTTCATAGATTGTTTGCGTGCAGCTTTGACTGTCAATTAGATTCAAAGCATTGACTAAATGTATCCTGATGTTCCTATTTATGGGTGAATGAAAATGTTGCTTTTTAACCGGCAAGTGAAAAGTCAGACAATATCAAAGTGAATGATGCTATGCAAAGCAATAATGAATTTTTTATTTTCTCTATGTCATATTTTTTTAACAATTCACTAGATTGAATTTGGAATTGAAATTTAAGAGTTTTTTCCCTTCACATGCAGCTTTAATTGAAAGTCTAATTACTGAACATGAAATCTTAGACAAAAAAAGTTTGCATGACTTTATTGAAGAGAAGAAGTGACACGGTTAAATAACAAAATGCACGAAAGTCATTTCATTTGCTTAATGGATGGTCTCCAATGGAAACTAAACATGGACGAGACGTCTCTTCATGTTCAAGTCAAAACTTTTAAAACAACACAACAACTACAAGTCTAAATGCATTTTCTCTCGGTTGAAACAGACGATTAATAAATTTATTATAAGATATAATAAAGCATGTTCCTTTAATACTTCTGGGGACGGGGTTCCCAACCCAAAAATATTCATGAGACTACATAAGAAAACATCAGAAAAGCAAAATTTTATTTTGGTAAAACTTGAGACTAGACGCAAAGATCGTTAACTTACTTTCGCAACAAAAAACTGCTCGGATAAAAAGAAATAATAAAAAAGTTTTATTTAAAGAAACTCGCAATCTTTATCGCTGATTTTATCGTCAGAATTTAAAACATAAACAGCAAGTGAAAAATTCTTTTTTCCGGAAACTCTACGATGTGATCATTGATAGAATTTTATGTGTAATCTACAGTGCATTGAAAATTATTTATTCATAAACATACACAATGCAATTGAATGACCTTCATAATTCTTTATTATTTCAACTAAACGCGTGAAGTTTTTTTTAATAACTGAGCTTAAGATTGAATGATGTTTGAATTATTAAAAAAGCAATAAGATTATTTTTATATTTTTCTAAAGCTATAATCGAAGGTTAGTTGTGATTTGAAGAGAAGAATTTGCAATTCTAGTTGATCTAAGAATTATCGTTGAAGTTGATCTTTTGTAAGACATCAAACATCATTCAATTCTATACAACCATCTAAGTGTTGATGGCGTTAGTGAAGTTTGTGTGTTAATTTTTGTTTCCTCTCTTCTTTACGCAACACAGAACTCAACAGTGTTGAGAGAACATTCAATTAAAATTGTAAATAATATTAATGGAATTAATAAAAATGCCAAAAGAAAGGCAAAAACATGGTTTAATGTCAAAACATCACAAGACGAAAAAGAAAAAGGCTATCGAAGAGGATTGCTGGTAATTAATTGATGCTTTACGAATGTTTTCTCATTAGTTGAGTCTCTCGAGACGTCGCCAAATGTTCATGAATGAATAACGTTTTACGATGCTTACGAATGGGAGAGATTTCACGGTCCGACAACTTTTATATTGTGCCTTTGCACTGCATCTGAAGAGGGAGGACGTCTTTTAGCAGTCATAAACTATTTGTTTCGTCATAAAAATGTTTGCGGAGTGTTTCTAAAAAATTCAACGAACAGTTGCGTGTGGGTTTTGGTCAGAGATACAGAGCGGAGATGAAAGCGCCACAAATTATAAATTTAGTTGGAATTTTATCACAATCGTTGCTTGTTGCTCGAGAGAAATAAGAAAATTTCTTTAAAAGAATTCCATAAATTTATGAAGAGCTTCAAGTCAATTTTTGTGTATGATCAAGTAGCCGATTCTTCGTAACATTGCAAGCAAGATTCGATGATGAAATGTCTGTAAGATGTTCAAAAGAATTCTTTTGACTTTTACTGCTGAAAGTTCGAACAAAAGATTCCGTCAACCTGTCATTAATTAAAAGAACTTTTATGAATAATGGTCTCGTCTGATGGGGAGAAACTCAGAAACTCTTTTTTTCTTTTTCATGAATCACCTTAAGTCAGATCGATTGTATATCGATTCTCAACCTCATTTTACAGCCTCTGACCAGTGTGAAAATTCAAAAGACTACTTGAGATGTACATAAACCGAACAAAATCTGTTCTTCATGCTGGTTTTATTTTTGAGTAATATTTTTATCGTCTTTCGCCCTTCCTCTCTGCACATAGTTGAAGTGCTGTAATAATTATATTATACCCCACAGTAGCTGTTCAATAAACCAATTTTTCACGCTCTTGGAGAGTATTGAAGGTGCACGAATTGATTCACTTTTCAAAAGAAAGAAAAATTAAATCTTTGTTCGGAGATAAGATGAAATCATTTTCAATCTATTCTGGTTAAAGAAAAGGAAGTTAAGCGCAATAGTATTGTGAATGAAAGCAGTGATTGAAAGGCGTTTGATTTTATGAGAAAGAACTTTGCGGGGAGCTATTGCACCTGCGAAGATCATGAAAGAAAAATGACGTCACAAAAGTGTTGTTGAAATTTATTTCACGGATTATCTACTTGAATTAAGAGAAGAACTTTGAATCATGAAATTATAAACGCGTCGATCATTAATTATAACCGTTTTTTATGCTTGTTACTCTTTGATTTCTTCACTGCATCATCGATATTAATTTTGAACTTCTGGTTTTTTTTAATCTATGACATTTATTAATGATTTTAAAAAAAATTCCTGCATGAAAATCAATCATTTTCGGATGCTTCCTGCGAAAATTTGATTTCCGAAACATAAGAAAAAAGAGAAACAAAGCAAAGCCATGAGAATGGACTTCACACTGTTTCCAATAATGAAGTATTATCTAGTAGCTTTGTAACTCCTATTGGTTGAGATCAGATAATTTTAAATTATCTTTGGCCAAGCGTTGTTTTAAATTGAAATCGGATTTTCACATTAAAGCTCTCTATGCATGTACATCAGAAACGTCCAAGATGGATTTAATCATGAAATAAGAAACTATTGAAAAATTCCTTTCTTTTTTGAACTCGTTGCACAAACGTGTGAATTTATCTTATTACAAATCGATACTGCTTACGAAAACAGGTAGGATTGCACGTGTTTACTGAAATCTTTCCTCAAATGTCTCAATCTTCTTTCAATTTTCCTTTTCATGTTTTAAATTGAAGAAAGAATGCCCAAAATAGTCGTCACCTCAATTGTCCGAACTCGGCTACTGTATTTAAATAAAAGTTTGTTCGTTTTGTAGAATAAACATCAAACATGATTCATCACAGACTGACTCCACTTGACTCCCATGGGAACAAACAAAACGATTGCAATTTTAATCAATGCAAAAATTTATTTTCTTGCCGTTTTTGATGACATTCCAAAGACTTTTGTTCTTCTTCTTTTTATTGTTTTAAAGTAGGAAATATTTTTAGTAAAAATTAATTATTTGAATAAGTGAAAAAGGAAAATAAAAATCAATAATTTCGTTTTAACCCTGCCGTGTTTCACCTCAAATAATATGTCTAATTAGTCTGTAACCTAATAACAAACACAGTCAAACACAATTTTGTGCTTGCCATAAAGCGCATGTTTTGCAAAGCGCCTTTCCAACGAATGCCGGCCCGTAAAAATTTTTCTTTCTGCTTTTATTGCGCAGATATTTCTGAGAAATTTTCAAAGCGAATTAAAAATACTTTTGTATCAAAGCATGCTTTAGTTCGTTTGAAAATGAAGCATTAATAAATTTTATTGCACTAATAAACACAAATATTGAAGTTAAAATGTTTAAAAGAAAGACTATGATTTTTTTTATGTTAATTCAAAGCAAACCAAACCACCCTCGAAGGTATCTTCTATAACTAACTACTGCGGCGTTATCTGACAATCGGCTGTCTGCTTTTATTGTGTTAAATATAATAATCCCCATTAATTAGGTTCGCCTTTAACTTAGAGCATAGCCGTAAGTTGATCGAACATTTGCGAAATATTCTTGGCTAATTAAAACATATTCGTTGAAGGGTTGAAAAGATGTTCAATTAACTAAAGGACGCATAAAAAAAGTTGAATAACAGGTGCTTGATGAAATTTTCTCTCTCTTTTACGTTTCACTTTTCATCATTATTTATTCTTCTTATTCTTACATGAGAAAATAACTTGATTCGGATATATTGTTAAATAAGATGAAACATATTCGCTCCCTCATGTTAACAATTTTATTTTACTTTTTTTTTGCGATAAAGATTGAGGTCAAGTTGCAATAACATCGGAGCCAGACGAAAAACTTTTTACTCCGATTTAAATATAATTGGATACATGAGATATTCATGAAAGGGAAATTGTTGATCCTTAATAAGTTTTCCTCTATTTATGATTTGATATCTACGCGTAATGGGATAGTTTATGTTCATATTATCATTTTGAAGTTGTTAATTTATTTGTCAATCTGCCAGACTGATTTAATATTCAACGTTCTATTAATCATTTTGTTGTTTCAATTCAAAGTTTTAATTACAAATTATGTTAATTAATTTAAACATTAACATAGCTAACATAGCAAGCTAGTGTCAAATTATCATGTTAATTAATTGAAATATTTTGTCGTATTATGTCTCAAATTTGTGCGTAACGTTAAATTTCATTTAATGACATCGTTTATAGTGTATGGGATTTTAAAACATTCCACTTAAGTACGAAAAAAAAGGTAAATCAGCAGTGAGCTGTACACTGAGAAAGATTTATGTTATTTTAATTGAAGTTTTTCTCTTCAACAATTAGTCTTTATGAGCTTTTATATCGATGAGAATTTTATGAAATTATCCAACATTTCGTTTCGAATTGATTTGAGTGGAGCTCATCTCATCTGTGAGTTTAGTGCTGTTGGCCACCTGTTAGGCTTTCTTTCCTATATTCGCAAGAAGGAAAATTTAAATAATAATTTAAAGACCCATTAGCGATTGGCTTTGGTCAGACGAGATTCCGAAGCGATGGGAGAAACTGGCGAGCCACAGAAAAACTAGTTTTCACATTTTAAATTATTATTTACAGCTTGCAACCGTTGTATTGATTATTATGCAAAAGAAAATTTATCGAGCACGTTACACTTTTAGCAACAAACTTAAATATCTGTTTATTTCTAATACAATGAAGAAAAGTCAGAGGAAATTGATTATACAAACATAAACAACTGAGGCAATCAAGAACATTTGCTGATCATTTTTTGCTATGCATGCTTCACATGCATTTCTTCACACTTTTACAAGTAATTTTTCAAATGAAGTAATTAAAGACGTTAATCGATTGGAAAATTAAAGTGAGAGCGACAGAATTTCTTCTTGGAATGTTTACATCTATGGTTAAAGTACTGCTACTGCTGCTACTGTCGATTGAGATTTGCTATCGCAGCAATCGAATACTTAATGTTTATAATTAATGTGGCGTCACATTAAAGCAAATATTTATTCTACTTTGCATGAGTTTTATATGTTGTTGATAAAGTTGAATTGTGTAGGAAAGAAATACTTCTCTTTGCACCCCAGCTGACTGGAAACAAATAAACAATCGTGCATAAACAACGAAGTACATGATGACGATTAATAAATTATTAATTTATAGCGGACAAAATATAATTTCCACCCTTTTCCTCTCCCTCAAGAATAAGACCGCGGCTCGATATTATTTATTGCTTTTTCTTGTTTGCTGGTTTCTTTGCTCTTTGCCGTTTGTTTTATTGATTTCTGAATGAGTGAGAGGGACAAAGGAAAAGAGACCGAGGAAGCAAAATAAAGCATTAACATACACAAGGCTTTCATTTCTTGTGTTAATTAATTTTATGCTTTACAATGTTTCTTTTTTTCACTTCATTTTATGTTAAAACGAAACATAAAATAAAAGCAAAAATATTCGCAACAACTTTTCATCTAATTTATTTGATAATAAAAGAGTAAATAGTGCGCTTCATCACATATGTCATGTTTCCAAATCGTAATACGACAATCGCCAAAAGATATTCGACATAATAAAAATCGGAAACCTGTGTATGTGTGCGTGTGTGGGTGGGATATATTTAAAAGCAAATTTGATAGATTACTTGTTTATTTTCTCGCCTATCAAATTATCGAAACATATTTTCACAATTTTCTTTTTACTTGAAGTGGATGACTCGTACACACAATTGAATAAAGTTCATTATGATCAAAAGTAAAGCGAAAGTATTTCTTCTTTCCATTTAATATGCAAATTACAACAATTAATGTTATTGAATTTCTATTTTTATTATTATGAGTGCTTGCCTGCCTTTTTTTGTGTAAGCGCCGATCAATTTTAATCAAAATGGCACAAAATTCTCCCCACACAAGTTGATGGTATCCATGTGTGTAAATATCAAGCTATTATGTATGTCTTCTTACTAAATGTATGCAAATTGCTTAATGCTTTTATGTCAGTCGAAAATGAAGAATAAAAATTACATGCGTGATTGTTTTGATACATTTTTTCTTGTAATCGGATATTTACCAGAGTTAAGGAAAAGAAATAAAGTTTTGATGAAGATTAAGTGAATAATTTTCATAGTACAAATTTGGTTTGTTACTACCTAAATAAATCAAACATATTCCGAAAGCCGAAAACCGGAGCTTTAGTGTCAGAAAATTTTATTTATTCTCAGCGATTGCCATCTTGAATAAAATCATTCGTCAAACAATCATAATTTATGGGATTTTTCCGGCTTATTTTTGGTTCATGTCAGTCATAATTTCCTTCAAATATTGCATCAAAAATGCATTAAAAGTTTTAGAAAGTTGTAGGAAATTTAAATTGAAACTTGAAAATCGCAAAAAGTTTTCTTCGAAGAGACAAAACTTGCTAATGATCAAAAAAATTTATTTGTTAAATCGTTTGAAATTTCTTTCCAAAATTATCATTTTGTTGAATGTGGAAAACAAAGTGAAAATTGTTGAAGAAATTTTCGTGTTGAAAATTATTTTTCCACAGGAAATTTGCGGTTTCTTTAATACTTCAAACTTTCTTATTGAAGAGTGATTTATTTTGAGTTCGTCTTGAGAAAAATGGATGTTAATTGAAATGAAGAGTCTTGCGGTATCGTCTGAGTAGCAGAGATTTGTCAGTACCAATGCCAACTAGTGAAATGAAACAATTCAAAGCAATATTTGAATTGAGTCAGAGAAAATAAATTGATTATAATAAGGATGCGTCCATTTGACAAAAGCAGAGAAAAAAACTACAACTAGAGAAGTTTCAAGCTGTGTATCAATCTAAATGAGATTCGAGTAGAATTATACGGGGAAGTGAAGTGACGAGAATCTTTCAAGAGCGTACAAGAAATTGAATGTGATTTAGATTTATGATTTTTTTTGTCTCTTATCTATACATATTGTCATTCATAAATTAGTATTTTGTGAGATTTATTAGCTTTGATTTATGCTTCTTCTTTCTTGTTGGCTTTCTTTCTTTTAATTTCCTCTCTTCAATCATCTCACATCACATCAATGCATCCATCACGAATATTCACATTTTTTTTATTTAAAAATTTCTCGCTGGTCAGTTGTGCATGCAACATTAACATAAAATTACAATGGAGTCACATGTACACATTAAATTGGGTGACAAAGAAGACAGAAGCTTATCTGCACATTGTTATTCGTCCATTAGAAAGCATATTGCACAAGTTTAGTGGTTATTTCATATTTTTCCACAAGAGACATGAAGTAAACGAACTAGGGTTGATAAATATGACAGAACTCCAATAGTAGAACGAATTTTCCGTGTTTTTGCTTGGTCGGCTTGTGTAAAGGGCGAACCGGGGGCAAGTAAATAAATAATAAATAAAAAACTAGGGGAAAAACTCATAGCACGCAAGCCAATTTCACCCGTTTCAATATTTAACAATGAGATTATGTTCGGTTTTATGTACATTTGCTTTTTCTTTGTTTGCGGATGGGCATTTTGATTTGTTGGCTTATTTATCGATTTAAATGCTTTCTTTTGTTTTATCACGTCACATACCTGTGTTTGTGTTAATCCCAAACTAGCTGCCAATTCAGCTCGCTCTGGCAAAGCCAAATATTGCGTTCGTTGAAATCGTCGATTAAGTTGTTGCAATTGAAGTGAACTGTAGATTGTTCGAGGCTTTCTCATCTTTTTGCCTTTACCATTCACTCGAAGTCCAGTATCTTCTATTTTATCTGAAAGGATAGAAAGATAAAATAAAAGAGAGTTAGAATCGTTAATTAACGTTGCTTGTTCAAGAAGTTATTTACAAAGTAAGTTAAAGCTTTGCTTTCTAAATACATATGTACATAATAAAATAAACTTTAATAAAGAGAATGTGTATTAACTTGTACGTCTCAACTAATAGATGTGCTTTTATATTTCTGATCTTGTTTGCTTCCATTGCGCAATTCAATTCTCTCGTAAATTTTTCTTAAAATATTTTGATTAACAATTTAATGCAATTCTTCTTTGCACTTGTTAATTAGACAGATAAGCAACAATGACATATTCAAATTAAAACAGTAGTTAAACCGACACTATCTCGTGAAATATTTTCATTTATTTGAATCATTATGCTGGTAGGGTGATTGAAGTATACACACACTCAACATTGTTGAAATTCAGTCGCTTAAGTGAACAAACATATCTAAATTACAATCTTTCAGATCGATTCCTTTGAAATTATTAGAATATTGAAAATAGATTTCCAGTCTTCCGGTTTAATTATTCATCAGGTTTGGTCAAAAGTCAACGATAATGTTTGATTGATGTCAAGATAAAATGAAAAGTTTTTATGTGGCGAAAGTTCAATCAATTTGTATTAGATATCTTTTTAATTTTGTCAATGGATTGTTTTTATTAGACAAATTGATAGGATGATTGTCTTTGTTCAATGTTAAAGTGTTAAAAGAATATTTAATTTCAGAACTTTATCCTGATCTTTCCCAACCGTTAATGAACATAAATTGAATTGTTTCAAAGTTTGTTTAATAACGAAAGCTCAACACAGCTCCATTAATTTAATTAAAGGTGCTAACAAAAGAATTTTTCTTTGTTTTGAAAGAATTTCTCCATGAAAATATTTTTAAAGAATTTCCACAAAAAGTTTTCGTAAAGTTTAATGGAAATTTATTCAATTTTTTCAATTTTGACAACTTTCTTTTCCTGATAATTTTTTGCAACATTTTTTTGGATTAAAATTATTAATTCGAATAGAGAGACAGAAGTTTAATTTCGATAAAAAATATTTCGCTGGTGATTGGAGCATTTTTATGCAATTTAGAATTTTCATCTACGCTTGATAAATCTGACAATTATTTGCCGAAATATTTCTCTGTGGAATAAAAAATTTTGTGAAATAAAAAAATTAAATAAATTGTTCGGTAAATTGTGCAGATTTATTCAGCAAAAATGTTTGCTCATGTCGCATGAAAAAAGAGAATTAAATGAAATTGAATTCATCAAGTATTTCAATTCACAACATATCTTATAAAAAATGATAATAAATGAACAAGCAGCTATCAGTTGCGATGCTTCGATGTTTAATTTATGTCTTCATATGGTAAGGTCTTGTTACAACAATGTAACGCCATGAATTGTCTTATTAATATTGTTCTACATTAGTTGCAATTTCCTCTTTCAATATACAATGTAAGTTTAAGAATTGCAACTAATGTGATACTTTTACGAAATTTTTCGACATTACTTTGTTGTTACAATGCCTTTTGAAGATAAATATAATAAATAAAACATTGGAACGTTGTCAAAACAAAATCAAACCAGTACATGTCTGATAGTCGTTTATTTATGTTTTATTTCATTAATTCACAACCAGTCAATTTCCAATCAACTCAATAAATAAACTCTGCTAATTTGAGTTTCGTAAATATTTTTTTTCTTAAGTAATGAAAAATTGAACAGAATTTTCCTTCGTGATTTCATGTCTTTGTGTTTGTGTTTTATTACTACCCTGCGCTCGTCGCCTTTAACCATTCAATTAACCTAACATTGAACTTTATTCTATTGCCTTCGACTTCGATAGGATGTTGATGCAATTGAAAACTAATTATCAATTAAGTTTCACGATAGCCCCATATTTTTCATCGATGTAAAATCGATTGTGGCGAAAGAGAATAAATGACTCATTATGTCATCATTCCGAATCGCTTTTAATTTATAAAAATAATGTGTTGTATTTTGTTTGAGTCTCTTTAATGCTTACCATCTTTTGGCGGACTTGCACATGGTGGAGCGTAGCCTCCTAGATGATAGCTCGAATACGAATTTTGCATAGTTGGGAATGGATAGCCTAATGCGCTTCGGGGACTTGGAAAACCTGAGTCTTGCCCGCCCTGCGGTCCAAAATGTTGTCCATATCCACTTCGAATAGCACCGTAACTGTAACAAAAAAGAACATAAATTAATGCTGTTAAGATATATGAGAAAGGGAAGTGAAGATTTTTTTATCGAATGATACATTTTTGCGCAGCCTTTTGTTAATTCATCTCATTCAACAATAAAAATTCCAACCGGATTCTTTTGCTATCGATGAAATAGTTTGTGTATTTTTTACTTTGAAAGAAATTCCGTCGGCAGTGTTTATGAACCTCCATTAGGAAGCATGAAACTTGTTTTATGCTTTCAAGTGAAACAATTTAATGTTTCTTTTATTTTCAGATAATTTCAATATGTTATAAGAGATACATTTATAAAATCGATAAGATTGCTGAATATAAACTTAATTTTGTCATATCAATTGTTTGCACTGATCACAAAAGTTGAATTCATGCGCACCTCTAAATAAGCATTAATATTCTCCTCATATTCGTGAACGCCAACAAATATTTACCGTGCACGAGAAAATATTTTATCTCAAAGATTTATTATTTTTGATTTCACATTCCTTTTTGATAACATTTTTTCCCCGTCTCAACATTCTTATGTAACCGTGTTCATGTTCACAAAATATTTTAAATATATTTAATTGAATTGAGATGATCAAGAAACGTTTTTTTATCGTCTAATATCGAGCAGTTTTGTTAATGTTCACACACTTATTTGTTGTTAATTGTAATTACTAAAAAATGACTCTCAATTGTATTTTAATTAATTAATCTAATAAACATCACGTTGAATAACTTCTGGATTACATTTCACTTAAGCCCCGTTTAATTATCAGTCGCGTCTCGTCGATTACAATTTAATTATGTTCAGCACAGATGAAGATTTGTTGGAAGCGATTAAAATTTTCCCTTTCTATTTCGCGATAACTTATGATAAATAATTCTATCACGTTATTTTTTTTTCTTTTCCTCTTATTGAACATAAACATAAACATCGAGCATCTTTCGTAGCTCGAGAAAACTTTTAAGTCTTTATATTTCTCACCGATATAAACTTGAGAGTAATTAATTTTTTATTAATGAGCTATGAAATTGTATGCATGTAGCCATTTTCAAGATCAAGTTTTTCGCGCGTTAACTTTTCTGTTTATGCATGCAGTAGACGCGTTTTGTGCATTTTTAATGATGAATTTTTAATTTCGCTTCTGTATCTAAACATCGTCTGATAATGGAATTTCGTTTTGTGCATGTAGAAATTTGCATCATGGCCGGTGTCGAGTCTCGCAAGAATGCACAATCAAGACGAAGACACGACAAGACAAAATATGACAGTGAAAAATTAAATGATTTATTATTTTCCGATATTTACCCATGTTGCTGAAGTTCAACAAATGCTGATTTTCCTGGATTGCCCGTTGCACCATCCATTGTGTATTTTGGGGTGTGTGGAGCATCAGGTGCATCCATGCCGGATTGTGGTGTGCTTGGGGGCCCTTCGTAAGGGCTCCCCAAATCCGTGAAGTTTAACGTATTGGCGCCTATCGAGGCCACTTTTTCGAAACGAATTTTTGCGCCGCTTTTTACACACGGATCAACAAAAAAAAATTAACTCTTGACTTTGTATCTTTGTGTTTTTCAACAACTTGTCAAATCCAATAGAATATCCAAACTTTAAATCTTTAACTGGTGAATGAAAACAAACGGATTCACACAAAAAACATAATCACTTGTACCGCAAGAGGATTCCCGCTGTGCTTGGGGAATTGTTGTAAATGTTGGCGGTTCTTTGATATCTACTCTTAATTTCTTTATTTCTTTTTATTTTCGTTGTTTGATTTTATTTATTTTTTTTCTTCTTTTAAAACTTTTGTTTGTGGTTTAGATTGTGTCACTTTATTAAATTAATCGTGTGGAAACCAAATTGATTAAATTTAAATTCAACTTGTTTATTGATTATTTATTATCCTTTTTTTTGTGACGAACTTACGGAGCCGTTGAATGAGTTTGAATTATTTTAATCTTCACAATTATTTTTGTGATTTTTTGAGTTCCCAAATAAAAAAACTCTTTAATTGTTCGTGAATAATTTTTTTTAACTTAAAAAAAGCCGAATTTCACAATAATTTTTCCGCTGGCGACATTAAACGCATTGAAAAACTTTTTTTTGTCTATTCGGAACTTGGTAATTGACGTCAAAATTGAGTGTTATTATTGTTGATGATTTTTGATTGATGGTGACGGGATTTTCGCTTAACGGTGACACAAGATTATTTTCCAATGTTATCTTATGATCATCTGTATTGATAGATTTATAATCCTAGATATTTATTTTTAAGCTTTCTGGTTACACTCAGAGGAATAACATTTATCCACTATTTGACTTTATCAAATGATTGTTATCGAAGGTCTTTGTTTATATGCTAACAGAAACTGCAATTATTTATGCTGATGGCAGCTGATCTTTCCCTGACAACAATTACACTTGAACCAACTTCTTTCCTTTAAATTCAAACCGATAAAAAAACTTTTCACGCACTTGAAGAAAGCACAAAGCTTCTTGTTTTAATAATCTGTTGTTTAGCCCTCTCGATTGTATAGAATTTAAACGTTGTGTCGTGTATTGTACTCTTGAAATCATAACAACAATTATGCACTGCTATTACTCTTCTTTCAAACCTCACCCGAATTATCAGCACAAAAAAAGCTTTTTTTTCTTATTCACAAAAGCGTTCCCTTCGAGAATCAAGAATAGAAAAAAAAAATGCTGAAACAATCGAACGTTGTGCGCGACCAACCGAGAGCAAAGTGCGTCAAAGACTAGCGTATCAAGAAAATTGCTAGTCTCGAGTTCGTTTTGCTTTCAAATGTGGCGTGTAGAATGAAAGAATGAGTAAATACAACGAAACGATATCTTGTTAAGCGCATGTGATTGGCGGTTTTGTTGTTTTACACGAGGGGGGAGTTACACAAACACAAACTCTGATGTTGTGTTCATGACACTCTTTAAAGTTATTCTTTACAAGTATGAAAGAGAAAGAGTGAGTAATACAATGAGTTGTAGACTCACTAGAAGGAGAAAGAAACATGTTTTCATGACGAATAATTCCAGTGGCGTTGTAAAGCGATTCGCGATATCAAAGCAAGGAAAATTTATCGACTTTTATTGAATCAGAAAAAGAGCTGGAAAAATATTTTGCAATCAGAATGTTTCAACTGTCAAAGATATTTTTGTGAAAATCTTTCTTCTACACACGAAAATTCTGAGAAACACTTGCCGTGGAAAATTCGTCAACGCCCACAAGAAAAATCGAAAATGAAAGAAGATGGAAAAATTATTTTTCTCATTGCGACATGTTGCAAATGTAACAAGTCGGTTGTTTCTTATGTGTGGCATCGTGTACAAACATAAAACAGAACGGATAAGATAAGCCATGATAAGCTGCTAAGAATACAAACGAGTTCTGTATGTCGTGTTTGCCGGTGGAGAAAGAAAAGTTTTGAACGATTGAATAAAGTTCAAACAAATAAAATTCATTAACGTGGACAGGAATTTTTAATGTGTTTAATTCAAGCATATGATGAAAAGTAAATGAATTTTGAAGGAAACATTGCGCTACTTTTATGGAGATAAGTAAGACAGTTGACGATGAAAAAATGATGCAAAAATCTATCAACATCAAAGACATTTTGACTTTTACAACCTTAGTGGAATCTCGAGAAGTTGACAAGAGTATATAAGAAGCGAAAGCTTAGTGCACGAATGACCTTTTGAAGTCAAAAATATTTTTGGTGACACGAAACAACCAAAAGCAGCAGTGAGGATGACAAACAAAAAAAAGTTATTCAATCTGATTGAGTTTTGACATCTTGATGGTCACTTTCATTGTTTCGTTGACTGTCGTGGAATTTTATTTTATTTTTTTCATAAGGAATAAATGAAAATAACATTGAAAACTGTCCAACATTGTTGTGATGTAAGTGTGATAAATTTCGTTGATGCTTCGCACAGTTTGACAAAGAGAGAAATCGAGTTTCTTCTGAATTACGTGATGAAATTTACTCGGTTTTTGTTTTTCTCATTAAAACTAAAAGAAATCATACTTTGTAGATATTTTTTTTGTGACGATAGCAGACATGAAGTCATTTGCTTCGTTAAATTATCTAATAACAAAAAAAAAGCAGCATGTCAATATTTATAAAGTCCAAAGCTAAACAATTGAAAATTTGTTATTTTAATTTCATCAAAAGCAGGTCAAAAGATGAAAGCTTGACTTAAGAACATTTTGTGATGGGAATTGCGTCGGCCAAAATTTTTATTGTTTATTGAAAAAGTAGCGGAAAATATTTAATAAAGTTAGACAAAACTTTTAAAAGTCTGGGGTGGCCACAAAGAAAACAAAGCAAAGCAGACGCTAATTTACGAGTTGAAGGACGTCGCATGACAAAACTGCCGACTACCATACAAAGTGTGCTGGAAATTTTTTTCGGAAAATGCTATGCTAATGGCACCCGATTTTAACATGTTTATAAACCCCCGAAGAGCTGGTTTAACCGCATGAAAAAATTAGATTTGGAAATTCGATTAACATTTCGTGAGAAATGCTTTTCAGCCTAGCGGAAGAGTTTCCATCAAAATGTGTTTTTATGATTTCGTGTATAAAAAAAATATATTTAAATACATTTGCTTTCGGGTTTGACAAAAGAATGAGAAATTGAGAACATCAAAGTTGAAGAAATAAAACACGAAGAGCCGAGTTGTTCTACTGCAGATTCCTTAATATTTTATTGTACTTATAAATCTTGATGTAAGTTAAGCATTTACGATACTGACTTAAATATGAAGTAATTGAATGGAACTTATGTAATTAAGTATTTTTTATGAGTAGATCTTACTCACCATGATCACGGGAAAATTGATTGAGATCAGACACAATAAAGAGAAAATTAATTATTTTCCTTCCATTCGGTTTTATGGCACATTAAGATTCAATATTGATTTTAGTTTAAGTTGCTTAATTGACTCAAAAACCTCAGAGCTACTCGTAATAAAAGAAATAAAAAAAATCATATTGAAAGAGAATTTGTGTTTTCCTTGTTTATGTTTATGCTCAAAGCTCAATGGGCTTTTTTTTATTTACTTTACTGGCAAAAATTATGTTTGTATCAATCTTTTTTTTCATGTTCTATCAAAGATAATTGTTAATCAAATATACATCGAACAACTAGGTAGGTAAGATGAAGATGAAATCTTTTTGGAACACCTCGAAAAATCTTAATTTGGCAACAAATGGAAGCAGTCTACATGTGGTTGATGGTTGAAATATCTTATATATCTGATTCTTAGATATTTTCATTTCACCATCTGGTGTTATGCAGTTTGAACTTATTGTTACAGACATTACAAAATAGTATCTAAGTAATCAATGCATTGTTACATTAGAAATCTACTCAAAAGCATTGCTACTGAATGGACATTTCATGAACTTCAACTTTAAAGTTTAAAGTTGAAATATATTTTAATTTATTTGTTAGAATTCTTCAGGAAGATATTTTTCACTTTTTATAATATTTATTTACCACACTCGGAGAAAAGATCGCTGAAAAATTAATAATTTATTTATTTTAATATTTCATTTTTATTAGCTGTTGATATAAGAAAACAAAAAATTCTACTAAACGCGTTTCGCTACGGATCATAAACAGGTAAACTCAATAATTCTTTTCTGTTCTTTCAGAGGATGTTGTAAAACGTATAACATGAATATTATTCTCATCACCAAATCAAAATCCCTTTCACCCCCGCTGAGATCATAAAGTGCCGGAACGCCGTGCCGCACTCACTTCAACAAAAGATTAAAACTGAAGAAAGCCCCCAATCAAATAAATTTCATTAATGGTTAATGAATCTTTCTCAATGGTCTCATAAGACATAACTTGAGTCTTATATTATATTTCTTATGAAACCAAATTAACTTCAACCAAGAACCAGAGACAGTGAAAACGAAAACGTTCACCAAACATTCATCAAAATATGAAAATTAACTCTTAAAGATATTTCTCATATTTTACTACACAATCTCTTTATCTTCCACTTGTGGAATGAAATCCATAAATGAATGTAAAGCATGTAATGATGTGACACAAACAGAATTAAAAATCAATAACATATCCTTTAATTGTACACTTTCGGAATTTAATATGATAATTTCAGTCTAACCAACGCACCTTAATTTATAGTTTTTTGAAACGAATAGAAAATTCTTTCATTCATTCATTCCTTTAACTACTATTTCTAGATAGATTGGTAACAAATTATAATTAAATGATGTCAATTTTGAGTTGAGCACCATAAGGGGATTAATGATATGGAAAATGCTTTAATAACTACATTATGATTGCTTAAAATCTGTGAAATAACTGGTTATGGCGTTTGAAATGACATTATTAGTTAGGCGAAGTCTTAAATACTATCATCAAATGATGTTTTTATCGATTTTATAAGTTGGAAATATTGGATAGTAATCAAATATCAACAGGAGACACAGATAATTGTTTTTATTCTTTTAAAGCCATTGAATTTAATTATTTTATATAAATATCTCATCATTTGCTTCTTCAGTAACGCACAATTTCCAACACGCTACCTTCGAGCTGTAATTTAACTTCTTACTTGCATGAAAAAAACAAAATAATAATTCAAAGTTAAATCTTCTCCATTTCCTTAACATTTGTAACTTTTTGACTAAAGCGTCAGATCATCGACAAATACATCTAATGAACAATAAGAATCACAAAACTTTTTCTACTTCAGATTGATCGAAACTCAACAAAGTGAAGAATATTTTATTTCCAGTTGTCAGAGTCTTTCGAAAATTGAAATAAAAAAAATTGTTGAAGAGGAACATGAACATGAAAAGTTCTCATTTTTGTAGCTTTAGCCCTCGGCAATTGTTGGGAATAAATATTTTTTTCATGCTTTCGTTTATGGAATAAAAAGTGAGCAGTAAACATAAAAATAATGATACAAAATATGAATAACAAAAAAGATACTTCGCAGCCTCTAAAAGTGGCTTCTTGAAAATATCAGCCTTCGTTCTAGATTTTGTTTTATTTTTGCTTCTTATTTATTGCTTCAAGTGAGCGCAAAGTTTCTTTTCGTTGGGATTTGAGAATAATTAATGATAGCACCAGTTAGAAAAAAATTACCAAAATATTCAAGTTTTGTTTCTACGTTAACTCTTCGTTTCACTTAATGGGACACTTTCAAGTTTTTTATGAAAAATGTGGTGTTGTTGTAGACTGATTCGTTCTAGCTTCGCATTTAATGGAACCACGCCGCAACACAATGAAAGAAAGTTTCTATTTTTTATGATTTGTTTTTGAGCTTGAAACAATCTTCTAATCATCATGAGTTATGATGATGAGCACCCGAAACATTTCTTTTTCGCATGTGTCTGCTCACGAATTATCCAAGCATTCATTCATTCATTCATTCTTTCATTCATCATCGCTTCAATAATTCTTCCCTGTAAACATTTACAACTATTTATATTTGACGGAATTTGTCACGNTTTGTTGTTTAACACGAGGGTGGAGTTACACAAACACAAACTCTGATGTTGTGTTCATGACACTCTTTAAAGTTATTCTTTACAAGTATGAAAGAGAAAGAGTGAGTAAGACAAAGAGTTATAGACTCACTAGAAGGAGAAAGAAATATGTTTTCATGACGAATAATTCCAGTGGCGTTGTAAAGCGATTCGCGATATCAAAGCAAGGAAAATTTATCGACTTTTATTGAATCAGAAAAAGATCTGGAAAAATATTTTGCAATCAGAATGTTTCAACTGTCAAAGATATTTTTGTGAAAATCTTTCTTCTACACACGAAAATTCTGAGAAACACTTGCCGTGGAAAATTCGTCAACGCCCACAAGAAAAACCGAAAATGAAAGAAGATGGAAAAATTATTTTTCTCATTGCGACATGTTGCAAATGTAACAAGTCGGTTGTTTCTTATGTGTGGCATCGTGTACAAACATAAAACAGAACGGATAAGATAAGCCATGATAAGCTGCTAAGAATACAAACGAGTTCTGTATGTCGTGTTTGCCGGTGGAGAAAGAAAAGTTTTGAACGATTGAATAAAGTTCAAACAAATAAAATTCATTAACGTGGACAGGAATTTTTAATGTGTTTAATTCAAGCATGATGAAAAGTAAATGAATTTTGAAGGAAACATTGGGCTACTTTTATGGAGATAAGTAAGACAGTTGACGATGAAAAAATGATGCAAAAATCTATCAACATCAAAGACATTTTGACTTTTACAACCTTAGTGGAATCTCGAGAAGTTGACAAGAGTATTTAAGAAGCGAAAGCTTAGTGCACGAATGACCTTTTGAAGTCAAAAATATTTTTGGTGACACGAAACAACCCAAAGCAGCAGTGAGGATGACAAACAAAAAAAAGTTATTCAATCTGATTGAGTTTTGACATCTTGATGGTCACTTTCATTGTTTCGTTGACTGTCGTGGAATTTTATTTTATTTTTTTTCATAAGGAATAAATGAAAATAACATTGAAAACTGTCCAACATTGTTGTGATGTAAGTGTGATAAATTTCGTTGATGCTTCGCACAGTTTGACAAAGAGAGAAATCAAGTTTTTTCTGAATTACGTGATGAAATTTACTCGGTTTTGTTTTTCTCATTAAAACTAAAAGAAATCATACTTTGTAGATATTTTGTTTGTGACGATAGCAGACATGAAGTCATTTGCTTCGTTAAATTATCTAATGACAAAAAAAAAGCAGCATGTCAATATTTATAAAGTCCAAAGCTAAACAATTGAAAATTTGTTATTTTAATTTCATCAAAAGCAAGTCAAAAGATGAAAGCTTGACTTAAGAACATTTTGTGATGGGAATTGCGTCGGCCAAAATTTTTATTGTTTATTGAAAAAGTAGCGGAAAATATTTAATANTTAGACAAAACTTTTAAAAGTCTGGGGTGGCCACAAAGAAAACAAAGCAAAGCAGACGCTAATTTACGAGTTGAAGGACGTCGCATGACAAAACTGCCGACTACCATACAAAGTGTGCTGGAAATTTTTTTCGGAAAATGCTATGCTAATGGCACCCGATTTTAACATGTTTATAAACCCCCGAAGAGCTGGTTTAACCGCATGAGAAAATTAGATTTGGAAATTCGATTAACATTTCGTGAGAAATGCTTTTCAGCCTAGCGGAAGAGTTTCCATCAAAATGTGTTTTTATGATTTCGTGTATAAAAAAAATATATTTAAATACATTTGCTTTCGGGTTTGACAAAAGAATGAGAAATTGAGAACATCAAAGTTGAAGAAATAAAACACGAAGAGCCGAGTTGTTCTACTGCAGATTCCTTAATATTTTATTGTACTTATAAATCTTGATGTAAGTTAAGCATTTACGATACTGACTTAAATATGAAGTAATTGAATGGAACTTATGTAATTAAGTATTTTTTATGAGTAGATCTTACTCACCATGATCACGGGAAAATTGATTGAGATCAGACACAATAAAGAGAAAATTAATTATTTTCCTTCCATTCGGTTTTATGGCACATTAAGATTCAATATTGATTTTAGTTTAAGTTGCTTAATTGACTCAAAAACCTCAGAGCTACTCGTAATAAAAGAAATAAAAAAAAATCATATTGAAAGAGAATTTGTGTTTTCCTTGTTTATGTTTATGCTCAAAGCTCAATGGGCTTTTTTTTTATTTACTTTACTGGCAAAAATTATGTTTGTATCAATCTTCTTTTTCATGTTCTATCAAAGATAATTGTTAATCAAATATACATCGAACAACTAGGTAGGTAAGATGAAGATGAAATCTTTTTTGGAACACCTCGAAAAATCTTAATTTGGCAACAAATGGAAGCAGTCTACATGTGGTTGATGGTTGAATATCTTATATATCTGATTCTTAGATATTTTCATTTCACCATCTGGTGTTATGCAGTTTGAACTTATTGTTACAGACATTACAAAATAGTATCTAAGTAATCAATGCATTGTTACATTAGAAATCTACTCAAAAGCATTGCTACTGAATGGACATTTCATGAACTTCAACTTTAAAGTTTAAAGTTGAAATATATTTTAATTTATTTGTTAGAATTCTTCAGGAAGATATTTTTCACTTTTTATAATATTTATTTACCACACTCGGAGAAAAGATCGCTGAAAAATTAATAATTTATTTATTTTAATATTTCATTTTTATTAGCTGTTGATATAAGAAAACAAAAAATTCTACTAAACGCGTTTCGCTACGGATCATAAACAGGTAAACTCAATAATTCTTTTCTGTTCTTTCAGAGGATGTTGTAAAACGTATAACATGAATATTATTCTCATCACCAAATCAAAATCCCTTTCACCCCCGCTGAGATCATAAAGTGCCGGAACGCCGTGCCGCACTCACTTCAACAAAAGATTAAAACTGAAGAAAGCCCCCAATCAAATAAATTTCATTAATGGTTAATGAATCTTTCTCAATGGTCTCATAAGACATAACTTGAGTCTTACATTATATTTCTTATGAAACCAAATTAACTTCAAACAAGAACCAGAGACAGTGAAAACGAAAACGTTCACCAAACATTCATCAAAATATGAAAATTAACTCTTAAAGATATTCCTCATATTTTACTACACAATCTCTTTATCTTCCACTTGTGGAATGAAATCCATAAATGAATGTAAAACATGTAATGATGTGACACAAACAGAATTAAAAATCAATAACATATCCTTTAATTGTACACTTTCGGAATTTAATATGATAATTTCAGTCTAACCAACGCACCTTAATTTATAGTTTTTTGAAACGAATAGAAAATTCTTTCATTCATTCATTTCTTTAACTACTATTTCTAGATAGATTGGTAACAAATTATAATTAAATGATGTCAATTTTGAGTTGAGCACCATAAGGGGATTAATGATATGGAAAATGCTTTAATAACTACATTATGATTGCTTAAAATCTGTGAAATAACTGGTTATGGCGTTTGAAATGACATTATTAGTTAGGCGAAGTCTTAAATACTATCATCAAATGATGTTTTTATCGATTTTATAAGTTGGAAATATTGGATAGTAATCAAATATCAACAGGAGACACAGATAATTGTTTTTATTCTTTTAAAGCCATTGAATTTAATTATTTTATATAAATATCTCATCATTTGCTTCTTCAGTAACGCACAATTTCCAACACGCTACCTTCGAGCTGTAATTTAACTTCTTACTTGCATGAAAAAAACAAAATAATAATTCAAAGTTAAATCTTCTCCATTTCCTTAACATTTGTAACTTTTTGACTAAAGCGTCAGATCATCGACAAATACATCTAATGAACAATAAGAATCACAAAACTTTTTCTACTTCAGATTGATCGAAACTCAACAAAGTGAAGAATATTTTATTTCCAGTTGTCAGAGTCTTTCGAAAATTGAAATAAAAAAAATTGTTGAAGAGGAACATGAACATGAAAAGTTCTCATTTTTGTAGCTTTAGCCCTCGGCAATTGTTGGGAATAAATATTTTTTTCATGCTTTCGTTTATGGAATAAAAAGTGAGCAGTAAACATAAAAATAATGATACAAAATATGAATAACAAAAAAGATACTTCGCAGCCTCTAAAAGTGGCTTCTTGAAAATATCAGCCTTCGTTCTAGATTTTGTTTTATTTTTGCTTCTTATTTATTGCTTCAAGTGAGCGCAAAGTTTCTTTTCGTTGGGATTTGAGAATAATTAATGATAGCACCAGTTAGAAAAAAATTACCAAAATATTCAAGTTTTGTTTCTACGTTAACTCTTCGTTTCACTTAATGGGACACTTTCAAGTTTTTTATGAAAAATGTGGTGTTGTTGTAGACTGATTCGTTCTAGCTTCGCATTTAATGGAACCACGCCGCAACACAATGAAAGAAAGTTTCTATTTTTTATGATTTGTTTTTGAGCTTGAAACAATCTTCTAATCATCATGAGTTATGATGATGAGCACCCGAAACATTTCTTTTTCGCATGTGTCTGCTCACAAATTATCCAAGCATTCATTCATTCATTCATTCTTTCATTCATCATCGCTTCAATAATTCTTCCCTGTAAACATTTACAACTATTTATATTTGACGGAATTTGTCACGGTTGAAGGGAAAAGCCGAAAAGTTTTCACCTCAAATAGAAACAAAAAAATTGAGCATCAAGAACCGTAAAGCGACAAAATCATGAATTTTAATATTTTTTTTTGTGTGTCATCGTTAAAGATTGTCGCTTTTGGCGATGGTCATGAGATTAAGTTTGCTGGCATTTGAACTTATCAGTGAACTTAACATTCTGCTGGTTGCAATAATCAACTTGATATCTTAAAAGAAACACCTCACGATTCAACTTATTTCTCGATTAATCGTAACTGTTGCTCCTGCTTTCGTACTTCATAATAAAATTATTGTTGAACACAGAACTATTCATTAAATTACATACCGCAAGTGTGCTTCGTACTAATCATTGCGACTACACATAAATAATTATTAAAAATGGAACAGTCTGAATAGATCGACCTAAGATCGTAGAAAAAATCTTTTTTTTTATCCGTTCACTAACGTTTGGCTTTAGGATCAAGAGCACCGCGAGATTAATTAGATATTTCTCTGATTTCTGTTGGCACAGTAAGCGCAGTGAGTAAAGCCTTTTTATGAATGAAGGAAAGAACCGCGAAAAAAATGCTTAATTAGTTGAAGCGTCTCCCTACAGGCGCCTTCGTCAGGTTGAACGTGGAAGGAAAGAAGAATAATCAACAGCGAATGAAACATAAAACTACCTGACACTCTCAGAGCGCTGCATGAAGTTTCGCTTTTATGCAAATATTCTTTCTCGGGCACACTTCCCTGGTGAGATTCAAAGAATAAATTCATTCGAGAAACAATTTCCTGAAGTTAACATTTCCCATAAATTATTTTGTGTCTTTCTCTGCTTTTTTTCTCTTCTTCTTGCTGATTGTAGACACAACAAAACATTACTGACAATTCAACATGAATAAAACTTCTCACAATTATTTCATGACGGTAACTAGAGATGCGCATTTACTTGATTATCATGTAACAAGCTTCTTACGCATAACTTCATAGATAAAGTCAAACAAGAATGTAATCGCTTATAATGACATTCATTTGATGTCACGTCACGTTAAGGAATCAAAATATTTTATATTTTGATTTAATGTCCATCATATTTCGTTGTAACTTGTAGTGTCATTTTTGGTAAACATAACAATATGATGAAACACCAAATGTGTCAAGGAATGACAATAAATGTCTTGAAAATGTCGCAAAACGTTGATATTTTTCACAACGCCTTCAACATTGTTGCAAAGTCGTCTCAAGATTTCCCATGAAATTTGAAATCGGATAAAAAAAAAGATTCTCACCCTACGATTGTCATTTAAAATGATGATCAGTTGACTTTTTTTCGTTCCTTAATATTATTCTTCCATTTATCCCTTGCAAGTCGCAATAAGTTGATTACAGAACATGATGTTTTCCAGTCACTTCATCTATTGTTAGAAGTCATCAGGCAGAAAAATAAAATAAAAAAGAAAAAGCAAAGTTAACACCAACCATTTAAATCAAAATAAGTGAGTAAATAAAGAAGCTCATTCAAAGAGTATTTGATAGGAGGCAGAAAGCAACAACAGCAACAACCGGAAACTCATTTTTTGTCTTACAGCTTCCATTAGATTTCATTGTGATGGAGAAGAAGATGATGATGATGATTGGTTTCTATTTGAAAGCAAAGGAATGGCTTTAGATCTTCTTCTTCATTATTCCCAATGCCTTCTGTCATCACTGAGATTCTTAAACAGCGATAAAAATGTCGTCTCGTCGGTACTCGTCCACCAGACAACAATTCTCTAACATCATCCAATTGAATTTTTATAGATGGTTCCATTTTGATATTAAATGAGAATGAAGAACGAAAAAAATCTTATTCTCCATTCATTTGTGGTTGCTTACATTCAACAGGTCTTCTCGTCAGTAAGATACAATCTCATGGCTTCAGTCTTACGTAAAAATTATTGAATAGTGTCTGCAGTGACGTTGTCGAAAAGAAAAAATGTTTCATTCGTCGCGATTAAATGTTAAACATCATTTAAAATAATTATTTTTAAATTCGAATAGGCGCAGAGTTTACTCTAGAAAACCCGCAAATCTTTTATTTTATCTTACGATTCATTCGATTAAATTTGTTTTTGTCTTTTAAATCGCTAAAGGTCTTGCCACAACAAGAATGTGTTTATCAAATCTTTCCTTATAATCAAACATGACAAACCTCCAATAATTATTAACGAATAAGAGTTGAATATGAAAAACTAACGAAGCAGAATAAATAAAAATAGAATAAAATAAAGCAACGGATGGAAATTCAAGTGGCAAATGAATATTTTCAAACAATGGAACCTCAGACGGTAGAGACAAGACAGACACGAAAGAAACAGAAGAGTGAAGAAGAACGAACGAACATCTCAACTCCTTACAGCTTACACATATCTTGTTGATGTATCTTTATTGATGATGATGTGATTTTCACAAGGCACTCAATCGAACAATGGAGAGTCCATCAAATGCTACAGAGAAAACCTTAAGAGGCTGAGAAAAGAATCAATCCCCAACTTAAGTAGCTAAAATTAATTTTTATATGTAAGTAAACAGGCATCTTAGAATTTAATCTCTTGAGCAAACAAACTTTTTCTCCTTCTTTTTAAAGGTAGAAGTTTCTTAAGAATCAATGAGGTTTCAGCTGAACGATGACACTTCCAAGATCTTTTCTTTTTTCTTTCCATTTTTATATTTTAGTGAAATGAAGTCGAATAGTGAGAGAAAAGAAATGCTTAAAGATTTGACACCTCTCGAGATTTGCAGGAATCTGATGATGAAAATACAATTGACTTTGACGCCACTTTATTACGTGCTTCTTCTCGCTTCTTCGAGACATCGCTGGAATTTCTTTCAAGAAAATATAAATGGAGAGAAATATTCCAAATATGCACTGAAGATGAAGAGACTTCATCGATGTTATGAAATATATTTTTTAAGTGTAATAGAAAAGTTTTTGTTAGGCCTCGACCGGCGCCTGATGGGTTGTTAATGGGTTGGAATATTCACTTACGTTATGATTCCACGAAAGACGCTTGAAAAGAAATAAAAAAAATCGTTTCACTAATTTAATAATAATTCTTTGATCTTAATTATATTTTTACATCGATTTCAGAAGCATTTTTCGTGTTGGCTACTGTTTAAATCATTCGTCTCGAGACTTGTCTCGATATGAATCAATTTTCGTCTGACGTTTGCCTCCCGCTCTCGTCATGTTCAATGTTCAACATATTTTGGCAAAGGAAAGTTCCCCAAACGTGTCCACCCATTTTAATATTCCAACAGTCGTCTACTTAGTCAGCAGTAATAAAACTCGAATCAAACACTTCTTCCAAGAAATCATGAAATATGACGAGGCAATTGCAGAAGCGAATATCAAACGCTTCTTTGTTAGTTTCTCGCGCTCGACTTTCGGAAAAACTCTTTTTATTTACAAATATTTTTTTTCCTTCGCTTCTCAAAGATGGTACAATTAATTTCGATGATTGTTCAATTTTACATTTCATGTGTTGCCCACTTAACTAACTTTTGGTTCCAGGCACATTACTCCTGGCACTCAAGAACTTTTTTTCTCTTTTTTATTCATTTCGCTTAAAAGATTTTCGATGTAACATTTTGTTTATCATGGTTTATGGGAAGATCGGCAAAAAAAAAGTTAAGTTGAGTTTACCTAAGTTAAGTCTTCATGTTAAAAATGCTTCTGTAAAAATCAATTCGAAAAATTTGCTTATTCACTTCATCGTCATTAATCTTGATATTTTCTATACTTCTTCATTCATTTGTTTGCACAGCCCTTCAACTTAAACACAAGACATGATGCCAGTTGGGAGAGAAAATTAATTTTCAATTTTTCGATGTTGTGTTAATCCACTTAATACGACTTAATAGCTCAATTATAACCATTGGATGGTTGTGTAAGTAAAGATGAAGAAGAAGAAAGAAAAAAAAATCAAAAGTCATCGAAAAGTCATTTGTCATACAACAAAGTGTGTCTCGATCTTCTTCACTCTCAGCATGAGAGTCATCAGGTGACTCTTGTACATAATCATCATGCATCGTCTATTGTTTATTTATGTTGTAACCAGTAAAAATGTTTGCTGTTAAAAAGCCATAAAACTCATTCAAGTATTTATCAATATTTATGATTTCTCTTAACTTCTTTATTGTGCTTGCTTGCTACTGGTTTTTGGTGAACACTCGCCACTCGTCTCTCGCGAAGCATTAAAGGCACCAAAGATACTGCTTAATTACGTAATAAAATCTTTATTTAACGATCGCTCGAAACTTTTTCTTTCTTCGCGTGGATTTAGAATTCACCGATTGACTTTAAGATCTAACGATCGATATTAATGATCTTCTTCAGGTGGTTTTATTTATAGTTTTTTTTAGCAGACGTAAACTAAAGGTCATTAATAATATCGTCATAAAACCTCTTAAAAAAAGCTTTGCATTTGCGTAACAGTAACACAAAGGATGGCTTCGATCTTGAAGAAGGGATTTTCTCTCTTTCAGTTTATGAATATTCGCGCTTTAAATGAACAGAACATGAAGAGAGTTGATGGTTGCTTCTTCGCTTCTGCATCTCATTATCTTGAAAACTTAGAATGTCTTGAAGCATTCATGTTGTTGCTGCTGCTGCATCTTCGTTTCATTATCGTAACCGTTCATCTTTATTTAGCGAGAACTTGTTACAAACATACATATTTAACATAAAAATATCAGCAATAAGTTGCTACTTCCTTGTGGTGGAAGCTGGAAAAGATCGTCTCGTAACTTGTTAACTTGCAGTGTAAAGTAAAGAAAACACCAATTAAACTACATAAGAAATAGTTTCAAACAGAGACAGAATGATCAGCAGACTTAAAACAACTTTGAATCATCATAAAACGATTAACCGAACTGCAATTATGTTAATTAGTTCGTGTTGTGCAAAAAAAGATGATTTCTTACTAAGAAAAGCTGCCGTGTTTATTTGGGGTCTTGAAGAGATGTTTGAAGATGTTAGAAAACGGAACTTTGTTGCTTTCATAAAAACAACACAGAAATTAAAATTAGGATGCAGAAATAAAAATTTATGTTCGTTAAGACTTGCAGTTTCGTTTTTGTGCAAAAGATGAAGCTTTGATTGTCCTAGAGAGACGTTGAATAAAATGTAACAAAAGAATAAAAATATAAAAAAAGGCCGGGAAATCAGAACCATCAAATAATGGATGGCAGAGCATCAAGAAATAAAAGAATAATTTTGCTTAAGGGCTTTTATAGTTGCTCGACAGCGAGTTACGGCGCCAAACAGATCCGACAAAATTTTTCTCTTTTCTTTCTTTTCAGGGCGGTAACAGAAGAAAAAAAACTTTTTATTTTATTTTGTTGTTCACATTTAGATTCGTGGTTTTTCTTGCGTGTTGTGTTTTAAAGAAATTATGAAGACTTGTAAAATCAATAGATAAATAAGACACTGAAGTTTTCTATTTCTTCTTATTTCATTTCATTTCAATTCTTTGAAATGAACGCGAACGGTTCATTCTCAATTCGTCGGCGATTCTCTAAATCATTACGGAAAAATTCCTCCCAATTCATTAAAAAGTCTTCTAGGTTTAAGCGAGTAATTAATATTGGACCTTCGCTGTTATGAAATATCATTTTTACTAGGCGAACATTCATCATAATTTATGGTTATCCCAATTTTGTTCCACTGTGGAAGGCATGAAATTTAGAATGAAGTGTAATAAACGCTTCGTGTCTGGAACTTCTAGGCAGCAGCAAAAGCATCAGCAGCAGCTGAATGAAACGTTAAAAGTCAATAATTAATGCCAGAGTTGAAAGCCTCGAAACTCAAGTTCATCAAGTTCAGAAGTCATTAAACTTTATTGTTTAATATTTGGTCATTGGCACTTCAACAATTGTTGATCGAGTAAAAATATCCTTAAATAATTATGACATGTAAAACATCAATGTCAACACATTTTATTCTCATTAACAATCAAAAAGTTTTGTTATCATAATTGCTCAAGTTTGACTTACAAAGTGTCAATCAACTGTTTATTTTCAATTCTTTATTTGATAATTGCCAATAAATCATTTCAACTTTACACAAATTGTTTTGTTTTTGGAAATAAACAGAAAGGAAAAAGAAACTTTCATGGGTCAACGCATTGTAAAACAAAAATTATTTATAATAATGAAAGAAAAGCTCATCCATAAATTTCTCCTTCTCTCTCTCTATCCATCTCCATCTCTGTTTCTCGCAGTCGACCTTGTCGACTATTAAATCTAATTACAGATTATTTCGTCTTGTTTACTCGAAATAAAATCAACTGAAGCGAGAGTGGCCATAAAATCATCATACAACACACAAACCAACATTCACCTCATCAATTACAATGCAAAGTGCTTTTTTTTCTGGTTTACCTTTTGAAAAGAAGAAAATTATCAACAATTTTCCCATTATTGTTAATTACAATATTTCTTACCCCAACGCTTATTTTCAAGTGCAAAAATCCTCCTTCAAACAATCACATAATTGGATTGCCAGCAATTTTCAAGACGATGATGGAACTTGAAACTGCAAAATGTCTCCGTAATTCTATTATTTACTTAAATATTTACTTTTCTCCAATTTCTCTTACACAATTGCACAACCAACGACTGGAGTTGATTTCATGAATGAATCACAAAAATTATTTCTTTTTTCTTTCTTTTCCATAATTTCACTAAGAATGAAGAAAAAGTTTAAAAGTGACTCCCATGGAAGCACATGGCAATGGGCTCGATCCATGACGCTTCATATTAAACATTCAATTATCGTAATTATTGTAAAATGGTTTTCTTTAAGGCATCTTGATTTATTTTTCTTTTACATTTCAGATTTCATTGAGAGAAACATTTTTTTCCTGACATCTAATGGGTCGTTTTTTTGAATTCGATCCCATTTATTAGCTCGTCGTCTTTCCATCTCACTCGATTTCATTCATACAACATAAATTCATTGTGATTTCTTTGATTCTAATTTCCTTGACCTTTCTATCTATTTCATTCATAAAATTCTTTTGATTTCTACTTTTTTTATTCTTTTAACTGACAAATGAAAGTCACGAGATGATGAGATTGGTGTTTTGAGAATATATTCTGACATTATCGAAAATTAGAGATCTTTAGAGGAAATGACGAGGCTCCATGGCAGTGAAAGAAAGGCAAATTTGATTTAGGAAACTTTTTTTCTTGATAGTATCAATCATAAGCAATGTAGAAGTTGGCTGAACAATCAGCAGATCATTTTCATACAAATCCAGTACAAATATAAACTCAATTCACATTCTTTTAGCTAAACATTTCAAAGTCTATTTATGCCAACCTTTAATTCTTCAAATCTTTCTCTTCTCTTTTTTATTTTTATTTTTTTTTTCTAGTCTATCTGCCACTTGAATAGCCTGGCGCCAGCTTAGCGGCTTTAAATCTTTTCATCTTTTCACTCCCCCATCCTTTCCACTCGTGATACACTTAAGTATATGTTAATCGCATTAAAGGAAGAAAGCTCATCAGCAGAAAATATTTGAGCAGGGTTGTAGGCATGTAAATAACGATTTAAATTGAAAAACATTCCTAAGCACAGCTGATGTTAATCTCAGCAAAGATTTCAATGTTTAACATTTTCTTTAATCAATTATTTCGGTAATAAATTCACATTGGTAGTATAATCGTTAATCCACGTGTAAGTAACAAATATCAAACACCATCTCTGTCTTTAATGAAGAATGATGAAAGGCCATCAAGATTGAAATCATTTGAAAAAGAAGAAAATAAAACAAGACTTTGCCAACATCTTTTCAACCCGTCTTATGTTGTTCGACAAAGAAATATTAAAAATGACCTGAAATTCATCAAATCGTAAAGCGCAAGTTCAATCAACAAAAAAAAATGAAAGGAATGAAACTTCTGCTGCTAATGATTTTGTTCAAAAGAATAAAAACGAAATGAAAGCTTCGATAAGAATGAACATTCATCTTCATATTAACCAGCTCAGAGGCTACCTTTGGGTCGCTTAACAGACATACAAACTGAATTATTATTTTATTGTAATAACTTTCCTCTCATTCCGACATTTTTTTGATATTTTGTATTCCATATAAAAGTTTAGTTTGATCTCGCGCGTAACTTTTACGTGTAAGATCTTCACAGCATCAAATGATTATCGTCATTAAGAATTCTTTCTCATTTTTCGGCAATTAAAGACCTCTGAGGAGAAGAATAAAATTATTAACCGGAAACAAAGCTAAAACACACAGAACTATTCCAAAAATAATAATAAAAAAAACTCTTCGTTGCCGGCTTTGAAGCAACCCATAATTAACTGCTGAGATTTTTTTTACTTTTTCTCGGGAGTCTTCTGTGATCTCTCGTGGATCTCCAACAAATCTAAATGATGATCCCCATGAATCGGATGTTTGATGGATGCTCTATGTCATCGTAATAATAATTCATATGAAATATTGAAGTAAAAACGAAGCGGACAATTCTCAGAAAGGAATTGAAACTTGCTACTGATTGAAGAGCAATGTGGTAATTGAGACAATGGCAAGTGAGTGGTCTCAGACATGAATCATGACGGTGTTTTGTGCTTCTGGCTTGTACGTAAATAATTATCTTACTTTTTGGCACAAAGACGATTTCATGCCTTCACCGAATATTTTTTTCTTATACTTTAATTTGGAAACTTGACTCACTGCTGCGTGTTTAAGAACATCATGATAGTCGTCGCGTTTTCTTCTGATTTGCTGTTGACTGTCGTGATCTCAAGGTTTAGGTAGCGAGCAACGAGTTGCACGAAAAGGTTTTTCCGACAAAATATCTTCAAATAATAATTTGATGAGTGAAAAATTCAGCTGCAGATCGATGAAGTTTTCTCTCGAAATTTTAATGAGATCCAGTGGAACTTTCGAGTTGGTGAATTTTCAAATTTTTCTGTCAAACTCCCACATCGGTCAAGCTTTAAGCAAAACTTTCTCATATCAAAAAAGTCAAATATTTATTTATGTTTTCTTTAAGATCTAACAAGTTGTTTCATACAATAAAATTAAATACATTTTCAGTCTTTTGGAACCGACGTGCTTTGCGTGATTGGAAATAATTTTCGTTCAACAATTCAGACAAAAACAGAAGAGAAAAAAAAACTTAAAATTATTTTCAGACTTTTATTTTTATGAAACAATAAAAAAATAAAAACTTCAACACAAATAAGAAATGCACAATTGCGTTTTCCTTTGTTGATTGCTAGAGTTGAGCTATGAAATTTCTTTTTTATATTTTTTTAATTCAACATCAGAACTTCAGCAGGCTGCTCTTGATATGATTTAATATTACGTGGAGATAGACAGAAATTGTTCCAAGACAAAAGGATCAAAAAGACTTCTCGACCACAGAATTTCTTTCTTTTTTCTCCTTCACATTATCACTCGTCTCACAGATCAATCAATGTCTAACGGTCGTCAAAGGAATACAAGGAAATTAACGACTTAAATGTCTTTGAGATGCATTGCGATGGTCGGCATTGAAAATAGAAAAAAATAACAAAAATCCCTTAAACTTTAGAGTAGTGTAGGCTAGCGCCAGGCTGGTTCATTCTTTTCTTCTTTTGTCTGATAACTTTTCACTTCACCTTCATCAATAGACAGAATCTTCTTCTGACAAATGAAATGTTATACAAAACGGAACAAGTTTTATACCAATTAAGATCATTTTTTTCCTCTCTCTCATGTATGAAATACAAATTGCAATATTTCGTGTTCTGGTTTTGTTCATGTTTATCATGAAAAAATCTTGCGAAACCATCAAAGGAAGGGATGAACAAATGGGTAAACCAACAGGTAAATTACGGTCGATATTTCGGTATTTTCTTCTTTTCTATACTCATCAATCTATTAACGTCATTAATTCATAGCAAAGCTTTTCTCTACTCCGACATCAATCATATCGCAAGTTTGTGATCTACTTTTGCACAAACAATCACCCGCTCTGTTTATAAGTATCGATTTAATACTTGTGATGGCCAACAAATGATAAGCAACGAGAGCCTCGCTTCGATTTTGATCATTTACAAAGATTTGAATTCTTTTTTTACAGCAATGTCATGTAAAATTAGTTTTGCTTCCGACGATAAGACGAAATGAATGAATCATCAATTTCATTAAGCAATTACCTCTTATTCACACTGCATATTGCAATTGCCCATCTGAGACAACACAACCAAATATAAATATTGAAATGTATTCATTAAAACACTTTTGCTTTCATCCCCAACCTTCTCAGCCGTAAAATTTGGACACATTAAATTTTATCGAGCTAAATATTTACGGTAATAAATTTAAATGGATTGCGTTTTAAAAGAACAAGTAAGAGTTGAGCAAAAATGAAAATAAATAAGAAGGCAAGGCAGTTAAAAGGGAAGAGAGAAATGGTTTTTCAATTTCATTTCTTACACCATCAAGACGCAACGGGTGGTTGGATCTTCTTTAATCTTTATTGTGTATTCTGTGCTTGAAGTGTTGCTTCACGCACAACCACCCAAAGAGATCTTTTATTACCTTGACATCCAGAACATTTCATAAATGTGATGCTTTTCGGTCAGTTCGGGTCTTCTTATTCATTGGCTTTGAATTTTATTGTCATAAATGTCCTCCTCTCTTTTAAATGTGACGTTTTATATCCCAAATCAATCAAAATTTTGCTGTCAACAGTAACAAAGACGAGAAGATGGGAAGAAAGTGCATTGTTACAGGTCAAGGGCTATGTAACTGAAATCCGCTTATGTTTCGATACATTTAAGTTCACAAACATTGCCAATTTACAAATGAAAAGCTTGTGTCACATTTCATTTTCACATACCTGACCGAAGATGAATAAAAATTGTTTTTACTTTTTACTTTACACGTCAACAGACTTTTTCATGAACAAAAAGATTACAAACGAAAACATTTTAGATGATTTTGCATTAAACAATCGTCCTGAACCCTCTCGACTTCTATTTTATTTTATTTTTGTTAATCCGATTAAGTGTAAGTAGAATATTGTGATGAAGATGAGTATGAGAACACAATGACAACAATGGAATCGTTTTGGCTAATTTTTGGACGTGATTTTTTCAGTGTGAATCATGGGAAAGCATTTTTTCCCTTTTAAATGCTTATGGTGTTTATGTTAATAAATATTAAATAATATATGTTAAGGTTCATTCATTTTGTTCTGAGATGTGAAGGTTAATTAGTGAAGTAATCATCATGGAATTATTTTTCCCGGAAATCTATCTGAATATAAATTTTCCTTGAATATAAAATTCGCCAAACGAAGCAATGAAAACATACACAACAGAATGCAACACGAAAACCTGTTTTGATGAATGCCATTTTTGTTTTGTTGCAAGTGTTCAAGCCATTTTCAACTTGAGAACAGCCAGTGCACGTGAAGCAACTCGAGAAATATGCAAATTGTATAGTTTTCCATCATCGTGTTTCTCTCTTTCTCGTTTTATTCGCAAAACCATGTTATTTGCATAAATTCACTTTCAATAGCTATAAAATAGAGTCTGCCGACTGTTGTAGGAGAAAATTGAAGTCAGGTTAAGCCCAGAGGTTTGTGATGAACGAAAGATTTTAGTGGAATGTAGAAAAGTGCGAAGAATCGAATAATTGCTTTGGGAAAAGAAATAAAACAATTGTCGGGAGTTTTGTAACCCCTTAGAGAGCTAATCATAAGTGGATTCTTTTTCTTTCTTCCACCTAAAGCTCAACTTTTTTTTCCCTTCTTAACATCATAATTTTCTTGGAAGAAATCAAACTTCAGTCTTCATATAATGAACGTCTTCGAGTGAGTCTTCTACACATCTAAATATTTAAATAATTACTCGCTGAATAATAAATAAGCATCGCAAAACTTGTAATTACAAACAAGTTTATCAGCTCATCATGTTTACAGAAATTACAATCAAATTATTGCGTAAGTTGAATCGAAGTCACGTTAATAAAAAAAATTATTGAAAGGTCCAAATTGAAATCTTTTTCATTGTCAAGTTCGCGCTCCGACATTTTTCAAATTTCCACAATCGATCAGAATCTTTCTGATCGTCACAAATCTTATAAGATTTATTTTAACACAGCATCAAAACGGTTAAGAAGGAGAGAGAAACCATAAAACAACCAATCGTCATTCACACTGCCATAGCATTTTCAATTCGAACACACCCATTTTTGAGTTTACTGCTTTGTTGATTGAGGCAACGAATGAATATGTGAAGGGAACGAAATTTTTCATCAGAGATCATCAGGAAATGAAAATTTGTTAGTGACATTTGAACTTGCAGGTTGTGATCGAATATTTCAATCAATTTTATTTAATTCCTTTATTGTTTCAGATATCTACAGAAATATTTTCCATTAACAATTCATGTTCAGTCTTAAATGATTTATTCGTTAAATAAGCAACAAGAATCATTTAAATTAAAGAACTTTTCGCCCACTGTTCAACTTCTGTTGGAAGATTTTGATACTTATGAACAGCATCATCGATTTGTGAAGCAAAAATAAGTGATTTGTACATTTGATATTCTTTCTGAACTTTTCCTTCGATTCCAACTGGAGCAATGAGTTCGAGATGACGAAGGTTCTCAAAACATCGTAGAATTGTTTCACGGGAAATATTTTGCATCGACGTGCTTTTAACTGAGAATTTATCAAAGCGTGTAAAAATAATTTCGAAGTTGAATGGATCATTGTCGTAAATGTCACAATGATGTTTGATGGCGATAAGTAGACAAACTTCAAGAACTGAAAGTCCTGTTATTAACGTAACTTTATCATCTTCCTTGACGCGTTCAATGAGTTTTATCAAATCAGAAGATCTAAGTTTCTCGTAATTGCAAATTGAAAGTTTGGAAATGAATTGAAACATGAGAAGTTTCAGAGATGCTATTGAGGAATCGAAATGAAAGAAACTTTCCAAGCTTTTCACCATTTTCTCGTCTCCACAAAGTTTTTTGATGGATTTGTTCCATTCAGTTATCGAATTCTTGTGGAAATTGAAAGATGTTGGATCAAAAATTCTTCTTAAAAACGGAAGTTTCGTGACATTTGTTTCACTAAATTCCAATGACATCTTTTGGCTTTTCCATTCATCAAACTCATATGGTTTTGGAAGTTTCAAGAGCTTTTTAAAGATCTCAAGATAATCATTAAAGTTGTTTTCTTGAAGTAAAAATATCTGACGATGAGAAAATCTCGACTTTACACGTTTCTCAAGCAATTCCATCACATCGAGACGTTGTGTCAGTCCAAGGACACAAATTGGAGTTTGAGCTGATTGTGCAACATCAAATAAATTATAAAGAAGTGTTTGATTGTGATGAGCGCAAAATAAATCGAATTCTTCAATTATGAAAATTAATCCTTGATTTTTAGCGCCTTATAATGAAAATTCAATAAATAAAATTAAAATTTAAGCGACTTTCATTCTCACAAATAACAAACCTTTTTTAAGACAAGATAAAAGAAACGAAAGGTTTTCAGAAAATGAATTAAAAACTTTTCCTTCCACTTCCCTGTTCAGATTCATTTGTGATGTGATGGATTTGAGAGCTGAACGATCATCAATGTGGACAAGACCATTTAATGAAATTATAGAAGTGTTGGTGACGAAACTTTCTCTCTGCAGCAATCTTAGGATTGCAGAGTTCACAAGCTAAAAGGTATTGAGGGTCTTATTAGTAATTCATGGCAGTTTTAATTAACTTACCGTAGTTTTCCCACATTTCCTTGGTCCAACTAAGAGAGCTGAATTGCTTTCGCCGTTAGCTGCTCTTGCTAACAAATCTATAACCTGATTTCGTTCATTTTCATACCCATATAGTGTTGTAGTGTCTTGTTGTAATCTCTCCTTTAGGAACTTCCTGATATTTTCAATATTCTTCATTTCTTTAATGTTTATTTACTTAGAATTTTAAGCGCAAAAATATTCGCTCTCAATTCGCTTCTTACCGGACCAATTCGCCGTAACAAAAAAAGTGACCGAAAATAAGCAAATTGAAGATTTATCTTCAGTCAAACTTCATTTTCTTTGTTTTTATATATAAAAAGTTGATTGGTGGTACCTGTAATACCTCTATTTAATTTTGAATCAATAAAATTGTAAGCAGATTTCATTTAAATTTGTTAATTTCATTTAAAAATCAAGAAAAATTGAATTGTTTATGATTGTTGTTGTTATTTCTTTTGTTTGTTTTATTGGTGCTTTGCCTTCAAATAGAAACAAAATTTACGGTAATCTTTTATTTTAGAATGTAAGAAAACATGCCACCTCCACCAAGACCTCGTGCTTCAATTTCTGGACGTCCAAGTGCTCCTGCTCCAATGAGCGAACGACAACAGATGGCTTTGTTGATGCAAATGACATCTTCCAGTGAAGCTGGTAAATGAAAATAAATCTCCTTGCGACAAATATTTTAACAAACTCTTTCTTTAGAATTGAGCCCAAACAGTCAAAGTGGAAAACCAAAAGATAGAAACGAACGTGGTGAAACTGGTTTGCATATTTGCGCCAAAAAAGGCGACCTTGATGGAGCGAAGAAGCTGTTAGAGCAAGGAACAAATCCAAATGTGACAGATTTTGCTGGTAAAATGAAACAACTTTCATTATTTTTACCAAAAATTAATTTCTTTTGACTGTTTTAGGCTGGACGCCACTTCATGAAGCTGCCAATCATGGACATTATCATGTAGCTCAACTTCTCTTAAAACACGGTGCTAATGTCAATGCAACTGGACTTGATGACGTTACTCCATTACATGATGCTGCCAGTATCGGTAATCAAAAACTCGTAAAGCTTCTTATTGATAAAGGAGCTGATCCACTATTTAAGAACAAAAAAGGAAAAACTGCCCAAGATGTGGCTCATCCATCGTTAGCAAACTTCTTGAGAACAACATTAGGTAAGTTTTTAATTACCATAAAAAATTAATTAATATCTGAAAGACTAAATCGTTGCTAATCCCTTCCGTAATCTTATCATAACAACCCAAAAGTTAATATTTTCATTTCGCTCTCTTTACATATCCAGAGAGAGCTTTCAAAAGCTCGTGGGAAATTTCTCTCTCAATTTTTTGCAACTGAGATTAAAAAGAAATTTGAGAGCTTCAAAGCGAAATCTTAAAAAAAAAGAAACATAAAGAAGAAAAAGCACACATACATTTATTTATATTCACATGCAACTCTTTAGATATTCGCTCGTGTTATTCTGTTTGTTTATCTCACTGAGTCAGCCGCTACTACTTATTATCGGGCACCATATTGACAATTAAATTATTCTCTCCCAACTTCCTCTCTCGTTTTGTCCGTTCACCAAAAGAGTTTTTATTTTTGTTTTATGAAATGAAACTTTAATATGCTACAATCATTATCGCGGTACGGTGTTTTTCCATAATTTTTTTTATTTTCTGTTTCTATTGAATAAAAAATACAATTTGAAAAAAGAATAAATATAGGGAAAAAGTTTTACACATAAAAAGTACCGAAGTTTGGAGAGTTCAACGTGAAGAAGAAAAGAAAATAAGTTGTACAAAACAGAATTCTTTGTTTTCACGTTTGTGTGTCGTTTTCTCGAGCAGTACTTAACTGAAAGTAAGCGGAAGAAGAAGAAAAAGAAGAAGTCTCGGATTTTTGTTTTTATGAACTCGTCATCAGTTTCAATATGAAAGGATTAATCTAAATAGTGATGAGATTACAACGAAGGTAAAACGTGTGACATGGAAATAATTGACGTTCGTTTATTTTTAATTAATTTAAATACAAACAGCGGAAGAGGAGAAAAAAAATCCGTTAATCTCTGATAATTTCCATCCATAACGAATGCAGTCATTTGTTTTGTGTATAAAGTTCGTTGAACACGTCAAAGTGTAACAAGAAGAGAAGAAACTGGCAAAAATTGTTGTGTGAAAAATATCAGCGTACACATACAACAAACAGTCCCATCGTTAAGTGAAAAGTGTGCCGGTCGAGAAAAGGATAATCGATAATGGGGAAATGATTAAATGAAAACTAAAAGAATCATTTTGCATGAGTCGTTAGAATTGTTATTATTATTAACAACTAAACAACAGCAATTTAAATGAGTTGTTAATGTTTATCGGATTTAAACGTGGTAAATGAAATAGGATTACAAAATAATTTCTTTCAACTCATTGAACAAAATTTCTCGCGGAAATGTTTAGTCATTGAAAACAAATAATTTAAAAGAAATCAATACGAATTATTGACAATGTAAAATATTCTTTTAAAAGACAATAAATAGTGACAAACAAAAGGATTAATTGCGGTCTAATTGTCCATGAAAAATTTAACGAATCACGATTTATGTTGTTTTATCTCCCACTCACATTGCCAATAAATAAAACGAATGATGTGCGAATGAAAACAATTTTCTGTGCTTCTGTTCTGCTTTTATCGTTTTATAATCTCAACTCGATTTAATATTTTAAATCTCTTGACTAATTTATTGTATAATCTGACACTTCAAATGATTCAGAAGAACCAACATAATTGTAAAGCTTTTATATAACGTCAACAAGCAAGTAAGAAAGCAAACGGAAGAGTCGCTTAGTAAAGCGATTCGATTGTAAATGTATTTGAATGTTTACAATTAAAATAATATTCGCATTTCACCGATCATACAAAGCAGTGCCGCGACCACAAAAACACTCAACACGCCTTCAAACCGAAAAAGCCGCAAAAACGCAGTGAAGCGAAAGAAGATTTTTCATTTTTCTTTACATTTCTCTCCTTCTTTTCCTCGTGAACGAAAGATTTGATTGAAAAATTAATCAAACGTAGAAGCAGCGTAAATGTGTTTTAATTAACTTGACAATAGAGTTTAACAAGGTGAAAACAGCAATGGTGACTCACCATTGAACAGTTACGCAATCTTTGAGATTTATTTCACTTTCATGCTGAAGAAAGCTGCGTAGGAATTTATTAAGGCAGCTGGTCGTTAAGTCGAAAATGAAAGCAAAGAGAAAAGTTCCGTTCAAGGTCACTNGCAAATGACATCTTCCAGTGAAGCTGGTAAATGAAAATAAATCTCCTTGCGACAAATATTTTAACAAACTCTTTCTTTAGAATTAAGCCCAAACAGTCAAAGTGGAAAGCCAAAAGATAGAAACGAACGTGGTGAAACTGGGCTGCATATTTGCGCTAAAAAGGGCGACCTTGATGGAGCAAAAAAATTATTGGAGCAAGGAATCAATCCAAATGTGACAGATTTTGCTGGTAAAATGAAACAACTTTCTTTATTGTTACCAAAAGTTAATTTCTATTGACTGTTTTAGGCTGGACTCCACTTCATGAAGCTGCCAATCATGGACATTATCATGTAGCTCAACTTCTTCTCAAGAACGGTGCTAATGCTAATGCAACTGGACTTGATGACGTTACTCCACTACATGATGCTGCCAGTATCGGTAATCAAAAACTCGTAAAGCTTCTAATTGACAAAGGAGCTGATCCACTATTTAAGAACAAAAAAGGAAAAACTGCCCAAGATGTGGCTCATCCATCGTTGGTTAATTTATTCCGAACAACTATCGGTAAGTGAACAAGAAAGCACTTTAAAACTTCTACGACTTATTTCAAGATTCTTTTGATCATTTGTGAAGAGTTTTACAATCCCACATATCGAAATGCTTCTTAGTTCTTTCATATTCTTGAATATAAGCTCATACGAATGAACTCTCTTCTTTAACGCTCCCTCTCACAACAAGCAAGCACGAGAAAATTGTTTTTGAAATCACCAACATCACTAAATATCCGAGAACATGTACACTGTGAGCGAAAATGAAAAAAGAAAAAAAAAACAACGAAAATCTCGGCAAAGTCATAAATATTTAGTTTCAAATTTCATTCTTCTTCGATTCATTAAACTTTCCGTATATTCGCTTAAGAAATATTTTATTTTTGTTGTTTACGAGTGAAAATAACTCGACATGAACAAGTGATAATTAATGTGATGAAAAATCAAATAGAAATAAACTGAGAACGAAGAGAGAACGAAAAAAAGAAGTTTTGAACGATGACATCACATTAAATTGTACAAAGAAAGATCTGTGGAGTGTTTGAATATTATTTCAAAGTTGTCAAATCGATCGTAATTCTGTCAGTTTTCATCAAACGAAAACAGATAGCTTCGAAGATATTTTTTTTATGGAATCTCTCGTGACGTTCTAGAGACGAAAGCTGATTTGAAGGCCGAAAGATTTATGTGAGTAATGAAAAAGAAAGAAAAAGAATCTCTTGAAACTGTATACACAACGAAGAATATCTACACGAAAGAATCTCGCGAAAATTTTCACTGTTTTCTTTCACCAATTCTTTTTATTCTGTTGTTTTAACCAGCCATTTAATTTTACTTCAAACGTATGCAAAAGTGTTTATGTGTCACATTTATCGACACTTCCATCAAATGTCTTTGTAATTGTCGTGTCGTTGTCAGTAAATTCTTATTTGAAAATATATCTCTTTTCACGAAAATGATTTTCGTTGTTTGAACTGTTCTAATCTTCAAATATTCATAAGCGAAGAGCAATAACTTTTCAGTTCTTTCAACATTCTCAAGGCCACGCTAGGTGTATTCATTTTAACTGTGTAACGTGAAAAACTCTAAAGACCTGTTTTTATAAAAATATTTAATTCCTAAAGTAATTGCAATGTCGAGGCTGTTGACATCCACAAGTCATGTTTACCTACTGGGTATAATTTTTGGAAGCCAAAATTTACTTTTGTAAACGATCTTTAAACTGTAAAAAGAAATTAAAGACAAAATTAATAGTCTCAGACGCCTTTTTAAACGAGAATGATGAAGAAAAAGAGAAATCGAAATAAAGCTTTTACAATCGATGCTTCATTCATGTTTTCAACTAGATATGGAAATTGTTAAATAAATGTCTGGCATTCATCGTTTGTCGTCAATGGACAGTCATAAATGGACATTCTTTTCAATTATATATATTATTTTTTTTATCTTATTTATTCGATAAAATGACGAAAACAAATTACAACATTAACTCTCACTTTATTATGTATGTGGAGAAGCAAATTCTTTTATCGGTTTTGCATTATTGCACAATTCTCCTTAACAGTTTAAAAGCAATTTTACGAGTGTCTGATTATTGCCTTCTTATTTTAACTTTTTTGTTTTTTGCTTGCAAATCATACAATCGGCGTGCGCGTTTTGCGTACTCTCTCTCTCTTTCTCTCATTTATTCTTCTCTCTCTCTCTTTATGGAGAGCCGGCAAAGAAGAAGAAAAACTTTTTCTTCGTAAAATTTTCTGTGCGATGTTCAATCAGTTTGGTTTTCGTCTTGATTTCGGACGGATTTTCATCGAATCACGCGGTGATTTTAATCTGCTTTTCATTCATTTACTCGACATTGTATTGTTGTTATCGAAAAAATAAAATATTTCGGCAGAATAATTAAATGAGGTAATCTTGCCATTTAATTTATATATTTATACGCGATCTTAAAAGCTATAATTATTAAAATTATAAACTTCATGTTGCCATTTAAATTTCAATTAGTTGTGTGTTTAATTTTATCGTGATACAAATTCAAAAAGCGATATGAAAATGGACGAGAACAAAAAGTAGTTTTTTTCTTTTAATTTTTTTTTGCAATATGCTCGTAGAATTTTAATTATACTTTTACTCTCTTTGATGATTGTTTCTCTCTTGCATTTTGTGATGTTCCTCGTCATTTCTCGTGCTTTTTTATCAAGAGAATATGGAATAATTCGAGGAATATTGATATGAATAATTTCACCATTAAAAACGTCATAAATATGAATTTTGATAAGTTAACAAAACTTTATTTGATATTGAGATTAATGGAAGTAAGGAAAAAAAAAAGTTTGAACTCTTCACCTCGATGTTCATTAATAAAAATTTGTTTATTACTTAACCATCATTTTTCAAAATCATCGAACATTACAAAATCTTCAGAATTTTTTCTGATAGCAACAAATATGTTTAAAGAAGTAAAAAAATATAAATAATTAAGCAAGGTATCAGACATCAGATCCCTTCCTCCCATAAGCGATCAAAGTTTCAAGACCACCTGATGCACAATGACTACCTAAATATATTAATTTCGCGAAACATAATTTTACGCTAAGAAACGTTATACAAGAAGGGAGTGAGAGGGAGAGAGAAGGAAAGTAAAGAAGAAATTCCAACAGTAAATGACCTCCTCAATAGATTTAAAAGATGTTAACAGCAAACCAAAAGCTTTTTTTCGCTTGTATTCGTGAGAACTCAAAGGTTACAGAAATATTGGTGGAAAAGAAAAAAAATAAATGAAGTAAAACGATTGAAGCATTCCCGAGAAGATTTATTGTTACTTTTTTTTCATTCTCTCTTCAAGACGATGACGGTAAGGTAAATCTGAGGAAATAAAAATTATGAGATTTCACTACATAGCGGATATATGTTTATGATCAAACAGTTTAAGATGTTTTTTCTTTCTTCTTGAAATGTAAAGTAAGTAAGCTGTTAAGCTGCTTAAATATTGAGAAGAAATAAAATTTATTATTTGTCGAATATTGCTGATTCAAGAACATAATCAAACTCTCGGATTTTTATGTTTTTTTCCTTCGTCGTCATGTTGAATTTTTTATACCTTTTTTTAAAGACTCTTCAATCAAAAGTGAATTTAATTTTGCTTCTCAACGATCCAAAGAATGTCGTTTCATTAAATTAATTACAATTCTTTTTTGAATTGCATTGAATGACGATTTTTAATTTTTTCTTTAAACAGAAATGGCGAACAAACGTGATCTTCAACATCAACAACAGAATCAAAGCCAAAAGAAATCAACAAATACAGAAAATAAAAAATCAAATGAAGCTGAAGAAGGAAGCATAACTGGAGCTGGTACATCATCGACTGCACCTTCTGATATTTATGAGTTTGTGTCAACTCCAAAACCATCTTCATGCAGTTCTGGATCGGGCGATGAGAATCCCAGTAAATCGTCAGATAAATCCTCAGATGACAAAAGTGGAACTGATAGTGACACACCAACGACAAATCAGCAACAGAAAAGACCGATAAATGAACCTCAAGAACAGTCAGATGAAAGTTCATCGACTGCTGATGAAGATGCGAAACGAAAGAAACGAAAAGATTCTGAACAGAAAGATGGAAATAAGACGACGAGTGGAAGTAATCGAATGACTTCAAGAATTGGACAAAAGCCACCGGGACCAGCTTCAAAGACAATGAATTTAATGAACAAAAACACGACAATGACAACATCAACAACAAGTAGCAGTAACAATAGCAGCACCAGCAGCAGCAACACAAACGCGATGAGCGATCGGAAAAGTCCTTGCGAGATGTCAACGAAATCAGCAACGGAAAGTGACACAGAAAAAGATGAAGATGGAAAGGAAGGTCCAAAGGTGCCGCCACTTAAGATTGTGATACCTCAACAAGCTCCTGGCACGACGCAAACAGAGACACAAGAAACTCAAAACAGCAATCAACGAAACAGCAAACAACCGACGACGACAACATCGCGTAGTCATCCTTACGTCGTCACATCATCGAATTCAAATGATGGAACTGGCAGTGACAAAGACGGTGCTGGTGGAACAACAACAAGAAGTCACAGTCCATCAGCTGACTCCAATAAGTCTGATGATGCAAGCAAATCAAGTGTCGTCAACGTTGGTATTGCTGGTGGAAAGTCGAAGGAACCTCGAATCTTAAGAAGTTCAAGAAAAGATGCAAAAGATGATCGCGGATCGAATAATTCTTCACCTCAATTACCAACCAGCTCAACTCCATCACCAGCAACACAAAATATTGAATCGTCAAGTGGAAATGAACCTGAAACTCAACAATCGAACAACAACAATCAAAATGTTCCATCATCGTCTTTATCTTCATCAACAAAATCAACATCGACGACGTCAACGACACTGACGAGTGTCACATCATCAGATTTGTCTTCAAATACACAAAACACATCACAAGCAACACAACAACAACTTCAGCAACAGCAACAATCGTTGCAGCAGCAACAACAACCACAAAATTCCGTTGAACTTCATCCGAGAAAGAGAAAAATTAAAGCGAGTAGTCGAGAACCAGCAGCAGTCGTCCCATCGTCAGTTGACATGAAAGACTCGAATTCGAAGGATGGTCAAGAGAAGAGTGAACCAGTTCATCCTCATGATCAGCCATTTACGAATTGTTATCAAATGTACATCGATTTAAGGAAGCAGATTGAACAACGTCATCGGAATCTTCATCCTGTTGAGCCGCGACCGTTGAAAGGTCTCGAAGATTATCTCATGAATCGTCGGACTTATTTGTTGCAAGGAAAAACTTCAATGGAGCCAAATATCATCATTCCACCTCTACTGCCAACACAAATGAAAGAAACTTTCGTTGAGCAAGAGAAAGAGCGTCATAAGTTGAAATTGCGGCATATTGTTGAGAAAGAGAAGATGGTGCTATCGAAGGAACAGGAAATCATTCGTGTTCATTGTAAAGCAGCTCAGATGATTGCAAATCAAGCGCAGCCGTTTTCAGTTGCAACTATTTTAAAAGACGAAGAAGTATACAACATTATCACTCCTGAACAAGAAGAGAAATATCGAAATAAAAACAGAGAACGTTCTCATGGTCGTGTTTTCTATCAAGCATTGAAGGAGATCGATGACAAATATGATAAAATCAAAGTAAGTATTTAATTAATCAACTAACATTTTAATAAATTGATTTTTAATTAATTTTAGGAAGCGATGATCATTCGACACACAAATGAAGCTGAAAGTCTCATGGCTGTTCAAAAGATGGATTGGGGATGGAAAATGAAGGAATTTGCACTTTGCGAATATAAAACAAATCCAGAAATTGAAGAGCTTTTTGTGCCGATGATTGATGTTTGTGATGTATGCGATGAGTACAGTACACCGAGCATAAAAACTTAATATAATTATTTGTTAAAACAATGAATTATAATTATTGTCTTAAAAAATTTAATTAATCAAATAAATGCAACTGTTCAGAAGGAATTAACGGTTTTATAGGAGATTTAAAAATTATAGCAACTACTGGAAAAACTTTCTCAGTATCCCGGACATACTCAATGTTTTAAAACATCACCGAAACATTCCAAGATTTTTCGCCATTTTTCGTCGAGCAGAAAAATCTTAAACTAAATTCCTTCAAAGAATAATCATTACAAAGAAATCAATCTAAAAATAATATTCAAAATGTAAGTGAAACATGTTTGAATAAATTGCATATTGAGTCACAGTGAAATTTGTTAGATTATTATAAAAAAAGGAAGTTATTATTGAAAGTGAATTTTGTGAAAATATTTCAACCTTTCATCATGATTTTCGTATTCATTTATCTATTGTTATATCTAATTTTACTGAATATGCTTAAATACTTAATCATACAATAGAAAAATTTATCTCACTTTACATATTACGTTTCTTCTGACCTTGACGAATTTTTTTTCCAATCAAGAGAGCTAATGAAAAAAATCAATAATTTGAATGCGCATTTGCATTAACATTTATTCCTCTCAGGTACATGCCAAATAATGGAAACTACAGAAACAATAATAACATGTATCAATCTCAAAATCGCGGCTACCAACAGTACGATTCACAACCTTCATTCAAACGAGACCAAAGTAAAAATGGAGAAACTCTTCGTCCTGTGAATTATGACAATGTAACTCCATTCCGTAAAGACTTCTACAATCCCAGTGAATCAGCACGTTCACGTACTCCAGAAGAAATAAAAGCTTTGACTTCGAAATATGAAATAAGTTTAGTAGGCCGTGACAGTTCCAAATATGCTCCGTTGGCTCTTTTCTCTGAAGCTGGATTACCTGATTATATCATGAATGAGTGAGTTTTGAATGGTATTTAAAATTAAAACCGCATAAAATTGAATTTAAACATTTATTTAGAATAACAAGACAAGGTTTTGTTAAGCCAACTGGAATTCAAGCTGTTGGATTTCCTTGCATTCTCTCCGGAAGAAATCTCGTTGGAATTGCTAAGACTGGAAGTGGAAAAACCTTAGCTTACATCATTCCAGCATTGATTCATTTGAAACATCAACAAGCAGTGAAACCAGGAGAAGGTCCTGTTGCTTTAGTTCTCGCACCAACCCGTGAACTTGCACAACAAATTCAGAAAGTGGCCAATGATTTTGGTCTTGAAAGTCGCATAAGCAACACTTGCATTTTTGGCGGTGCACCAAAAGCAAATCAAATGCGAGACTTGGCAAAAGGTGTCGACATTTGCATTGCAACACCAGGAAGATTAATTGACTTCTTAGAGCGCGGTTTTACTGACTTGAAACGTTGCACGTATTTAGTTCTTGACGAAGCTGATCGAATGTTGGACATGGTAAGTTAAACTATTCATTAAATGTTAATTAAAAAAAGGTTAACTCAAAATTTTCAAAAGGGATTCGAACCACAAATTCGAAAAATTATGTCACAAATTCGCAGTGATCGTCAAGTGTTGATGTTCAGCGCAACATGGCCTAAAGAAGTGAAAAATCTCGCAGAGGAATATCTCATTGACTACTTGCAGATAAACATTGGCTCGATGAATCTTTCAGCTAACCACAATATTGTTCAGATTGTCGACGTGTGCGAAGAAACAGAAAAAGATGAAAAGTTGATGAAAATTTTGAGTGAAATTGCAAACGAATGTGATCGTAAAACAATAATTTTTGTGGAAACAAAACGTCGTGCTGACGAAATTACTCGAACAATCAATCGTCGAGGCTTCAATGCTGTCGCTATTCATGGCGATAAAAGTCAAAATGAACGCGATTACACACTCAACTCGTTCCGCAGTGGACGAATGAACGTTCAAATTCTGGTCGCAACTGATGTTGCAAGCCGTGGACTTGGTGAGTCGTTATTCCCACTCTTATGTCTCTCTCACAAAAAAAAAAACCTTTTATCAGTCAGAATTTCATATTATGGCCGAGATCTCTCGCTGTTCAAAGCTGAAAACAAAAAAATCAAATTTTCTTTTGGTTCCATCCACTTTTTTACTTGCAGGATTTTTTCACCTCGTTTTTTTGTGCGGGGCAAAATCTTATGCAATGTTTTATTATGTTTAGGAACATTAATTGATAAATGATATCAAAATAACAAAATTCGCACATGCATCAAACAAAACTCTTCTCTTCTTGAAAAGAATTCTTCAGTATTCACAATTGAATTTGGTTGTCTTCTTTCTAACAATTTTTTGATAAATTATTTAGTCGATGATGGCGATGACGACGAGCTGGAGAAGTGATGACAATCTGTGGATGTTAAAGCAACGTAGATAAAGGTTTGTGATATTTTATTTATTGTCAAATTTTAGAGTGAATACTGGGAATTTCATAAGAATATATTACAATCTCTCTCTCACTCTCTCTATTAACAATTAATTAATGAAAAACTTTGAATTGAGAAGTGCCAAGTTGAATTATCCACGAGACATGCGGTAAAGTGCAAATTGGATGAACTTGATTACATCGTACGGAAAAAAAGAAAGAAAGAAAGGAGTTGGTGTTTGTGTTTGTTGTCTTTATTATAAATTGTGAAGATCTTTATGGCCAATAAGTAATTTTTGACTGAAAAAACTTTTAAATATACAAAACAAAATTCATAAAAATACTGAGATAAAAAAGAAGAAACTTTGATAAACGAAAAATGAAAAATGACGGAAACTGCAAAAGTGATTTATTTTGGATTTAATTTAAAAAGCAAAACAAGCGAATGTGATGAAAGTCTGATTGATCTTCAAGCTGCAGTTCCAGTTACTGAAAACGAATGAAAAACTAAGTCATGGGCAGCTTAAGCGTTGCTTTTATGTGATGAAAGCTTTTTCGTTGTTTTCTCGTGCATGGAAATGTTTGTGGAAGATTCAACAAAAGCAAAAAAAAACGAGATAAGAAAGAAGAATTGAAATATCCCATAATGAACAGGATAAGTAGATGAATCTTCAGTTTATTTTCCTATCATAATTTTTGTTTTCTATTTAAAAATAACTTGAAAGAAAAAACTTTTTTAATTTTTCTTTTTAGAAAGCAATAGAATTAAGAAACTCTTTTTAGGGTTTGGATCGTCGAGAAGATTTTTTTTTTGTAGACTTTAATCCAACTTTAAGAATTCCTGAACCTGCTTAAACATTTTTTTATGATTAAACACGCGGCTTTTCCTCCAATCCCTTCCTCCTTTCCTATCAACTGTTAGATTACTCCTGTCAAGAAAAGGATTTTCAATTTATTTTTTTAAACAAAACGATGAGAAAAATCCGAGAATTTTTTCGCAATGCAAATTCTTTCTTATAAAATAAGAAGAAAGGAGAAAAGAAATGAAAATGATTCACTTTTAATGATTGATTGGGAAAATTGTTTGTGTTTGATTGCAAACCTTTCCGAATCGATAAACATTTTTCATTTTCAGAGGTAAAGTTTCGTTCCAGGTAAAGTTTAACATAACTTTAACAAACTCCTTTAAAACATTATTCATTTCGAGAAACACTTTTCCTTTAATGTTTGTCAATATATTTTTTTTATTTTTCGTAAACTAAATTCACATTTTAACTCGTCAATTTTCTTTCTTTCAAATCCTCAAAAAAATAAAAACAAAAAAAATCAAAACTAAATATAAAAAATAAACGAAAATTGGAAAAAAATGAAATTTCCAATTTCAATTGATGCTGAATTGTGAAACAAAATAAACGAAATTTTCACAATCAGATGTCGACGATGTTAAATTCGTAATCAATTATGATTACCCGAATAATAGCGAAGATTATGTACATCGAATTGGACGAACTGGAAGATCTAACAACAAAGGACAACAAACTGGAACAGCTTACACGTTGTTCACAAACAATAACTCAGCAAAAGCAAATGACTTGATTAATGTGCTACGCGAAGCTAATCAAATCATCAATCCACGTTTGCTTGAGTTGAGCAAAGGATCTTATGGGAAGAGTGAGTTGTGCTTTGAGATTCTTAATTACTTCATTAATTTCACATCAAAATTTCTTTCTTTCTTTTTCATTTAGAAGGAAACTATAAGAAAAGTTTCGGTGGTGGCGGTGGCATGAAAAACATGAGAAACGATATGGGTGGCCATCAAATGCGTGGTGGTGGAATGCAAGGAGCTGGAATGAAACGTCGCTGGGATAGTTCAAATGGTCAAAGTGATCAAGGACCAAACAAACGTCCTTATCAACCAAATTCCCATTTCTCGAATAGTGGAAATTCCGGAGGTTTCCAACCAAAGCCTTATCGCTCAAACAACTATGATCAAAATAAGCCAGCCACTCAATCTTATTCTCAACCAGCTTCTTATGGCAAATTTCCAAGCTACACGCCCACTATGCAAATGCCCCCAGCTATTGCTCAATATCCAGGAATTGCATCAGCAGTTGCTAACTTTACTTTTCCACCACCTCAAACTTCAATCATTCCTCCTTTACCCAAACATTAAACAGCTTACCTCATTAATCTTATGATTTCATTTCTAATTTAGAAATCTTTTAAAAAATTTACACAATTATTTAACTTCATGGCATCATACCCACCTAATATTCTTACCTCCAATTAATATGAGAAATTCTTTTATTAATTATTCCTTTTTTTCTTCTCATATTAACTAATCGGTCATTAAACCAATCGTATAAGTAATCATAACTAAAAATAATTCATTTAGAGCATAAGAATCATAGAAACACATTTGGAAGAAATCAAAATTAAATGAAAATATCGACGGGATCATTTTTAGGTTCTGATATAAAACAGGAAGAAATTAATTAAAGCATTTTCAATAAAATAAAATGCTTCATTTCTGTTCTGTGACTGTTGTGTGATTGTCGTTCTTATAATAATTATCAATGCACATTCAAATATTTATGTTTCTCACCGTAACAACACACAAAAATTCTGTGAAAATGAATTAAAAAAATTTGGAAAATTCCGGGAAAGTGAATTAAAACAGAAGAATAAAGATGAATTTACAAATAATCAGATCTTCTTTTTGCTTTTTAGAGGAGTTTCAGATTCGTGTAAATTGCCTACAATTTTATTTCAATGTATGGAAAACATTTTCCAATTTCATTCAATGAGATTTTTTGTTAATTTTTCCGACTCCACATGTCTTATTTACATTGGCATGGTAAGAAGAAAACATAAAAATACGAAGTTTGAACAGAATTATCAACGAGAAGATAAAATTGTAAGCGAATATCGCAAGATTATGAAATACCGTGAAACATTTTCAGTATAAAAGTCGAATAGAAATCTTCAGTTTCATCACATTCAGTTTTCATATTTAAGTGAAAGTATCGAAATGGAAATTTCTTGTTACTATCAACAATTAGATTGGGCTGGTTTTCCAGACTCCTACACTTGTACCGTCACCTCAGCGACCATAACTGAAGAAGGAATTGAAATCAAAGATTTTATTGGCGAACATATGGAAGGAAAAAGTAACAAAGATGTGACGGCATTGAGATTCAACAACACTGTTGTTAGCTTTTTCCCTCGAGGAATATTCAAAACATTTCCCAACTTGAAAGTTTTGGAGATTCACAATTGTGGATTGAAAAAAGTTTCACGTTCTGACCTTGAAGGTCTTGAAACATTAAAAACCTTTTATCTTCAGAAAAATCGCCTGAAAACTTTACCAATCGATTTGTTTGACGACATGCGCGATCTTCAAAGAATATTTCTAAGTGAAAACAAGGATTTGGAGTTTATGAGTTCAGATATGTTGAATGAAGACTTAAAACAACGTTTGAAAATCATAACTCTAGAAAAAACTAAATGTGTTGATGCATTTTATGCCTCGGGAATGAGTGACAGTTTGAAATCACTTGACGATTTATTGCAAATTATCGACGACAAATGCAAACCTCCCAACGAAGCCCCAAAGGATGATAACGAAGAAGTTGACAACGAAGATTCCAACAATTTCAAACATTTATGGGAATCAAAGAACTTAAGTGACTTTACAATTTTTGTTGATGAATCAAATGCTTTTCAAGTTCACAAAATTGTTTTGACTTCAAGAAGTTCAGTTTTTCGTGGACTTCTTGTTGAAGATGTTAAAGAAATGAAATTGGAAGAATTTGATGTTAAAGACGTTAAAGATTTCCTTCGTTATCTCTACACTGGACATCTTTCAATGGACTTTAATGAAGTTCCTATTCTCAAACTAGCTACAAAATTCAACATTATTAAACTGAAATCATATTGTGAAAATGAAATTTTAAACACTTTCACTATTGGATATTTAACAACACCCGATCAAGTTAAGCTTTCAGCTTTGCAAGAGTTAAGAAAAAGCTTTCATCAAATTAAGACGTTGCCTGACAGTTTGATCTTCAAACCTGATTTACTGGAAGAAATTATCAAAATGAAGCAGAAACTCGAAGTTTTACTAGAGAATTGTGACGTCACATAATTTTTTTTAATTAAATTAATTACCCATCAATAAATTTTTATTACTTAATCATGACAATATTTCATAACAATTTTCGTCGAGATCAATGAAGATATTACGACATCCATGACAAAGTTTTCTTTTGAGGTCATTTTCACTTCCATTCACCGACATTATCGAGTTGGTTTGAATTTCTTCCATGTTCTTTAAATTATCCTCATTTCCAGCTAATTTTGATACAGAACGTGAAAACTCGATGGCGAAAAGAGTCTCAGAATCTTGATAATCTAGCAAACTTTTGCACATCTCACATCGTTGTTGATTTGAAACTTCTTTCGATGATATTTTACTGCATGTTCTGTAAACTGTTGAAACTGTTGATGAGAAGTTTTCTTGCAATCCATTTATGAATTTTGATGTAAGATTTTGTATGCTTGCGAACTGTCCAAAGTTGTCGCCATAATTCTCATCAGACAAAGTGTTGAGCTTGTTGAACTTCACGTAACTTGCAACTTCAACTTCACTTAAATCTTTAATTGGACGAACAAACTTCAATGATTCAATTCTATCATCACAGAAAGCAACGTCAAGAGCTGCAGAACTTCCACGGCCAACAGCAATATCAGTGAGGAGACGAGTTGCTAATGTTATTGAAATGTCTGGCACAAAAACGTATTGAAAGATCAAACTTGACGCGAGAATCCTTAAAATTTTGTTTCGTTGCATTGCAAGGAAATCTTGTTTTGTTGAAAGCGATTTCAAAGATTTAAATGATGATTTGAAGGTTTCTTCTTCCTGAATGATTCTAGTAACATCTTCTTTCGTGATTTCATTGATAAGTGGAATGTCACTTGAAGAACTTCCAGCAATTGATGAATAAAAACATTTAAAGTTTGGAAACTGTTTCAGAACATTTCTAACAACTTCAAGTTTTTCATAACGTTTGTCAACATCATTAGTTGTCCCTTCTATACAATATTCATCAATAAATATAAAATCCATATTGAAACATAATCTTTTATGCGTTTCTTGTTCAAATGAAAACATCACCATGTGAGCTAAACAAATACTTTCAACTCGACCATTGAAATGAAGTAAAACATTTGAATGACGACGAACAACTTTTGTCGAGCCTAATGCTGCTCGGAATTTATGTCTAACGTAGGTGAGGAAGCATGATTCACACATTGATTCCCTAAAATCCAACTTTATTTTGCTTTCTTCAATTTTACACTTTTTGCAGATTTCTCCTTCAAATCCATTTGTCTTTGGATCTTCTATCATTGCATGTGCTCCACCTTCATCACCAAAATCATCTTCAACGATGCTGCACATTTTTTGTTATAAAATTTAATAATTTTAAGTGAAACACGTTCGAAGTTTATTTATTGAAAGCTTAGCTGATTATTACGAAATGAATATGGAAAATTTGACAGTGTAAGCGAAACTAGCGCACACCATGCGTAATAAAAGATTCAACACATTATTTATAATTTTATGAAAATAAATTTCATTAATTTATTGATGTTTGAGAAATAATTAAGCTATAATTATAATTAGTATGTTAACGTCTTCGATCACGTGAACGACTTCTACTGCGATGTCTTCTCTCGTTTCTGGTTTGCTGATCTCTACGATGACGATCTTCACGTCTGGATGATTCTTCTTGTCTTCTCGCTGCTTTTCTTCTATCATGTTCTTCATTAGAACTACTGCTAGAATCATCTCTCTGGCGTTTCTTTTTTGATGATTTCGATTTTCTAGACGATGAGTTCGATGATGATCTCGATCTTCGTTTTCTTTTCTTCTTTTTTTGATGTTTCTTTTCAATCTTTTCCAGTTGTTTCAGTAACTCTTTCTTCTGTTTCTTGCTCAACCCTTTAAGAAGCTCAATTTCAGGTTTTTTCTCACCTTCATCTTCATCTGGAATCAATTGATGACGACTGCCTTGTTGTTCAAGACTCAGAGCATTTCTTTTCAATGCAAGTCCATCATCTTTCATTCCTTCTTTGAGTTTCTCTTCAATTCCACCTTTTGCCAATAACTCATTGGCTTCTTGTTCGGAATGAATCTTTTTTGCTTCGCTCATTGATAAACTGAACATGGCACAGATTTTATCTGTATTAATGTGACCGAATTTGTGACACTTGATGCAGCGAACATTTCTTACTTGGATTCCAAAAGGTTGATCACGAATTTCAGTGTCGCCTTTGCAATATGATTCTCGAGGTGCATTGTATTTTCGTTGCCATTCTAATAATTTAGATTTTAAATATTAGATTTTTGTTATTATTGCAAAAAAGAATTATAGCTTACCAAACTTATATTCTGGTTCATTTGTTTCCTTCTCACGTTCTTTTTTGATACCAGGTGGTGGCTCATACATGAAATTTAAAGCAAGTTTGTCCTTGGAATCTTTAGACAAAAGCGATTTATTCTCATGTAGATTTTGTTCTTTCTCATATTGAGCTCGTAATTCTTCTTGTTTCTTTTTGTAAGCTTCCTCCTGCTGTTCAGCCATCCATACTCTTTTCAGATTATCCCTTGATGCAGGATGGAAGAATTTCTATGAAAAATAAAAAGTAAACAAATATGAATTAATATTTTCTAAAGATTATGAAATATCTTTTATAATTACCTTGCTCATATAATTATTGAAACCTTTACCCATGTTGAAGCTGTTCTAACACACTGATGTATAATAAATTGAGTTAAAGTTTTTTAAATCTCGAAAATCAATTGAAATCGTAATTCGTTTATGGTTTTGACGTCTTTTCAATTCGCGATTGTTGATACAATCTTACTTGTATACCCCTTAATCCTAAAAGTTTAGCAGTTAATTTGAAATTCAAAAAACCGTTAATTATACTTAACTCCTTAATGGAAACATGAATACCTACAAATATTAATAGAATGGTCAAAATAATATGGTAAACTTACAGTCTTTAATGAAAAATGAAGAGAATTTACCTAAATTCTAAATTCTTCAAAACATGCAAATTTATACTTTAGGTCGAGCTTTAAACATAATCATATTACGTATACATAGCATAGCACAAATTAAGCTTGTTAGTAATCACACATAAGACTTGAATAATAAAAAAATTGAGTTGTGACACTCTGTGTAAACATTATCAAATTATGTTATTTCCTTCCATACTTTGCTGACGGGAAACACATCTTTTCAAGAATTAACATCTATTTGCGGTGGAAATAAATGTCGTCGCGTATCATCATGTTAAGCTTTTTAGAAAGCTTGGAAATTTAATGTGTTTGCTTGCTTTGTATGCTGTGTGACGTTGTAAAAATCTGTTAAATTGAACCAGACAATACAATAAAGCAGGAAAAATGAGAGAAATTTTAAAAGTGCCACTTCACGTTTCATTTCATAAATATCTCTGTCGGTTTCGTTTGCCACCTGTGTTAACCACCAGATTGAAGATTAAGAGATAAAAGTTTGCTTCTTTTTTGACAAATAAATACAGCAGTTGTGAAATAATTCGAGGAAGGAAAGTGTTAACACATATCTACACTTTTAATGATAATCCATGTAGTAAAATCAAAATGCAATGATCTTGATATCATTAAGCTTTCAACTGGTGCTCTGAATATGTAGCAGCTTTGAGGTTGAAGCTGTGGTTTACTCGTTTTGTTTATGCAGCCATTGGAAGGGCTTTTCCCAAGTTGGTCGCTTCGGAAAATTAAATAATTAAATTTAATGTTTTCTGTTTGCTTTTCAACACAGAATGTTTGGCGAAAGGAAACAATGCCTATCATTACGCTGTAATAAATTCAGGTAGTCCGATGGTAATTTAGCTTCTCATACATTTGCCAATTTGTGAAAATAATAAAAAACTGCAACGCTTCCTGGTTCGTGAGCCATTGTTTATCAGAAGCTCAACGTAGGCTTTACAAAGGTAAACAAATTAAATTATATTTGTCGGCAATTTTGCCCTCTTATTTGGTGTAAGCATAAAGCATCTCAACTGAGCATTGCGAGTAAATGTTTGTGCGTTTACAATAGCAGCCAACTAAATACCGCGTGAAAGTCAAAAAATCAGCACGAAGCCGCGTTTAACGCAAACAATTGTGGTTGAAATGAGGAGAGGGGATCAAAATCGTGTAGTTTTAGAAGAACGAAACAACCGAGAGGAAAATGGTTAAAGTTAAAAGATATATTTGTACGGTGGCTAAACGCAAACAGCAACTAGAAAATTTTTCACATGCAATTTATTTTTCTTCTTCTTTTTTAACTTCGCGGTACTTTTCAAAGCTTTCAACAAAGAAATAAATGATGCTAATGGAAATTTGTTGAAGCAATTTTCATCAGCAGCACTCTATTACGAGAAGGAGCAACTGTGGTGACTGGTTAGGAGGAAAAAAAAAAAAGAAGAAACGCGAACATGATAAAAAGAATGAAATTGTGTGAAAAAAGAAGAAAGCTTTAGAAGAAACTCTTTTTATGTCTTAACGTCTTAAGAAAGAGTAAGAAGAAGTGATGGGAATTAACTTGATGAGGTTCAGAGAATTTTTTAATGGTAGATTTCGCTAGAAAAGAAGCACAAGCTGAATTATGACAAAGAAGAATTTAAATCTGTTTGTTTTTAAGCTCAAAGTTTAGTTGCATCATTGTCATGCTTCTCTGACTGCACAAAAACCATCTACGAAGATATTTATTTTAAATGGAAGAGAAAGAATTCAAATGTTGCTTCACAAATTCTTTCAGTTGAAGGAAAATCTCTGAAAAATCCGTGGCTGGCATATTAGTGACGTTTGGATGAACATAATTGCATATAACACGATGATGGCTCGAAAGTTTGATCTACACATATCAAAACGAGCAGATTTCAGTCTCTATTGAAAGTTGTAAGAAATTTTGATGGAAAAAATGTGCTAGGAAAAGTGGATTTTCATGTAAATGTACAGATGAGTTTTCCCTCGTAATATTAAAAAAAAAAAACAATAAAAGTTCTATGAAACATACAAAAATAAATAAAAGAAAATGTGGTAAAAACGTTGAGCGAGAGATGAAAATTGCATTTTCGAATTCGGCATCATATACAAAATTTCATTCAACATTAGATGCATACGTTTCATCCCATCCCACATTCCTCACATTATGCTTCGTTCACAACTTTATACAAGCATCAAAATCTCTCCCACTGGAGCGAACAATTGAACATTGTTGAATGATAATGGCAACAAAGTATTATGCATTAGAATTTTTTTTATATTCAATTCTTAATCCACATTTAAAGGAATTCTCAAAGCAACGTCATGTGCAGAAATAAAAGTTTGAAAATATTTCATGTGCATTGAAAATGACTTGACACAATTTTTTATTTTTCACATGCTTTGTTGTTGATCATGGCTGAAAAGTAGAACAATTTTAATCATTTAAGAAATCTTGGAAAGTTTTAGTCTTTAATCCTTTTCAAAGAATTTCATCAAGTTAGTAAATTAAGAAAAGGAAAAATTTATTTTCATTGGATACGAGTAGAATTCAATTTCATTTAATTTCATTCTTTATCAAGACAAACTTCCAATCGCGAAAGTTTCCTAAGCAAGCACCAGAAGGTCATGAGAGATAAAGTTCAAATTGTTCTTACTCGAATGGATTCTCCTGAGCTTCCTTTACATTTCACATGTTTCACGATAAATTCTTTTGCAAGCTTTAAAACTCTTTCCTAGACTCTTTCAATTCATTTAATCCATTTTTTTTTCATACTGAAAACAGACTCGTAATATAAACTGCAAAAGTTTCAAAACTTCTTTTTTTGTTTTGAAGATTTTCGCGAGCTGATAAGGGCAGACAGAAAGAAAGCCAGAAAAAGTATAAAAAGAAAACGACATGAATTATGGATGCAAAAAAATGCTATATCACGTTAGGGTCACCATCAACACACTTGGTTGCTTCCACATTCACCTTCACCCAACTCTTACTCACATAAAAAGCAATGCGTCATAATAAAAAATAAATTTAATTATGAACTTTTCATATCTTTTATGCTTTTTTATGTAGTTTTTTTTTTCATTTGCTTTTGTGTCATATTTTATTTTTTCTCCTAGACGACAAGATAAAATAAAAAGCATTAAAAAGAATTGCGAGGGAGCTCAATTCAGATTCCGAATTTCAGACACATTCAAAGAGTTTCACATAAAATTGTTTGTGATGCAAAAGCTTTGGATCAAGAACAACACCGAAAGAAATGTAGACAAGGCATGAAAATAATAATTTTCTCGTTTACTTGATATGAAAAGCTTTTCTTTTGGACAGAAAACAGAAAATTTTCTTAGCTTAACTTCTTAGATTCGAATAAGAAATTTAAATTTAATTATGACAACACATCGCGTGACATCATTTTTTAAAAGGGATTTTGAGTCTTACTTCTAATGGAAATATTCTCGAATGACAGCAACATAACGCTTGCATTACAAAGTCAACATTGGAAAGTTCTTTTATTTATTTTTCCACATTTCATGCATAGAATACTTATTATAATTTCTCGCTTATACCCTTCCATCTCCATCCTCTGAACTGGATCTCTTTCTACACAACAATGGAACAACATAACTTTGTACGAATATATCCTTTAAAAACATTTCCTTCTTTTTTTTGACGGGTTGAGTCTGGAAAAGTCGAGACCAGTAAAGCAATTCACTGATGCTGAAAAACAAATGCAAGCAAGAACAAAATAAAATAAGAAAAACATTCAAGTACGTGATGGACACAAGGGAAATAACAAATCTTTGTATTTTTTCTGTTTTAAATTTATTTTATTTCATATTCAAAAAGATTTTCTTAAGGTAAATATTACCAACGTCATTATTGTAAGTGGGAAGAAATTTTTATATGATTTCATAGCAAAGCTAAGTCATAAACTCATTTGTATGCCACCAACGCAGAATTTCAACCCACATTTGATGATGAACAGAATGTAATAAATGAACATGGACGCTGTAAGTGTTTTCATTGCAATGTCAAAGGAAATCTTATTTGCCTTGAAGCGAAATTTGGAATTTCATTTGCACACCATCCGCCATCCAATTTCTTCTTTTTAAATCCATCAAACTTGCTAAGAGAAATCTTTTCTTTGGTGCTTTCTCACATTTTTCGACATTTCTTTGACGGAATGTTCATCATAATAAAAGGGAAGAAGAAGAAGAAGATGAGAAAGAAAGCTAACGGGCATACATCAGAAATAAAAGCTCAAAAAGGGCATAAAAAAGAAGCCAAACGACCTAAGAAGAATAAATATCGGGGAGAATGGTTGTTATTGCTTTTTTCTTTCTTCTTTTCTTCACTTGAAAGCGGGAGAATAATTAGTAAGAAGAAGAAAGCGGCGGGGGGGTAAACATGACGGACAATAAGATGGCAGTGCAAAGAGAGAAGACGATTCCACAATCCACTGCATAAAACATTTCTGTAATTAATTAATTTATTTTTATCAGGAACCTTTGCCATTGGCCATTGCCCTTTACACAACTCAAACTTTCCTTACTGGGAGAAGAGCGTTAGGATTTGAAATGAAAGGAAGGAAAAAATATTTTATTATCACACTTACAGAGAAGGGCACATAAAAAATTCTATTTCCCATCATGTTTTCCCAGCTTCATTCCTTCATTCAAGTGCTTGAATTTGTGACTCGTCGAAACAACATGGCACATTAAGTTGGATGAAGTTTATTGTCTTCTATCTTGATGATTTCTACTTTACAACTTGGCCAGATATTATTTTGGAATGGAAACAAAACGAATTTCCGTTGATTTAAATCTGATTTTGATTTCGGATACCTTTCACACATTCTCATTGTTTTTCTTTTCTTTTCTTATAACATTAAACAAAGGGATAAGAACAAACAGTTGAATATTGTATTGGAAGTGAACTATGTGGAAAATAACTTCCATCAACCGAAGTCAAAACGGAAGAATGAGAGCAATAAAGAGTGAACAAATAGCGGAAAATTTCCCTCGCTTTCATGTTGTTATTGAAAACAATAGTAAAGTTAAAAGGTTCTTTATTCATTCATTCAATCTTTCTTTTATTCTTTCTTATCCCACCCACACACACATATCACTTCTTGATTTAAGTTTTATGAGCCTTAATCCGGGAAAGTCTTCTTTCATAGCTTCAATTGCCTTTTTAATTTCGTACAATATATTTTCCGGTCTCTTTGGTATTAAAAGAGATAAACATTTCCCACTTCATTTTCATTATGTCAATTTTCCTTGCCACCCAACTCCGCCTTTCAATCTCAACATATTGATAATTGATTTTGTGTTATAACCGCATTATTGGGTGATATATTTTCTTAAGATATGGGAAAATATAAAACGTTAAAGCTTTTTCTTTACTTTATTCGTATGTACATACGACGACGACGTCTTTCTATGCTCACTTGAACGAAGATGGAGCTTAAAAATAAATTGAAGAGAAAAACAATGTTTGAAAGAGATGAAGGAAAATTGGAATGAAAAGCAATTAAAATCTTTCTCAACTACTATCTAATCAATTAAATATCAATTCTGCTTTAATCACAATTCACATAAATCACACAGATTTAGTAGAAACTTCTTAATTAAAAGTTTAATAGGTTTTACAATCTCAGAATCACCTGAGACCATTGTGGGAAGAAATAAATGTTGCTTAATCTGAGAACATACATAAATATCCACACACATAGCTGGAGAACCTGTTACAGACTTTTTATGTCTTCATCCAAATCTTCATAAATACAAAACGCCAGCTTGCTGTTGAATGCTTTTCAGTGCTTTGAAGAATTTTTCAATTTAGCACATAAAAGGATTCTAAATTGAGCATTAATACGAGAACACATGTGAATGTATCCAACGAATTGATTTCCTTCGTACATAATTTGATTTTAATTTTCTGTCTCTTAAAAACGTAAAAGCGTTTACATCAGCTGCGCCCAATACGTGCTGACTCAATTTTTCTTTTCTATTATTCCACTGGCAACTCCCAAAGCTGTTCAGAAAATATTTTCAGACCTTCTGAATATCTCGGTCGAACAGAATTCTCCTTCGTGTAAGATTACAACAAAAAAACAAAGAACGAGAGAAAAGTAAAATAAAATCAACATCTCTGATATTCTCTGCTTTCAACTTGATAAAAACGGAATATGGTTAAGGTAAAGTGAAGGTGAAAATTGTTGTTCAAGGATTCTTCTACAACTCCCATGACACTCGCTTTTGTGCCTCGAAGGTGAACCCTTGTCAAGGTAAAATTTCTTGTCACTTGTTTATGCATGCAAACCTGAGTCAATAACTAATCTTATCCTCTACTGCTGTCCATGTTTCGAATAACAATCATTGAATCAAAACATTAACTAGACGAAATTTAATCATTTTAAAATTATTTTCTTTCAATTACCTGACTTAATATCACTTTCTGGACATTTCCGTCATCATCATCAGTGATCATTAAACAACTTCGGCATTTCTTACATCCAGATAATATTTTTGTATCGAGTCTTTAAATTTTTAATAAGCGTTTTCTTTATGGGTGTAAACAGCATGGCAAGGAGTCGTTTTACGATCTCTTCGTTGCAAATAACTTTTTTTTATCATGTAAAAATCGTTATTATATTTTAGTTTAATGCATTTTTGTGTAAATGATGGGAATATAATTCCGTTCAGTTCGCCTTTTCATGTTATTGCGATGGGTAAAAAATTGCTTCCACCCCCAGTTTAATACATTTTGTAGTATCTTTTTATTTCCATGAATATGAGATGACCCAGTTGGGAAAGTTTTTCTCATATTTTTTTCTTAACTTTTGATATAAAAGCATCATAACTGAAAAGCTAACGATTATTTTATCGGTGATGTTGTGAAGTTGAATTTACGCCCACAGATACTCATGCTGGGTTGATTTATTAAAAATTGTTTTCGCTTGAATAAAAGCTTACTCGAAGTTCATTGGAAACTTTGCTAAGCACTTGACGACTGGTTCAGATAGGTTTCACATAGACATAATCCCACCGCTTACTTCCATCATCACAATAAATATTATTCCCAAATATCTATCAGACATCGTAGGTTAGCAATGTTCTGAGCGTAACTATCTGAAAAATAATATTTTCCAGTCTTTTTCCCCATCAAATCTCGTTGGCAATCGTTCAAAAATTATATGTATGGAGAAATCATACACGATGATGTATAAAATGTTTTTTATTTGGCGTTGCACGGCAGCAGACTTGTCGAGATTTTCATTGTAAATCGGAAACTCGCTATTATTATGATGCACGGTTCAGCGAAACTAAAAAGTAATCTCACGACTTTTTTTATGTGAAATCTTTCTCAGTTTGTAAAGTAAAAGCTTCGTTGAAAAGAACAGAAGAGAATAAATTTAAATATGCAAATAATTGCTTCAATTTTCTTACATAAAATTATATCTACTGAAAGAAAGAATCTGATTATTGTTGAGAGCCCAATTAAGAAGCTTAAATTGCACGAATTACTTACGATTATATGTTTTCTCCTTTTTCCCCTTAAAAAAAGTTCCATTGTAAATACCCCAGGATGTTACATGCTTAAAAAGCTATTCAAACCTTTTACTTTCAACTTGCCATGTGTGCATATCCATTATCATCCATTCTGTCTTTTACTCGTTCCTGCTTTCCTACTTGAGATTCAGCTAAAGCTATTCTTTCATTTACCTATTGCATGAACAGCTCTAAAAGGGTTAAGCACGAATAAGACTTGGGTCAGTAGCAATTTACGTCAATGGCTTTATTGTATCTTCTTATATGTAAGTCTCTGATGCAAGAAACCTTTGTGACATTTAAACCTTTGTCGTCATCGTCATCATTATGAGAAATGATTGGACGAAAAAAGGAAATAAAATCCACAAGACGAGAATAATAAGAAGAGAAAAAAAAATCAAAATCGAATTCATGTGGAAAATTCTTGATGAAGCGTTCTAGATTCCAGTAAGTAATCAAATAATTTGTTCGGAACGGTCGCTTATCCGGACTATAAATTGAATGCAAAGTGATTTCTATCCTTTTTTTACCAACAAAAAAAGAATGAGGGAATAAAGAAAGATAAAAAAGCCAAACCTCGCTTTCGTTTTATACATTGAGTCACTTTTCCAGCAATTTTTTTTGGCTTTTGACTGGGAAAGAAAGCGGAATTATGTTGCATGAACAATTTTAGTTGCTGGTTGGAAGTTTCAACCCAAAATGAACACAACAAGGCATATCATAGGCATGCTATTCTTTCTACTGCCAACGACGAGAGGAAAATAAATAAAATAAAAGAAAATAAGAAAAATTGGATTTTTGAAAACATAAATTTTCGGTGTTTATAACATTGAAATTTTTTTCCTTTCTGCTCTCCCACACCGAAGCTAAGTGAAGGTTTTTGGCAGCAAATTTTGTTGCACATACATACAAGTTGTTCCCTCATGGACTAATAAATTTTGATAGGAAGGATGCACAAAAGTTGGGGAGCAGTCTTAATGTGTGCCAAGTGTATGCAACACATTACAACTGAAAAAAAATTACAAGCAATATACATCATTGCACTAGCGCACGGCAAAAAGTAAATGAATTATTTTAATTTCATGTATTTCTGACTGAAACTTAACAAGTTGAGAGTGAGAGGAAAACGAATCATAAATAAATATACATAAATAATTGCAATAAAAGCATTAAAAGTTATAATTTTCAATTTATGTCTTGATTCTTTATTATATGGATAATATTTTTTCCTTTTGGCATGAACATTGAGCATGCATGAATCCTTTAATTTTATTTTTTTATATTCCATTTAAGCTTAATGCTATATGTGTAGCAGATACATGAAAGCATATTCAATTCTCTAGCAAACACGAATATTAACAACATTATTATGGCTTTTTTGTTGGTGTAAATATGCTGCTGTTAATGTTGGCATTGCTGTTGTTGTTGATAGAAAGGAAAAGAATGAATGATGAATTACACAACAGCAGTAACAGTTTGTCGAAAAGGCCTCATGACGGATCATTACGAGCTACGAAAAGTATTAATTACAAGGCACGATCACATTTGCATCTGAACGAATGAAGGAAAGAAGGAATGAGAAATGGCGTGAACGTTTTCGATATTGTTCGAGCATAGCGTGAGCCGTGATGAATAAAATTGACGAGGAAAGAAAAGAAATTTCTAATTAAGAATCAGATCATGAAAGGTAAGGAAACAGACCGAACGTTGTCTCTCATTATTTATCCGTTTATTGTCCAACGTTCATTCACTCGTAGAAAAAGAAAATTGAAAATAATTTAACGATAAATTTCCGGAACATTCTTGTCACTCGTTTGTGTGAAAATGAACGAAACTATCACGCACCGCTTTTATCATGTCATCGGTAATATGCAAGTCATTACACACAGCAAAATATTTTTTATTAAAGAACATTTCGAATGCACATCCCATGTACACATGTTTTAATTAAAACACCATTTAATTTAATGATTTTATTACAGACTATTGTGTTCTGTAGACATTGTACAAACGATTGGAATGGACAAAAAAAGATTGAATCGAATGGAAAGTGACATGTCAGATATTTTTCTGCTTACTGCATTTTATTATGCTATTTAAATTTAATTTTTATAAATAATTTAATTTTTATAGTTTCAGTAAGAAATTCACTAAATATTGGCTGACATTAAATGTTAAAGTTTTGAAAGTTCTCGAGAGAGAAATTATTTGTTCCGTTAAAAGGCAAGGAAATTTTTCTTTGATTATAAATTCATTACCTTTGGTCTTCCATTTAATTCAGAAAAGCATAATCGTTAAACGAGTAGTATCTAATCCCTTAATGTCGTTTGATCTCAATCCACAAAGCATTTTATGTTTGAATGAAATAAGTTTTTCTCTCAAATTAGGACAGACAGTAAAAGTCAAGTAAAAAAAGTATCAGCATCATTAGAAGTCCCTTACACATTACAGTTCGGGTTCGCTGCTAATGAATGTTGACAGAAATGATATCCTGTCAGCTACGACAACAATTTGCTCTCTTTTTTTCGCCTTTTTCTGTCACTACTCTAGGAACGACACAATGGAACAAAAATAACAACGAGAGTGGAAAAACGTGAACAATTTCACAACCCATCATCGTAATTATCAGCAATGAAATTATGATAAAAGTGACAAGAGAGAATTTTTTGTTGTTATCTGCTTGACTTTGCTTCACTACCGTCACATCGTTTAGTTATCATCGCATTGCTGACTTTCTACCTGACTCCTTCATCATCACATATTGAACTACAACTCGAGATCTTGATTGGCAATGATTATGTCAAATTTAAATTGTTCTAATCAAGTGAAAGAAAGATTTTGGTTAAGTTTTCAAGCTTTTTTGTTAAGTTTTCAGTTAGTATTAGCAAAGCAAGAGAAATTTCATGCAGCGATTGACGACAGAAGAAAAAAGTTTCAAGAAAAAAAAACAATAAGTGGAAAAACATCTGAAGAAACTGAAACCCAATCTCAAGAATGGTTTTTTTTATTTCATTCTTCTACACTTTACGTTAATGGCGCTTTTCGCAGATGCTTTTCCTTTTTTCCTTTTTGTTCCATCATCAAGTTTCATGTCTAAGTGGATATCAAAAAATAATATCATTTCTTATTTTTGAAGCTTCCATTCTCGTTTAGAGCTCCCGTTAAGACGTATCTTAAGATGAAAAATGATATTCCCACAGTCAGTGCTTAAGAGGGCAAAGAACTTCATTTCGAGCTGAGAATAATACTCACTCGAGTGGAGAGAAAAATTAATTGATCGATTCGAAGTTATTCGGTAATTTAAATAGGTTTGACTTGCCCTTTTTCCCATCCATATTTTAAGCAAAGCGAAATAAAAAAAAGGAAAAATCCATCACCAGTCATCAGCGTTTTAAATTTCCTTCGAGTAAATTCCTAAGACATTTAGGGATTTGGACTTTCAATCTTAATTTTAAACCGCACAGTGAATCTTCCCAAATGAAAAACATGGAATAAAAAGCAAGGGAAACTCACTCTTTTGATTACGTCTTAACAAATTGAGGAAGAAAAGGAATGAATGAAACAAAAGAGAGCTGCAGAGCTGGGAAGTAAAACGAACATATTAAATTTTTAATGATCTTTTCAACCCTTTTTTGTCTTCTTTGTTACAGCCCCAAATTTAAATTGATTTTTACCATCGGAAGCTTTTCTCGTAAAGCCTTCAGAATCAATTTATTTTTGGGACAAAGTCAGAACGGAAACATTGCAGAAAATTGTAAAATATTTTCAATGAAAACAAACTCTGGTCTTCTTTCTTTGCAATGAAAATATTTAACGCCTAAAAACCGATTTTTGGCTTGTGACTCTAAGAGGGATTTATACCGGAATCTCATTCAATAATTTTCTAATGCGTCTCTCACTATGACGCTGTTTCACATCGACATGACTCTTGGCAATGTGTTTTTCTTTTTTTCTTCGAAGGCTTTAGCAAAACATTCAACCAGCTCAATGTAAAGCTGAAAAATTGGCAGAATAACTTCCGAGTCTACACAAGCATGCAAAGTGCCATGGGCAACAGTGAAAGTTTTAAATTTTGTCCATTTAAAAAGGAATTGGAATAGATAGAAGAATAATGTTCAGTTAACAATCATCAAGTTTATTTTGGATTTGAGCCCAAAAAAAAATGTTCACTATAAATAATCCAAGCTGTTTCAATAAAACATTTTTAGCAACACTTAGCTGTTGCCTTTCATATTTTTTCTCATACTTCATCTGATATTAAATCTTAAACGTTAATAATTTTATGAACAAGTCAACACAAGAATAAATAATTTCCAATGGGAAAAGATAAATTAAAAATTAATTAAATATTGCATCTTGCAAGAAGCCACAAACCCGTCGAGTTTATAATTACGAAGTTATAAATTTTTAATTCCAAGTTTTTAATTTCGAAGATTAATGTCACAAATGTAGTTCTTATTTAATCAAAAGTTATAACATGTTGCAGTAAATTACATAGAAATTATTAATGAATTTGTGTCATTGACAAGGTTCACAATGTGACTTCAAAAATTTACCAAATCCAAGCATGAAAACAGGTACGAGGAAAATTTATGAAACTACTAATATGGCTTTATTTGTAGAATTTTCATGATGCACTTCCCAGAATGCTTTCCCTACATAAATTATCTTTCAGAATGCTCTAAAATAAATCTTTAATCTCATGAGATATGAGTGAAAATTTGTACATTTTGTGCATCTAAGGTAAATCCACAAAATCCGTTTATTTTAATATAAATGATTTTTAAATTGCACATAAATGTTCATTGCAAATGGTAAATTGCAAATATTCAAATTTCACATTACGCAGCATAAAATATGCTGTTCCTTGCTTCAATTCCCTTTCACCTTTCGCATGTCACTTCCTCAAAATCGAATTTAAATGGCTCGGACATGTCATTTCTCATTGCTTGTTTGGATCTAAGAATGATCGAAATTCATATTTTCGGCACAACGAACAACATAATGAGATATTCTAACAAGCAAGATGAATAAACTTGTTCACTTCATGAATTCTTTATGGACATTCAATGCACTTTAGCACCATCTCTCATGTATCTTCTTTCCTTATTTGCAATTTAGTCTTCCTTCATGGCTTGTTGCTTCATAAGCAAAACAAAATAATTAAATGAAGTCAATTTTGTGTCTCTGCCTATTTATGAACATGCATTGGAAGGATTGCAAACAGCAACTTTTGAAACAAATTAAAAACTTTTCAATAATTTATGCAAACATGAAAGTTTCAGAATTTTTTTCATGAAAAAATGTTCGATGATTCCTTTCAAAGTTAATTATCCATAATTTAGAATGTTTAACTACAAAGTCATCGAGTATTCAGCATATCGACATAAAAGCTTGCAGAGCGAAAAGCAATACATTGAAAAAGGATTGAAAACATATTCAAGCTTATAAATTTAGGCTTAGAGATAGCTTTTAAGATAAATTCGATTATTTAAAGCTACCTACGTAAATTTGTCTTCAAAAAAGTTGAAATAAGAAGATGAAAATTGATGATGTGAAAACACAGATGTTACTTGAAATAGTTTTTCGGTTTCAATAAATTCTTGATTATGCAAATAAAATCTTCTAGACTTTTTCAAATATTTAAATTGTGTTGAAAATGTTTCAAAAGATTGATAAAACTTTCCTTGAATGAAGAGTGAGAACAATTCCAATACTTTCAATCAAACACATGTTGATAATAGTTGTGTGCATATCTATCTATCACCAAGTCTATCATAAAGATATTGCTGCAAACACACACATGATCAACACATAAACCTTTGCAATAACTTTGTAATTGTTTTCATTAAAAATGTTTACTTTCATTGTTTATAATTAGAATGTGGTGAAAGTCGGTCTATTGCTCTCATTTGCTTCAGTTTATGTTCACAAATTTGTTGGATATTTTGTTTTAATCAAATAGTCAAAACAACAAAGATTGTGAGAAGCTTTTGCTTGCATTGTTATGTTGTTTTAGGAAAAATGTCAGTAGAAGAAGAGAGAATTTATTTTCTGTGTTCATTAGGGTAATGTTTTAATGCAGAGAAAGCTTACGAGCCTCAGGATCTTAAACATTCATTCACGTCTACCACTGGGTTATGACTTTTGATTTTCTGAAAATATGTTTCAAATGCTCTATGTATGTTACTATTTATGAGACTTTTCATACTTAATTTACCCTTTTGTTGCACGAGTAAGATATGGAAAATGCCAAACCAAGATTAAAAGGTCACAAAAATGTTAATTAAACTTTAATGTATTCATTAGATCGTCTTTTAAAGTATTTAAATATTATGGATAGGAAAGTTATAAAAAGAAATTAAAAATCCTTAATAAAATAAAAAGGCAAAGCATGTTTTTTATGAGAAAGGACTTGTAAAAGGATAGAAAACCATTTCCATAAAAGAGATGAGAGGAAATAATAAATCTCCATTTAATAACTTTATAATATTTCCGAGATAATCTTCAACCCCCCGGACGACATATATTTACATAAAAACGACACACAATTATCATGTTTCTCCATTTTTCAGCCGACGACATATCAATATTTACTCGTAAATCAATTCTACGGGAGTTATTTGGAAAAAGGCGACTTTCTTATCATGAGAAGCATCGCTACATGTTATATAAACAAAGTTGAATCTATTTTGCGATTTAAATTCAGAATCTAATAGAAGAGGAAAAGTTATTTTGTTTATTCTTTCTCATGTTTTTATTCAATTCTCTGATTTAAAGCTTTAGCTTATTCCCTGACCAAATGAAATTTATTTACTCAATAAAACGGTTGATCGGAATACAAAATTATGCTGTTTGTAGTGGAGTAGTGTTTCGAGTGTTCATCTACTCACTTTTCCGTGTCATGTTCTTGAAAACAACAGAAAACAGAATTTTTATTCAGTTTTCATGTGAAGAGTGGGAAAGTTGATTCTTCTTCTTCCTTTTCTTGTTCTTCCATTGTTATTTAATTTCACTTGTTGATATGATTCTCGATAAAGCATGTTGATTCTGTGATCTATTTATTTATTTTCATATCAATATATGGATGAAAATTTTATTTTATAAAATTGTATTGTAGAAATCTTTCAGTAGCATAACTTGGAATTGTTATCAATTCTAAGCTTTGAATTGTTGTTCAATATTTTGCGGGATGTTTTGAAAGCTGGTTTAAATCTAAGCTTTTCAATCTGAATTTATTTCATTTCTTAATCAACAAATCATAAATTTAATGTTTTTATCAATCTCAAAAAGAAAACTTTTAAAGAATTAATGTAACTAAATATATATCACTTATTAAGCACAGCGTACAAAGTCACATTGCCGTAAGTGCAGCAAAGAAAATTTCACAGTTTTATGTTTTAATTTAATTTATAATTCCTTGAAAAATGAATCATAAATAAAATTTGTAGAATATTTAAACTTTCACAAGCATAGCTGAGAAACCTTTGGCTCTCTACGGTATGAGAAAGTTTTCATTTTTTTATCTAATAAATTCTTTTTCATAGCCTGAGAGTCTTTCGTTATAATTTTCTATCTGCTAAATTGTCTCAAAGGTGTTGTTGAGAGTAATTGTCCTAGTCAAGGTCCTAGTTTATGGAAATTTTATGAATATAATAGAAATTTACCAATGAAATGATCAAATTGGAAAAGAAACCTTTTCATTTTTATAGGGAAGTGTCGAGATTTAATCGATAAGAACAATTTTCAGTGCTTTGGTTCTGGACATCCATTGATTGTCTCTTTTCATTAAAAGCTTTGATACGTTCTCAATTTCTCCTGAAACTTTTATTTGCATCAAATTAGGAAAATGACATTAAAATCTTTGTTAAATAAACCTTCAAAAGAAACTTCGAAACTTTGTTAAAACTGCTTAAAATTTAACGATTGAAAAGTCTAAACTAGGAAGTTAAAAAAGGAATGTTGGTTGAGGTTGTCGTCACGATTCAAATCTAAAATGAGATAATCAGAATATTCATTAGAACGAAGTTTTATCATGCTTAAGGAATCATTGATTTGAAGTTTCAAAAGTCCATAAGAAACATTAGTAAAGCTTCGATAACCATTACTAAGTATTCAATGCTTTGCGTTTAAAAATTAATCAAGACAACTTAAGAAAAACTGTTGAATGAACTTTCCTTGTTCATTGTCTGATTTGCATTCAAGTAAAGGAAATAAATTTTTAAAATTGATTTTATCTCCTTTTTTAATTCGCCAGTTTTTTGGGCGTCGAGTTTTGTGTTTTCAAAAAGAACAACTTTGATACTTTAAACAGAAAAAGTGATTAAACAATTTCCCACTCAGGGAGGGAGGGAATATGAAGGAATTGTTTATTTATATATTCAAGAGTAAAGGGAGGGGGATGAGAAACAAAAAGTGCGCAAAATTTGTTTTTATGTACTTTTAGTTTAAGTGGCGACCGAAAATTATCGCTAACGGCGCTGCAGGTGTTACCAAAATAATAAAATTTACCCAACGAAAAGTTTCTTTCGTGTCCCTTTTATGTTCAAGTTACAGCGTAACATGTTGCATGAAATTTTCTGTCAATAAATCAAACATTATGCAAATGTTTTACATCACACCTGGCACCTCACATTATCCAATTGGATCTGTTTTATGTATAAATTATCATATCTTCTCTCGGAGGAAATAGAATAGAATGCACATAAATAAAAATCTGAATTGATAAGCATGCATTAATTTTATCCATTTCTAGGTCTGATAATAGAAAGGCTGGCATTCGTATTTAAATATTTAAAGGAAAATCGATTCAATTAATTAATGCAATGAAGTTTTATTACATTTTATTATCATTTCAGCTTGCAGATGCACAACGAATGAATGAAAAGAATGCGAAATTTCATTCATTTATTTTGTTAATTATTGATTTATATTTTCTGATACTTGATGAATCATTTATTTCAATGGAATTTCACTTAATGTATTGATTCGAAATGATGATAGTCGCAAGAAAATATTGAAATCAATTTTACATAAAACCAAATAAATGTTTTATTTAATTTACTGCTCTTGAAAAGGATTTCTTTTTTAATTAAATTAAAAGATTTATCAAGAGTTAAAAGTTGTAAGTTCAAATTCAACATTCGTCCTAATCCTAGTTCCAAAGTTCTCATCGTCGTCGAAACTTTCCTTGAAATAAAAACACTTTAATCACTTGCGATAACATTTAAATGCTCGCAACTAGCAAAGCAAATATTCATTTAAAATAATTAATTTATGTGAACATGATAGAAGGAAAAACGATTTTCACTACGTCGAATGACGATAAACTTCAAGCACTTTAGAGTAAAAATTGAATTATATGCTTCGTATCTCTTTTCTAAACTTCACACTTTCGTACTTCGCAACCTTTTATCGCATGTTGAATGATAGTGCAACTTTCAACTTCTCGTCTCGATAAGCAAAGTGGAACTGCACATTTAGTTAAAATAATTAAATATTCTTTTCGAAACACTATTTCTATGTCGTTGTTGCAGCATATTTTCTTTAACGAGACATTACGAATCAATGACCTATTCAACAAACATCAAATATTAATGCTGATGTCATCAAGCACATACAATATCAAATTAAAATTAATTTTATTCAACATTTTGAACTTACAAAAGTGAGTGTACTTGTACATTTGACAAGAGTTAGAGCAAACAAGAGAAACTTTGGACTTTATAGCATAAGCATGACATTTCAATATTTATTCAGTTGAAGTTTAACTTTAAATTTTAAAGTTGATGAGATTTTACTTCCTATGAAATATGAAATATTCTACTAAATAAATCAGTAATCGATGCCTTAATCAAAGCATATTATATAAGTAAAATATGTATGTTGGCTCATTGAAAACTAATAAGAACACAATAATACCCTCATGAACATAATGAAGATGCTTATTTAAAATTTTAAGATTCCATCGTTAGACGGTTCTGTTGTTGATGAAATTCTTAGAAGATATTTATTCATATTTGTTGTTTAGATACTTAAATTAGATATTTTACATCATGGTTGGAATAATTCATGAGATTGAGATCGTCTTCTCATTTCACAAGAAGACGGCTCCGTAAGAAGTCAAATTTATTTTGATTACTTCTTGAAACAATTTGATCAAGAGGAAAATATCATAATTTCTCAAGTAGCAAGTACAAATGATTATTTTACATAAGTAAGAGTTTCCTTCTTTGGCTGCTTCTCGTTCATGCTATACATTTTTCCTTTATGCTGAATAATCATCTCATCAAGTTCAACATGGATTTTCATAATTTTCCTTCACGATGAGGAACTTTGTCAGATAAGTTTGAAGAACGAACGAACAAACGGAGGAACAAAAGACAATGAAATTTGCCTTATTTAAATTTTTAGAAATGAGAGGCCCGCATATTAAGCAGAAGAAAACATTCTTAAGAAAGACATAGACAAAGCCTCACTTTGAAATCTTTCTTTCTTGCTTGCTTTCCATCGCTTCACCCTTTCTGTTTCTTCATCCTTAAACACCCACTCATCGTTTACAATGTAATTGTAGCTAAGGCAAGACATGTATTATAATTTTGTCAAAATATCATAATTTCCATTTTCTCTCATGTCAAAATCTTTTTGCTTTTATTTTTCATGTGTAAGTTGAAAATTTTCATTTCGTTTTTCTTTTTTTTTTGTGGTGAAGCTGATATGTTTATGCATGGATAAAATTAGCATAGAAATGTTGCATTTGTCTTGACATTTGTAATCAAAAGACAAAAAAGAAGAACAAGAAGGAAAATGTTAATTCAAGCAGAGTAAAACCTTGAACGTTTCAGATTTTTCTTTTGAATCCAAATTAGAATCTTTGTAGATGGTCGTAACGAGTCCGTGCCCTTTTTGTTATCTTTTATTTCTACTTTTTTTTATTTAATTTTGAATGAATCTATTTACATAAATTAGACGAGAGAGAAGTCGGTAAGAGGGAAGAGTTCTGCTTAACGCATTGGATTATAAATCCGGCATCTCAATAGTGTAAATATTTACATTACTGTTGTGAATAATTCTTACCAGACTCTCTATCGATTTACCGATTTATACAAACACATTGCTCTGGTCGTTTCTAAATAATTCTTTCATCAGAGAGAAGGGAACACAAAAATGAAAAAGAGATAAAGAGAAATAAATTATATTTCAAGTTTTGACATTTGAATTGGAAACAATGCTTCACATCCATGTTTTAGTAAAACTCAAATGTGCGACACCATTGTGTTGTGTAAAAGCGAATTTGTTTTGAATGCATGAATCTCTCTGTCAGAATCATTTCAGTTTTCACATGATGGATTGAAGTGTTGTAGTATTTTTTGATTTATTCGCTTCACTTCTTCTAAGAGATTCTAAACATCAACATCAACAAAAACAAAAAAGCTTTGTTGTCGTTGAAACTTTTCGTATTTATGTTCGCGAATATTTTGTCAAAGTTTCAGAATTTATGTTCTTAAATAGTTGTGAAACTAACTTGAAATTTCTTCAACAAAAAGACCAAAAACGAAATCAAGAAGAATTTTGAAGAAAAAATCTTTTTATCTTTATCCCAAAGCTAAATATATTCACGCGTAGATATTACAACAACTACTACCAATGATGCTTGTGAAGAACGAACGCACATGATGATCATCACTTGAATAAGAAATGCTTTCATAAACAAGTACGAAGAAAACGTGTGACATGTAAAAGCGGAAGAAGGTGCCGAAGGAAAATACCTTCTTCATCCCGTTTAGTCTCTCTCTCAACATGAACATTAAAACGAAGAAAATATTAATGTGTCGTGTTTGTTGTCTCGCTACTTACAGAATCTTTTCCAGCCGTCGATTTATTATTTGTGTGTTATAACTTACACTCCCGAAGCTGGTGCTGCTGCTGCTGCTTTTAGAAAACACATTTTTTATACCCTCTCACATACACTCACCAAATCTAACATGTATACACACACTTATTTGATTGAATAGAAACGAGAATGAGAAACTCAACTCACACACAGTCGCACTCAAAACTTTTTTTTCTTCTCTCGTCCAACAGTCGGAAAAACTGAATATACATTCGTTAGCAAATATCTTTGCTTATCAAACGTTGTCCTCGTTCCAACTCTGTTACATCACTTTTATGTGGGACCCATTGTGTTTACAATAGTGTTAGTTGGATGGCTGGCTGTTAAGAGAGATGTGCAGCCCTCTTTCGTCGTACATATGTATATATTTTATAACTTATGAAAATATTGATTTTTCATTTCTGCCTGCCGCCTCTTTACAATGTTTTTCGTGTATGTAAAATGATTCAACTTGACTTTAAGAGAAAGAAAAGCTGAAATGTGTGTATCGCTTTGTATGGAATGTGAAATGTGCCTGCATAGTGAATTCATTTAAATATTTAACTGAAGCATTCCAACTTGGGATCTCCTTGCTTTTTCTTTTCTTTTCATTTCGTCTTTTCTTCCTTTTTTTATTTTTTATTTCATCCTCCCCCTCATCCACACGATTATGCGAATGCTTTTTTATTTCGGTATGAAATATAATGTGCCATAATATTAAGCGATTTCGCAAAAGAAAAAAAATCATGCTGAGTCATAAGAAATGAGATAAAGAAAAGTTCAGATGAACGAATGTATCATCCTAATGAAGCATGTTCGGTTCAGTGCTGTTTCTTAATATGTAAGTAAAATGAACATTTTGAGTTCGCTAAACTTTGAAAAGTCGTAATATCACCGTCAGCAACAAAATCTGGATGAAAGAAAAACAAAACAAAAAAACTCTTCGGTCTGCAACTTCAAAGCTAAAACTTTTTTTTTTTGTTTCGCCTTTGACATTTTGTCAAATATTTCCCGACTAACACAACTTTTTATCGAAGATTTTTTTATTATTGATGATTTTTTTCACATTCGTTCAAGGCGTCTTTGCAGGAGGAGGGACAAATATTCTGATAATGTATAAACGATCATAAATCCATTGGACTTTATTGCGACGTAAAGAATTTACGAATATGACATTCCCTAAAAGAAGATGACACTTAAACTTTTATGACTTCATTTGAAAAGCGATATCATGGCAAGACGTCGTATGATTTATTTGAATGATATTTGAAGATGTCGTTTAAAAGCTTTTTGTGGCTATCGAAATATCGGTTTAATTACATTCACCATTTCTTCAACTTAACAACTGTTCAAGAATGTCTCTTTTCATTATCGCAAAGTCCACTTTATATAATTATAGCGAGGCGAGGAAGCGTTTTTTGTGTGACTCCTCCTTGTTCATTTTAATCCGATAAATTGTTGGAAAGGTATTTGCAACCTCTCTGGGTGGATAAATTTTTGAAATATATTATTCGGTCATTAATACATTGCTGCCTATAATAATTGTATTTTAATGTGACAAGTAAGTATTTAAGCCAATTTTAAGCTTTACAAGCTCTTGGTATATTTAACGTTGATTTTATTGCACAACTGCACCCCAAACAATCGTAAAAAAAATAAGCAAAGCTTTCACAGCAATAAACTGAATTATAATATTAATTAAAATTGTTATAATTTTTCGCTTTCGACTGACCGACCGACCCTAGAAAATGTCTCTTGTACTATTAATTCACATAGATATAAAAATCTATGAGATTTTCATTTAAATAACCATGTGTTGCGTCCTTCTACCAACTCTCACACTTCACAATGATTTCTATAATGCTGAGAGTTGTGTTATTAATATGCAAGTGTGTGTTTGTTGCCGTCGCTTTTCGCTGAATAGATTCGATGAGTCAAGAAACTGATTTCAACGCTTTAAGAAAACTAAGATGAAAATTGATGATGGGTTATTGCTTTGCTATGCTTTTTCATTACTTTTCGTCTGTATTGTTAATGTTCTATATTCACATCACGAAAAACTTATCGAGATACAAAATGAAAAAGAGAAAAAATATTTTTAAGCCCCGAAGTTCAACGTTTTGTAATAACAAAAATCCTTAATCTGAGATTATAGTTTTTTATTTCATTTGAAATGTTGGCGAAATATCATACGTCGATACATTTCATTCTCATTTTCCATGATACGTTCATTGAAGAAATAAAACTTGTCTTGAATATTTTATTAATTTTTTCTCTACTCTTGTTGTTGTCGTTCGTCGTCTTCTCATCAACGATATTGGCCCAGATACTGATACTGATATTGAACCTCATACTTATTGATGATATAAGTATTTATATAGAAATATCTACTTGAAGAGAAATGAAGAATATGCAAGATTTCGATTTCGTCAAGAAAAACAAAGCAGAAGAAAAATAAGAAGAAGAGATAAAGAAAATTCGACTAAGGCGTAGTAATTCAATTCGCATAAAAATCTGCTTCATGTTCCATTAATCACAAGTTTGCCGCTCTCATCCCAAAAGCAACCCAAGTCTTCTCCATCTTACACATTTTTCTTGTTTTGCTAGGTTTCGTTTTCTTCTTATGGATATTGATTATTTTGTGCTCTTTATATTCTCCAACTTTTATGGTTTAATCATGATGGGAAGTGAAAATAAAGAAAACTACCCGCTTGTGTTTACATGCAAAAAAAGAAGAAAACACTTTTCTGGAGAGACGAAAGAGACCAGAATAAGTAGTATCAGAAGCAATGAAGTGGATAGAGCCGTCTTAGCTAAGTACACGTTGTTTATCTTCCATGTGGCATAAGCGAACAGCAGCAGTAACAATCTAAAATTTTTGCAACATATGCTTTTGAAAGAAAATATTATTTTTTCTTAACGACTTCTCCGAAGGCTGTAAATTCAATTTGTCTTGAAAATTTACTTTCTATCTCAATATAAAAACCTTCAAACCATTACTACAATCGCAACGATTATCTGGAATCGAAAAACGATAAAAACGGATCTATTACTGAATTCATTTATCAGCTCTCACTTTTCTTTCATTCTTTCTTTCTTTCATTCTTTTTCTCGGTAGTTATTCAGGGTGATGCAATAAAGAATTTTCTCGTCTCATTGAAAATGGAAATCGTGAGAAGAAGAAAATGAAAAAAATATAAATTTCTCATCGCAGAAAGAAGTGAAAGAAAAGAAAACGAAGGCAGAGGAAAAATAAAAAGAATGACATTGATGATGATGAAAATGATGATGATACGACGTGATTCGAGAGGGTGGAAAGACTTTGTAAACTGCTAAACTTACAATCGTCTATTTTCCTTTGATGATTGTTCTTGCGCAGTGTGATGGAATGTGAGAGGAATTGAAATTCTCTCTCACGAATTTTCCATGCTTTCTCTCTCTTTATCATCATCACGCCGGATGACACGGCATGGAATCTTTTCCAGTTAACAAAGTAATAGAATGTCACGATGTATGTTTGCTTATGGTTCATGGAAAATCAACCGAAAGTCTAATCTCTACATTTCCACAGAGGTTAGAGGCGTTAATGGAAATGAAGAGAAGTTTTCCAATTGGGAAATTTTCCTCTCAATGACGGTGGTTTCGTAAGGAAAATAACATGAACATGTTTTGAATCTTTCCTTGGAAAAAAAAAGCAGAAAAACTTCAACAGCAGGAAAATGATGATGATTTTTTTCAATGCTTTGCTTCGTCTTCACATCGCGCTTCACGGAATTTTCAGTTTTTGTTTTGTGCTCTTAGTATTCAGTGTCGAATGGCAAATGTTGCCGCCTGAATAAATCGAATCGTTTACACTCTTATCACAATTCATTCACCGGGAACACTAAACAAAAAAAATTCCGACTAATAAAGTTATAAAAGTTGTAACACGTTAAATGTCGTTATTTAATTTAATTTCTCATTATTCTGCATCATTTTTCATACGTGTCTGCTTGAGTCATTTGTGAGACTGAGACACTCAATCGATGTAAAAAGTTTCGTGTGTAAAAAGTTGTTTTAATTGATTTCAAACGCGAGTTTAAAAGCTAACAAAGCGCAAACAACATTTTTTCTGTGTATGAAGACTCGTTTTCTTCTCAACTTGATTAAAGTAACAATTTTCACGTTACTAACAGCAGAACCAGCGGTGACATAAAAAGGAGAAATTTTAATTTCAGTTTCGATGTTGTAAAAATGAAACAGTTTTTTGTTGTCAGCCCAGAGATTTGAGTTTTTTGATGTGGTACGTGTAACTTTGTAACATTCTAAAAACAGAAGGAAAAAAATTCTAAAGAATTGAATTATATCGAAAACTATTAAATTTAACGAAAAAATCTAACAGTTAATGAATTCAGGTAAAAAGAAATCTGAAAATTCATATCGATTTGAGGCCCTTGATAAAAAAGGGAGATTAATGTAGAGAAAGTAATGAAATAAGCAAAAGTACTCTTAATAAGTTTCATAAGAAAGAAGTTCAACTCAACATCAAGCAAAAAAGGAAAAAAAACATTTTTGGACAAAAACAACAAATAAAAGAAGGAAAATTAAATACAGGGACTCAGTGTATGTGTTGTGCATCTTTCTTTTACGTTCATCAGCTTCTTGTTGTTTAATTAATCACTGAAAGAAGTAAACAAACAAACAAAAAAATAATCTTCGCCTGAAGTTCCTTACAGTGAAAAGAAGCAGTAACAAGGGAAGAAGGAAAAAAAACGAGAGAAAAAAAGTAAAAATCGGAAAGTGGAGTAAAGAAAAATTATTCTAAAGCCTCGTGTCGTGTTTAACGTTATCCTTGTTTTGTGCACCTAGACAGTGTAGACGATCCAAAAAGATTAAGCGAGAGAGTGAGAGAAGAAACAAAAGGAACCTCTTGGAAAATTTATTCATTTCCAACATTAAAGTGTCGTTGCTTTAAGTAATAGAAATCCCTAAATATAGCAGAAAGGAAAAATAAAATCTTTATTCACACAACTCAGCGTGTTCGACACGAATTAAAAAGTGCTTTTCGTTTCCACTGTCTGCATACGTGTGCTACTCATTTTTGTAAATTAAAACAAGATGATAATAGCATGGAATTAAAATTCTGAAGTGCCTAATTTCTTTACACCTTTGAAAACAAAAATAGAAGGAGACGATAAAAAAGGGGAGAAAGATTATCTCGAGGAATTACCTTGTCACGTGATTCGGTTTAACAAATAAAATTTTTCTTTTGTCAAGAGTAAATAACAATCAATAATTTCCCTCCTCTGAAAACAAAAGCCACACACACACACAAATTGCTTATTTAAAGTGATAAATGACAAAAGCAAATAATATAAATTAAATAATTGTTATTAAATGTGTACGAACCTTTTTTGTTGCCCAAAATTTCGTGGATTAAAGAAGAAAAAAAATTATATAAATTTCCTAAATTGAGTGGAAGGCAGTGGTTTCTTTCAGTTGATATTAAAAGCGTGTGAGAACATTGAAAAGAAGAAAAAAAAGTAATAAATTTTCCTTGAGTGTGTGCCAAGAATCACTCGCGTGTTATCTTCTATAATTGGAATTAACGATCAAAATACGAGACAATTGACTACTGATTAAAAACCAAGACTTTAACTAACTCATTGAACTCAGTTTTGGAAAAACAAAGAAAAAGAATTTGATTGGAGAAAAGTCTGAAATCTTGTTTTGCTTTTTCGTGTAATTTTTAAAGTTTTCGAAACAACAAGTTTCGAATCTTTTCAAAGAGAACATAAAATGATTTATTATTCATCCCCTTCATTGAGTGGATTGAGTTATCATCAGTGAAAAACTGTTGGGAAAGAAAGAAAAATCGTAAAGAGTTTCCCACCACCAACTTATCTTGAGCAATAAAAGGAAAATATTCTCGATGAGCCATTTTCATTTTTTCTCGTAATTTTTATGTGCGTACTTGGAATTTTCATGCGAAAGAAAAACAAAAAAAATAACGAAAATCGTGAAAAAGAAGTCATTTCAATAAAAGGAAGAGAAAATTGTGTGCGATATATGTGTCAGTTTGAAGAGCTTGAGCACAGTGAATAACTTAAACTCATACCTGAGTTGGGGGAGAAATAAAAAGGAATGAAAAACATTTCAGTGAAAAAGAAAGTTCTTTCGAAGATCGAATAAAAGGAGAATAAAATTGATATGTAATAAGAAATTTATTTGTCTGATAACAAACGAAAAGAAAAAAAATATTAAAACGATTGAGAAAGGAAGAATTTAATCGTGATTGAAGCAAGGCGAATAGAAGAATCCAGCATCTGTGTGATATCGAAGTGATAAGATATTGTATTATGTGATAAATATAACATATAAACCATAATAAAAACATAAATTTCTCTCCAGCAAATACATAAAAGTTTCCTCGTGAAGGAACGAAAAAGGAAAAGAAAATTTTGTGGAAGAAAAAAACAAATCAAAACATTTCTTCAAAAAAAATCAATGAGAGAAAAAATATTTCTTAAAGTCGTATATATCTAAACGGTAAAAGAAGAAAATTTCTATTGAATTGAAAGTTCAAAGGAAAATGAGAAAAATGTGCTTTATCAGATGTGAAGTGAAAAACGACACCGAGTAAAAAAAATTGATTAAAAACATAAAAAATTCTTTTTCTATCTTCGCCCTTAAACTTGCAGTCTCTGAGAAGGAAAAATTTATGGAATAAAATTTGATTTCTATCGACGAGACAAGCAGTGAGATAGCAAAGATAAAAACTTTCATTACTTTTTCAAAGTTTTTAGCAATTCACCCGACATCCATTTTATTGCCATTTTCTTCGGAGAATTAAACTTGAAGAAAGCAATCATAAATTATAGAATTGATTAGATTGCACAGAACATTGCGCTTAAACAATTAAAATTAATCGTAAACATCAATTTTTGGATTACTTTGAGATCGTAAAAAGACTGGAGAAGGCAACAAACGTATTAAGAGAATATTCGTTTCGTTCAACTTCCATTCGAAGTCTAACGACAGAAAATCAAAGTGAGTAAAACTTTTAGATCTTTGACAGTAGAACTTCTAAGAGGTAGTTTGAAAATGCGTTAAACAGTTCTCAAAATTTTCATTCAAGTTATCTCAGTTTTCATTTCATCGTCACAACTCAGAACTTCACCTTTGTATAAATTCATCTGCCTAATCTTATCACGAAGTAAACTTTCTCCTTTCATACTCGCGTCTTGAATACACATTTCTTCATCATTATAAGATGAACATTGACTAAAGTGTTTCAACTTTGTTTACTTTCATTCAATCCAATCTCAGCCTTTCAAAGAATATCAAAGATATGATCAAAGTACTCGACAAATGACTAAAATGGATACTGAATTCAAAAACTTTTTTATATGCTTTCAAAAAAGTTTTTGTCTTAAGAAACATGAATACAAAATATTTTGCCTTCACTTACTTAATACTTTTAACAGCTTCTGTCGTGTTTAAAGTAGTTTTTAAGCTTCAAAGTGAGATGACTAAGACAATGTTGGGTTGAAGGAATTACCATCGGTGACGTGAGAGAAATTTTGAATGCATAAAGAATGCTTTTATGTACGTATTCACATATATTCATGTAAACGGGATCGTCCCGTTTGGTGTTTTAAAAATGAAACTTTTTATCAGTGTAAGTGAGTATTAAGAAGTTGAAAATGAAGAAAATTCCAGCCATTAATCAAATTATTGTCGTAATAAAAAAATTAAATTTAGCCAATTTTTGTAGACAAAAACTTAACTCAGAAATTCAACACAAGATCAATAACCTAAGAAGGAGGAAAGAGAATAAGACGAAGAAAAATAAAACGTCATGTCACTGATTTGTACCCCGAGATAATTTAATGCTCAAATCCCCTTAGCTTGTACAACTCTCGTCTGATGTATTGAAATTACAAGCAAATGCTTTCTAGCATTAAATTGCAATCTTGTGGTGGGAGAATAATTTTTATGCAGAGGATTATGTGGTAGGAAATAATCGAAAGAAATTATTTCACGAGCATAAAATTTAGCGTTTGAATATTTCTATCAGCCAAAAAAGAGAAAAAAGGAAAAACGACGGTGAATGGAAGAAATGAAAGGAAAAGAAGAATTTGGAAAATTCTTACTTTAATCTCATCTCCTTTGAAAGAGAGACGAAAAACAAGAACTACAATAATAAAAAATTATGCTTCTTGTGAATTCACATTCTCAAGACATAAAACTGGTAGTTTTCTTCAAACTGCTTCATGCTCACAATTTTCTTTCCCTTTTTTTCCTTCTTCTTCCATCGTATCACGAACTAGCTACGTGACGTTATTTTGAAAGGCAAAAGCAAACGACGGGAACAGGTAGAAAACAAAACCAAAGATTCTTTTTACACACATAAAAAAAAATTATGCATATCAAGAAAGAAGCAAGCATAAGTACAATAACAAATACAATGAAAAAAGGAAAAAATTTACGTCAATAAGAGGAGAGAAAGGAAAATTTATTTTGCACAAAANCGTTATTTTGAAAGGCAAAAGCAAACGACGGGAACAGGTAGAAAACAAAACCAAAGATTCTTTTTACACACATAAAAAAAAATTATGCATATCAAGTGAAAGAAGCAAGCATAACCCGAGCGGCACAAAAGGCGATTTCTCTCACAAATCTGGCATACGAGTATCGTCTCCATTTAATGGGAAGGCTTTCCTTTAGAATCCGCCATATGAAAGACATTTGGCTAAAAACTACTGGCTATCGCCTAATTCTATCACCTTAAGTTAGTTATGTGTTGGACTAGTGAAGAATTTCTTAAGCTGCCTTATGGTAGCCTTATTTAGAGTTAATGGCATGTGGGGAAGCACCGTAGCGTCAACTGTTAGTGGTAAATTGATACCTCGGTTATTTTCGCTGATTTCTGAAGGAAAAGCCAAAGGAAGTGCCAATTAAAAATCGTCGTAGTGCAAACGTATGCCTCCGGCACGGCGAGTGTGTGCCGCTCGGGTAAGTACAATAACAAATACAATGAAAAAAGGAAAAATTTTACGTCAATAAGAGGAGAGAAAGGAAAATTTATTTTGCACAAAAAAAAGTGGAACGTGAATAATTTTTCCTTCTATTTTCCTTTCGTCGTCACGATTAAATTCGATTTTCTTTCATTTAATTCATGTACATCAGCATTAGTTCGACCATGCTTTGCTATGTAATGTCATGATATTTGCCTTATAATCGGAATTTAAAGTCAGAGTACTTTAAAGCGTTTTATTAGTTCACATTCATGACCAACTTTTACCTTAATCAGTGCATAAATAAAACGAAAATATATTTTAAATCATTCGAAGGAAACTTTCATCATTTTCCAACAATCAAATGCACGCTTTAATTAATTCGACATAGGTCCATTTATAACGCACGTGTCTTGAATATGGCAAAAGATGTTGGCATTTTCTCAAACTCAGTAGACAATCAGCTTTTCATCTTTAATAGATTTTTTTTCTTAAACAAATTTCTTCGTCGATTTTTCTTCCTTTCTCCATTTGATAGCGATTGAGTTTAATGTTAAAATAATTTTCTTTGAAGCCCTCTGAATAGGCATTCGCGAAAGTGTTTTTGTTATATTTAGTGATGTAGGAAAACAGGAAAACATTTTCCAAGTTAAGCGAATCAGGTGAACACAAACGACTTTAACGACTCTTCTCGCTGACTTTAAATGATTCTAACATGCTTTGAATATCTCTTTTTGACTTTTCATCATTTTTTCCTTCTACTTCTTGCTTTTGTGTCGTTGAGTTAAGAAAATTTTTCGAATGATGTCACTTCTTGTCTGATTGAATTTCATAAAATGGAAAGAGATTGAAACTCAAGTTTGTTTTATGTTAAGGGTGACGCAAAAGTAAATACATAACGTCAAAGTTTGTGATAAATTCTGACATAAATTTTCTTTTTGAGTTCTCTTTGAAACCACCCGCAACCCTCGGAAGAGTAGCAGCAAAATAATTTGGGGTCAAATTCCATTTTTATCTCCTTTAGAAGAGAGGAGCCACACTTACAAACCATCAGAAAAAAGTTCAAATATGTGTCCTGTAGAATCAAAAATCTCAATTTTCGTTTTTATCCCAATTTCGTTAGTGAAAGCCACAGAATGAGGGCTGCTTTTATATGCTCACCAGAAAAGGGTTTTTCTGGAAACACTAAGCAGAAAACATTGGCATGAGTAGTTAAGACATTCATATGAGAATATGTTCGAATGAGAACTTCTACGATCATCTTGTTCATGTCGTGAACACTGAAAGCTTTTTGGGATGAAAATTTAACCTCATGGAAACTTTCTGCATTCCTTACAAGTAAAGGTTCTCTTCCAAATGTAATTTTAATTAAGGCAAATTATATTTTGAAAAAGAAACTTTTTCTGTAATGTTTTAAGGAAAAAATGGACGAGGATTCCAACAAATTGCAATTTTTTCTTCTCCATTTTCTCGGTTTTTAAAGAGAATAAATATTGAAATAAACATTTTTGTTCCGAGAAAAGTTCCTAGCTTAAGCCATTATGTGTGGATTATAATAAAAAGAAAAACACTTCGACATTTCATGCATAGAAAATCTCAGGTGCATGCTCGAGAAAGAGATTTGAAAATCACTTGAATGTTCATTTTCCTAGATTTTCCTTATGCAGCGACGAATATTTTCCAAGGTGAATATTTTCTTACCTCTTCTTCTTATTCTTATTTTATATTCGGTTGAAGAAAACATGTGTGCTTTATTATGCTCTAATATCGGGTCTTATTTTGTCGTGTTGATTTTTCTGCTTGTTTCTCGTTTTTTTTTTTCAGCATAAATTTTCGGCAAATTTTTAGATTTATAACCTCGCAAACGAACCTTTTCATTCTTTTTAGAAAAAGTTTCCTTTTCTCTTTATTTCATTTTCTTTAATTTAAAAGTCATGAACTTAAAAGAGAAAATAAAGTTTTCATCTAAAATGTTGAAGTTTAGTAACCTCCAAGCAATCTCATCCTGCTTTTACGACATCAAAATTCATTAATGAAATCATCAAATCTCTTAAATCATGAAATCACTTAAGAACTTTAAGCAATTACTGCCACACATTAATGACTCAATAGTAAAAATAATTAATGTTTCTCATTCGAACCTTATAAATTAGTTTCTCTAGGATGTGAGGGGGTAAAGGGAGACAGAGTCTTAGAACATTAAACATTGAGACGCACCATTAGTCTCTGGAAGATTTTTATCGTCTCGTAAACACACCCTCGTAGAATTTACCAAGAAAAGAATGAAAGAAAGTAGTAACTGAGAGAGTTGAAGAAGAAGAAAATCCCTTCTGGAGTGAAGTCTTCGTGAGAAATCAATAAATATTAAGCGATAGCACAAAGAAAGGGGAAAGGAATGAATGAAAGAACTATGTTGAGTAAAGAGCGAATTAATGCTTTGAATATTATTGTGCTTAGTCACGTATTTCGACTGTCATATCTTCTCAACTCTACAACAAAGCTTGAATGAATTCTGTCTAAAATGCTTGATGATATATCTCATGCATTCAGGTGAACGACAAGCTATCATTCTTTCATTTTGATTATTCACAAATGTTTTTACGATCACTCGCCTTTAACTTCATTTATTTCCGATTAGAAAGCTTTTTCTTTTGTGACTTTTGTTTGTGATGTATGACAGAGAAAGCGTTTTCCATTCGATTGACCTTTATTTCAATTAAAATTTCGTTACATGGCAACAACATATATGTGGGTTCAGAAAAGCGTATGAAGGCGTGAGGTGAATTTAACGAAAGTGACAATGGCGCTAACAAAGCTGACATAAAATTGCCATTAGATTGAACTCTGTCCATTTAAAGCTTTCAAACTTGCTTAATGTAGATGTTGAATTCTAATTGTTTCTCAAATGCCCTGAAGGGTTTTATGAACATGATTTCTTACTTAAACCGAAAGTAAAATTATTTTTGTTATTTTTATAATGGAAACTTTACCCAAATCGTTTCATTTCTAAGTAAATTGAAATTTTTTAAATTTTTCAAAGCGTTTTTTTTATCGCTTAATGGTTTAATTTAATCACAATCATATTATGATTGTTCACGGGTGAGTTTGAACCACTAAACATGTCACGAAACAAGCCACGAATTCATGTTGAAGCACAAAATGTTAAACATCTAAAAATTAAAAATGATTTCTCTCTTACTTCACCTTAAAAATCCCAAATGGCAATAATCTATGGGCTTTTAGAAGTCGCCACAGTGAAACATTGTTCAACTCAACAACACAGAGAAAGAGAAAAGTGTGCCTCAAAAAGTGAAAATTGAAAATTATGGGTCGATTAATAAATCATATTTTCATTATAGTTTAAATAAATCATTTGAAAAGCGCTCTGCTCTGTTATGTTTTCTCCGTTGAGCTTTTATCCATTGAAGCAAAATTACATTATGATAAACTCAATTACACTCATGAAAATGAATTCATGAATCATGATTATTATTTGGCTTTATATCTTGCTGTTTAAAAGTTGATATTATCATCTTTCGTAATGTGTTTTTAGGATGTTCTTGTTGCTTGACTTTATAACTTGTGAATACTTGAAACGAATGAGTGTTGTTAATTTTTTTCGTTCTGTTTTTATAATTTCTTTAATTTTTAATTAAATTTTAAGGATGAATAATTGAAAATTTTCCAACCATTTAAACAGAGCAACAAACTCAAAATATTTTTCAATGATTTTTTTTAATTGACTTGACGGTTGTCTTTTTTAGATTTACTAAATGGAATTAATTTATTAAATGTGTCTAATATTTTGAACACTTTTTTATTGCCAAAAGTTTATTTCGTTGACAAAATTGTAAACAAAATTTATGTTTGTACATTTGGAAAGTGCAATCGATTTCAATAATTTAATTTTTATCGACAGCTTTTCAGTGAAATATTTCAAGACATGAAAGTTTTTCCTTCAATTTAATCGCGTTAAATGTTTTTGGGAATTGAAATTCGCGAGTGATATCGAGTAGATATAGCCAAAATCAATTTAATGCTAATACATAATTTATGCAGCATGTTTTTAAAATCCTTTTTCTGAGCATTAATTTATTAATTTAATTTATTTACGATGTGAATTGATGAATTATAAAGATAAATTACATTAAGGTGAGCTTTCCTTCACATGGCAACAAATAAATGAAGAATGGCATTCTCTAGTTCTTAAAAGATGACAAACAAGCCTTCATCTCAATGGGAATGGACTAATTCCATTAAAAATTTATTCATACATTTCAACATCCAACAACATGAATAGATTCAAAATAAGAAAAAAAAAGTCAAAAGCCATTTATCGATTTCCTTTCATTCCTCTGTGATGTCTATTCAAATGTCAGACAACATTTTAGATACCTTGAGTTGGTTTGAGGATACAATGCAAAAAAGAAGAAAATAAAAATGAATAGCAGTAAAGTTTATCATATTTCTCGTTTCATTTATTTATTCATATTAAAAAGCTATAAGACATATTGTGTTTCCACATCCACAGTTGAAATAGGAAATGATGAGTTTGAGTTAAAACAATGCACAAGCAAACAAATATTTTCGATTTAGTGGAGTACAAAGACAAACTACTACCAGGAATTGAATGAACTCTCATTGTTTAAACTTATATTTATGAGCTTTGAAAAACATAAAGATGAATAAAACGAAAAATATTTAATAGTTTTTCCATTTTTCTGTTGTCAATTTCAGATTTATCGATCACTGGAGCTTAAATCATTTGGAAAAAAGAAAAAAACAAACCAAATAGAGCGCACATCAGTTAGACATACAAATGTTAGCATATCAAAACGAACAATTGTCAAGTGAGTGATTATTACTTTTAAATAATGATAAAACTTGTTCAAAGTCATTAAAGTCTTTCATCATTTACAAACAAAAATTATGAGTTAACAAAGCTTCTTCTTGCAAGTCATCATTCTTCAAGTTAGGCGTGAAATGTTGTGAATAAAGAAATCGATTGCTCAAATATATTCTTAAACAAATTGAAGCGACACGATAGAGGAATAGACAAATCATGACATTACCACCGCCATGCTTCAACGTGTCGCGCAACTAATTTTATTTTCCTGCTTTCGTCTTTTATTTTCAAATCAAAATCAATAAATTTTCATGGGAAAGTTCCAACAACGCACAACTGTTTTAAACATGATTGCATGCCTTCGCGAATGAATTGATTATTGTGAAGAATAAAATAAAAGGAAAGAGAAGGAAAGCGAATATCGATTAACTTTTATCAAGAAAACTTTATGTTTTATCATGGAAAATTCTCTTTTATAATTTGAGGGAAAATTTTCTTTCTTCCAGCTTTGTGCACTTCAATGTTGTGCTGTCAATTTCGTCTTTCTTGCATGCGCTATTTGACGGATCAAGTCATGCATCGACGGGATTTATGATGGAAAAAGAAAAACTTTTTGCTGTTCAATTTTCATTTGCAAACATCGCCTTTTTGTAACTCAATTCCGTTTGACAAAATTTATAGCCAAATTAAAAAATAATATTGACATGATCGCACTGATGACATTACATAATTAATTAATAAAAGTTTTAATGAGCGGCAGCAGGAAATTTCGCAATTTATCTGAAATGTCTACCAATTGTTGTTATAATTGGAACAAATTTTTTTCCAATATTAAATTGCAACATCATCTCAATAACTTTTTGATAATTATTGATGAAATTTGCTATGAGGACATTGTTGACGATGGTCTACTGATAATTATGACTTTAATTGATGAAAAATCGAAGGGATGACAAAAGCTTGTTGTTTATCGATGATAATCCTCTGAGAAATATTCCATAATGCCAAAGTTAATTTAAATTTCTTATTAGTTAAGCTTATTAAATTATGAATTTGCTTGTCTATTCACAGGTTGCGCTTTCTTTTTACATCCAGATTCGGTTCAGGCCGAACTTTATGATAAGCAGATTATATCGGGGGTAAGTTGTCAACAATTTATCAGTTTTCATCTTTAATTAAATAAAGTAAACGAAGCAAAAAGCATAAATAAATTGAATGCATAAGTAATGAAGATAGACAATCTACCAGATTAATGCTTTTGCAAGTAATCTTCTACTTTAAGTAAGACTAGAATTACAAGAAAAGAAGAAAATAGTTTTCTTCAATATTTTATGGACATTTCTGCTTCTCTCTATCGCGTTGTACTTTTCACATGAAGAAACGAAATGAATGAGAATTGGAAAAAGTAAAAAAAGAAGAGAATAATGTTTATTGGTTTTCATTTCCTCGATCTTGATCTAAAAATATTGTTTACTGAATTCTTTTCTCTGCTTCGCTTTTTGCTAAAGATATTTGTAATACTTTTAATGGCAAAAAACAAAAAAAAATTTATACACATGATGCACGGAAAAATTGCGCCCGTTGTTGAATTGTTGAAAGCGAATGATTGTAAAAATATATTTTCGAGGTACTTCAATGCATGCCGTATGGGTTGCGAGCAATTAATTTGAGACTGAAGCTATAAAAAGTCTGTAACTCGCGAAATCATTAAAAACTTTAGCACATAACACACACATCGACGTCAAATAGCTTTTTGTGAGTGAAAGGGAAGATCCATGAATTAAGTCTCATATACTTCATATCAAACCTTTTCTCATATGATAAAATTTTCATTAGAATTTCCCCTCAATTCACTCGGTGAATTTTTATCACTTTCGTAACATTCTGAAATGCATAATTTTCTTGGGGAACTTAAATTTTTCATTACTTTCTTTAATCGATTTACCATAAAACAGCAATTGCACTCATAAAGTTCCAGCAGGCAAAAACTCGTACATAATATGTGTTTTCTCGGTAAACATAGTTCAAAAACAATGTTTTTCTCGTCTCGTAATAATTTACAAGCTTACATGAACCTTTGAATCATGTTTTACATCGACGAATCGTTAGTTGGTCTCTTTGTGTTTGAGTGAATCTTGAAGAAAAGTTTTTCCGTTTATTTATTTAACTTACACATTAGAACGAGTTAGTTTGATATAATTTTTTACAAATGTAGGGAATTTTATTTATGTAGTTCAGTTTGTTACGCTGGAGAAATTCTTTTTTTTTTGCAATAAAACGTGAAACAACGAAATTTCTCTACATTTGATTGAACTATTAAAACTCTTCTGCTTTTGCTTCTGCTGTTGTGAGTCGCAAACTTAGATCAATATAATTTTTTTTCCTATGTTTGTTTAACAGAAAATTTTTCTCTTCTTCTCTTCCAACCGCTGATTTTTCAAACACATTTTTTAAAGTTCGTTTAGTTTATCGATGTATGCTTTATAGCATTTTTTTTTTCTTCTTCATCATCATCTGAAGCTAAATGAAAACCAGAAGGAGGAAAATTCTTTTTCTTTCGCCTTTTCTTCCATCAGTGTTGAGAGAGAGAGATATTTTCATTTAGTCTTTATTCACTCGATCTATTGAAAGCATCATCGGTAAACGCGAGGCGGTTTATGAAAAGTTCATAAGAAGTTTTGTTGTTTCATCTTTTGTTTTTAAATTTATTTTCCGAGTTTTCTATATTTTGTTCTTGAAAAAGTGAAAAGGAACGTGGATGTGGTGTTTGCTGTATGATGAAGTGTTCCTTGAATATTACAGGCGATAACAGGAGAAACGTGAAAGTATTTAAAGTTTAATTTGTTTACGCGTCATATGTGATCAAACAAGCTCAGACAGTGGAAAGATTTTGTTGAACTTTCTTCGTCGTTCATTTCAGTGTTAACAACATTAAAAAGGAAGAAATGGAAACTGTTCTCATGTTGCTTTGAAAAGTATCGCAAGAGTAGTGTTGAAACTTTACACATTAAAATAATTCATCTTAACGATAAATCATTGCTGAGCTTTAAAAGCAAGTGTCACGTATCGAAGAAACGAGACAAAATATCTGCTCGTTGTTTTTGTTTATTTTATGTCATGAGAAGTGAATGAAAATGTTGAAAGAGAAATAAATAAGTCAGAAAAGATTTTCCATACTTGAGCTGCATTAAAACATAACTCGATTGCAAAGTTGGAGAAGAAAACAAAACCAAACCAGATTCTGTCTGTTTTTAGTGACGCCTTGTGAGATAAGAATGGATTCATCTTCAGAGTCAGACACGTATCTCTATTATTACGATGTTCTTGAGGTTGGTCTTCTTTTTTAATTAATAATTAATTCATTACACTATACACATTCATACAAAAAAAATTTAAACCAGCGCGAATAACGTTTAGAGAATTTATTAAACTAATTAATCTCATAAATCATTTGGAAATTAACGAAACGAAGGAAAAAAAGAAAAACTTTTAAGAGTAATTGTGAAGAGACGATAAACATGTTGAAATAAACTACGGAAAATGCAGAGACTGCTGTGAAGTTCAATCGGGAAAAAATTGAGAGCAATAAGCGAGAATATTAAATGAAAATCATCTCTAGAGATTTCCATATGTTTATGAAACAAGTCGAAACAATCATTATACTGTTCTATTTTTAAACACATTCAATTGAATAGATTTTTCTTCTCTCATTCTATTGTACATACAACATTGAATGAAAATTCAGTTTCCACGATTTTATTTCCTTCCTTTTCTTCTGCTTTGCTTTCTTTCTTACCAAATCGAATCAATGAATGTTCGAAGAGTGTGAAAACTACATCTCTGATTAACAATATTAACTTCTATAAAGGTTAAATTTTATGGTATTGAAACTTTCAAAGGTTTTTCTTTTCGATATACAAATGGAAATAAATTTTTATGATTAACAAAAACCACGCAATAAAATTGAAATGAATGAGTAAGAATTTTCCTATTAAAATATTTTTTTCATTTCCAACACTAAATGGATGCGAGGTAAACATAAGCATAGATTATAATTTAACTTTCCTATTTTTTAATAAGTTTTAATGTAAATAGTTCGAAGGAAAATTAGAAATCATGAAACATTTATTTATGCAGATATTCACACAAAATCGTTTGTTGCAAATTATTTATGTTCGAGTTCAACTAAAATTTTCCATCCATTTTCTCTGTCTAGATTACAGGTGTCTCATTCGACAACAACCAGTTGACCGCTCATAATTTTCTCATAAATAAACTGACACGTGAAATCAGTTGAGGAAGTTTATAAATGACTATTTCCATTTGGAACATTTGTTTGGATAATTATATAAATTCGAAACTGTTATTGAGCTTTCATCTCACCTCCACTTCTTTCGATTATAATTCGGTATGTGTTGACAACGAACGTTCAAAACTAATTGAATTGGTGTGTTGTTATTGTTGTTATTTTATATATTTTAAAATTCAACTTTTCCATCAATGTCGTTCCGTTTTTGGGTGTCACAAATCGAAAAGATTTTTTTTTGTGTTTGTTGTTCTCGTGAATGCATTTTTAATGAGTTTTCAACAACAATTAGCAATGCAATGATGTTGTTTTCTTAATGTTATGAAAGAAAATTAAAAAAATCTTTGAAAAGTTTTAATCAATTCGATTGAGAATTAAATCTCATAAAATGAAAGAAAATATTCTCAAAAATTGAAGAAAAAAAGTTTTATGGATTATGAGAATTCTCTGGAACCATGCCCAGTTTAATAATAAACTATCACTTACAGATTCTAATTAAATCTGAAGAGTTTCACATGCAATTTCGAAACAATCAAGTAGCTGGTTCAAGATGATAAGAACGAGAATGAGTTAACGTATGTTTCTTCTCTTGCATAAGATGATTATCAAATATACTTAAAGTTCATGTTCAGTGACCAACTTCTGTATGGAACGAAGTGAAGTAGTCTCCATGGTTTATGGAAAATTTATTTAATTAACGAAGAGAAAAGTTAGACCATAATTCTTATAAAGCTGACGATAAAGTTGGGCTTTTAAATCCTCACGCATTACTTTGCACCCTTATCCGAATGGAAAGCTCACAATCAATTTAATGCCCCGAACTGGGAAAGGAAGTGTCGCCAGCATATGTTGTCGTCATCATAGCCACTCGTTCAATGTTAAGGAAAATGTTTTTCCAATTTCAATTCGAAGGGTAGCAAAGAAACTAAATTTTATTCTATTTTATGAGCCTCCATTAAATGCCTATCTAGAAAAACTGTTTCCACTACACAGCCACGTTTCTCTGCTTTTCGATTTCTCCAACCATTCTCTATAAATTTCAATACATTAGCTAAAGTGTTAGTTTTTCATGGTGGCTTCTTTCCTTTCAATTTTTATTACGAGTCTAGTTTTTTTTCTCTTTTTCTCTCCATCACGTTATTGACTCTAATAAATTTTCATCTTTCGGTACCTAATTCTATACGAGAGACTTTGCTTAATGAAATTTTATTTAAAGATCGGATGCTTGCAAAACGTTTTTCCTTCTGTTTCTCTCGAGATAACCCTTTATTCGAGAGCTTATTTTAATTCTTTTATTTCAAGCCGTTAAGAATGTTCGGTGGTGGCATTGATAATAGCATGAAAGACGTTCAGTGTTTGAATCACGATTATATATTGTAGAAATTACTTTATTTCAAAATGACGACTTAAATTTTCTAGGATAGTTGAACTACAAAAAATAATTAAAGAATTTTCATTCTCCTTAAATAAATAAACTATGAAAGTGTGAAAAGATTTTCGTTCACTAATGGAGATTTTTCATTTTAATTTTTGTTCTATGAATCTGAATTTTAATTTCACGACATTAGCGGATAAAAGAGCGGAACTTGTGGCAATAATTTGTGTGATTGTTTACATAAAACTGTGCAATGAGAGAAGCAAAAGAAAGTGTCTGTTTTGTATATTTATTTAATTTCATCGTTATACGACCAAAAATTTTTTAGAGGAATGGTAGAGGGAAAGGATGTCTGGCACTTGTCATTAGCTACATGAAGAAGAAGGAAAAATCTTCTTATTTCATAACGCTACGCTACAACAACACTGATGACTAATAAGAGTGGAAGCAAAAGTCAGTAGAAATAAATATTTTATTTATTCATTAAACGTTTCTCAGCCAAATGAGAGAAGTAAGAAAACAGTAGAAATCGCCTAGCAGAAGTAAAAGTTTATAACCGAAAATGCAAATAAAATGCAACACCTTATATCTGTGAAAGTTGTTGAAATTGGATTTAAGCCAAAGATAAATTTATACTGGAAATTTCAAACGAAATTTAGTCTTCTTCTAGCCTGGCCCTTGCCTTATTGCAAATTGGAAACGATAATAAATAAAAGTTTGTTTTCTCTTCTAAATGGCAATGAAAATGTAATCTCGCATCTCATGAGCCATAAATTTTGTGCTCGAAGACAAACTCTTTAGAAAAGCCATACAAAGTAATGAGCTGAGAACGTCCTTGCATTAACTGCCACAATTAAGTTATTGTCTGAGTATATTGCCCTTGACTATTTGGTCCTAGATGTGATACTTGTTTACACACATTAAAGAAAACCCTTATTTTGTCTCCCAAATATTCTCAACATCTTATTTCACATACTTTTAACTTTATGAATAATTAAATTATAAATTAAATAAACATTAATTGTACCCATGAGATGAGCATTTAGATTGTGTGAGAAGCATAATTTTTGTGTCTCTGACCTAATTTAAATAAGCAAAATGTTTTTAATTTTCTTGAACTTATCTTCTCTAGAACAGAAATATTTTTCCCTTGAAGATTTAATTATTGTTGTTGATAATCCAAAGGAATCGTGAAAATTGATAACGAAAGATTTTTTTAGAATGAAGAGCGAAAGTCAAGTAACTTTACATTCTTAAATAAAAGAAATTGTGTCTTGGATAATCATGGATAAGTAGAATCCTTGCAAAGTTAGTTGAAGCACAAAAAGGAAAATGTGCTTTTTTCTCCTTTCAAGCTAAAGCGCCACCACTTTGACTTTTTTTTGAAAAGGAGAATGTCGTTAAAAGCTTATCAAAGCTTAGCTGACTTTAAATTTGAATATACTTTGTTTCAGTTTAATACTCTTTATTAAGTATAGTTATATCTATTTTTCTGTCCTATCTTTAAAATTGAGTTCAAATGCAATTACAGTGAATTTTAAAATGTTCGCATGAAATGCAATTATCGTTGTAATAATATTCCATCCAATCAAAAAAAGCTCTGCAAAGCATAAAAACATAACGTAATAATATGTTACATCTACAATAATTGAGGGAATCAATTTTCTATTAAAAAAGAGGAAAATGTAAAAAATTCTATTGATATTAATTTCAATGCTGTACGCATGCACAAGGGCAGGGGAAGGGATGAGAATGCAAAGGCGCTTTATTGATATCTTTTTCATGCAACATTATTGATATCCTCAAGGCAAAATGATACAAGATCAAAGTAAAAATCTGTATGAACAAGTCAAAGTGATGTAGGAAGAAGCTTTGAAGGGTTGAATCATGTAATATTATCGGTGAAAATATTTTTCCATGTTGAACATTCGTATTTAGGAATATTCACTTTTCCTAAATTTTCGATGACAATTTCATAAGCCATTTCATTCTCTTTTATTTCATTAATTCACTTGCGGGGATTAAATTTAACTGATCACAGAACAGCGGTAGGTAGAAAAATAATAGCAAGAGAGATGAGAAAAAATATATCTGAATATTCAGTAGCGTTTATGGGACTTTTAAAAAGTGAAAAGCGGCATTCAAAATATTCTATTTCGAATGCAAATTGTATTAGTACTTCAAATTCTCTCCCTCTTCGTTTTTCAAGAAATTTTCTGGGCTTTTTCATTTCACAGAAGCCCCCCAGTGCTAATATCAAATTTAGGGGAATGAAAAAGAAATCGCCTTTCGATATTACATAATCGAATTTTCCTCAACATGCCAACGTATAAAATTTTTGACTAGTGATCACTTCAATTTTCAATATTTCTCTCTGCGTCACTTGAATTCCTTCCACTTTCTCCCTTAAGAACTTTAGTGAATTCTTGAAGTATTTTTCTGCCTCAATACACCGTCGAGCTAACTCTAACTTATTTTCTTTTTATCAATTTCTTATTGTTTAAAGGCCAGTGAATTTTTTTTTCTTTTCTCCGTTTGACTGCTTTCTTGTTTGAATAGATAGAAGGATATTTGTGATTTTGATGAGGGTTATAGAGTCGCTTAATTTCAATAAGAGATCGAAGAAGAGAGAGAAAAAAAATATGCGAATGAAGTGTACTTTCTGGGGATTCTTTTTATCCATTTTCAATAAAACAAAAGAATTGGATGATAAGAGACTCTTCGACGATAGATAATTGTACTAACGGCTATTTTTCTTTTCTTGTTTATATATTTCTTTTTTCTTGTTTTACTTCCTGTTTTTGTTGACTTTGAAAAAGAAAAGGGGAGAAAAACATTTTTCGGATATACTTGTATTTATTTTTCGACAAATAAAGGCAACTCACTTATAATTTATTAATTTATAAGTCTTTCCTGATACTCACGATGACTTGAGAGAATTTTCATTTTGCTTTTCTGTCTCGTTTTGATTATTAGATGAGATGATATTTAGCAAAGAAGTATTTTTTTTTGGGTATGTAGCTGAGAGTTATTGGAATTTCTATTCGTAAGAAAATTGGAAGATATCTGACCTTTCAACATGTGGATGTTGTTTATGAAATTTATTGCCCACCCAGATATTCTTATATTCTATATTCTGTGGAGATTAGCATCAAAAGCTTGCCTCAAGCTTTGAGAGCAGCATTATTGCTATCATGATATTATGCGGCATGCCACTTAATCATAACTGAGTGGATTCAGTATTTTTAGGATAATCATACGATAACATATCTGCACACTCGATTTAGTCCCGAGCATTTTCCAATTAAGTGAGGGATTAGATTGCGTATTCAACATGTTCTACATACAGCATATTTAAAACAAAAACAAACCATGTGTGTATGAGAGGGAAAGAGAGATAGAGAGAAAAATATGTAAATGAACAGTGAATGAAGAAAAAAATCGCATTTTCATTCGAAAATATTAAATTATAATTCAATTTCTTTTGCCATGAAATCACACTTTTTTTCGTGTTTTAGGCGTGGGAGGAGAAAAGTGAGATTCATCATACATTTCTCTTCCTTTTTTTCATGATAATTCAATCCGACATATCTCATGATGATGATAAACCTGCATGCATGTTCCCCTCTGTTCTTCTTGTCTCATGATGGTGCAAACCTTCAAATTGGTTTGAAATTCCCACTTGATAAATAAAGAAATATAAAAAAAAGATGAAATTTTAATATGTAAATTGAAATCTGAATAATGGAATACATCATAGCTGATAAACAATAGAAATAAACATTGAATTTTGATTAATTTATAATAATTTTGAGAAATCTACTCGAGCATCAATCAGTGTTGTTTTCAATTTATGTTCGTTCTTGTATTGATATAAAAAGCTTTTTGAAATCCTTCTGGAGATTGAAGAATAACGAATCAAATCTGAAACATCACGCAGCTTTTATTTTTATCAATTCGCACAACAAGAGCCTGAGGGTGTTTTGATTATGTGACTTTTATTTTTCATTTCAACTTTCATAGCTTGACTAATGGTTTTGTTTTTCAAATGTTCTCTTCCACGGACACTTTTGCCTTTCTCATGACTCGTAGTGTCGAAACGAGTTTCATATTGTTTTTCATTTAATTCATCTTGTCGGGTTACTGATTGGATTTTTTTTTCATTCGATCTGACCCTCCGATTTGGTATCATTGAATTTTCTAGTCTCAGTTGAATTTTTTTTATTGCAAACACATCAACTCACAGTCGACTTATCGTTGCATTGCCTAGAGTCGTTTCTAAATCACCTGAAGGATGTGAAACCAGTGATTTGTTTTATTTTCATTTCTGCATTCGAACAGATTTTTTTTTTTCGTTCAAAATTTAATTCGCTTGATTTTTAACGTGAAGCGACGTCAATGAAAATCGCTTTGAAAATTCGCTACGAGGATAACTCGAAAGCTGGGACTGAATTTAACTCAATTTTCCAAACAAGAGAATTGAATATGCTGAGGGAAGGATGAAAATCCTTTGTTTCGCATCAACTTTATTTTTTCCATCAAGCTAAAATAATTTTTCGCTACGCAATGAACATTCATTCGTTCTTCGCTCTCAATTTTCCCTCACCTGAGCGATGTGCAATTAGTTGACAAATTGATAGATTCATTAAGCGTAAAATTGAAGATACCAAGCACAAGTTCGATGTCACCCTCGAAACTTGAAATAAACAAGAGACACAAGAACAAGAATAACATTTAAGGTATTTATTGCAAAAAATGAATTTCTAAAGAAAAATAAAAGTTGATGTATAAAAAAGAATGAGTATCAGTAGAGCGTAGAAGAGAATTTTGTATTTGAAAAATGATTTTACATTATTACGGGCACATCACGATGGAAACACCAGAGAAACATTCGTAAGAATTGTAAGAGAAAAAAAATCTAAATCTGTGTGACATGACTCGGTGACTTCTCGTCTTGCTGTTTCATGGTTGTGTTGTAGAAGCAAGGCGTAAGATATATGAAAATAATAAACATAAATTCCATGGGTACGAGAGATGAGAATATCATTTAAACAGTTGTCTTTTGCTTTTTCCTTTTGCGGTTGTAACGTTGAGGCGTTTTTCGGGTTGATAAAATTTACATGATTTTTGTTCCCTTCTGCCATCCATGAGAAGAGCATAATTTCACATTTTCCTCACCCCCGAAAAAAATCTTTTCATTGTCTTGACTTGTATGATGTTGAATAGAATGACGAAGAAGTGTAATAAGCGAATACACGGGAGTGGGTGGCTTAAGGTGGGCGCCGAATAAAAATAATGGTAATACAGAAAACAATTTATTAGCTCAAGCAAAAGAAAGAAAGCAAGAGATGTGCATTGTAGATGTAGATTTAATGGCAAAACCCCAACGAAGATGAATGGCTGAAATAGAATTGCGAGTAGAACGTTACCGGGAATAAAATAAAAAAAAAAGAAGCGAAACGTAAAGGGAGACGAGAGGATGGATAGAAGGAAACACAAATTTGCTTATAGGTATTTAACTGACATATAGTGTTTTTCTTTCTTCTTTTATGACTTTTTCTGCTGCTGATATTGCTTCTACCGTATGCCATTCAAAATCACAGTCACTATGGAAGACGAAAGAGTGGAGAAAAGGAAGGTAGTAACATGCCATTCACAGGACGGAAGTCATATATGTTAAAGAAATAAAACGTAACAAGTACCTATTCATTCTGTTCTATGCGAAAGGCGTGTATAAATTACACTGACATCATTGACAAATTTAATATGCGATAAGAATAATTCACAATGACTGAGTGCACTTCTAAAGTTGTCATGGAAATTTAAAGTTCAAGTTGTTGATGCTTTATGTTAGGATCTTAGCAACAACGATTAATGAGAAATTGTTTCATCTCATGTGGAAGAAGCTTCCGAAATGACCAATGAACAATAAAAAGATTTGACACACTCAAACCATTGTCAATGACAATCAGAGAGAGGAAAAATTTAAAGGAATAAAAATGATATCAACATCAGCTGATGGTAATTTTGATGATGAAAGATAAGTAAGGAGAATAAATTTCGCATCAATGGGCTGCGACAAGGTTTTATTCATTCAAATTTATTATGACAATAACGCATTTTTTTTAAATGTAAGGTTTCTCGTTCCTTCTTTTCATAGCCTCGATTCGAGTCGAGTCGACTCTTCTCCTTTGGCAAACATGATAAAAGATTTATTTTCATTGCTTCATAATATATTTTGATTAGGTTTTATTTTTTATATTTATTGTGTCATGACGAAACATAAACTGCTGCGATTGAATGAGAATCTAAACGTGTGTGTGTGTATGTTTGTATTACTTCGTTGAAATGTGAACCCCATGACATGGTAAACAATTCTTCTTTACATTCACTCAACGCGCGTTCGAAGCGAAATTCTTATGATCTCATTTAGTTTCTTTCCCTTGTCTCGCATCCTTCTGCCTTCCTGAACAAACAAACAACCAGATATTACGTGTTTACGAAAAATATTTAAAAGCGACTGAAGAGAAAGAACGAAAAAAAAATTGTTGTTGTCCAGAGAACATAAGAATGGAAAAACATCGAAAGAAAGTTTATATTTTATGCTCTTAGGGCACGTTAGCTAAAAGTTAAGTCCTTATGATGGTTAATCGTTCATGTTGTTATCGTTCGTCTCATTTCTCTACGAACTTTCAACTTGAATGAAGTTTCAAGAGATTTTAACACTTGAAAAACAAAAATGCTTAAACTGAATTTACTTTTCACAATAAATTAGAAAACAAAAAGTCAACAAAAGGAGAATCCATCGTCATATCATCAGCGTGCAAGCAATGGAGAAGTCAAACAATTATCAAGCACGTAATAAGCTAACACATCATAAATAAGTCATCATTCGCTCCCTTAGAGAATGTCTTAATATCGGCAAAATAAGCGAAGAACGATTAAAATGTGTGCCAAAGAAGTTCCAAAACAATTAAATGCAAAAAGATTTTCACGAGAAAATTTCCACTCCACTCTAAAGGACGACGAACGATGATGCTTTGATTGTGTTTAGGTTGTTGTTTGTTGATTCACCAACACGAGAAGATGAGAAAAAAAAGAAAGAATTGAGCAGAAAAGTTGAGTAGAAAGGGAAATAAAATAAAATAATATCAAAGCATGACGCAGACTCTCGATCAGGCTGTTGCGCACATGCTTCCTCAATATTTCAACTTCTGCTGAGCTACAACAAGCAAAACTTTTTTTTTCGGTGGTTTTAGACTTTTTTTTTTTCTTCTTTCTCCTGTATCTCTCGTAAACGCCCACGGTAACCTATACGATATGAATGTATGTCTATTCATCGCATTTTTTTCCTTCGTTCGCTCTGATGTGCTATTAACTTTTGCCTTCGATACCGATGAAAAGAGCTTCCAAGACAACCGTTTCTCTCGATACCGTTCGACATGAAGAGATTTTGCTTCAGAGGATTTCTCATCACCGAGACAACCTGAATTGATTTATAAGTTGGTACTGATGGAAACATTATTCAACAATAAGAAGTAAATAAAAAACATAGTAACGAAACATCAACAAGCCCATTGAGATGGAAAGCACATCATGGAGTAAGTAATAGAGTAATGTAGATGCATTTTCACAGTAAATCGATGACGTCATTAAAATAGGGGAAAAAAAGCTTCAATGTGTTTGTAGTGCGTTTTTTTTCTTTTTGTGTGTGTGGGTGATTGTAGATGTATGTCAACAGAGACTGACTTCCAACTCCAAATGCCTGTTGCTTCTTCTGTTAAAATGGTTTTAACATCCATTACTCCCCCTATCGAGAGAAAATAGCAACAACGAAGCAAGGAAAATCATAAAATTCTAGCATTTGAAAATTTTCACACACATTTTTCCTGATACTTGTTGTGCTCGCTAGCAGTTTTGTGTTTATCATAGACCGTTATCCTCGTATAACTCGTTGTCGTGTCGAAAAAAGAAAATAATAACAAAATCTGAATAAAGAAAAATACGTATGCGGTTTGAAATATTTCAGGAAAATTCTTTTTCATTGAAGATTCAGCAAAGAAAGCAATTTAAGTTTGTGAACTTTGTCGAAAGAGAACGATTTGTGTAATTAAATTTTCATTGACATTTGTAAATGTCAATCAATCATTTTGTCTGAAATCCAAATTTTCGATTTAAGCTTAACGAAAAAAATATTTAAGGAAAGATTTTCCCAATGAAAATTTAGATTTTCTTGTTTAGTCTCAGAAAGTAGGAAAGTTTAAAGGTGAAGTTTCAAATTTCCTTTGGTCTGATTGAGAAAAGAATTTTGGTCTTTTCTCTGCAACAATAAGACAAACTTTTATTAACTTCAAGAACGGAATTGAAAGAAGAATAAAAAATAAAACGAAGAAAATTACATAATTAAAATCTTAAAGATTCTTCACTTCCTCTAAGGCTTCTTTGCATCACATAATTGCGTCTATAAAGTCCAGAGGCGTCAGAACTTTTGAATGAATATTCTTGAGTTGTAGACCCAGAGTGAAAATAATTTCCAAACAAATTTGCATAATTTAATGGAAAATTAACTGAAAAGTGGAAATAAGAAACCTGTTGGCGAATTTTTCAAACATTTAACATTCAAGAAATTAAAAACAGAACAAATATTCATAAGTCTATAGAACATTATTTAAAATAGAAGTCAAAACAAATCTTATAAAGAAAAATTGTGCGGGAAAAGTTTTTTCTTGAAGTTCAAAAGAATAAAATAAAATAAAAAAGTCAAAATTAATTTTAAAGTCAATTTAAGTCGTGCATTAAAAATTGTGTCAAGAGAAGAGTTGAAATTAATTAAATAAATAAAATAAAATAAAGAACTTTAAAAGCTCTCATAGCCAACATAAAAGTCATAAAAGCGACCCGGTGGTGAAAAGTAAATTAAATCAAATTAATTTTAATTACATTGTTAATTGCGAGTTTCGTGACAGCAGACGACAACAACAAAAAAAAGTTAAATAAAAAAAAGAAAGTGAAGTAAGTTCACTTGGTAGCGGTGTGTATATCTTCAACTAATTGCTGCAGCATATTCACATGTGACAAACTCTCTGTTTAGGCAGCAGGTAAGGCAAGCAGCAATTCCATAAGTTTCTTTTTTATGGTTTTTCACATTGCTATTATGAAAACATGTTTTTGCTCGTGACACACAGTGAGAAGGAAGTTGTCGTCCACACTTTCATTCGGATAAAACGGCCATTTACCATGAATATTTAATTGCCACTCCCCCGACTCCTCTTTAGCACGCACACAGTTTTAATTATCAAATTAAAATGAAATAAACTCACGGGGAGAGAGAAAATGGAATGCGTTTTGTCACTCGTTTGTTCGTCTTACAACATGTTTAAGCAGATATCATAAAAAAATTATTTTATTACCAGATTAATTTAACTTAACTTTAGATTCTCATTTATTATTAACACCGAAAAGAGCAAATTTTCATTTTTAGACATTCAGGAGAAGAGTTTTTCTAACTTTTATTCCTTACTTAAAAACGATTTTTGGCCTGATAATAGTCTTTGCTTGAGAGTTTTCTCTCGTCCAATCAGTTTTCTCGTTGTTGCCTTTTCAACCCATGGAGACGTTATTAATTTTTAATTGGCATGAAAAATGAAAAGCCTCCTTATAACAATGTTTAATTTATGCCTCTTATTCTTATAATTAAGGATATTTAAACAGCATCTTAAAGAAAGGGAGAAATAAACTTTATAATTTATGCTTCAAGAGAAAGAAAAGAGTTTGAACAGCAACATCAAGAGTTGCTTCTTGCTTGTAAGTTTATAAATTGCCTTCAAGATGAAGGCAAGAAAAAAGAAAAGAAGTATAATGTGCAAAAGATATGGAAATTAAGAAGACGAGAGAAGAAAACAACATCGAATCCTTTAGAGAGTAGGAAAAGTGAAAATTAACAAACGGACTGAATTATGAGCTTTCGTAGCTGGCCCGACCCCGACGATCTCTTTCATTCACTCTTTTATGGATGGGATAAATTCTGTTCGCTTCTTGTTTCTTGTATAAACCAAACATGAGCAGAAAAACAAAAACTTAAAAAAAAATTTGCAAGATTCATCGCTTGGGGGCATCGAAAATTTACGAAAGGGACTTCAGCTTAGGGTCGAATTGTTTCTTCTTTTTAATTCTGTTTTTTACTTCGGAAAATCAAAGTGAAGTTGAAGAAATGTTGGGAACAAAATGTTAATAAATCATACGACATGCCTGAGATGAGAAAAGGTAATTTTTCAAAATTATCTTGATGTCTTAAGTAACAACAGAGAAGTCCCTAAAACCAAAAGCAAAACTACACATTTTCCATGCTTTTTATACTGTGGAAATGGTGAGAGGAAATGAAGAACTTTCGGATGGGAACTTCATTAGCAACTTGTTCACTCCACAAGAACCAAAATCGTATTAAGCAATTTTTCCATCTTAATTAAAACAATTTTTCAACATTCTCGTACGAACTATTTAGTGCATGTGGGTGTAAGCAGATTTTAATCAAACTTTGTGAAAAAAAAAGAGTCCAAATTAAGTCTTAGGTGTGGATTTATTTAAAATAAAGGTTTCCATTTAGAGTGAAAACGAAAGCATAGAAAGGAAAATTCCAAAGTCTTAAGTATATAATTCAAAAATAAACGAAGGTATGGGAAAAGCTTCAACTATCTCGTCAATTTAAAAAATCTCGTAGGATTGCGGGGGAAAAAATTAAATGCGGATCAAAAAAAAAAAGGAAAAACATTCAATCTCTTCCCTCATATTTCTTTTTTTCTTTTCCAATATTTAATGTACTTAATCCTTTTAAATGATCGTCAAAATCGTTTCAATATTGTTTTCTGATTTGTTCAAATATTTGCAGAACGTGCTTATAAACGAAAAATTCTCAAATGCCTGAAAATTCATTGAATCACTTCATATAATTCATATGTATACATCAGCAAAAGAACAGAAGTGAGGGAAACAGAAATAGCACAGCACAGCAAACCGTATCTTTGTAGGTCTCGAATGAAAACGAGCAATTTATTGTTACGATGTGGGTTACTCAGAAAACTCAATGTGAACTTGTAATAGTACTTATAACGAGCAGTTTTCTGGTTTATTTATTTACCTATCAATTATACATTTCACGAAGAACATCTCGATAATGTGGATTGTTCATGTTTTCACATGAGATCAACACCACACAATCGTTTGAAAAAGAGTGAAAATTGGATAAAGAAGTAAATTGTGGTAAGGGAGAAAATCCTAAAGTAATAATAACGATGATAATACAAAGCAAACAATCTAATATTGATGATAATATGCGGCGCTTCCCTTCATTTAATAGGCTCACAATTTGTGCAGTTTTTTATGTATAAATAGTTCGATATATGAACTTCAATCAGCGATCCCGCATTCTTATTTTTATCCGGAAAACTCTTCGTAGATAATCTTCAATGAATTATAACTTATAATTACAGTGTAGAAGCTTCTTTCATGAAAGAATTTATTTGATATTTGCACGAACTTTATTTTCCATAATAGGTGGTTTCGCCCTAAAGAACTTTTCATACATTTATTTAAAAACTTTAAAAAAAGATAATGAAATTCCATGAATAATTATGTTCAATAAATTGAGTCATCTCAATCAACTTTCCATCCCCAAAGCTACCACTCAATTGAAGCTTGATCAAATTTTCTCTCTGATAACTATAAAATGAAGTCAAAATTTTTCTCGCTATTTGATTTCCTTTTTTTTCAAACATAATTAAACTCCAGTTTTTTTTTGTGTACGCTGAACACACACGGTTGGTGTGGAAAGAGTATGAGAAATGAAAGATGGAAAAAAAGTAACTTTTTATGACTCAATTTTGCTTTCTGCCATTCCATGTTGATGTACATGTAGCATTTTTAATACATAAAAAAATTCCCTCGTCACGCTTGCTTTTTGATGAAAGTTTTGGATGAGGGGAGAAAGAATGAATGAGAGATGAGAAATTTGATTTTCTGTGAAAAATATGACAAAGTTTTGAACATCGATACCAACATCGATGAAATGTAGATTTTAACATGATTTTAATTGAAGTTTCCACATCAGTCGTATATCAAACGAATTTTTTATTACGTGAAACGTGAAAGAAGGAAAAAAAAAAATTCTTTGCTTGCTGATTCCATTTCACCAACATTTTCATTCCCTTTTTGATTGATACCATTCAATAACAGTAACAAAAACGGAAGAAAATCATTCATAGATGCCATAGAAGGAGATCCTTTAAATGTTGATTCGTCTCAAGGGAAATTTAATATTTATTTAATAATTATTTTGCTTTGCTGAACATTACAAGCATTTATGTAGTTCGCGAAAAGGTTTCTTTTTCCTTTCTCTGCCTTCCTTTCATTTCAATTCTTCGTATGAAGTTCAATTTCATTTCAAACGATCGTTTGGTTTTGCTGTTTTCATACCAACAACATATTCTCCTATTAAATGGCAGAAAAAATAACTTTTTGCTGTTATCCCATAGCTATCGATGTTCATCAAAATGTCATCCCCTTTTCCGCATATATTCTTTCACATCCCCTTCCAGCAATGGCTTTAATTAAAAATGTTCGTTCACATCTCGTTGCGAAATTGGAAAAATCTCATAAAAAATTGTTTTTCCTCTCTACGACTTATTTAAAAATAACATCACATTCTATACAAAGCTAGCTAGTAAGTATTAAGCACGAGAGCTTATCGAAGCAAAAGAAATTACTTACGTGTGTGTAAGTGTGTAGGTGGATTAAACTTTTTCTCGAATGTCCAATTTTTCTTTATCCCACCATCTCTCAAATACCGTAAAATCTAATTAAAGTCGTAAAGTATACATACATACGATGGAAAAAAAGAAAAAAAAAGGTTTATTAATGTCTCGATGCTCGTGTGTGCTTAGAACAACTCGACATACTTATTGCTCACACCCTTCATTGTGAAACGTGGCAAGATGGTGAACTTAATATCAAGTGAGATTTCTATTTTTCTATGCTTTTCCCAAGCTCTCTGAACTTTTCATTCCTTCGTGCTTTCAGTTCCTGTTTCAGTATCATGTTTCTTAATAAGCGTAGATGAAGCTTATGGGAAAATATTTTATTTGATTAAAATGAAGGAAAGTAAGAAAGTCGCAATTCTTGTCGCTATTAAAGGAAATCCCTTGGGATGAAACTTTTTAAACGTCAAAAATACAATTTTAAGGTAGATAAGAAGTTTATTAAAACTCACACATTAAATAAGTTTTTGAAATCATATCGGAAAACCTCCAAAGCGACATGGTGACAAAAGGAATTTCAGTTGACAAGAAGTGTCAAGTTTCACTGTATTTATTTATCATCAACATACATGTATCCACCATCCAATCACCTGTACCAGAGTGTGATGAGAAACCCGAAACGCTCTGCCACCTCATCATTAAATTACGAGCTCGAATTTAATCATTTCGGATTTTTCACAAATCGTACATGCATGTCGAGAGTAATTTCGTATTTAATTTAAATCAATATAGGAATGTGAGTGAGGGAAAGCTTTTAGTACTCTTTTTTTGGGCTAAAAATTACAAGCGACAGATAATTATGGAAAACATCGGTTGAGCTAATGGAACCCCATTGAACTCGTCCGAGGCTGACGGGCAGAAGCGATGGGGTTGAAAGGACGTAATACAATATTGGATTAAATGTGGGTGCAATGGTTTTTATGACATCAAAAGCTATGCTGTCTGTTACTATTTGTCTTTTATGTATTTGCTATGTGCAACAGCATTGAGAAGAATCTCGTGTGATTAAACATACCAGAATCCAACGCTTTAGTTGAAGTAAAACGTGTTAGCTTTGAAAAATATTTAACACTGCCATAGAAATGCTTTTAAATGTTATCCGTTTATTTCCACGCAAATATAACTAAATATTTACTTACTTATGTTGTACACATATCTCGAGAACATTCTGAAACTCAAAAGATGAAAGATTTAAAACAAGAGAGTTATTATTCAGGTGTCATGGCATGGTATCATCATAAGCGTTAAAATAAGTGTAGAGTTTGGAGGTCGAGAGATATTTAAATAAATATGCAAACTATTTTCACTTCGAAGATAGCAAGCTAGCTAGCTGTTGGTGATGATACATTTATAAGCTTCTTTTTACTGTTCTTCAAACGTTTCGTTTTCCCTTCTTTGCCTTGTCTCGTCATGCCATGAGATTGGAGAGAATATATAAATGTGGTGGTTTTAATATGATGTGGCGTCTGCGGGCGATACAAAAAAGGAACTCTCAACTCTGTTATTAGAATTGAATGTATAAGCACAAACAACACTATAACTCTCCATGCTGTATTTCGACAATGAATTCCTTTGTTGATTCTTGATATGAGGACACAATTTTCTAGTTCAAACAAACTTTAGATGCAATGGTATTCACCACATTGCGATTCTCATTCGCTCATAGAAATTTTCCCTTACTTTTTTTTAGTAGCTACGACATGTCTCGCTCGTTTTCGCTTGAAGTGAATTTTTTTATATGAAATACTTTCGGGATTTTCGGCTTTTCATTATGTGCAATAAAAAGTGAAATGAAAAAAAAAAGAAAAATAAATAAAAGCTATTAAATTAAAGGTTCACATTCCATGACAAAGTCCATTGATACGCTTTTAGTTTCAACGTTTTTTTTGCTGTTGTTCGTTTCGGCTGTTGAAAAGTTAAATTAATTTTTGTTTTTTTTGTGAATGTTGAAAAAATGTTTAAAGTTTTGCTATTTTTTCCTCGCTAGTTTCATGTTGAATCTTGTAAAAATTGGAATGTAAAAACAAGGATAAAGAAATCCCTGCTCGCCACTAAGTAATTTTAATCTCTCGAACAATTTCTATGAGATTTAATTTCTTTTTTCGTTTTTCCTCGTTTTTTGCTTTAACCAATGCCATCAGAATTCTCGTATGTTGGTTGTCGTTCTTCGACCATTGGGACAAGAATTTTGTTTTTCGACAGAACAGCCAGAAAATAAAACTAACAAGAGTTGATCGCTTGAATGTCTCTATAAAAATGTTTATTCGTCCCAAAACGTTATTCAGCCGAAACCACTTTTCATTTTCCGGTTGTGTTGGTGATACGTGTGTGTGAATGTGCGAGTGATTTCACCAGATTATGTGATGAGCCTGAGAAAAGCTTTTCGTCTCTTAACTAAAGCATCCAATAGTGTTTTTAGGAAAATGTTTTCTTGTGGTTTGGGTGCGACGGTTTTTGCTTCTGTTGCTGCTGCTTCTACTGCTGTTGTTGCTGTTTCTGCTGTGTAAATTGCTCTCCCCCATTTCCACTCTAACTTTTCCCTTCTTTTCCTCTACCAACAAAGACACATAACATTTTTTTAATTAAATTTTTATTATGAAGATATACGTAGAGGTTGGCAAATAAGGAGAAGAGACAAACAAAAAAAATTTGCTGGAAGGAGATTAGGTAAAGAAACAAAGAAAAGGAAGACAACAACACACCAGATAGTAGAAAATCCTATAAAAAAATCAAAAATTATTGTTTTAAGCTTAAAAATGTTCTTTTTTCTTAGTTTCAATGAGATTTTGTGCTCTGCTTTAAGTACAAGACAAAGTGAATGAATAAATGAATGTAAAGAAACGAAGAAGAAAAAAGCACTTTTATGGATTATAAATTTAATGCACTGTGAGACGCCACTTTGCCCCATTCGCTTCGCAAATGTCTCTTCATCGCCTGCCTTGTTGAGGTCATAAACTGCATTCACTGCAAGACAGCTTCTTTTGTCGAAGTTAAGTATTTTTGTGCTGAGTGAAAGTTTACGATCTTTTCGAAAAATAGCAAAAAAGCGAGTGTGAGAATATAAAGCGAGAAAGAATGTTTAAAATTTGTTTAATTATTAAGAAACATTTCGTTTAATAATCTTAAAAATTTTCTCTTTCCACTCTTTTTCTTTCCTTCATTCATTTCACACTCGAAGAGAATTTGAGTAATTTGTTGAAAAGTATGTAAGTAACATGCAATCAGTAAGCATAACATGAATGTTTGAAACCACTTAAACCTGCGATAATAATTCATCGGTAAATTTTTTTGTTTTGTTTTGATCCATTGTAACATGCAAAGGCGCATGTTGAAGATTTACATGAAAAAAAGAGCAAAACAAAATGTGAAATGTTTTGACTAGCTGGAAGCATAAAAAACTTCATAAAAGCATTTAAAGCAACCTCCCCTCATTTCATTTTTTGAAAGCCAAAAGCTGTAATTCGTTTGTTGGTAAATTTGCCTGCCTTTAATAAATCACTCTTACATGAACGACATGCAGCAACAAAATATATTGCGTTGTGAGATTTGCATTTGGTGAGATGAATGTTCGTCTAATGCCTTCATTTGAAGGCGTCATCTCGTATTTCATAAGAATCTCTCTCCCCTTCTTACCGCTTACTTAACTTGGTAATTCTATAAAGCTTTCCATCGAATGCGAAAATGATGAAAAACTTAAACAACAGAACAGTCTCGTCGCTTTCTCCTATTTATATTTAGGCTTCGATTTTCAAAATGTGAAACAAAAGTTTGATAAAAGAATTTGAAGTATTATCAGACAACAAAACTTTTTACATTTCGTTGAATAAAAATTAAATAAAGATTTATTACGAAAAAAAATGAAAAATAAGCTAAAATTTCGCATCGTTAAGTCTTAAGTCGACTTTTCTCTTTTCACTGCCCTTCTACACGCTTTTTTCCTTTATTTCCTTCCCCAATAAACACAAAAATTTCTCGCACAAATCATTTCATAATAAATTTATGTTTTTCTTCCCTTTTTACGCATCCCCACACCTTTTTTTCGTTGAATGTTGTACATCCACTACTCACTTTTACCCAACCAACAATATAACGTACCTGATGATTATTGTTGAAAATTCGTAAATTCGTAAATTCGTATTTTCCGAGATGGAGATGAAAATGTGGTTTATTTATGCAAAAATTTTGTGAAAATTGGGAGAGAGTGAGTGAGTGAGTGAAAGGGAGAGAGACGAATGATGAGAAAGGTTGTGATAAGTGCTCTTTTGTGTATAAGCACTACAGAATAATTTATATCATATCAATGTCTGTCTGTCAACTCTACGGGCATGATAATTTGTCGTTGAAGTGTATGTCGAGATGAAAATTTATTTCGTTTCTTAAGAAGGAGAAATGAAGAAAATAGAAAGGCGAGAAAATATTAACGATTATGTCATATATTTCTCACTTTTTGTGTGCTTTTCCTCTTGTGTGCCTTTCATGTGTGTCGTTGTCGTGTGCTGTGCTTGTTGAAATGGAAAAGTAAAACCATTGTGCGTCATGTCCAAAACAACGTTTGCTGACCTCTTAGGCGGTTGAAAGTTTATGCATAAAGTCTTTTGCAGTTATTTGTTCCCTTAACTAAATATTTGTGTTGATTTTAATTTAGTTGTAGGTTGGTTGGAATGAAAGTTTCGTGAACAGTTCTATGATGTGACTCTGGCAAAGGTTTGGTTATTATTGCCGTGACACAAAGGCCCATATCAAATCTCTCTTATTGGTCTTTTTTTCTTATCTGTTTCTGAAAGATTTCTGGTATGAGAAAAACAATTCATATGCAATGTACATAAACCATTTCTGAGAAAGCGTAATACATTATTCAGAAATGTATTTATTTCTCTAGTATTTCTGTTTATGAATGCTGTCCACAGAAATCACCACTGGCGTTTCATTTTCGAGTGGTGTCACAATCAGATTATTCCGAGTGTCCCAAAGTGTATTTGGTCAACTTTCCCGACTTCATATTTTTCTGTAAATACTCCAAGTAGATATTCATTCAAGCATTTGTACTTTTATCAAAGTCTCTTGAACTGTACGCAGCTTTCAATGACTGACTAACAAAAATATTGTTTTTGTTTCTCTTTTTTTATGAAAAATCTTCACAACAACAGCAGCGGCAGTAGCGTTTAGATGAGCATAAAAACAAACATTTTTGATTGAATAATAAAAAAAGAACGAACCAAAAACTTTTTTACATTTTTTGCTTTCTTTCTCACTCGTTTTTCTCGCCCACTCTGTAATTTCATGCCATGTTTTCCAGTAATATATTTCCATGATCATAATTTTGCTTTCATCGTAGATTGACGCCCTTGCTTGATGTTAAAAAATAAAAAAAAATCTCGCTCTTTGTTCACTAAGTCGGTAAAAAGAAAGAAGAAGTTGTGTTGAAAGTTAGACCGAGGGGCGAATGATTATTTTGACTTTAAAGCTTAGCATGGTCATCGTGCAATAATACAAAGAGGGATGATTTGTAAATAAGAGAACATGAATAAGAAATGTTACAAATAATTATGTTCAAAACTTCACGGATAATATTAATTGACTTTTTGTGACTTAATTAAAACTTGTCCTCATTTTCCGCCCTTGGTATTATTTTCCAATTTGAAGGAATGAAAAAAGCGAATATTCAGCTAAGGGCAGTGAAGAAAAAAATGAGCTTTGGAAAAGTTTTTCTCGTTCAAATTTTCAGATCCTTATTTTATCATCCATCCATACGGGCGCAAGTAAGAAAGAGAAGACATCACAAGTAGTGGAAGAAAGATAAAAAAACTGAATATAAAAGTGCACCAGATGTTTGATTATTTCTTGATACAGCAATTTTATAACAATGTGCTATGCGGAACACGAATAAAAAAGAAAGAACTCAGCTTTGGGTGAGGTTTTATGTTTGCATTCATGTTGCAAAGAGAAAGAATGTTAAGAAACTGCTGCGGTAGAGTGAAGCAAAGAGAAAAACAAATTTTACATCTTTATTAAATTTTCCTTTCGATGCTTTAAATGACGTCTTATGAGGGGTGAAGTGAAAGAAAAAGAAATTTCGAAGACAGAAAAAAGAAAAGTCTAAGTAAGGGTCAGATTGGAAAGATATTATGCGCTACAGCTCGCGGGTTTGGTTGACAGATTTTCAGATTTCTTCAAAATGTTATTAAAACATTTTTCCCCGCCGGAATCAATCAAGAAGATTGAACAAATCTTTTTTTAGGTTCATAAAGCGTCATTTGTTTTCCTTTCTTCTCTTCTCTTTACAAAGATTTTAATGAGGGAAATTGTGAAAGACTTTTCTTTTTTTTCGTCATTTCAAGAAGTAGGATTAAAAGCGTTCGGGCGTGGAATCCCATGTCCAGTTGAATAAATTTATTTAATAGCTTCGCCATCTGAAAAAAAGTTCTTTAGAGAAATAAAAATATTTATAAAAGCGACAACGTGAATATGAGTGGAAGAAAAACTGTGACAAAAAAAAAATCATCATAAAGGGTGGTGAGCAATGATCTGAACATTAATCGCAAGTCTGAACATATTTTCAATGCTTTTTTACATAATGGTCAACATGAATATGTATGTTGAAACTAAATGGATGAAAAAGAAAGAAATGTGAAAGAAATGAAAATTTTCCAACCGCAAAACAAAAACTAGAATTGAGATGTAAGCGAAAAAAAGTTTCTCGTTCACTTTCATCACGATTGTTATTGCGATCCAATGCTCGATCTCAGGAAATGAAAACGAAGAATTTAAAATTCAAATTCTCGAATTTCTACGAATATTCTGACTGTGATGGGTCGTCGGTGAAAACTGTTGAATTAATTAGCGTCCATTTGAAATGTTTAAGTTCCTTTATTGCCTTTCTTTACCATTAAAATCCAATTTCTCGATTTCTAAACTTCACTCAACGTTATATTTATTCTGAAAACATGTTTTTACATTTTAATGACATTATTTTACATATTTTCACTTTGACAAAAACACAAGAAGAGGGAAAGAAAAATCTTTTCTTTCAGCTCAGCGTGAGAACCCAACAACATGTTAAATAAATTTTTTAACATATTCTTGATAAAGAATTCTCTTTCTTTGTGTTGTTTGGAGGAGAAGAAAAAATGTCTGAAGTAAAAGGAAAAGCTTTTTCAATGTTAAAGCAACAACATGACCACGATTTTCATTTATGTTTTCCTTGAGAGGAAAGCAGAGACATTCACTCGGAAGATGAAAAAGCAGACAAATATTTTAACTCTTTGGAATAATATTTAAAGCGACAATGATTGATATTCTAATGTCATCAATCTCAATGTTTTACCAAAACACTTTTACGACACTGAAAATTACATGCTGTGGGGATTATGATTAATTGTAATTTCAACATTGTTTTGTTTGCTTTCGCCATTTTCGAGTTCACTCAACTGCTGTTTGACGATTGTATAAGCTTCAAGCAGAGAGCAGTTGAGATGTTTTCAGATATTAATTAGTCTGCGAATAAACAAGACATTTCAACTCGCATGAAAACACTCAACCACACTCATAAGATTGACATAGACGTCAATTGTGACGAATTTATGATTCCTTCAATCTTAATGTTTATGTTGATGCTCTTCAAAGCATCGTTTTCGAAACTTTCTGGTACATTCTCCGAAGAAAATTGACTTTCCATGTTGACAGCTTAACATGATTGACTTTTTCGACTTTCCAAATTGAATGCGAAATGGCCTTTTTTTATGAATTGATTAAACGACTTCGTTGCCTATCACTAAACAGAATTTAAAGCAAATAAATTATCTTAATGTGCTCTGACGACTCGAGTCGTGTTTTGCCACCTCTAATGGCTGAAGAAAATATTTTTTTTATGATTATTTCAGTACGCGCGTGAATTGGGATTATATGCTTGCTTTCTTTTTTGTTTTAATGTCACTTTTTTTTTTGTCGCGAAAATAAGAATTCGTTAAGATGCTCGTTGGTGTGTTTAGAGGGAAGATGAAAATTTTGTTTTATAGACCCTCGTTTCCGATCTCCCACTTTTCTTCAGCTGTAAAAGTCGTCTTTTATGGAATCAAAATCAATGTGATTTACACGCTGAAGCGACACCATCATAATAATCATCATTCGGTGATAGCTTTACTGTTTATTCGAATAACGAGCGAAGAATTTGTCTCTTCCTCCCACACTCCCACTTATTTCCGCCCTCTTTCGCGACCGAGTGGCGCGTTAAGCCAAAAAATTACATCATCATGTTGATGATTATCTCCTTGCGCTCGCAACTTTGCTCCTTCTCATGTTTCTTATGTTTGATGACAGCACACAATTGAGGCGTTAAATGAGAAGCGTGAAAGCGACAGAATTTATATCAGTGGCAATCTATTCTATTTTTTTTTAATTTTAACGTAACACCGGAAATCTCAAGCTTCGAAGTTTCCTTTTGAAGTTGTTTGGCAAACAACGAGAAAAAAAAGAAAGAAAATAAAAAATATAAAATAAAATGCGAGAAAGGAAGAAAGTACAAAAATGTCTAGGACACCGGAACCCCTGAAATTACAGGATGTTCAAACGGGAAGAGAATGAGAGGAAATGGTGAGGCGAATAAAGGTCATTAGAGCTGCTAAGCATAAATGGGCTCGCTTAATTTCGGTCACTGACGCTTAATGAAAAAATATAAAAAGGGAGCAGCGAGGCATGTTTACATTTCTCTTTTATTAATTTTTTAATCAAAGGACCTATGAGAAGACACGCTCGCTTTGCAAAATTAAAATTATTACGAGCGAACGCCGCCACGTCTTGTTATACTTAATTTCATTTTATTGAAGTCAATTTCTTTCGTTACATTTCAATAACTACATTAAAAATGTCTGCTATCCCTAGCTGCTTTGTTACTTTTCTTGCTAAGTATTGCCATTGCTTGTCTCTCTCTCCAACATTTTGTTGTCCCCACTTTGTTTCATTCCATCCATCTCGACCATTGTGTCGGCATAGATGAATGAAATAAGAGAGAGAAAGTAGCATAAAAATATATTTTTCATGTCATTTTTCCTTCTTTATATAATTTTTTTTTATTAAATGGAATTCCACCCCCAACTCCAACATTTATATTTTCATAATTCATATCAAAATGAAAATTACTCACATTCACTGAGCGATGCGATATGATGCGAATGCACATAGTCAGGCGAATAAAGAACAAAAATAAAATAGAAAGAATGGCGGCAAAAGCGAAGGGCGAAATAATTGTTATTAAAAATAATGGAAAGAATTTTTCATTCTGTTAAATTGTAGTTCGAAAATATCTGCAATGATTTCAAATGGAAAATGATTTTCTTCTCTTTTTTTCCTATGGATGAATACAAAGTAGTTGCCCGGGGACGTTGAATAGAAATAAAAAAAAACGAGGCGAAACGAAAGAACGAGCGAACGATAAGGTTCAAGTTATTCTTTTTGATGATATGAAAATATGCAAAAAGTTTGAGTGCAACAAACAAGTAGCGTTTAAAAAAGAAAGATTGTAAATTTTCTTCAATTTATTTTGATTAAATTGCTCGTTCTGTCGTCCCAACCCAAGTTCAATCTTATTGCGATTGTCGCAAACCAAAATTTCGCACTTAATTATTGTTATTACTTAACTGCTGCTGAATGAAAATAATTTCTTATTATGTATAAAAAAAATTAAGCTCTTAATGTGACTAAAATTGAAGCTACAACTAGCATAACCGAAGCTACAATCGTTCCAACTCCACTAAAGCATCCTAAGTTATCAACAATGACATTAAAACGTGCGCTGTCAGGGAATCGACACTGTGCCTCTGTACATCGAAGATTTTGACCGTCATGAACGCGAATTCCTTCTACAGATATAAATAATGGAGGACAATGATGAATAAGCGAATGTCCCGAACAAGCATCCCAAAGTCCGAATTCCATTGTGTCAGAGTTGACACTTTGGCATCGAACTTGATCGCCTTGAACGTTTGTTGCGTTAGCTCTGTAAAGGGAAACATTATAAAAGAAGTCTTCAAGACTTGGAATAAATTTCCTACCTTGGTCTTTCAACTGTTCTTGATGTGCAAACTGTAAGTGTTGAAAAGCCTGCACCTTGAATACGAACTCTGCGATCAGCAGCGTTATGGAAGAAATAATTTGGATGCAAACGGTAGAAAGCAACGCCACGTGGTTCAACAAATTCTATCATTTGACTCATGCCAGTTTGCCCTTCCGATTGCCAATTCGATCCGCACCTTAACAACATGAAAAATAAAAGTAAATAAAATTGAAACTCGCATTTCTCATTCTCTCTATCGCATAATTTACAAAATGTTGTATCGTTTGTTACCAACAACATTCACATGACTTGAAAGCTGTTGAATGTCAAACAACTAGCCTATGTATGTAGAAAGAAATAAAAAACCTTTTTCCGACAATACACACCTGTGATTAATGATCCTTCTCGGTTCCTCTATAATGCGCAAAATGACAGGGGAGGTCATTGTAACAATTGATTCACCGCCGATACCTTGCAAATCGATGTTAAGTCTAAAAGTATCACGTTGTGGTTGACGGACAAATCGCGCAAATCGGTCTGGATTGCCGGATGCCCAGTAAAAGAATCTTAAATCAGGGAATTGATCTCGGAACAACAACAAGTCTTGTTCAGCAGCGTTGGCTTCTGCATCGTTTACTGTTGCGCTTTGCACCATGACAAGAGCGATGTGTGAGCGTCCACCCACCTGTGATGTCGCACGTTCATGATCCAACAAGATAGTCGAATGTTCTCGCATTGTTTCCAAAACGCGTCGTATATTAAAGCCCATCGGATCTGTTTCCATTTCACATTGAGTAAGGACGAATCAGGCGAAAAATAATAAAAAAACGTTTCGAATAAATAAATAAATGGAAAAGGCAAATTAAAATTAATGAATGAAAACTTCCGCGTAGGCAACGAACGATGCAGTGCAACAGGTGACAAAAAGCACACGACAGCAGGGGTAAAAAAATGATTAAATGATGAGTTGAGGAAATGAAATAAATAATCAAAATAACAACAACACATACGACTAGTGTGAATCTCTTGATTCCATTGAGTGTAGAGGTCTGCCAGTCGGTTTGTTGAGTTGACAATGATTGTTCCATCCATCGCGTTCATAATTGTATAAGATGATCCAAAACGATTGACATCAAGATTGTTAAGAAGATGACTGAAATGAAATGGATTTATTTACAAACTTTAATAAATAATCATCAACTTTCAAACGGAATATCCAAAAGAGAAAATATTCATTACATCTACTAAATATTTCAAAAAACCTTTTCACAAAATTATTATTACGACCTGAGGGACTCATTTACTCAAGAAGTTCAAATATTTGCTTTTAATCGACCGAAAGCATCATCAAGATATCATAAAAAGCTTTTAAAGGGGGTGAACCCCTTTTTTCCTTTTAATCTGAATAACTTCATTACTTTTATCAATGCAAACAAAATTAATCAAAACCTTAAGACATTATTTTATGTCGTCCCCTAATTGAAAATGATGAAAAAGAAACTTACGCAACCGTTGAATGAATATCTCTGAACATCCATGTTGTATCAACAAATATATAAATGTCAGTCGCAACTCGCCAAACGGTGTCGTCGCCTGGAATAAGTTCTGTTGTTATACAAGCTGCATCAGGCATGTCACCTATAAAATTTAAAAAAATAATTAAAATATCATAAAACATAATTTATTTATTTATGTACGTACGAATGTAATTCCATAAAGTATCTGAAGCCTGAGCAGAAATTCTTTGAGTTGAATTTGGTGTAAGTGTAACTGAACTTTGCATTTCATTATCCAAAACAGTTGTGAAGGCAAAAGATTGTTGTGCTAATGTGGCTGTGATTGATGGTATGGTGTTTGTTAACATATCGCGACGATTACAAGCACGGAAAACATTCTGTTGAGATTCCATGCCAAAGATTCCACGCTGTGAGTAGTACATGTCAAGAACTTGACTTAAACGTAAGTTGGAAGCTCGATCACGCCAATTTATGATGTTGTGGGCAATTAAAAGACCGTCAACTCCTCCACGAATTTCAGCATCAGTTATTTGCAATCGTTCACGTTGTCCTACGAAGAACCAATTTGGAACTGCAGTGTTATTCCAACCACCCGAGGCTCCGACTTGAATTGTAGCTGGTGCTTGTAGAAGAACTGCTTCAGCAATGTCACCTGATAATGTTGCAGCATAGCGATTATCAATGGCAATTGCTTGTTGGCGTGCCATTCGATATTGTCCCAAATGACTTTCATCAACTAAATCCCTGATGTTGACTGTTTGACGTTCCAAACCAGCAGCAATACCAGCAATGACTGTACCAGCAGCAATTGATCCCCACGGTGAATGAACCACGCCATTCTCCACTGGACAGTCACTCAGCAAATTACTAGCAACATCCACAAGACCGTCAGTTTGTCCACCAATTTCTAAAGTTTCTTCTTCATTCTCGTCAGCTTCTTCATCTTCATTAGCTTCTTCTGCTGGTTCTTCAGCAACCTCTTCTTGTTCTTCATCTTCATTTTGATATCTTCCGAACTTTTTATGAAGTTGCTTACGAACATTCGCCATTTCCGACTTCTTCATCATTTCCACTTCGTCAGTGCTTCTCGGAACTCTTAAAGCACGATATTGTGCTAGTCTGTTGCACCTTTCATTCTCATCCCCACGTCGTTGAGTCTCAATCGATGTTGAAAGCATGAAATGTAATGCACACTGTAATAAACGTTGTTATCAGGTTGAAAAGAAAGATTAATTATGTTTTAATCGTGACTCATGCTGACTCATACATTTTCGTCAATTTTTCATTTACGTACCTGCTCTTGTAAAGTAAGTGAACCGGTCGGGAAAATGGCATGATTACCCGGAATCAATCGGGTCAAGAGCACACGATGTTTTGGGAAGTTGAAACCATTTGTATTGAACGGTAATATGTCATTTTGATTAATGCTCACACCAGTATTTGAGGCTGTAAAATTTTCATGTGAAAAGGGACAAAAATGGAAACGTTTTCGTAGAGATTTTGTTAGGAATTTCTCTCAAATTGACAAGAACTTACGAAGAATTCCGTCTTGCTTGAAACGATGCAACAAGCTGCTTGTAAATTGTTGAAGATTTAAATTTGTGCCTGGAAAATCTTCTGCCCTTCGTATCAATTCAATTAACAATTGCGGTGTCATTGGCAGACGATTGTCGCGCTCGAAAATATCTCTTTGCCGGTAGCATTCTTGCAAATGTGGTGCAACACGTGGCTGTGCATTTGGGGATACGTTATCTTGTGCCAAACATGATGTCAGCGTCAGGAAAAGCAAACACGTCACAGTCTTCAAAAACATTTCTTCTTTTTCTTCTTTAATGTTATTTCTTTGTTTTCTATTTGTCGTTTTTGTGCTGCTGCACCTGTAAAAAAATGAAAAGAATTATTTATCGCGACACTCCAAATAAATGAAAGGAAAAATAAAATCAATAAAATTTGCCTTCGTTCATATTCATTTCGATGTTCTCTCAAATTCTCATGTGTAATATTTAACATACTATTCAGACTGTTATCATTTTTAATGATATTTGTGGAAAAATTACTAAAAAAATTCGCTATCAGCTTTGATGTGAAGCATATAAGTATGAGCGATAAGAAAATTGTTTCAATGGTAAAAAAGTTACTCAGCACAGGGTGGGCCGAAAGCAAGAAATTTACAGTTCAATAGAAGCATGACTGTTTCGATATTCTCTTTAATTAAGACAAGATGAGATTCAAGCAACTTTCATTAAATAATTGTTGCAAAGTTCTTTGTTAATAGTCTTCGAGGAGCACTTGAAGCAACAAAACATAATTGAAATTTATTGATTTGTAATGAAAAGCTGAAACGTTTTCTATTAAATGCCACACCCGAATAACTTTTCTGTTGTGCAAGTGTCGGGTTTCTCGTCGTCTCAGCTACATTATGCAACTCACCATTAAATTTAATTTAATTAAACTTCGAATCTCAAGCGAGATTGTTATTTCGAAGAAACTCCTTGAATCACAAAAATTATATTTTCTTTCTTCTTTATTCTTCTCACTAAACCTTCTTGCTCGTGATGTTTCTTTTCACTTCAATTTCACAACTAAATGAATAGAATCAAACTGCAGAAAGTGTTTCTTCAATCGTACCACACCTTGGAATGAAAAAACTGTTCAATTTTCATTTTATTAATACACATACGAGTTAGTTTTTTAAGAGATAAAAAATATTGCGTTATCTTATCTCTTCCTTTATTCCACCTTTCTGATAAAGAAAAAAACAGCCAAGCGAACGAATGAAAGAAAAACAAAATTCGTGGATTACTTCATGAAGTGTTACTAGCGCCGTGGTAATGATGTGGTGGGAATTAAAATTACATGAATTTAAATGGAAATTTAAAATTCCTTTTGATCGTAATGCAAAACAAAATTTAGGCATGAAGCAATCTTTCACTTTTACATATCTATCTGTTTTATATTGTAAAACATATTTACAAACTAAACTCGTATTTAAATCCTTTTTTTAAATATCGAACAAAGGTTTTTTGTGTTTGCTGAAACACGAATTTAAATATTGAAAGCAGATTTTAGGTTTTCATGATTTTCATGCTATCATAGCCAATGTTAAATAAGTAGAAAGACGTCAAAAGCATGCTCTGCATTGAATTACTTTCATTTATCTTGTTTTAACCTCACCAAATACATACGAGTAAGTAAATATACGAGTCAAGCATGAGAAAATGATGAAAGGATGAAAATTTTCTGTTTAGAATTTCTTCCTTCTCTGCTTTTACAAAACCACATTTTAGATGCAAATTTTCACCTTAAAATCACAACATAGAATGTAAAAAAGTTTTCATTTCACTTTCATTTGATTTTAAAAAAGCAAAAGAGTGAAAAACGGAAATAATTATCATAAACTTTTCACTTCAACTTAATTACTTCATTCATAAACATTTTCTTGGTAGTTGATTACATGTCAATCAGTTTATAAAGTAAAAAAGAGGGAAATGAGAGTAAAAGATGAAGTAAGTTGTTTTGTTTTGCTTTGGTTTTCAATCGAAAATTAAAAGCCAACCCCGTGAATATTGCAAACATCTTTCACCCACATTCCGTGCATGAACGTTTTCCAGAGTTTATTTTCATTGCTTATTCTACCGAATAAAACAAAGTTCTCCAATGAAATATTCCACAGAGGTTTCAGCTACTGCTATGCTTCACGGAATTCACATTTTCGCATTGAGAACGTTCATTAATATGAAAGGTTTTCAACAAGACACAGCTTGAACCATGCAATTGAAGTTTACTTACTATCTCCAACTTTTGAAAGTGGCGTCAAAGAGAAAATACGAATATTTTTCAATTCCCTTTACAGCTCAATAGTGAACAATTGAACGGAGATGACAGTTCATGTCAATTTCAGTTATGAGTGGCGTTTCAAAGCCGGTGAATCTATCGTAATTTTGCAGCGATATCAACAGCTTAAGAGCTTTCCAGACAGAGTTTTTGAAAAAACTCACATAATAAACACCAATAAAGTTTTACTTCTTCTATCTTTGAATTGAGTTCAATTCCATGTCGCTTTGACAATGATCATTCAACTGCAAGCATTGAAACTTTTTTTTTTTTTTTAAAGAGAAATATTTCCACAAGACCCGAACTCGATAACTTTTCTGAACTTTGGCTAATTGGTGAATTGATCACAAGTATGTATCTACATGTAACGTGTTCATTCTCCTTTCATCTTATTCTTTCAGAAGCATTTCTCTTACGAAAAATGAAATAAAGGTTTTCTGGTAAAAGGATAAACGACAATCTATCTTTGTACTCAATCATCCTTTAACATTCGAGTAAATTAAATGGGCTCTTGAGAGATTTTTTTATGTTTACGTTTTTCCTCTTATTCCTTGTTGATCTGATTCTGTTTCAATTCTCAATAAAATAAAATAAAAAGCCCACACATACACACGCAGTTACAATCATCAAATGAAATTGAAAAGGCAGATAAGACGGATATTGCGGAGGTTGAAAGAGAACTTAAATTCCAATTCTGGTAATCACGTTATTTTCCGACCTGCTTTTATCTTCGCTTTGCAAACCTTGAACCATAATTTTGGGTGAAAATGTTTTCTTTTCTTTATTCTTTCCCTTCTAACTCCCCCCTAACCAGTTTCCTTTTCCATTGCATTGTTCGTAGAAAATTCAGCTTTTCCTAATGTTATCGACAAACGCTTCTCCTTCTTCTTCTTCCTTTTTTCTCGTCTATATCACTTTGACTTAAAAATCTATTTTTTTTTATTCGTAAGTTTGTGTTTTTCTTATCGTTCATTTCTCAGTCAATATGTTAAGTGTTCTCTTTGCATGGAAATTTCTCACCCACACACATCATTCGCATCTTAACTTAGAATGAAAAAGAAAGCAAAAAAACACTTCAATTTTCATACTTTTCCGTTTTCCCCCCTTTTTCTTCCACGATAAAAAGCAGCAAATGTGTGTGTGATGAGCGATAAAAGAATCTTCTTTTTTTATTTTATGAATCCCTTAGATAAATCGCAAAAGCGTCGTAAAACAATATGAACGAATAAGAAGAAAAAATACGAAAAGTTGTACGCTTCTAAAACTCTTCGCACATATTGATTTGTGGTTTCACCACGTCTTTGCTGAGTCTCGAAGATGTTTTTCACTTGCTTTGTTGACTGCAATCTTGATAGAAAAAGTCAAAAACATAAAAAAGCTTAGAGAAAAAATATATTTTGCTTCCTTTTCGTGAATATCTGCTAAGACGATCGAACTATAAATAAAACCAGAAAATTATGACGTAAAAAGTCATAAAATGTTCTCTCGAATCGCCATTTGTCTTATCAAGTCATTTGACTTTTTTGATGTTGTTTCTCTTCTCGTTTAGAAATCGCCTTAATGTATTATAATGAGCTTTCTTTTCTCCTGAGAGTGAATGAAATAAAAAGAAAGTCTCGTTCTGTAAAGATACTGAAAGCTGACGGAGATTCGTCTTAAGATTCTCGAAACGAAAAAAAGAAATAAAAAAATGTTTTTTCTCTTCCACTTCATCATGAATTATTCTCGAGTCATTAATGAACAACAATATTGACACCATTTATTTTTGAATCACTGGATTGTTATTATTGTCATCAAAAATAATAACTAGCGCTGTTGAAGTAGCGTCCTTTACTTTAGACAAAGCTGTGTTGTTGATGTTTTTGTTGCTGGTGCGTTTAACGAAGATGACGATTCAATAAACGGAATGGAAATCATAATTTCTCTGATACAATGGCACTGCATTATATTTAAGTGTCGGATGTCTACATATAATTACGAGGACACATATGAATTGTGCTGGAAGTGGAGTGAGTGAAGAATTTAATGAAATGGAGGGCATAAATGAAATGTTTACGACGTTGAGCGAGGGCGATATTGGTGGGAAGCACAATATGCTTCTAACGAAAATGTGTCGTTTCATAGCATTATAAAAATAATGTAACACTAAACACCATCGCTGTTACCGCCGTTTGTTTTGTTTCATTTTACGCCTAAGTTATAGCGATAGCTTGTGCACTATGTGAGCTCCCCATGTGTAAAACTTTCCTTGTCTAGCTCGCGAATCATTTAAATTGTTGCACATTTTTTTTTTCAAATAACACCACCGCCAACCTTAAAACTCCCCATTGACACATAAAAGGTTTTTGTGTTCTTTTTAACTTTCATTTCTGTTTTTGCTGTGTTGTTTGTGAAATATTTAAGTAACCAGCACAATGCTGGAAACGATCTCGTGGTGTCAGAGATGAAAGCACAGAAAAATGAAAATTTCAAATGTCACGAAGCAGAGATTTAACGACTTGATGAGCTCACGTACGAAAGTGACCACTTTATTGTCCATGGGCTCTCTTCCTTTTGAAGAAATAGTTTCAAAGCTTTATCGTGGAACTATTTTTCTTGTCATGTCTAGTGGGATTTGCTTTGTTCTGTTGCTGCTCTCAGACATAATAACACTTAAATTATCTAAAGTAAAACGTAGTCATTCTGTACATTGGTTTAGCAATGCTTTGAAAAGATACGAAAAAAGATGCGGCGTTGTGTCAGCAGGTAATGGTCATAAAGTTTTAACATCTTGTGTGGTCAAATAAGAAGAATAAGTAAGTGAATGTATCATTTAGAATCTTAAAGCAAAACACGTATTTAACATCCTCTGCATTTTCATTTATCTGTATCACTACAAAGTTGAAAAGAAAGATTACTAGAGATAAAGCCCCCTCTCTCTCCCTCTTACCTCCCCGTTAGCAACATAGATTTGTATAAAATAAAAAGAAAGTTTGAAAGATTCAAGCAGTTCAATGAACAGCATTCAACACGATACCGAGAAAATTGATCGTTTTCCTTCTTATGATTAGGTTGGAATCTGCTTTTGCTTATACTGCTAACCTTTTCTATCTCGGTCTTGATGGAATTAATTTTCATTTGACTCAAACATGCGCTTGCCAAATTCCACCGTTGTAGTCAAACGACAGGGGTTCAATGATACGAAAACTGAAACCTTTCCATTCGTTTCAGTTAATGTGTTTAGTTTCCTTTCCAATCTGAATTTATAAGATTTTCTTTCTTTTTATTTTTCCCTTCATCCATGTGTCCGAAACATTGCCCAAAACTTTTTTTTCTTTTTCCAAACGAAAAAGAGAAAAAAATCAATTTTATTATGTTAATTTTCCGACTTCACTAGTAAGGAAAAAAAAGGAAACTGCAACATACAGAAATATATACGAGAGGAAGAAATCAAGCCACTCTAATGATATTTTTTTTCTGTGAAAAGTTCTTCGAGGTGATTTTCATCACATCAGTCAATAAAGTTTCTCGTCATTGATCTCTTTTCATGATTAAATATCTACATAAGTTACACCATTTTCATAGATGGAACTTACCCCACAGATGAACTTCTCTTAAGGAAACTATGTATCAAATAAAAAAGCACATGCGACAGCAACAGCAAAAACGAAAAACTAATCCGATTGAGATTCGAAGAAACATAGAAAAAAAATGAAGTAAGAAGTGAATGTGTTGAAAGAAATAGTTTCATGGTTAGGGTGGAATTATTTTTCCTTTCCATCCTTGAAAGATGCATATGGAATCAATAATAATCCTTTGGCCTTTCGATAGGATTTCCGATGTTTCTTTTCTATGTAAGATCCGTGACAAATATAAAGCCAAATACGTAATTACTTTTCATTCTTTCCTACTTTATTTCATCTATCGTCATCACAACTCTTGACTATTTGTTCGGGGATAGTTTATTAGTTGAATGAATAGAAAATTTATATTGAATGAAATTATGTATGAAATTATAGCTTTGACATTGTATCATGAATACGAAATGAAAACATTGACATATCGGTGCCAAACTTATTAAGCGACATCCCAACCCTGCCTGCCACCCGCAATGCTACTGCTAGCAGTAACAGAATTTTCGAATGAAAAACCTCGTCGTCGTTCGTAGCTTTGTTGAAATCATCTCCCACCATTTCCACTTCCTTTCATACCGTAAAAAGAGCCAAAAATTTATTCAACAAATTTTAGTATTCGCATTAGCCTCTGAACCAATAATAATCATGTGTGCTCAGCCATTTAACTCTTGGCACGTATAATTTTCATGAATGTTATTGTTCTGGCCGAGAGTTTTATTTTGTGAATTTTATATTCGAATTGGGGTATGGATGTTTGCATATACGTGGGTAAATATATAATTTTAGAAGCATAGAGAGTGGGAGACGAAGTGAGTTTATAAGTTAATTGACAAAAAAAAAAGAATGAAAGAAAAGTTGGGTGCGCCCTGAAGCTATCGACTTTTGTTCAAAATGGAATCATTTGAAAGTCATGTCGATGAACTCTTTTCATTTGTCGAATTGCAATGTTTGTATGAGAGACGTAATTTGTATAAAAAGGTTTTTAAATCCTTGAAGTTACTAAACTTTGTGATATTCATCATGCAATACTTGGCTACTTGATCGATGCTTGCTTCTCTATCCGACCTTCTGGCGCAAAAATAAAACTAGTAAGCGAATCGTTATAATTTATTGTTTCAAGTGTCAGAAAACACCATCACGAGTCATAAAAATTCATTAAAATGTCGTTTACTAAGTGTGGTTATTCTTTCCCCTCGTCCGCAAACTTTCCCCACACATTTTTATTTTTTTTTCTTCTGTTCTTGTCGGCAAATGGCAAAGGATAAAGAACACAAATTAATGCGATGAGACACAGATCTAGTTTCGGTTGTAGACAAGTGATAGATTGAAGCAAATATATTTTCAGTGGTCTGATGCGCTGGTATAGATTTTTTAATGGTTATTTCAACCAGCCACATTTTGCTTTTATAGCTCACAATCTCATCCGTGCCATGACAACGAATGGGGGAAAATTGATTATTGCTGCTGTTCTTCATCGAATCCTTTCTATTTTTTCAACCTCAATTCATTGAAATTTCTCACACTTATTCGTCTCGAATTCAGTATGAATGAAACATATAAAACGCTATGATTAATTACTGGTTTCAGTTTCAAATTCTTTCTCTTTTTTGTTTCTTTTATCAATCTGCAAACAAATTTTTTTCTGTACAGCTTTAGTGTCGTGTAAAGAAATAATGAAAAATGAAATATCGTTATGTTCAATAGCAGTTTCAAATTTTTATTTCATTTTACATAGCGAATTCATTTTAATGCATCTTTTGGAAACATAATACGAATACATATTTGAAACGACGAAAGAGTCTTTCAAGCCACGTACATTTACTCCACCACTACTTCTTTTATTCTCTTTTCCAACTCGATAAAGTTTTCCCATTAAAATCGATGGCTTGGGTATGTTAATAAACGCTTTACGTAATCGAGAACGAAGCGGGTGTGTGCTGAACTGCTGAACAAAACATTGAAGCTTGTAGATATGTTTGTTTGCTTGTTTGTGTGGAAAGCAATAAAACTTTATTCTTCTTTCTTTTTTTTTGTTTCCATGAAATGGACTTTCTTGTATATGTTTTTAGCTGTTGATGGAAGATATTTATGTCGGTCACACCGGACCATATGAGATGACAATGTCGTTTGTTATGGGGTCGCTTGATGTTGCTCGGTCAAATAAATATCTCATTCTCGTTTCATTTGCGATGCTTACAAATTTTCTTTTGTCCTCAATGCTAAAATCATTATCTTAATGTTACCCCCACCGCATCAAGCATAGAAGTGAGCAAGCAAGCACTCAAATTACAACATTTCGAAAGGAAATTCATTTTTTAAACATTCACCGTTATTCACATGAAGATTACGAATCCAGTAAATATGGAGAAAATTGGGAATGTGGGGATTGCAGATTATCCACTTGGGGGTGAACAACACACAGAGCAATAAAAATATATAAAGGATTGAGGGTCAAATTATATCGCATGTATTTTATTTGTACTTAGTTTTTAAGGCAAGTGGCTATACTTTACATAATATGGATAAAGAATATGAATTCCATTCACCCACAACTCACACAGCCTGAGCACGAAAAACATTACGATAACAGCACTTTTAATGTTCTTTCTGGAGCCCTCAACAATTTTTTCCCTCTTTCTCTTAAAAATATTTATTCCAATACTCACGAGTTTTGGAGCAGCACAAGAAGAAATGTTGAATGAAAAACGTATTGAAGTGAATGTTTGTTAGAGGGATAGGAGAAGAGGAGAAGAGAGAAGAGAGGGCACCACTAGAATGGGATACAACTTTGGAATTAATAATCAGGTCGCTTGGTTATTCAAACATTCATAGACAACCCGCAGTGAAAGCGGGAGATCTACACAAGGTAACAGACGATGAATACATATTGATTATTATTGTTGGGTGCTACCATCATTCATTAAGATACTTCGTACAAAAAGAGAAGAGGGAGGTGTCAATGGGTGGTTTTGTGTTCATTTCAAAATAAAACGACAATTCTCTCTTCTTTACTGTCTTTCATCTTGATTCGTTGTTGATGTCGTCGAAGCAATCGAACTAAAATTTATTTATTATTGTTATTGATGCAATAAAAGTGTGGAGAATTTATTTAAGTAAAATCAACCTTTACTTCATCCTGAACATTAAATTAATGTGTGACATCATTTAATAATATAAGAATGAAGATATTGAGAAATGCTGACTGACAATTCATACCGAATAATGGATATGAGAATATCAACAAGCAAATGACTTAATAAAAATTTACATTTTATAACTGCATGTCGCCACATGTTTTTATTCTCATTCTACAAATGAAAATAACATAAAATAGGAAATCGATAAAAGCAATTTTCATTAATGATTTTACCTTATTGCTTTATATTCTTCCTTATTTTCATTTGAAATTGGGCCTGATATTTAATTTACTTAATCGATAAATGACCGCAGGGATTCGTTACAAAAGTATTGTTTGAAAAGCAAGCAAGCTATCTACTTAGTAACGTTACTGACTTTTATAAAGTAAAGTTTTGTGCTCGACAAAGCAGATGAATTAATCACCAGTGGAGCTCAACTTCTTATCGCTAAAACTAAATAAATGTCGGATATTTGTAACTGTTTCACTCTCTTTCATTTCAATCCTCACAATCCTCATAAAAACGTTAGTTGTAACTTTGCAAATGCAATTCTTTCCCCGTTTTCAACTTGCATAAGTCATTTTTCATTTTTATGAACAGTCGAGAAAGTCATTTATTGCAAATAGTTGCAACGAGTGCTACAATGCTCTTGACGCTTCTGATGTCTGATTGGATTTACAGCCATCAGAAATTATGAGTATATAACTGCAAATGTAAATTTCACAGACACTTTTGTAACATTTGTTGCTGTTACATTTTTTATTTTTTTATTTTTCTTACTTTCTGTTCCCTTCTGCTGATGTATTCTCCGACAGCAGAACGCTCCACTGGGAAATCTAATTATAATTTCTTTTCCTTTTTTCCACTTCACTCATTCAAGATTAAAGTTTCTTTCACTCACAACAATTTCTTTTCTCTCTCTTTGCTTTTTTGTTCTACGTGTAATGTAAGAAATAACAGTCTTTGACAGACGACGAGAAAAATGGCGAAGAGATGAGAAAAAAAGTTGTAGAAATTTAAATTAAAATTAATGTGATGAGGTGTTTGGAAAAACGAAAACGTGTGTAGCGGAATAGCAGAACAGGTGATGGAAAGCTGCCGCCAAAAAAAAATTCTCGTAATTTTAAAGAAGACAATTTAGCAGTTTCTTGCTTCACCAGACATCTCTACATTGGAGCATGAGTTTTTAACTCATCTCCAAGCTATAGTTTCTGACACGAAAAGAAAATTGAGTGCCAAAAACTTCTACTTACTCGAGAATCATCTTTGCAACAAGAAAAAGCTTGCAAAGATTATTATTATTATTTTGTTTGTTGTTGCACTGCGAACGAAGCATAAATATAATTCTAATTTACTTTACAGTGCACGTAGCAAACATTTATTTACTTTTTTATATGCTACTGCTTGTTTTAATAAACATATTTATGTTCTTTCTATCTTCACTTCATCTTATTGCACGTTGCAACTTATACTCTCATTTTGTTGTAGCAAGTATCGAGAAAGTAGCAATGAGGGAATGAAATTTCAAAGATTTTCTGTGTGATCGAGATATCTAATAACGAAGTAATAATAATATCTTCTTTCGATTCGCTTCGATTCCATAAGTATTTTGTTGTCGCTTCGTCTAACCTTTCCCTCAACTCAACCGTAACCAATACATCAGATTGGAGCTTTCTTCCTTTCACCATTCTTTCGTTCAATTTCTTATAGGAATGAATGAATGAATGAATGGATAAAAAAAAGATAAGTACATACATACGTGGTATATGCTCAACAGATGCTGCTTTTCACACCTTGTTCTTCATTATGTGAATGATTCTAAATATCTCATCGCTTTCCTTATTATTCCAATGAGATTTTCTCCCCGCTTGCTTCAACTGAACCCAAAAGACTTTTCTCTAAGGAACATTGAATTATCAAAAGCGAAGAGAACAGAAGAAAAGTTTTTTTTTCTTTCTTGTAACGTAATAAATGAGATAAATTCTCAAGGTGGGGATAGATAGTCAGTCGTTTCTCGTTTGTTCGTTGTTGCGATACATCAGTGAAGTAAAATGCCTTGTTATGTGAAAGAAAAATTCATAAAATTCCTTTTACCGCTTTTCCTCCTATTATTACAACATTTTGCCAATGTAATAATATTTTTAATATCAATCTTATACGATGACACGTTGACAAAATTTATTCTCGTACGAAGCCCGATTATTATAGAAGGAGATTTAATGGCCATTATCATTTTTATGTACGATTTTTTGATATTCTTTTTCACATGTTTTCGGATCTTTTTCAAGCGCACCAAATGCGATACAAGGGAAAAATCATTTTATTAAATTATGAGAATTAACGCTTATATTAAAGTTACTTTAGGAAAGAGTTTGAAAGTGTGAGAAAGGAGGAAAAAAAGGGAAAGAACGAAAGATTTTCTAATTAAATTTTAATTGTAATTATTAATTACACTTTAATGAATATGTTGTTCGATATAATGGAATGCGGGAATGTGTTATGGATAGAAAAAGCTTCTCGCATGTAATTAAAACCTTGAAGTTGAAGTTAATAATTAATTTTTCCCTTTAAAGTTTTGTAAAAGTTCTTGTTAGCATCGTCAGCAGCTGGATGTTTGTAAGTGAATAATTTAATGTTTCTATGACCACAGTTTCTATGTTAAATCATAGAAAAACAAGTCACTTACTTCTTCACCAAATATATCTTGTTTTCTTGTTAAAATTAAACATTAAAATGTTTTCCATTTCTGCTTCTGTGCGCGAGAAAACGATAAATAATACAGGAGAAAAATAATTACACGCTAGAAAAATTTCGGATTCAATTTGAATATATTTAGGAAACCACAGATTACATTTTTTTTTCCTATTTCAAAGATTTTTTTCTACACATGGGACTCGTTTAAAAAGTGGGCAGTTTGCCCATCTATTGTTAAATGCAGCAATATTTCCCTTTGAAAGGAAAATAGAAAAAGATCAGGGAAAGTGAAATTGGATTTTCCATTAAATATAGAAAATATTCAAAAATTTTATTCTAGCGTGACCATCAAAACGTTTATTTGAAACATAAAAAATTAAAGCATTCTGATTTCTTTTCTAATTTTATGAAAGGAAAATTGTCCTTGATTTAGATTTTTATTTATTCATGTGGAAAACTCTTTAAACATTTAAGTATGAAATTTGTTTTAAAAAGATTTCTGTGACATTCTCAATCATTGATTATTAATATGTGAATTCTCTCTGAATAACATAAGGAATATAAAAAAGTAAATTATATCACATTTTACGATAAATAAAAATGCTGATGATAACAAGTATCTTGATGTCCCGCTTGTAATTCTCTCATGTGGTTTGACACTCGTTGAAACTCACAACTTTAAAATTATTCTCAAAAGACCCTCAAGGGTTAGTTGAAAAATTTATCAGCCTCAATTTATATTTTTTTTCGTTATTTTTGTCACAGAAATTCTTCGTTGGAGAAATGTTGAACGGGCACAATGTACTTTACAACAAAACACAATAAAAACGGAGAGCATTATTATCATATCCATATATCCACATGAACAGTCATCTTATATATATTGCATATGGGAAAAGCAGTCGATTCAACAATTTGTTTTCGTCCTTCTCTCTCTCTCTCCCTCTCAACCACCCTTTCATCTCACACCCACGTTGTTTCATGATATGTATATGAAGTTAGTATGGAAATGGCAAAGCAGAGTATCTGATGATATAAATAAATGTACATAAGTATTTTCTCTCTCCCTTAACCCCTTTTTTCTATAAAATAACAACAAAAAAGAAAGAATTGCGAAGATATTGAATTCTCTTCAATCTAAATATCCCGACATTTAAATAGATGTGGCAAAAGGAAATGAACATAAAAGAGAAAGAATGAAAAAGAAATAAGAAGCACGAAAAATGATGATAAAGTTTTACATAAAGAGCGACAGTAAAAATCGTAAAAATGAATTTTCATCGACAAGATCATTGTGAAAAGGAAAAGAACGAAAATAGGAGTTTAAGAAATAAATAATTTTTTATTGCGTGGGTGTAATAAAACTTTTGGCATTTTTAATAATTTTGCCATCGTTTCACAACAAATATCCGCTGTTTTTTTTTATCTTGCAAGAGAACAAACATTTTTCTTCGTGGGTAAACTTCATAATTGATGTAACCTTTTTCGAAAAGTTCATTTCTTTAAAGACTTAGGTTGAATGAATTGTTGAAAAGGTTTATGAGACGAGATAAAAACTATTCAGGATTCAGAATTCCCCAGTAACTAATTCAGGGTGTTCGTGTAATAAAAAGAAAAAGTAATGATGATGATGAGTCCTCGATAAAAGTCTGAATTGAATTTCCAATTATGTATTTGAAAGTAAAATTTACCAGCGATAACAAGACCAACAATGTGTTAAAGACTCACAAAAAAAGGGCAAAATTTTCGACAGTTTGGAGTTTTCACAGAAATGTTTTGCGAAATCGAGAGATGTAACAAAAAACGTTGAAGAATGAAAGAGCTTTGTTAAGAGAATGTGGAATAGGAAGTTAGAAGGAGGAGGGTGGATGGATGTAAAACGTGTATTAAATAGCTTTTGGGTGATTTTCGGCTTTGTTTTATATCGTAATTCATTTGAGTGTTTTATTTTGCTGAAGTTGAAGCAGACATAATTTGAAGTATAGCAGCATAGAAGCATCGGAAACGATCCTTGTACAATGTAATTGTATTTTATTCAATTTTATTTTCTTTTTTCTTTAAATGAAGCTACATAGCGTAGCATTGGATGAAAAGCAGAAGAAAAGGCTGAGAGATGTTCACATAAATTAAATGTTTGAAGCGATAATGAAATTCCAATTAAATTTCACCAATTAAAATTATATTAAAATTCCACCCTGTTCTCTTTTTTTTCCCTCTTTCTAAGAGAATTCTTACCATCGCTTTTCCAACTGAATGAAAATTGTATTTTCATGTTTTGCTCTACTCTGAAAATTCCTTTTTTTTTCTTTTTCTCGTCTTATTCAATTCACAATCTTTTTTTTCTGTCTCTTCAACAACAGATTATTGTCAGATGAAGAGAGGGCAAAAATACTCAATCTTCGAAGACGCAACAAGCGTAAATAATAAAAATAATAAGTAAGAGGCAATAGAGAAAGCAAAAAGAAATAAAAACACATAAAACATCCTAAGAAATGTTGAAAGGATTTTCGTTTGAACATTTTGAAGAAGATGAGTGAAATATAAATGTGGGTGAAGTCAACATTAGAAGAGTGAGAGAGAGAGAAACTAAAATAATCGATAAAGTATGTGGCGAAGTGAGAAAAAAGATCTTTTCGTATGTTTCAGTGCCTTCAACTTATCTTGATATCTCGCGAAAAAGTATTAAAAGTCTAACTTTTTATTAGTTTTATCAATGTGTTTATGTTATGTGTGGGTGTGTGAAAGAATGTTGAAGTAAGTTTAATTCGCCAAAGGCAGTGAAATGTATTAGACATGTTTTCAATGAGAAAAAGGAAAAGTCGAACCCATCATCAAAGTTCGTTGTTTTATAAAACGTGGAAAAGTTCAAACCTTTTTTTCCCAGCTCCCTCGTCTTCATTTTAAGCTCCACTGCCACTGTCTGTTCCTTTTTAAACCACTTCAACATGAAAATAATAAAAGTGAATATACTTTTTGTATTCTTTTTGAAGAAAGCAGTCATTTCTCTTCAACGCCAATTTCATATTTGGTTGAGTGACTTCGAAGATGAGAGTTTCGAGACATATTATTAACCCGTTAGGTAGAATGTCAATTTCATTGTTTGAGTTTTCTTGGGAAATGTTTTCGGTTCTGAAAGGATCTGAAAACGACGAATTACATGACTGTGGTAAAAGTCATAGGAATTATGTTTCATGATGTTGTCGGATTATGTATCATCATTCTTCCCCCCAACCCCACAGTCATCTGCCTCTGATTCTATAAGACTCTAGCAGACACATGAAAGAAGAAAAAAATTATTTCAATCTAACCTCAATCATGACAGAAGGTCAAAAATATTATTCCGAACAAATCCGGATTCCTATTATTTCTTTCCTTTTTTTCTTATCACGCTCCGGACACACCATGTCTGCGAGAACTGCGCGCCTTATTTTCCTTTGCCTTTGTTCTCAAAAAAAATCTTTTATTTCTACTTTTCCTTCTTCGTTTCATTCTTTTTCAACTCCCACCCACACCTCAATCGATCAGAGCCCGATGTTAACAACTCGACTTACATAGTGGGTTTATTTATGCTGCATACTGTCGATATGTGTTATTTTTACACACCCAACGCACGCAAATAGCTTTTCAACAATGTAAAGTTGGTGAGAAAAGAATAGCTAAGTAGAAAAAGAATTCATTTTTATGCTCTCGAGTCCCGATAAACAACATCACGTCGCTAATTCCTCTTCTAATTCCCATCTTTAATACACACAATTTGCCTACAAGAGTCATTCGGGGATTTGTATTATTTTTTTCTTCTTTGTCGACTTCCTTCAACGTTCCTGCTGTTATCAACACAAGCAGGCAAGACATCCAAGAGATACATTAAAGACGCAAAAGATGCTGATGCTTTTAGGGCTTTTCCTCCTCTTTCTCTTTTCTTTTCTTCATCCTCCCTCTCCCTCTTCCTTTATCATCATCTCCCACATCTTTCCGCTGTTCAACTTGATATAATTCTTTTTTAATGATATTGATTTTCAGAGATTTTGTTATTCTTTCTTTTCTCTCTTGCGTCTTATATTTCCGCTTTTCTTTTTCGTTTTGCCTTTTTCTTCTTCTTCTTTTTTCGCCTTTTCCTTGAGCGAAATGTTTTGAATGTTATGTTTGGGTGTAATAAAAAAGCAGAGGCCCAGTTGGTAATGATTTGATGGATTAGGTTGCGGGATGTTTGTTTACATCAGATGTACATACGTAAGGAAAGGTTGTTTCTCGGATAGAATAACTTTAAATGTTATTCTTTTTTCTTCTGTTTGTTTGTCAAAACTTTGGACGCTCCCTTGATTATAATCATTATAAGAAACATTCATCTTATCAGACGAAAGAGTTGGAAAAATATTTAATAAACTTAACAAAATGTTACAGATTGTTTCTGATTATTTAGAAATTAGAAGAACATCAAATCAATCAAATGTGCAACGTGTGTATGTAGATATTCAATAAAGTAATCAGTTAGAACATGAAATCAGAGAGAGGGATGAGCATAAATTTGTAATAATTTTCTATTCTATTACGAGGAAAATGCTTCAATGACAGCTCCAATCCCTGCATGAAACGATATTTATTATTAATTCTAACAATAAGTTTTTTGCTATTTCCCACTCCAAGCCTATATCAAGTTTAATTAAAACGGACATGTAATGATCTTGACTCTCATAGAACCACGTTCCATATTAAATTCCCTGTTGGTATCTTGAACGTCAAATAAAACTCGTCATTATTGTGTGACAATGACGTCTTGTGTTTGCTTATAGCTTTTCTTTCTTATTTATCTCTTACTCATTTCCTTAGTCAGTCACTTCACTCGCTTTTCTGTATCTGCCTACCACACTGTTATCATCTAAAAATGAAAAGAAATCATATTCACTCAATTGAAAATCGGAATAAAAAGCTGAGCTGACTGAACATTACGCACAATACGAATTATAGCAAAGGAGAAAAATAAGAAATGTGAGCTTCGATTACTAACATTCCTTGAGCATTTTCCTTTTAATTGAATCGTTATATGATATTTGAAAAAGAAAAAGAGAAGAGACGAAGCAGATAAATGTATGGGAACAAAATAAAGATTCCGTTCTATATTTTTCATCCATTGTTTGATTGATGAAAGATTGACGGAGAGGGAAAGACATAAAGAAAGTGAGAACGAGAGAGAAAACTTAAATGGGTTGGGGAAAAGCTGACTGTGCTTTAGAAACAATGATAAGCGTTAGTGTTTCAAGCTGCTTATAAATAAAATATTCAGATAAAAAGAAAAGTCGGTTAACTAAACTGTTGCTGCTTTTCTCCTTCTGTCTCTCTCTCTCTTGATTCGATTCCAACAGTTCATTTTGTGTTTTCTCGCCTTCGATCGGACTTTTCTTTAGAATCAATAATGAATGCAATTGTTGTGAAGTAGTGAGAGGCTCTTCATTCATAGAATGAACGGATCAACATACTTGAATAGCCTCGAAACATAACAGGGATGGTAGGAAATAACAAACATGCCATTATCGAAGCGCTTCTCGGGGAAAATAAGAAAAACAAATAAAGTAATGGCATAAAATGTGCCCATAAATTCTCCATGCCTTCATTAAAATATGGTGTTTGTTAGAATAATATTTTAATTTTCCTTTTTTTTATTTTTGCTTCTCCAATGCATAAACAAGAAATTTCACAAACACACACACAAATATACTTGAACATGTTTCTTTTATCGAATCCGTGAAGCTAACAAAAGGTAAATACTCATTTTCCACATTCAAATGCCATTTCCTTAGCGATTTCTACTTATTCCACTTTCGCTTATTTAGCTTCTAGGTAGAAAAACATAAAGGTTCATTTCGACATCAAACGTCTTTCAGTTCAAAAGAAACGAAAATTGTAATTTTCCTTCTTACAGTTCACGCTGAAAATGTAATCATTCATTTGAGCCTTCGATGTTTGAGGTGAAAATGTATTTTTATATTTTTTTCTTCGTTCGTTTCTTAAGATGAATTCTCAAGACGTATTTAGGGTTGTATCGTTTTGCTGCAAAGCCATTTAAACGCAAATTCGTGAAGTAAAATTGATTTTCATCCAAGATGAATGGTGATTTTTTCTTCTCTCTTTATTTTTTTGCTTGTGGGGAGACACATTCTTGCTTGATCCCCTTTCGTTTCTTCGATTCGATTCAAAACATTCGACAAATAATGATATATATAAGATTGAATATACGTGATTACATACACACTCGATAAAATTGTAACGTTTTCAACGTGAGGGAACGATGAACGTATGGGGATAGCAAACAACAAACAACCTCCCCGCAATGATCGAAAATGATGATGAAAAATAAACCGTGTGTGTAGGAAAATCATTCAGATTTCAAAGAAATGGCAAAGAGAAAAATATACACGAAAATTTCTTTTAACAAACATCAAATATGCAAACACATTAATGTGATGGAAAATCATAAATTATAAAGAATCTTTCAGTTTGTCCTCGAGAGGATGGAAAAGAAAAAAAAAAGTTGTGCTGTTGTTATTCATCTTCATGCAGAGTTTGAAAAAGAATTTTCGTTTTTCACTGAATCGAAAACACTTTTTCAACAAGTTTATATTCTTCCTTTTTATTTTCTTCGAGATGGAAAAATTTATTTAATTCTTCCGTCTGATGACATCAACTAGACTTTAGAAGTTCTCATGTATAATTCGGAAATGTATTTGTTGGTTGATATTCTTGAGATTTTATCCAAGTATTGATTCATATCCCAAAACTCTAAAAACTTTCATTCAAAATAAAAACTCACATCTATTTGAAATGTTTCCAAATCATTTCCCATCTTACGATTAATTGCATTCGATGAAGCTCCAAAAAAAACCATAACGAAGGAGAAAGTTTGAAAAGAGCAAAGAAAAGTTTCCGCTTGATGATCTTTAGGTTAAAATTTTTCATCTGAAATTCAATAAACAGTCTAGTTGAATAGCAATGATTACGACACATACATAAATATATTTACTCTTCTGTCTTCATACAATCATCAACCGGAAAACATACAAAACATCGGTAATGCCAGCCACACAAGAAAAATATTTTCCTTGACATTTTACATCTCATCGCAAAAGAAACAATTGATTCAGTTGGAATTTCTCAACTGTAAAAATGATTTGAATTTCTCCTGAGCATTAAAGACTCTTCCGACGACTTTAAAGCCATAATTTTTCTCCTATAAAAATTGCTACGTACCTATTATCCTTGGAAAAGAAAAACAGCAACGAAAACAAGCATCATTGTTGCTTGGGAAATCTGTTTTTTCCCTTCTCTGTGGGTTAAAAATATTTTGGTACCGTTTGTAATTGTATGAGTTGCCCGTGCCCTCATCATTTGGGTTGTCGCATGTAACCATGTAACTCTCATAGCTGATGGAAAATATTTTCATTTATACCCATCTTTCTAAACGATTGTACTTCGAACCGTTCGATAAAAAGGAATCATAAGAAGAATTGAAATCTACAGATGACAGCGTTACGCATGATCGTGATATGCCTTTGATGGTTACGCCCTATTTTCATATCCATCCGTTGCAACAACAACAAACACCAGCAGACAAAAACAACAACACATCATAAACGAACGAGGATAATCGAGCACTCCACCGACCCACACAAGCGCATGAGAATGAAAATGTTGCCGTAGAGAAAATTTTCTCCTAATTAAAACACGAGCGGTTAATACAAATAAAGATTGAATCAACAGAATGTAAATTTACCTTGAATGTGTTGGTGAGTTATGTTGTGCGCAAATGTCACGAAAATCCGAAACAACAATGCGAAGGAAAATTTCGGTTTATTATTGAATTCGGGTGCTTTTCGTAAGCGTCCGACTTTTTACAATGTAACTCAATGTTTTCAAAGTCGTTTAAAAACGTTACCAGATTTTATCTCTTGGGAAGATCGATGAAATTTTACATTGTAGAAACTATTAGAACGACAATGTAATCAGACAACTTTGTAGAAAGTACTGTAAGCAGGGTGAGTGAGTTCGAAGGATTAAAACAACAACATGGAATGTCAGCCAACAAGTTGTATGTAACGATTGTCGAATGTTTCATTTTGTCTCATTGTTTCGCTGCTGCTGCTGCTGGTAACTTCCAAAGCAAGAAAGAATGTGTCGAAGCAACAAACACAAAAATAATATAAAATTTCTCCCCTTCGCCTAAGTAGAGTGGAAAATTTATTTCGGCTGGTAAAGCTCTTCATGTCGATGCTCCCCATTTCTTTCAGTCTTCTGTGAATTTTCGACTAGTTAAGAGTTAATCGTCTGTTTCATGCGAATTTTTATTCTAGAAAAATAAAATATTAGAAACAGGAAAACAAAACAAGAAAATAAAACCGAAAGGGACAAGAAAAAAAACATTTTGTAAAATTTGTTCATTTTAAAAGTTGATTGTGAAATACAAAAAAGAAAAACACGAAATCAAGAAACGTTTTGATGTTCGGTTTGAATCAAGAACGAATTATTTTCATTGGTTGAAAGATCTTGTTTGACTTTAAACGTTGAAGGTTAAAAGAACTTTTGTCTGCGGAAAAAAAATAAAAATAATAATAAGTTAAAGAAAGAAAATTTACACGTTGCGAAAAGAGAAAAAAGAATTTTCAATCAACAGTGTAACAACTGGTAAAGTGCAAATTTTCAAGTGTAATAAAAGTGCACGAATTGTTTGTTTTTTTTTATGCGTTGTTAAAAGTGAATTGAAGTCTCTTGGCGTTGAGTCGTAATTTACCTCGTGTTTCTTCTTTTCTTTTGCTTCGGAGCATAAAAAAATTGTAATTTAATTGAAACAATCATAAAATAAAGAAGAAAAATCCATCCCGGCTTAGAAGAAAATCCTAAAGAGATTGTCTGAATTTTTTTTGGGTATTGCAATAATTTTCTTGTGAAGCGGTGGAAACGTTCCATATGGTCCATATGTTGGAGATTGTAAGACAAGTTGGAAAGGTGGACTTTCCGCAAGTCATCGTAAGTAATTTCTCGACCTCACATACTTTTAACATTTATCATTACTCGTTTACCCAAAACACAGAAAATCGAAGGGTGTTGGCGTTCTATAATATTCACGAAGAGCAACACGAGCATTAAATCTCGAAAGTTTTGATTAAAGCTCGTTTGCTTTTCCCTCTCATTCCATTCGACATTTCATTTCGTTTCGTATTCTCCCTTCTGAGTGATATTCAACAAACCCCGAAATACCCTCGATCATTGTTGATTTTATTTATTTCCATTTCTCTCTGCTTTAAGCTTGTTCGTTTTATTTTTCTTCTTCATGCTTTTGCTACATTTGAACAATTTCTTTTTCCATCTGTGAGTTGCTTTTTGGTAGTTTGACTGCTGGAAAATTTCAAATTGATTTAGATATGGGATTTGGTGCTTTTTTTTACGCTCACCCACTGTGAGTACTTTTTATTCTTCTGAAAATGGATAAAAAAGGTTTTTTGATTGTGTGTATGTGTGTAAGAATGAGAGAAAGATATTCAGGTTCAAAATTACCATTCAGTTTACATGACTGAGTTGCTCTGACTGGCTTTTGTGATGCTTAATGCCAGTTAAACTAGCGGGAAAACCCGACATTTGATTTCATGACCATTTACAATGTTTCAGTGATAAAAAAGAAAGAAAATTCGCTCATTGGAATTAAAAATGATCGAGAAAATGTAAAAAACGCAAAGCTGAGGAAAATCTCGTTAGAAATCATCAGGAAAATAAAAATAAATAAAGCATAAAAGCTCGTAAACTTTTTCAATTTTATTACGGTTGTGTTGTGTGTTTGTGGGCTGGTGCTGATGTTTGTTGTGAATGTTTATGTCGAAAGATTTCTTTTTTTTTCTACTGAAGATGTAGGAATCAGAAGAAAAAAGGAGAAAAGAGATAAATTTTCATTTGATGGCTTTCCTTTAGTCTTTAGCTTAATTTTTGTACCTCCTCTCAGAATTTACATTTAAAAGAAAAATTGGAAATTTTTTGACGGAAAATTTAATTGAAGAATTAGTGAATACTTCAATTTCGTCATCGATATCAATCGACAAAGTCAAATTAAATCAAATAATCTTATTCAATGACGCTTATGGATTTTTCTTTCATTTCTTCTAGTTTCTTTGACAGTTTGAATGGAAATGAAATGGAATGAAAATGAAAATAGTCATGTCGAAGAATAAAAGGAAAACTAGATAAAATAATTGATAGCGATGATTACTTTACATTACGATAATTAAAAGTTGGTTGTGCTGGGTGGCATAAGACATCGATTTGAGATATTCATTTCAACAATTGAATCTCGTTTTCAACTTTTCTTCTCTCTTTTGCCATTTATTACAATTTTTCGATTACCATCTATATTTCTGCAATATCAAGCAAAAAAAGAACTTTTTTCTTTTCCCCCCATAATTGTCTGTTTTTACATTGATGCTAATTAAGGGAAGCTTTACCCCATTTCGACAGACGAGAAAGATAGATTGAATGGGATTCTTCTATACCAGTAATTATACGGTTTTTTTCCTATCGCTTTTCATGCGAAGAAAATGAAGTAAATGGAGTCAAATTTTGCGTTCATTGTTTCAAGTATGATGAAAAATCTACTAGACGATAATACGTTCAATTCATCATATCTTCATCTGATTGTTTAGCTGCAGTGTGTGGGTGGGCTTTCTGTTGTTGGTAGTAAATTTGAGTTGTGAAAGGGAAGAAGAAAGAAAAATCTTTATTTAAGACATTGAAACGACAACAAATGGATGTAATGAGTTCGTGGTGAATGATGCAGATGAATGAAATAAAAAAAATACTTGGTGAAGTCTTTTTATCATAATGAAGACTGTCAAAGTTGAGTTGAAGGGAATGTTTAATGCTGTAATCGAGGCTTGAAGCTTTCACTTCAGTCAACATCGTTCTCGCTATTTTTCTTCTATGGATATGACTACTGACATGCAATAAGAATTTAATAGATTGAAAATGTATGTAAAAGAATGTCTTCGTGCTAGACTTACTAACGAAGATTAATGCGCAATGAATCCAATTTCGAAAGAATTTTCCTCTTTCTTGAGTTCAGTAAAAAGATGAAGGAAAATGTGAAGAAAAAAAAAATCATTAAAATTTTCCTCAATTAGTTTTTCTTTTCTGCTTTCCTTCGTTATCTTATCGAAAGGGAAGCATAGCTTTGATAAACAGTTTAAAACTTTATCATTTTGGGAAGATTAAAACGAAGTTTATATAAATAGAAAAGGAGATGAAATATATTTTACTTGACAACGGGTTTTCTCTTAAAGTTTTCCATTGCAATGTAACAATTTCAAGGCGGCTGAAGATAGCAAAACTTTTCCGTTTCTCATTTTTATGATTCTTATTTTTCCCAAATGATTTGTGTTTAAGTGCATTCTATTGTTACAATGTGAACTTTCAGTCATTCCACTTTTGTGGACAACATGAAATGAAATATTCTCTTTGGCTTTGCCATTCCATTATATATCTACGTATCTTGTCTTCTGAAGAGAGCAAGACAAGACGGCATTAAAGTTGATGAATTCATCTTAAGGTATAAGAGAAGTTGATCCACTTTATTTATTTATGTACGTCTCACGAATGGCATTGCATTAACATCAGACATTTTTATATACATTCTATCTCGTGTTAAAATTTTCTCTTATACATCGCTTTAGATTTCACATCAACTTGAAGTTTTATGAGGCGAGAGAGCGCGCAAAAAAATCGCTTTTAACTGTGAATGTGTCATCAAACAGCGAAAGAAGAAAAAAAACTGTGAAATTCGGTAACATAAAATATTAAAGCAAACGCGGCAGTATAATATATTTTAGTACCTACTTTGTGCTTTTTCCGATAAATAAACACATTTTTCATTCATTCCTTCAGTTCTCGTATGATGGGTTGGAGGATGAAATGGTTGCTGCATGACAAAAGGCACAATAAAAATTTAAGACTCTTCTTCTTCGTCTCTCCCACTACTCGAGTTATTGAAAGATGCGTATATGATGGAGAGAAATTTATCATCAAATTTATGCGGGGGAGGAAAAAAGTAGTAGAACGAACATGTTGTGTTAAAAATGAAAAGTCGAGGACTTTAAAGCTTATGAATGTTTAGGAAATATAAAATATTATATTTTATACAATGATTGTCATCGACAATTGAACACTAAACACAAAGTCATAACTTTTTTATTCAACTCATTCCACTGCTTTTGTTACTGTCCAACATGACTTTCAATTAGTTGATGATAGGGAAAATTAAGTGTAATTATAATCAATTTTCTTTCTTTCTCTCTGTCGATTATTTCGACAAAGAATGCGTATGTATGACGAGTATTTAAAAACAAAAACAAAAAAATATCAATATCAGTCTATAATTGCTAATAATTTTCGTTCAACTATATGTTCGACATGAAAATTAATGTAGGTCATTAAAATGTCATTACACCTCAAACACTCTAACTCTCAGATTAAATTTTGCGGACTCAATGACGGCACAAGAGTAGATTTCAATTTTTCCAATTTTCATTTAATTTTCGTTTTTTCCACTCACCAATACACAACCGCAAACAATAAAATATATGCTTGCTTTCGGTTTATTGTGCTGTTACGTAATGAAGAGGTAAAGAAGGGGTTTTCCATAATTAAAGGCTAGCAAGTCGAGTGCTTTCCAACTTTTTCAAATTTATTGGAAAAATGTTTTCATTCCACTTCACAAATTACCGATAAATTTCTCTAATTATACGTGCTGATAGCCGTAAGGACTTTAAGCAACCTTTAACCCACTGAGGTCTTTTCATTTTTTGTTTTCTTCTTTTTCTACAAAGTTAGATCTATTGGACGTTACAAACATTGTAACATTCCTTCGTGATTTTTATTCATTACAAAACTCCTTAGTTGACTGACGAGTTTTGATATAAAATTTCACTTACAATAGTCACAATCTCGTTGCAAAATTTATTGACGTTATTACAGAAAAAAAAATGAAACGAAACGAGGGACAAAACAGTCGATGAAAGGAAAGAAAGAAGAAAATAGAAATTTTCCACAGTGGGGGGACAAAATACACACACTTTTCATTAATTGAATAGCACATGGGAAAGCAATAACAAAAAATATGTAACAACGGCGAACGTTAGACGCATTATGTCTGTATTTATTACAGAAAACAAAACATCGATTTGTGCGGCACATACTTAGAGACTTTTTTCCTCTGGTGGGGGAATTTGATCACAAAATTATCGATTATTTTCAGAGTAGAAGCAAAAAGTTTTTCTATTCCACTTTTCTCTTTGTTCACTCATAATTGTAACACAAAATATAGTTACAATTCTCATAAGCTTCAGTTTTTATTTTTTACAAGAACTTTTCTTCTGTTCAAAAACTTCTTTTCATTGAATAATTTAAAAAGTGAAATTCTTATCGTGTCTCAGCTGGATTTGAATAAAAATATGTTGCTTTGTTCAACATTTGATAGGGTTGTTGGTTTCTCATATGCTAAAGCGCAATTCCTTTCTTCCCGATTTTATTTTTCTTTTTAAGGCTATTTAAGGTATCAAGATTACTTTCGAAACCTTCCTTGTTGACACATAAAAATTCTCTAAAGGAAATCAATGCTATGAAGACGAAAGCAGAAAAAGGAATAAATTCGAGTAGTCCAAAGTCACATAAAAGAACTTTATCTTTTTGAAATGGTACAATAGTTCTCCTTATCACATTTACAAAAGCCTGTCACGCACGATATGAAAAGTAAAAAGTGGTTTTGTTATTTGTAGGGCGACCCGTGTTTATTGTTATTCCGCCTCGTGTTTTTATTTGTGGAAAATTCTTTTTCTTCAATTGATAATGAAAATGCAAACTAAGACAAAACAGAAAGGAAGAAGAAGAATGAAAAGCTTTATTCATCGTCAGCTTTCATTATGTGAGCGGGAATTCTATTTTGAATGAACCCGTAGAAATTTTCTAACCACGTAAGCTGGAAAGGAGGGAAGAAAAGGTGTTAAGCATTGCACAATGATAAGATAAGCAAAAAAGTGCTGATAATGTTAATCAGAAATACGTTAAATCGTGCGAAAACTGCTGTAATGCTGGTCAGGTGCTTCCCTCACCGAACAATATTACTACGAAGCCAAAATAACTATGTTATAGCTAATGGCATTAGTTACACTCTCTCACTCACTTTCTTATGAAAATTCATTGGATTATTAACAGAGTGACGAAAGTTGTTAGTTTATGCTAAAGACATTAACTTAAACAGTACATAAAAAAAAACAAAAAAGAAATCACAAAACAACAACAAGTAGCGGTTGAAAGTTATTTTAATAATTTCATTTCATTCCCATAGCCTTTGCAATGTACAACATACATTCATTTAGCATAAGTAAGAGAATAGTTTTCTTACCTTTGACTTTCGATGGTTGACGATGTAGGGTTGAAAAGTTTAACAAGCAAGAAACAATAGAAATATGTTGAAAGTTTAATCTACATTAAAACAGAAATATTTATGCTTAAGTCAGCAACAATTAAGAGACTCCCACGCTTGAAAAAGCAGCAAACAGCAAGAATACAAATTGAGGTGACTCGAACGAAACCTTCTCCCTAGAAAAGGGGAGAAAAATGCCTTAATTTGCGGAAAATAATTGTAACCATTTTCATAGTTTTGTTGTGACTTGCTAACTTTGCTTTGAATTCATTTGTGAATGGTTAACATAATTAAATATGCATGTAAATATTAACGACTTGATGCGAACTATCCAAGCCTCATTCCCAAGGTTAATTAAAATCTTTCGTCTCTAATATTTTATAAAATTAATTTAGCAAAAAATCTTTTCTAATGTTGGTCGTTTTAAGTGAATATTTAATGTATTCATTATGTTTCTTCTTTTTATCTCATTACAGATGAACCGTCCTGTTCAAGTTAAACAAACGGATAGTGAAAATCGTGGTGGTAAGCTATATGATTCGCCACTTTTTGCAGCACTTATTTCTCTCTCTTTATCGCCTCATTTAATTCTCCCTTGAAACGACTTAAATGACATAATGCGAAGCTACATTAAGAACTTTGTTTTATTATTTCTCTGCTTAGTCTCGTAAATCCAGACATATTTTTTCAAGTCGAGGCTTTAAGGTGAATTAAAGCTGAATTGTATTCATTTGCGTTCTGTTTACGAGAGTTTAATGAGAAGAATTTTCTTTCAAAATGAAGCTCAAAACCATTCTATTCACCATTGATTTTTTTTGTTTTTATATTTTCCTTTCTTCTAAGCTTTCCATTTCGTGTTGTTCTCATTTCATTAAACTTTGTTATAGATTAGAATCTGTTGGAAGTATAGAAAGAATTCATTCTTTTCCATTCTCATTCTCCTCGAAATGAAAATATAAAAATAAAGGAAAAAATAGAAACGAAAACGTAACAAAACGAGTGACTTCAACTACCGAGTTTTGAAAAAGAAAATTTCCTGCTAATCGCAAGCAATTACTATGAAAAAGAAGAATTTACGGAGAGATTTTATTTTTGTTACGTTGCACAACAAGCAAGCAAACAAACAAACAAATCTATAAGGATTGTTTAGAAGCGGTGGATTATTGTTGAACATAGAACAAGATAGAGTGAGTGAATGAATGTTGGATTCTTCCTTACATTCCCCCGTCATCTGACACACTTCCTTATATCATACAACATAAAAAATTCTGTTTGTCTTCAACTTTTCTTCTTACTTTCTTTTTTTCTTGAAGACTTTTCTCATGACTTTTGCCCAAAAACGAAAGCAAGTTATTCAACTGATTCTGTTTGGTTTGTCGTCGTTCAGTTTATTGTTATGTGCGTTGTGGGGAAGGGCTGGGGAGAAGGAATGTAAAAGATAGAGAAAAATAAACCTTTGGAGCGCCAGGACGAAAGAAAGAAAAAATTGTTTATGCTTGTGTTTTGCTTTTGGTAAGCACTTTTTCTCCCTTCAAAACACACGCTCGCTCTTATCTCGCAATTCACTGATGTTTAAGAAGAATCGTCGTGGATGATACATAAAAATATGATACATAAAATACATTTATTTTCAGAGGGCGCCCGCAACCTTCGTACAGTGAAAAAAAACATTGTAGCCAAAGAAAAATCAATAAAATTTCCTCTGTTTTTCCCTTATTTTTCAATGTATTACTGACGAAGTGCGTTTTCACATTTACACCCAAGAAGCCCCAGCTTGTGTTAAATTATTACGCACACTTTTTATTGATGTGTTTGTGGGTGCTTCGAGCTTCTCGCTTAATAAAACGACATTAAGATTCTATTTGCAAGCGTTTGACTGTGGCACGTTCGTTCCCGTCGTCGAAAAATTTATTTAAGCGTCTCTCAGCTTCACACATTGCCTTCTTTCTCTCCTTTTATTTGGGTTAGCTATTCACAGACTTTTTCACTTTAATTCAGATGACTGATGTCTTTTTTTTCTCTCTGGCACTCACGCATTTATCTGGGATTTTTCTTGGGTTATTTTATTAATGTAATAAGCAAGCAGCCCTCTCCTTTCCCTTTCATCTCATCGTAACAAAACTCCCTAAGAATCTTTCCTGCCTGCCATTACATTCGACTCACAAAAGAGCGTAATGAAAAAAGTCGTACGACACTATCAAAAACTTTCTTATCGAAAGCCAAAACTGTATGAATGAATATGAAGTCAGAAAAATATAAATGTGTTCATTTCTTGCCTCATATAATCATAAAAGAATTCTATTTCAAGTCTCATTCAATCTTCATATAGAATTTCCCTTCTTTTCATCATTCATAAAAAAAAAGTTCACCAAAATTATAAACATAGAATTTTCATCGTCGTCTTCTTTTATTTATATTTAATTTATCGAGAAGTTATATATAAAAATGTAACACTTTCTTGGGGTTGATGATTGTACTGAGCTGACGTTAGATATTTGTTATATGCCAGCTAGAGTGTTGGCATTTTTCATTTCCACCCTCATAGTCACACAACTATGTATGAGAATTTTTTTTTCTTGTTCGTTTTCATGCTTTATTAAAATTATCACTCACAAATAATGTTAACGGAGTGCCATGTATGTAGTAATAAACAATATTTATGTGATACAATTTATATTGATTAATGTTCTCCATATAGTGACAGAGAAAAGTTTGAAGTTCAAGCTCTTTTTTTTATTTTCTTTCTGTTGTTTGAAAAGAAAGCTGAGCGATAAATTTCATAGTTTCCAGCTGCAACTCATAATCATTATGTTGATATGAAAACATAGCGTAATATGTTTGATATAAGCTCGTAGAGAAAACCGATGTTTAATAACTTTTAATTCCACTTTATGACATGCGGCATTACTTCTCAGCTTTAATCTGACACCTTGAATACCTTTATATATATTAAAAGTTCTTCTTTCATACCGTCGACTGCGTCTTCTGACGATGATACCAAGATGTATGTATCATGATCCTCCTTTTTTCATTCTGACTTTATGTTCGTATGACTACCCCGGAGATAAACGAAACTAGTCGAAAGCTAAATTACATCGAGAAAGGATTTTTATTATCCAATCAGGCTTAGTGCGGAAAAGCAAGGAAAAAAGTAGGAAGAGAGAAAAACTATAAAACACTCAAGAGTGGTCGGGGAAAATGTCTTTTTTTACGTACGATTACCCAATTTTCTCATCTTTTTTTCTGCTGCCTGTTTTCAAAAACTCAAATCTATTAAGCACTTAGATCGAAAGCACAACTTTACCATCAAATCGAAAAGTTTAAAGATTACGATGAAAGTATTTTCATTTTTTTTTTTGGGGAAAAACGAATAACGAAATGGGAAATACCGTGAAAGTTGAAATTAAAATATTTTCCCTCCGACTTAACAATGTCAAAGCATTTTATCGACATTATCAAATAAAATGAAAAGAGAAAAACTAATGAAACGTTCTTTGTTATCGGTTGTTTTAAAGAGTCCACGACGCTAAAGGAAACATTAAAGTAACTTTTATCTATATGGATAGAGCTTTGGGCTTTGTATTTTATTTAATTAGAAAGTTGCATGACTTTATTCGAGTGATTAAAAGCCGATAATACCTTGGAGACATCGTATCTTGTTTCAAAAAAAGAAACGAAAACAAAAAAATGAGACGAGGGAAATAGAAAAAAAAAGTCGAAACGATAGAAAAGAAAATTCATTAATGATCCTAGATGGCAGATAACATAATTAGATATCTTAAAAGAAACGAAAAGCTCTCATTTGATACGAGATTGTCTAATTGAAAATGATAAGCTTAGAGTTTTTGGTATTCGTTTATTCAATCGACTAAATAACTTGAACAACTTGAACAAAACAAAGAAAATGAAGAAGAACTCGTTCTGTCTTAATCGTCAAATAATCACATTCATTAAACCATTTCGATTTTACTTTCGTTTTACGTGAATATCGTAATAATTTCATTAAAAGCAAGCAAGCAAGCGGATGATCAAATATGCTTGATAGACACATTAACGTTTCTACTCTTTCTTTCATTCCTCCATTTGGCCCGCTTTCAGTCATCGTGTTTCATTCGTAATTTACATGGCATTTCTAAATCTATTAGTAAAATATTTCAGTAATGTTTTTTTGTTTTCTTCCTTTTTTCCAAATTTCCTTTTTTTTTTTGCTTCTCTAAATAATTTTTTCTTGTTTGTTCACGCAAACAAATTTAATGATTACACAACAGAAAGAAAGAAAGATGGAACGAAAGATTTCTCATTTTGTTGTACAACGAAAAGCGAAAAGCGACAGTTAGGAACAACAACAACAAATGATTCGCCCCCCTTGTACCTTCATAGCTCAGTCAAAAAAACATCAACAACAACAAAACCACTGGTGGGTGTTAATCGAAATGTGTATAGTTACGTAGTTCGCCAGCTCTTTCCAACATCACCCCATGTCAAAAGAAAGCGACAAAATTGTTTTGTGTTGTTTCTACCAAATTTATTTAATATAAAAGCGAGTGAAATTAAAAGTTTTCTTCTCCTCTGTAGTTTTACGCTTTCGTGGGGCTCTCAAGAGGGTGTCGGAAAGACTTTTTTTTCGCTGTTTCATGTTTTATTATTATGAGTTGAGTATTTATTATTTATGGAAATGTTCTGCATAGTTTCTTCATTTCTCTGTCAAGAACTGTAGGAGTTTTCTTAATGGTGATGGTCGTAGAGCCTCGAAAGTGATGAAAAGCTGGCTGTGAACAAAAATTTATTTGAATCTCTCAAAAAAAAAACTCTGTGTGTGTGTGTGAAAGGTAGAAATGTTTCATTTGTTTGCCACATCATCACCTCAGTCTCATGAAGAAGTACACAACATGAGGAAGAAGTGGGGGTGGGTAAGCCTAACCTAAACAAACTAGTTAAGAAGTTTTATAAAGTTCCACAAGTTTTCTATTGTGTTGATCGTGGCGATGCAATAAAAGGAGGAAAACTGTTAAAGATAGAAAAAGTTTTAAAGACCTAAACCATTTAGTTTTTGCTATTTTTGTGCCTAGAATGTTTTCACTCATTGTCACTTTGCACCTCATTAAAATCTCATGCCTTTTTACCCTCGCTTAAAAAACAATTTTTTCCCCGAATAATGCTCGCTTGTGGAGCTGCAAAAAGGAAAGACAGAAGTTATGATTATTTTTATTGCTCCCATTATGCATGTTATAGAATGCTGGCTTTCGTCAAAAGCGGAGACAACGAAATGAACAATCAGAGAGAAACAACAAGTGTTGTTGTCTTGAAGCGTCCTCGCTGTTGCCGTGTGATAATAATTTCAAATTGCACGTTTTCATATCATAGCAATGTGTTCTTTGTTATTACGACGACGACAACATTGTTATATCTTCTGAAACATAATATGTGTATAAATGGAACGAGAGAATATGTGATTCTAATGAACGTGTATTGCTGGTTGTTAGCTCTAATAGGTGACAAACGAATAAACGTGGGATGAGTTTGATGGCTTGGCTTGCAGTATTTTCTTCTTTTCCTCTAAGCAACATGATGTAAATCATTATTATTTCATCTATTATTCACTTTCCATATGAAGACATTACACAACATGTGGATTAAAGTGCTCAAAGTTTAAGGGAAATTGATCCAAAGTATTTAATGCTGTGAAATATTTTCTTCCACTTCTTGTAGTTAAAGTAAAATAATGACGAAGAAAGCGGTTCGCCTTCTTTTTTATTAAAAATTCATCATAAACTTTGATATGATGTCGACAAAGCTGTTCACGACGAAACTCTCATTTTAAACAATTTACAAGCGCCAATTATCTTTTTGATTGTGCAGCAGTAGCAACAACATCAGTAAAGAAATATAATGAAAGAAATTTTCCAAATAAAATTTGTTCAAATTTGTAACTTCTTCATTCTTTTGTGTTTGGCATATTTATCTTCATTCAACCCTCAGCATCATTTTTCACTTTCAAAACTTTTTTCACAATTTATTTCTTCATACCAATTCCCATCTCTAATGCTTTGTGATGCTTTCTCGACTAAGTAATTTATGATTGAGTTTAAAACTAAAAAATTCATAAAGTTACGTGGAAGAAAAGTTTCGTCTTTTTGTCGGCAGGTTAACAGCAAGACATTTATTAAAAATAACTTTGGATGGTTAACTTAATTATAAAATCAAGTGTTACGTTTTATCCCACATAAAAGCTCAACCTTCTTCCCTCAAACAAATCCCGCGTTTATGCTTTCAGGCGGAGGGTGGCGTGTGTTGTTAAATGAAGAATGTAAACTTTAATAATGCAAACATAACTTAATATCTCATTTTATGCTGTACATTGTTTGCTTTATTTGCAGCATAAAAACACTTAATTTTCCACCCTTGACAGTTAAACTCATAACAAAATGAGTAAAAATTTCAATTATAAAATATTCATCTTTTGGGAGTGAGCAATTAGAGCGCCCTCAGCACATACAAGCGTATGTGATGGTTTACAGAAGAATTATGTTATGATTTCTTATCCTCACGTTTTATTTACATCACTTTGCGTTATGTTAGCATAATAAAGCTTTATATTTTATGAGAGCTTGGATTTAATTTTTCTTCCTTAATATTTCAGATCAATTAATGCACTGAATTGTGATGAAAACAAAACACACAAAAAAAGAAAGAGCTCGAAATTTTTATCAATTCACATAAAAAAGAATTAACTTGTTTGCTGAAACTGAAAGAAATCCTGAAATAATTTAAATAAATTTGCCTTGAAAGGGTTAAAATTTTAAGAGCGAAGTTGGGATGGTAACAACGCATCATCAAAACGCAAATTTTATGCGCATAATTAAAAGAAGGAGAAAAATTTTTGTGTCTTTATTTTAATAAATTATTAATTTAACATCTTAAATATTTATGCAATATAATTTATTTCCTTTTTTTGCAAAGCAAACACACATTATTCAGAATGAAGGCTTGTTTGAGTAGAGTTCTTGGTATAAATTTCGTTAACATTTATCGAGGAGTAAAGTATTCAGATTAAGATAAGCGACGTCGCAGCTCGAAACTTTTTTATTCACTCGGTGAAAAAGGAAAGAAAAGTCGCATGATGAAAACAAAGAAGTCTAAAAATTTTTCGTTTTATTCTCGCTTGAATGATTTAAAGCTTTTAAAAAGTTGAAACTCAACTCACAGTTACTTAGCAGAGTCTCAGAATGTGGAGATTTGACAACAAAGTCATTCATTACAAGACGAAAAAAGTGTTTTAGAAATTTATTCACATAAAGAAAGTTTAGCTTGTGAACTAGACACCCTGAGACATGTCGTTTATTTCCACAGCTCCTCCATATACCGCCACCGTCACCCACGCTTTCCGGGAAGTGTACAAAGTTAAAGATTACGCTCATGTTTAAACAAACAAAATTTATTCATTTGATTGAGCATGCGATAAAACTGCTTCCTCTACATTTCGGTGAATTTCACCCTTTTCAACTTAACTGATTTGTGTTTCGCTTTTTCACTTCAGTTTCATTTAATTTTCCTTTTTTTCGTTGATAGTCAAAAACGAGGCTCAGGCTACATTTTTATATTTTCGAGACTCTTCAAACATATTTGGAGTTTATGAGTTCACTTGATTCTCATCACTTTATTATATTTTAATAAATATTCAAACTGAAAGCTTTCAGTTTTTATTCTGTTCTCCAGTAATTGAAAAAAAAAAGTTTTCCACCTCGGGAAAAATCGCTTCAAGTGCTTTCGTAACAAAAATCCCCACGAAAATGCGTCAGAAACGTTAATAAAAATTCAAGAACGTCAACGCTCTAATTTGTCGGTGTCGCGAACATTTAAAAACGCTTTTGAGATGCGAAATTAAAACGAGAAAGAAAAAGTTGTTAACAGACAATGTTCTTTCTTCCGATTAACAGAAAAGAAAGCTTTTTAATAAAATTTTCTATTAATTTCTCAAAGACATCGAAGCAAAACGTTGAATTGAAAATTTATTTTACGCTCTATTCAATTTCTTCTTTCTCAAAAAATAATTGACGCTTATTCAGCTTATTTTCTCAAATCAACATGAACACTTAAAATCAAAAGCTTTAATTTATCCAACAAATGTAATTAAGTTTTTCCTTTTAACTCTGGACAGAATTATTACGAATTTGTAGACAAAATTAAAAAACTGTTTGCTGTTTGGCTGTTTGCTCCCCTTTTATATTAAGAGAAAAGACAAAATGAATTCATTTTCCTCGCATACTGTGGAAAATATACAATTTAATTTAATATATTCTATATCTCAATATATCTACGAATACATTTTTTTTTACTCTCGCTTTCTCTCATCTGCCTTGATTATGTACACATTACAAGTCCTAAGTAAATATTAATTCATTTAATGGCTTCCTTTTCATATTGCTTCTCTCATTTTCAATTTTCCAACCCTCCTCCCTCCCTCTCTATTTGTATCCGGGGCTGAAAGGAATCGCACGAAAAAGCGTAGTTGAATTTGATTGCGGAAGAAGCTCTCATCGGGAGTTTTTATCATCTTCTTTTCTGTTTTTAAAAATATATTTAAAGAAGCTAAATGAGAAAACATTTTTAGAGGCTTCCTTCTTCATCATTTCTTTTTTCGAACATCTTTTACGTAATCTTCCAACAACTTTAACAAGAGCTGGAAATTAAAATAACTATTATGTTCCTAAGCAATGAAGGTTTCCAAAACGAAAAGCGATTTAATTTTCATTATCCGAAACTCAAGTAATTGTTGAAGGACTTTTCGCCTTCTTTTGTGTTTAGCTTCATTTCGCTGATTCATTTCTTTATTTATTTCTCTTATCTTCAAGTGAGGAATCTCTAATTATATCAAATGAGAGCGAAAAAGTTTTCCTTTTCCAGCTGACATTAAATATTAAAGACGGAATTGATTATGAATTATTTAGTTGGTAATTCACCATTAAGCGACGAAGAATTTTTCTCTCTTTCCTTTCTTCATTCTCTTTTATTCTTTCATTGCTGTCATTTTCACTTATTAAAATTTACTTCGTAATTAAAGTTAACCCCGAGTTTGTTCTTTTCCCACATAAATTGATTGATGGACTTTTTGTGTTTTTGGAAGTTTGGGGAGTTGTCGTTCTTACTTATTTAATAGGATTTTAAAGTGAGGGATGTATGCGGGTTGAAGATAACTATCTATGTAGCTTGTTATTTCATAAAGAATCTCAATGAATATTTTATATCCAACAGAAGTCATTTAAAATTCAACCTTCACAAAGCTAGTTGTTGCACTCAGTTTTCTTTAATAACTTGCTGAATTTCTCATCATTACTCTGCTTGTCACGAAGCTTCTCTTGTCATTTCTTTGATTATAAATAACAATACACTGAGATTCACTTAATCAAAAATTCATTCTCGATGAATATCAAATCTGATTTTATTCTTAAATTCAAATTGAAAATCGTAGTGAAAGAGGAAATCCATAAGATTTGCAGTTTGATTACTTACTTATTCGTAACCTTAGTCATTCCATTTCCAAAGTCGTGTTGCAAGTCGAACAATAATAAGAAAAAAAAGAGAATGTTTTTATTTCTGTTATAGTGTTTTTCTGCTCATTGTTTTTATTGCAGATTTATACGAAAACGTGACTGCAGATTTATTTGAAGCTTTCGATAGATTTACCAATACGTTTTGTTCAAATCGATTCATATCAAAACTATAAGAAAACATAAATAAATATCCATCGAAGAGGGAGAGAAAGAGAGAAGAATCACAATAACAGAAGAAGAAGAAGAATAAGTTACTAGTCTGAACATTATTAACTGTAATACTTACGAGGATTCATAGAATTTTCATATAAATTCAATTAAATATAAAAGACAAGAATATACGCTTGAGCTTAATTTGATATAGAACTTGTGCATAAACAATATCAAGAAGAAATATTTAACTACGCTTTAGATCAATTAAATGAAATTATGCAAGACATCAAAGTACTCTCATGAGATTGTGCACGAGAGTACCTTTTAAAAAATTATATAAAAAAGAAGGAATCATAACGAAATAAAATATATTTAATACTTGTAAGAAGAAACGAAGTAATATCGTTAGATCAGAAGAAAAATAAAAGAAAAAAAAAGTCAGAAGAGCGAGGATAAAGCATCAGATTCATCGTACATAAGCTTCACCCTCCAAGCACCTTCTTCTCTTCACTTAATAAGGGAATCCTCCACGCACCGTTTACGATATAAAGTAAGATATTTTTCTTTTCATAAAACATCCATTTTTATTCGCTGTTGTTTCTTTATGAAGAGAAGGCAGCCTTTGAGAATGTGATACGTAGGAAAAAGAATACACAGAAACGTTAACTAAATTAATATATTACGCAATTGATGAAGATTAAGAAAAACAGAAAGAAAAACAAAGCGAAAAAAAGAACTTCAATTTGATAAAAGAAGATTCGTATCACACTTGAAGGTGACTTTTGTCGATGTCGTGATATGTCGTACATTTTTATTCGTGATGCTATTGTAGTCTGTAATTATATATATAGGTAAATATCTTTTTTTTTACTTTTCATGTGGTATTCATTGTTAGTTATTTAGACCGTTCATACTTACATGTATACCCAAAATTACTTTCTTATACTTTATTGATATTTTATGAAGTCGATTTCATGCCTTTCGTCGACCGACCACTGAACATTTCATTATAAATGGCGGATGAATTAATTTTGTGTTTATGATCACAGGAAAAATGTAAATGTCTAGAAAGATGATTGTTTAATGTTTCAAATAGCTTCGTCTTCAAATATTTACACAGAAACATCATAAAAATATTGTTTAATGTCTTTAAAACTGACTCAAGTTGATTTACATTTTTATTCAAATGTGAAGACACGCGAGGAAAAGATATCGGACAAGCGCTCGCGTCATTAAAAATTGATTAAGTTAAGTTTTTGCTTCCTCTCTTTGTCAGTCGTCGATAATTTCTGCCTGTTCTTCATGTTTATAGCTTTAAACGAATGTTCAACATTGTATTTGATATTTTTAAAAGGGAAGGCGAGTCGCTTATGTCCCTTGTGGTTTCTTCTTCAATCTATCATTCATTGTAATAACAGCTATTTCAATCATTAAAAATTAAGTTCAATAATAAAAAAAGGGGAAAAGAAGAAAAAGACGGGCAAGTACAATAGCGATAACGGCCGGTCAGTTTTTTTTCTTTTTTTACAGAAGAGAGAAAAAACATATCAGAAATGATTGAAAGCGAGCAAACACAAAAATTCGATGATGTAAGAAAGAAAAATCGATAACGAAACTCATCATTTTTCCGTTTGTAAAAGAGATACGCACACACATCTGGATAAGCCTGCCCGGAAAAATTCATTCTCTCTTTCAAATCACGCACTTTATTAGAAAACAATTTTCAAGTTTAGCTTCAAGATATACATACAGAGATAGTTTGTGAAGGAAAACATACAAAAATTCTTGTTATCATCTTCCGGCAGCAGGGTGGAAGGAAAGTTGTCGTTTTCTTACTTTCCTTATTTATTCTTCATCTAACGTTTCGAAGCAGCAAACATCTGTTTAGCTCCCCAAATAGCTTCTCATTTGTCGATGGAGTTTCCTTTTTACATACATCGAAGATCTTCTTCACGATTGAATTAATATTTGTGTCGATTTCTGCTCGCTTCACAAACTTATCAAAGTATAATCTCAAGGGTTATTTTTCTACTCGGTTTTGGGTGTTTTAGTATAAATACTGATTTATTTTGGAATTCATGAGTGGAAAAATTAAATCAACTCATGCATCACTTTAAAGCCCCAGCACATTTTTGAGTTCAGTTTAATGCAATATGCTGTTCGGTTTATTTATCTATTTATCATCTTGTCGTCATAACAACTAACATTTGTTGGAAAAACCTTTGAAAAAGAAAAACAGAAACAAGAAAGAAAATAAAGTTAACCCAAAACGCACTCACAAATTCCTGAGGTTTTTCTCTTTTTTCGCCTATCTCTAACAACAGTAACTAAACATAATTTAAAATTCAAAGAGTGTTCTATGGAGGAAACAACCTTTTCCCTTTTTGCCACCCTCGCTTTCATCTATCTAACTTTGAGCATGTACAACTTTTCTCAACGTTCACTGAACATGTGTGTATGTGTGAGTTTATTTGAGGAAACGGATTATGAACCTACTTAATTTTGCAACATTTTGTGGATTTCGAAAAGTATTTTTCACTCTTTTCTTCGTCGCTTTTCAATCGTTGCTTGCGGGATGGAACCGAAGGAGAAAGACAGATAATCATGTTATCAAAAAGCATTTTATTTCAATGCTAAGCTAAAAATCGGGTTAAAAGAATAAAGAAGAAATCTAAGACAGAAAGCAAAAGCTTTGAAAGATTTCTTCTTCATCATCAAAGAGTTGGAACGTGTGAAGGCTTCAAAGAATCCTTCAATTTGAAAACCAAAAAAAAGAAAGGAAAGTAAAGGAGTAAAAAGAAACAAGAAAAGCTTCTTCTGATAAAGTGATAAGCGATGTTTGTTGTTATTTAGATAGAAAGCAGGAATAGATTTTTTTATGAAATGAAATTGAATGTCGTTCGTGAGTTATTTTCTTGTTATGTTTGTTTCAGAACTTATTCCACGCTAAATGAAAAAGAAGTTAATGAAAATTAATTACAAAAGTTATTCTCATTAATTTCTTGTAAGTGTTGTTATTGATTGAAAAGAACCAAAAATTCCATTCATTCCAAATTAAAACATAGAAAAAAAAACAAAACCTTTTTAAAAGTTTATATAATAAGTTATGCTGTAATATCCTTTTAAAGAAAACAAATTCTAATTATTGTGTTTTTCTTTTTCTTTTCTTTTTTATGTGTAATTGGCAACAAAAAAACTTTTGTGTTCGTAAAACCGCACCACAAAAAAAATCAAATCAAATAAAAAAAAACAAACTAATCAATAATCATCGAATTGTAATCATCATCCAACATTCTCGACGATATGCTACATTTTCGATCATGACTTTCATTAAATGTTTATCTCCAAATATAAACAAAAACAATTGAAAAACCTAAAATGTGATTAATTATATCTTTTGTTATTAAATTAAACATATTACACGTGATTTTCGTAACGATATCGATAACTTTCTATCATCTCCTCTCCATCTTTATCTTGATGTCAATGAATATCAAAACGAAAAATGAAAATAACGAAAATGAAACTAATTAGATCGAAAACTTTTTGTTGGTATGTTAAGTAAGCAACAGAATGAAGACGACGTGAGACAACTTTTCAGCACATTTGGAACAATTGAAGAGTGTACGATTTTACGTGGACCAGACGGCGCAAGTAAAGGTAAGTTTGTAAACAAATAAGAAAACAAAAAATCCAAATAGACGATAACAGCAGCAACAATCAATCTAAATAAAATATGAAGAAACGTCTTTGAGATTGCACAAATTATTTGCATGGTTTTAATTTATTATTAGATCTGTAACCGAATGATTCCTTTTTCTATCGCATTTTTGTCGTGTTTTTCATTTCTTTTCTCGTTCATTTTCTTTTTGACTTTCAAATCAACACAAAACTTGTTTTTCTTCCTTTCCAAAGAAAAGCTGCTAAACACTCCTCTCTCTCTCTCTCTCTCTCTCTCTCTTTCCCTTTCATCCGACAACTTTTTTTTATGTAGGATCCATGATGGAAGCAATATTCCGAAATCTGAGCTAAAAGAAATCGAGGTTTCCCCTCCTTCCATCTTTAGAGTACACAAAAAGTAAAGAAAAAAGCAAAGAAAATCTCAGAATCTCTGAATCAGCAATAAAACAAAGTTTCGTAATCTTTTAGCAAAACAAGAAAGCGGGGAAAATTCAAATAGGTTTTGCATAACTATGAATGAACGAAGAACATTTACTGTAATCAATGGTTTTTCTTTCGACCATGCAAACCCATCTACTGCAATAAAATCTAGGAAAAAATGAGGGTAAAAGAGACTCATAAAAAATATTTCTTTCCAAAAGGAAAAGTAAAAGGAAATCACTTTTATCTCTCTCTGACTTTTACGACTTCTCGATGTAGTATGAAGAAAGTAAGTTGAGTTCATTGAAAGTATTTGCTTTAATTTAACATGATTTGAGATTTTTATCTCTTTCTTATGAAACTAAAAGGAAGTTCCATCATTATTGTGATGGAAAAGCGAATTATTGAAGTCTCAAGTGTCGCAATTTTCGATTATTTAGCTTGTTGGCTTCACCCCCGTTCAATTTATGCAAATCATTTCTCAAAATTATGCTCACTCATGCACGCTTGCAGACGCGAAAAGCCCAAATAAGATCCAACTGCCAATTATTAAAACCAATTAAGTTATAAAGAAAAATGAAAATTTATTCAACAAAAATAATTTTTCCTCAAAGCGGATATTTAGAGAAAAAGAAAGAAAAAAGAAGCGAAAAATGAAAATCACTGAAAGCATTTTACGTATTTTTTTCCCTTCATCATTTCGTTGACACAAATTGAATTATCCACCTTCGTTCATCGTCGAAGACAATTTTTCCATCAGATTATTTGCCATTTCCCTTTTCACTCCTCGTGAATGTATGTTCGGTGAATCTTTTCTTTTCTTTTCTTTTGGCAAAAAGCAAAAAATACATTTTTAATATGATTATGTAAATAGATTTAGCATAATCTTGAATTTAATATCACTTTTTTCTCTCTCTTTGCTTATGCCTTTTAACATAGTCTCTGAGGCGCTCTATTTACAGATACTCTTTAAAATGTTTTCAATTTTCCCGCTTTCCTCATCGTCTTTTCATACAAAACATTGTCACAATAAGAATTTCATTTTCCCGTTCACTAGGAGAGATTAAAAAGTACAAGAAACGATACAATTTCTTCCTTAGTTATACGCAAGAATTACAGGCACAAGCATCAATAAATGAGAGATTAAATGTGAAAGCAACAGCGGGAGAAATTCTTGATTAACTAAAGAAATTCAATTCTTTGGAATATTTTAAAATAAAATTCCCCGATTGACTGAAGATTGAAGAAATGAATCGAAAAAATTTCAGTAGAGATCAGCAAGAAAAATATGTAAGAAAGGAAAAATCTGGCATTCATGATTTTCTCAATTATATTTAGAATGAAGGGACTCCTCAACTCTACTTTCTTTCAACGTAACGATGACTCGTCATCCTGTCAGAAAATGGAATTTTATGAGAAAGCGAGAATATTGATGACTCGATATAAAGTCGAGAAGTGAGAAAATCGAAAAGGAAGAAAGAAAAAAATCAGTAAAAGTCGTAAAAAAGGATCATTAAGAAAAGATGAAAGTTATTTTTATAATTCTGAAAATTTATTTTAACTTCATGAGATGATTTTGGCCCACAATTATTTTCACAGCATTGAATGATGTGTAAAAGCGCATAAATATCTTTAAAGGTCAAACGAAAGATTCTCTTTAAACAACATGGTCGAATAAATGCGAAAATAATAAATTTTATCTCCACTCTGTCCTTTTACTGAATTTACAATACATTAAAAGCATAAATCCATCCAATTTAATAAAGGAAAAATAATTTTCATTCGAAGAAAATCCTGTGGAAAAATCTTTCTAGTGTGTTAAAAGGCAAAAGCAGGAATAAAAAGTTAGAGAAGGAAATAAAAAGCTTTTTATTTTTTATTGCCGGATTTTTATGTTTCAAATGGATATTTCCTCCTACTTCATCTTCTCGGCAGCCGCTTTTCGCATCCTTCCAGAAAATAAAGAAGGAAAAAAAATAAAATCATGAAAGAAGAAAGAGAAGGTAAAAAACATCAGAAAAAGGAAAAGAGGCAGACGAGAGATTACAAATAATATATGTTCGCTTAAGTAGATTGTCTAAATGTGGTGATGAAGGTAATAATAAAGTAAAACTGTGAAATAAATATTAACCTTCAGAACATAAATGGTTGTTAATGCAGAGGGAAGTTTTCTGTTTTTATCCTTTTGAACGAGAAAGGATGAACATTGAAAGCTTTTAATTTTTCACTTTCTTTAATATTTCAATTTTAATGCGATTTGTGAGTTTGTATTTACGAGTTTTGAACGAACGGAAAAAAATCGATATTTACAAAGTAACAAACTTTGAATGAACGAAGCTGTTACATGTAAAATGGAGTTAAAAACTTTTCCTGTGGCATTGTTCGCCTTGCTTTGCCTTGCCTTTTCTTCCTCATTCCCACATGGAAAAAGTTCTCGCTTTTATATGAATTTATGAAAGGTTTTAAGAAGATAAAAATTACAAACAAACTGCTGCATGATTGATATCATGCTAACAACTCTTCTCGAATGTATGTTCGTACATGAATATTCTTTAAGATTTACGAGTTCACTTTGAGGATACTCCGGATAAGTAGAAAAATGAACTGCACGACTTGTAAATGTTCTCATGTCTTCTCGTCATTTTTCCATGCTCTTTTCTTCAGCAGCATAAAAAATATCAAAAGGAGAAAAAATTATGTTTCATTTGACGAAAGAAAAATTGCATTTGTAATGAAAAATGAAATGTTACTTTGAGTTTTGTTTTCGTCCATGTTTCTACCTATCATAGCTAACTTCTTATTTCTCTGTTGTCTCGAAAGATGAACGCGACATGAAAGTTCACTTACAGTATTTTATTTTTGATCACCTCCCACTGAGCGTGAGATTAAACTTTCGATTTTGAACAAATGAAGACACCAGAAAAATGTGAAAGTAAGAAAGTAAATTAAGAAAATGTCAATAAGTTTTTATCCTGTGATTGAGGTAAGAAAGAAAAAATCAGAAAGGAAAGCGGCAAGCAAACTGTAAGACAACGGCAACGTTCCCTGCACGCACAAAGCTATTTGCTAAATGTCAACCGTAAGAGTCAATTTCTTGTGTGACGAACATAAAGTCACAGGAGACCTTTCGATGGAAAAAAAAGAAGGAAAATGATATCTTTTGCAATCATTTACAACATACGAGTTCGCATGAGATGGGATGCTATCTCAAAAAGAAAAATAAAGAAAAAAAAAGATTTTCATTCTTTAGAGACACGAAAATTTCCATTTTGAAAACGTGAAAAGTTGATAGGTTGATGTGCTGTTTTTTCTTCATGTCTTCTTTATTTTCTTATTCCTGGTGTCCCATGATAATCAAATTAAATTACATTTTCTTTCATTTTATCTCTTCATTCTTGTACACTAAAGAAAAGAAGCTCAACTTATCGTTTTCTACCTTACGCTGTGTAATGAATTTCTATTCGTAGACTTAAATCAACTCTGAATTAAGACGAGAGAAGCGACAGGAAAGTTTTGAAAGTTTGAAGCCTACGAAATAAGATTGAGACTCGAATTTCGAGGTTTCAGGATGAAAGTATATAAGGAAACTTCACAACCTTTCATCTTATTATTTGTCGCTCATTTTACATATTTATTTAATATTTTTCAACGTTCCCTGATCGCATGAAAATGGGATGCTTCAGCTTGCTTGTAGGTAATGTAATGGAAGCATTATGACTACGATGATAATAATTCGACCTGTCAAACTTTTTCCCTCTCGTGTCTGTATTCGCTTATAAATATTTACGTTTATTAACATCTTAAATATAACACGAATGTCTTAAATTTTAAAACAAGCAAAAAAACGAATGAGAAAGGCAAAAAAAAAACAGTTTCACCTCTGCCAGAAACATGAATGAAAACTTTTAGATGGAAAACTTTTCCACAATATATATTTACGTGTAAGATGAGAAGGGAAAGAATGGAAAATTTTGTGATACTCTTCTGAACCGAACCATAAGATTAATAATTATTATTATTGCTGTTTGAACTAAACAATCTAATAAAAAGTGTTGATGAAGAAGAAGCCCTGAACTTCACATTGAAGTGCGATAAACTTCTTAGGGGGAAATAAATTTTCTATTAAGTTTATGTAGATAAATATTCCAAAATTATTATTCTGGAAGATATCAGAACGATGAAGAAACATCATCTGCAAAGAAATAAATAATTTCAAGAGAGTTCATTCATAATGTGTGTGCGGCACATTGAGTTGAGATCATTTTATGACTAAAGAACAGATTTTAATAAATTCTCATAAATTGAAAGCACGAAGGCTTAAAGAAAAACGGGGAAAAAGGGGAGACTCTTGTGACATCAATCTGTCGAGTGTGAGAGTGGAAAATTACAAATTGAAGTTGCGTTCATGAGTGGTTGATAATATTTAATATATTTTATGACAAATATGAACGTAATTTTAAGCACACGATAATATCATAAAATGGAAGTTCAAAATATATGTTTTTTCCATTTAGAGTTCCATTTAATTATTTTATAACATTTGCAAATTAAGCTCAAGTTAATCTCTTTTAAAACTTTAATGTTGAATTGTTTTTGATTTTTGAATTTTCATCCGATTACAAACCTAAATCAAGCACTGTCTAATGTTATACAATAATACGCACTTAAATATGAAGTTGGCTTTTGTTTATGTATAAGAACGAAGTCGAAAGCAAAGAGAAATGAGAAAAAAGAAGAATTTTACTCTCAATTCAGACCAGAAATGAAGATTAAATTTCATAGCTTTTAGAAGATTTTGGTTTTGTAACAAAAGAACAGAAGAGTGAAACGAGATGAAGCCTGAGAAGCGAACGAGGAAATTAATTTTACGATGCTATTCATTATCGCTTGTATTTCAATAGAATATCCTATAGAAATCTCAAATCTACAAAATGCTTGCCTGCTTGTAATATGATAGACATTTGTGTCAGGGACATGAACACAATGTAAACGACACACACAAGATGAAGCCTACGCTAGCAATTGTGAAAGGAAAGTAAGGGAAAAGTGATTTCAAAATTTAAATTGAATGGAAATTGCTTTTGACGGGTTTCAAGCGATGAAGTTGGCTGTTAGATTGTGGGGGAAAATTATAAAGAAAGAAAGGAAGACAGAGAGTGAGAGAGAGATATAGATAGAAAATGAGGAAAATTCTGTAATTCCCTCTTGACAATGTGTTGATTTCACTATTTTAATTGAAAAGTTTCTCGTCTTCTTTCATTTTCTTGATTTCTTGATGATAGAAAAATATAAAACATGAAGTAATCAGAAAAATCTTCCTGGAAGATGACAAAGTTTCAAGTACTTCGGTTTGTACTTGAATGACAAAAAAATGAAAAGTTTTGAAATTTCTAAATTATTAATGTTGATAATAGAATCAAATCAGATAAAGTTGTTAGGTGAAGTTTATTAATAAATAAAAGAAAAGGAAAGAAAGCAACAACAATTGAAAGAGTATGCCGGAAAATCTCAACATCATCTTGAATTTTCTTCTACACCACAATTATCATTTTGTTCAAATAAATCTTTAGCAGATTCTTAAAATAATCTCATGAAAGTGATTCAACAATTTTTTTGAGTGTTTTTCTTTCCCTTTCTTCACCAATATTTTCTTGTTCGTTGTCTTCAACGAAGTGCCAAGTGTTTTCCTATCAGAGAAAATAAAAGAAAAAAGGAAGCGAAAAGCAGAACATTTTCACAATTTCCTCGAAAATCATTTTCCATTTATTTAAGCAACTAGTTGAAAATACATTTAAGTGGAAAATTTCCTCTTTTCTCAGTCAATGTGTTGATGTTATTCTTGTTGTTGTTCTTATAGAAAGGCGATTTTATTTCTTTAGTTCTTCTGCCGAACATGGAAAATATTCAACTTTCGTATTCAACTCGAGAATATTTTTCAAGGCACTGTTGCATGTGGCTTTAGCTTTTGCTACTTGTTGATAAAACGAATGGCAAGCAAAGCGTCATTTGGGGAATTTTAAGTTTTCTTTATTCATTGCAGTTTGTGAACATTGTGCAATCGTTTTAGATATTTTTTTATATCTATCATTTGAATTGAAACTAATGGAGAGATAAGAGAGCAGATGATGTCTGCGTTGTAATTATTTATTGAAAATGTTCTCATTCATAAATTGTTTTTGTTTTCTTCTTTTTCAGGTTGTGCATTTGTGAAATTCAGCTCACATCCAGAAGCTCAAGCAGCAATAACAAGCTTACACGGTAGTCAAACTATGCCGGTGAGTATGTAACTTTAAATAGAAAATTTTTCATCAATTTGCATCTATGTGGAAGAAAATCTCTTTTCATCTCACTTTAAACAAGCTCGCCACATTTTTCAATTACAAAAGTTTCTGATAGATTTAAACCCTCAAAAAGAACAATGATCTTGTCATGAATGAAACAACGAGGAGGAAAAAAAATCAATATTTCAGTTGAAACGATTTACTTCGCTAGAAATTTGAGAGAGAACAAAAAAGAATTGTTTCATGTCGCTTAACAACATGATTTCAACGAGCTGCATCAAGGGGATTCATTGGAAGCAAACTAAATTACAAAATGTAAAATGTGAAGCATTTCCATAGCAATGAATCATTAAAAATATTTATTTTCCAACTGCATAACGTGGTTGTAGATAGATATGTAGTTGATGGAATCAGAATCACTAACAACCAAACGACGACGACTACAATGATGAAGTAAAATTGATGTAAAATTGTTTTAATGATAATCGAAGAGTGTGAGACGACACAATCATGAATGGGAAAATGAAAACTTTAGGATTAGTAATTTGAATATTAAAAATTGCTGTTCATTTATAATATACACGGAAAATGAATGTTTTCCATCGATTTTATGTTTTGCTTGTTGTTTCTTGTCTCTTATTTATTACGATGACAACTGAGAGGGTTTAAAATGACAGCTTCGTAGTTTCTCAATCTGCTTGTGGGATTTTGCTTTTAAAGCCTAAAAAAGTAACTGAAGTGATGACTGATATCGTAGATAAATGGGTGCAGATGAATGAGATATGGTTGAAACCTGAGACAATGTCAAAAATCTATCATTTCGTGACGCATCTGCCAACGCAAATCAACCCTCGAAATTGTGCAGAAACAGATTTGTCTCCATGACAGAAATTTTATTCAATGATAAATGATGATAAATTTATTTCCACTGTTACACTCTTTTCTCCAAAAAATATTTGTAATAGATAACTTCCTGGTTCTTCTATGTGGTCATCCTGGATCATAATTTGATATTCGTTAGTCAAAAGACTTTCCAAATTGCATTTTCATAACTCAATGTCAACCTTTTCATTCTATTTGAAATTTTGAAACATCACAAAAACTTTCTCATTTTGATGATAAATAGAAAAGAAGTTAAAGTCATAAAGCTTAAGGGCTTCAAACCTCGAATCAGCAATTTGTCAGATTGATAATTAAACATATTTTCTCGGAAAATTTGTCGTACATATTGCTGCTTGGAAAAATTGCCAAAAGGGCGAAAAAAAGAGAATTTGTCTCGTAAAGTTTCTCGTTTGCCTATCTATCGTTCCCATCTTCATGTACACACATTTGCTTGCTTAACATACGTAATATTTGGTACGGTAAAAGCCTCATTAACTTTAAATCAGTAGAAATATTTCCCTTGTGTGTAATTCCTAGAGCAAGCAACGATTTAACATGTTCACCCTCCAGTGTCTTCTTTTAAAGTTCAAGAATTTCCTTAGCAAAGTTGATTCGATGAAAAGAATTTTCCTTTCTTGCTTTATATAGACACGCGGTCTTTATTAACAACAAGTCATCATAAAGGTGAAGTTAATTTTTTTTTTAAAAAGAAAGTAAAGTTAAAAACCACAGTGAAAGCATTCATATTAATAAACATCTTCGCAACATCCTCCCTTGCCTGTTAAGGGGATCATAACAACAAAAGGCATTTTCATGTCTAAAGTATCATTATTTAAATGAAGAACACCTTTAAACATCCTGTTGCTTTGTTCTCTCTCTCATTCACTGTCTGCTTGTTACACACTAAATAATTTAACCATTATGACTGTACCGTGTACATTGAAAGTGCTTCTCTCTTCAGACATGACTTTTGGTTGTGAAGCTGAAAGAATTTTTGCTTTTAATTTAGAAGCTCAGAAAAGTGCACTTAATGAAATTTTAGTGTCTAAATTTCTTGTGGCAAAAATAACAAAAAGTTAAAGAGAAGAAAAATCAATTTAGATGCGACTCATATTCGTTCTTTTTAAAGTGGATTTTCATCATAAGTTAATACCTCAGTTTATGGCTTTTTAAATTATATTAAAAAGAGATTTGGGAAAGGACGCTTCGCTTACTTAAACAATTCTTTTCATCTCATCGTTCGCTCGTTCGTTATTGGTAAGGATCGTAAAAATCATCATCATTGCCTGCTAAAAAGAGAAGATTTGCGATACTGTTGAGCGTTAAAGGCATTGAGCAATAAAATAAATCGCTTTTCATAATTTTTCCATGACATGAACGAAAGAAAGAAAAGGAAAATTCTACTCTCGTTTCGAGATATGGGAAAAGTCATCGTTTTCATGCATCGTAAGAGGGCAATGAAATTTACGAGTTTTTGGATGAAAAGTCGTCTTTCCTTTTGTACACGATATTTTCAACCTCTTCTCATGTTGGGATATACGCTTAAAGTGAGTTATGTAGCTATCTATGTTTGTATGGATGGAAAACTAAAGACAAAAAGAAAAAAAAAAGGTTGAAATTTATGAGAAATAGTCGACATCGCGTGTGTGTGTGTTAGAGAATGAAAAAAGCATTAAATCGCAGCATCAATTCCTGTTTTATTATCTCTCTTGGCTTTATTGGCACTTTTGAGCATGTGACACCATAAAAACTTCCTCTCGACTTATGTTTCAGTGAACTGAACTGGCTCAGGTTCAAATGTACAAAGCAATGACTTAAATCATAATGGATTATGCACAATTTTTTTTTTATATTTTATTTCATCGAAAATCGCTTTTGGTTATATTTTATTATAGGATTGAACGAGGTGAATATTTAAGCCAGTTTGCACTTGGCTTCGACACAAGATAAATGTTTGATTCCTTTAGCACAAAATGTGGTGCATTGTTGAATATCATTTCGCTGTTCGACAACCTTTTTCATCTTTTAACAAATTCCCAACTTCTTTTTTTTTCGAAAGCAAAGAATAATCCCAAATTATGCTCTCCATAAATCTCTCAAGCATAAATCAGAGGAAATTTCAAAGTTCACAAACCAACATTGACGACACAAAAGAGTGAATCACAAAGATTATGTGCAGAGAAATTGAGCGTGAACACGCTTTGTATGTTGAACATTCATGTCACGTTCTTTTTTCTCTTTCAAAATACATTCAAGGATACAACACACATTCGAGATGGCACACAAAAAAAAGAGGGAAAGGAAAAATGTGGAGACAACTTAATTCATCATAACGAAACTCCATAAATAAGTAAAAGGAATCCCACAAAATCTCGTTGCCATTCAGGAAATCATTTTTTACATTGAATTAAAGTTTATTTCATTACATTCTACAACGCACGTGGAATATCAATAAACATTTTTCGTATAAAACTCTTTAAAAAGTCATCAAAAAAGCGGACACAAGAAATCAAAAGTCGATTGTCGTGTGATGGTCTTATGACCGAATCGTGAGCACATAAAAATATATTTTATCGCTGACTATTTTACTTTCTACCCCGTTTTTTTAAATCATAAATTTTAACAGAGGAAATGAGAGATTTTTAATGAGACAAGACTTGTGCTTTGGTCGACTTTAGCCTTAAGTATTTTACTTTCCTTCACTACGAGATATTACTAAGCACATTGGCTTCTATTCTATTCCATTTTCATTTTCACTCATGCCACCCCCGACTCCTTTGACCAGCAATAAACGCTTAATGTTTTCTCGTCCGATAAATTTATGGTCTTTATGTGATTAGAAAGTTTAAATATAATGCAATGTTTCCCTTTCCTCCCTTTCCTTTCTTTTTTATTTTCATACTATTGCCGTATTTATAACGTCTCCTGCTGACTCTGTTTGTTTTCCGGCCTCGTAGCTTTCCAGCTACGTTTCAGCTCGATAAAAGTCTCTAGAGATTTTTTAGGACAGTTTGATGTTATTTATAATAAGAATGTTTGTTGGCTTACTTTAGTCTCAGCATGGGTGGATTGGATATGACTATTGAAATGGAGGTTTCGCTCCGATGCTGTCAAGTTGTCGATTAATTTCGAATCCTCATTTGTTATTTATTTGCTCAGTTTGTTACAGAAAGTAGATATATCAAGTTGATAACTTTGAGGCCTTCCTTCTTCGTCTCGATTTTCGACTTCTTTCCTTGCAGATACGTTCAGAAAAGTTCAGGGAAAGTAAGAAGAAGGGAAATCCTTCGTATCATATTTTTACAGCCACTTTCTACCTGTAATCAGTCGAAAACGAACATTCCCTCGTGTCATATTCCTCTGTGACTATCCCTAGAATAAAAAATAAGTTGATGAATACTTTCTCAACCTTTTCCCATCCATTGCTCGCTCGTCTTTAAAATTGAAAGAATATTGTGCGGATCATTCCGTTGGGATTCTTTTTTTCTTCATCTTTCTGATGTTTATGAAGGGAAGTTTCTTGTTTGGAGCAAGAATTTCTTTTTTTTATCAGTTTATTCGTTTCAACTATTATTATGGGAGGGTTGCGAGACTTAACTCAACTCGATTCATCTACCATAAGAAACCGTTTGAGTTCTTTTTCTTTATTTTTACGACTCATGTTTAAAGTAACTTTAACAACATTGCTCCACGAACGCACTACATAAACTTCCATTTTATTACAGAAGCGCGATGAAAATGTGTAAATGAGAAAAAGGAAAGGCAAACACTCGCCCTCAACTTTATTAAAAATATAATTTTTCCATTTCACGAACTGAATCATATCAATCACAGACATGTTTGCGTTTTTATTGCAATTTCTGTTGTTTGAAAAGCGCTCTGTAAACATATTGGGAAAAAGTTGAGTTGTAGCAAGCATAAAGTGAACTCGTGCTATGAATTCGATGCAAAACATATTTGATTTTATTCACCCCCGCGCCAACACATGTGCAATACACAATATGAGGCGACTTTAACAATCATCACGTTATACTGTTGCGTCAGAATTTATTATGCTCTTTCATTTCATCAATATTATGTTTTGCATATATTAAAAAGAAAAAAAGAAAGGCTCACAGCAAGTGCAAATACGAGAATCTATAAAAAGTTCATTCTCATACCGAAAAAAACATGTGCGAAACATTTAATGTTTCTTTTCGTTGTCACACTCGAATTGAAAATTTTTGTTATAATCTAAATGCATATTGCTTTTTAACATTTTATGGCAGTGGCCGTAAACTTTTATGTGTTTCTTTATTATGTGAGAAACGAGAGAAAATAATGGAAATTCCATTTGTTGTGATACAAGAACGAATGAGTGAGTGAAAGAGTTTTCATCAACTAGTGCATACACCCCCTTAGAGCTTCATCATTCATTCCCTCAAGAAAATAGCAATGAATATTTCATGAAGAATCAACAAGCGGTTTTCTGCTGCACCAAAGAACTTTGAAGAAAACTTTGAATTATTCAGATTGTGCTCTTTTTATTATTAAGTGAATTAAAGCACTTGTTCAATGCACTTGGAAATTCGAACTAGAAAAAACTTTCACAAGCATAAAAAAATTGCTTTTTAGCAAAGCTAATTAAAAAGCTGTTTTTTGCACAAACATTAATAATTAAAGTTTCTTGAAAAGAGGGAAAAAAAACTCCATCAAAGCAACCAACACAGTGAGAAAGAAAAATTTGCTAGGATTTCATTTAGAAGGAAAAGTTTTTTCCGTTTTCTAATTTGAAGCATTTCAACACGTTAAAAGCTTAATAAAACCAACAACATAAATTTATTTATTTTCGCAAAAGCAGATAAAAATTTTGTTTACCATCTAGAATTGAACAAAAAGCTTTCGCAGCAGTTTATTCTACTTTCGAAGAGAACTCTACTAGTTTAAGTCAAACATAAAGTCAGTGCTACAACGTCTAAAACATTATTTGGTCATTGTAGACGACAATTTTTCTGTAAACATCCTTCCTTTCTTATTCAACCAGCTTCCATTTGTTGCAATGGCTTTAATCATGTTACTGACTTGGGTTGTTTGGATGGTTGGTATCTGGCAAAAAGCAACTAATTACTTTCAAATAAAAAACTAAAACTTTTTCTTTTCGTTGAGACATTAAAGATAATAGGTTTCCGTTTACAGCAGTTCTACTACTACTTGCTGTTAAATGAAAGCGTTGGTTGGTTGCTTTTGCTTTCTCGATGTATGAAGGCAAAGTTTTTTCCTCCCTCGTAACTTTATCTTTTCCCTCCCACCCATTCACTTGCTTTCATTGAACCTTTCGCAAATATTATTATACTTTTCGCTGAGTATTTTTTTTCTTTCTCCCTTCACTTTGTTTTTCAACTATCTACTGACTATGACTTAAACTTTTGTCTACATCGTTCTCATTATTTCTGTGTTCGACTACAAACTATCTGAAATTTTGTTGCCTTATAAAATGACTTACAATGCATAAGAACTTTTTCTTCTCTTTTTATATTCATTCTTGCAAAGTAATGCCCGAAAAAAAAACTGCTTGTTTGAGTATCTTCTCGAGTAAAATTCTTGTTTTTCATTTGCTTTCCCATCAAACAAAAAAAAATCTTTTGTCTTCAAAAATAAAACTTTTTGAGGAGTAGAGAAATGAGAAAAGTTTTGGTTGTGATGATATTTCATTTCGTAGGATTTCTACCTTTTTATTAGAACGCATAAAATGATTTTCTTAGTCAGTTACAGAACTGACAGACTCACATCAATGCAAGAAATGAGACGCGACGAAGTTCTTAAAAATGTCTTCATTTTTCCATTTATTCGTTAATGTCAGAGGAAAAGAAACTTTTATAGACTTCCCGATGACAAATTGGGAGTGAATCATTTGACAGACAATAAAATATGCATATTTTATGCATATTTTATGCATATTTCATCTTAATACATATTTTATGCTTATTTTATGCATAAATTATGCGTATTTAAGTTTTTATGCATATTTTATGCCTAATTTATGCATATTTTATGAACAGTTTTATTCAAAAATTTTGCATTAAATATGCATTTGTCTTCCACAGGATTGTCTGTCAAATGATTCAACAATATTTTGTGCATAATTTATGCATAATTTATGTACATTTTGCGCATATTTTGTGTAAAATATGCCCATGATATGCATAAAATATGCACAAAATATGCAATAATTATGCATATGTCTGCCACAGGATTGTCTGTCAAATGATTCAACCATATATTTTTGCATATTTTGTACATAATTTATGCATATGTTGTGCATATTTCATGCATAAANATGAGACGCGACGAAGTTCTTAAAAATGTCTTCATTTTTCCATTTATTCGTTAATGTCAGAAGAAAAGAAACTTTTATAGACTTCCCGATGACAAATTGATGATTTGATCAAATGAAAAGTTGACGTTGAAAAGTTTAAAGTACCTAAGTACGAAAAGTCATGAAAGTTCATTAAACTAACTTTGAGGGATTTCTTTTTATGATCATTTCAGGGAGCATCTTCCAGCTTAGTCGTGAAATTTGCCGATACCGAAAAAGAAAGACAAATAAGACGTATGCAGCAAATGGCTGGCCACATGAATTTACTTAGTCCTTTTGTATTTAATCAGTTTGGACCATATAACGCTTACGCTCAAACGCAACAACAAGCTGCATTAATGGCAGCTGCGCAAGGCACATATATGAACCCGATGGCTGCTTTAGCTACCCAAATACCTCATGCTTTAGGTGGTAAGTATTTCAATCAATTTCAATTTCCTTTAATCATTATTAATTATCCACACAATCGATTCATGTTACTAAATATGTTCATTTGTTATGTGTCGTCGTATGTATGTATGTATCTTAATTATCACTCATTTTCACTCTCTTTCTCTGTCTGAAAATATTCACAATTGTGTACCACACGATCATAATCAAAAAATTATAAAAAAATAAAGGGCAACCTGTTAATGCAACATCTTTACCCTCGCCCACCATGCCAACTTTCAACATGGCACAAACACCAAATGGTCAACCAGCTGGAGCCGAAGCTGTTTATTCTAATGGAATACCTCATACGTATCCTGGACGTGAGTTGAATTTAATCTTTCCACCTTCATTTCATTGTTTAATATTATTTTATGTAATCTCTTCAGATGCACTTCAGCTGTCAATACCAGCGCAGGGTTTGGCAAATGGCGATGCAGCATTACCACATGCCGCTTATCCTGGCATTCAACCTTATCCAGGAGTTGGTGAGTTGAAAAATTAATTTAAAGTTTCTTTTTCTTTTCTTCTATGTTTCATAACTAAATACATGTTTAGCTTACGAAAAGAGCTTTCAAAAAGCTTTCTTTCGTTCATTGTGATTTAACAGTATTTTTATTCCTTAAATATGATTTTTCTGTTTGCTGTCGAAGCCATAAGTATTTATATTGTAAATGTTATGAAGAATCTCTTTTTCTCATTTCGTTTTCACAATTTTTTTCCTTTTTATATTGAATTTCTATTCGGAAGTTGTATTTGTCACAAAAAATCTTTTGTTGATTTCTTTTATACTGCACAAATTAAATCATAAATACAAGAAAAATTAATTAAAAATTAAACTGCAATTGTTCTTTGTATGAAAGTAATAAACATTAATTGACTTTTGTAGCATATGAAAACAATTTTATAAATCAACAACATCATTTTATGGGATGTAACATCAAATATTATTTTACCTTTTTTTGTTGTTTAATAAATGCTTCTCGAAATAAAGTCGAGGAGAAAACATCTGCAGATGACGATCTCCAGAGAGTTTCGTACATGAAACCATTTCACGAACACACAAATTCAACTTTAATTAAAATGTCATTAAAAACTTTTTTATATACGAATATCTATTCAAACAAAGCTGTTGCTATGGAGTGAGAAAGAATAGCAGACAACCAAGCTACATAAAAGAATGATTGTAAACGTGTGTGAAAAGTAGAGCCACACGGCTTTGGTTTTTGGTTCATCATCATCATCAGAAATGGGTAGAACGAACTGTTCTCGGCAAGTGTGTCTGTAGAACAAACATTGCCCGTGATGAGTCTTTATTCGTCTCAGTTAAGGACTAGACTCGTACCACACCCTACTGATGTTTCCATGATGATGGAAACTTCAGCTAATATTGCAATGAATCGCTTGAAATTGTAACATTCCCTTAGTATTTTTTTTTTTTTTATTTTAACTTGCTTAGATNAGTGAGAAAGAATAGCAGACAACCAAGCTACATAAAAGAATGATTGTAAACGTGTGTGAAAAGTAGAGCCACACGACTTTGGTTTTTGGTTAAAAGCTGAATCACTTTTCCCTCCTATGTATCTAATTTCCTTTTATGTACATCAAATAGAATTTTTTGTGTGTCCAAAAGACAAAAAAAAAGGTATAAATATCCATTTAAAAGCGTTTGTGGTTGTTACTTTTGCATTTTTAATCAACAGTTTTCCTTCGTCTTCTTCTAAAAACGCAAAACTTTTTCTTTACCTTGGAAATTAAACCTGACAATTAGAGGTAAAAGGATTTCATTTTGAAAATCAGGTGCCGTTCATTGCTCTGAAAATTCAAGGGAAAAGGGAAATTAATTCATAAATAAGTTAATTCCGAGCATAGAAAAGTAAAAAGAAAAAGTTTCAGGACAAAGTTCTAGTCGGATAATTTCATATTATTTTCCCATTTCCTTCAAATATAATTTAACTTTTGAAAGCACAAACTATCATGTCCGAAATTACAGCCATAAAATGATGTATGCTAATGTTGAAAATTATCTCATAGTCGAATGATAATTGAAAGAATACAAAGAACAAATGTTTAATGTTGATAAAGTTTAACAACAAACGATTTCGATGTTTCAATGTCATTTTAAATGTATCATGATTGTTGAATATTATTTAACAGCCTATCCTGCCGTTTATGGACAATTTCCGCAAGCTATTCCTCAGCCAATCGCTGCTGTTCCAGCACAACGCGAAGGTAAGAAGCAAATCCCACCACAAAAATGAATTGAAATTCTCTCAGCAGAAAGAAAACTAAAAACTTTCTTTCTTGCCATTTGTGTTAAAAGAGAGAAAGTTAGAGAAAAAGAAAATTAATTAAATGAACTTTTTTCTGTTAAATTTAATTTCTTTTAGAAAAAAAAACCTTTACCCGTACTTTTGTTGGTTTCAATGTGCTGTAAATTATAATGATGCTAAGATAATGTTCTCGTTGATGTTATGATATGAATATTTAAATCTTAAATAGCTTTAAATTGCTATCATGTAACTCACGTGATTGAATACTTACAACATCAAAAAGTGCATTAGCTAAAGCATCGTTTTATGCATAAATGAACTCTATCTAAGAAATTATTTTATTGATCTCCTTGCTGTCGTTATTCTTGCAATAATAAAATTAAAAAAAAGAAACGAATCTTCTTCTTGTATAATTTTTGTGAATGTCTTTCTGATCTATCTTCAAAGTGCATGTTATCAATGTTATTTTTTTTATTGTGTCACGAAAAGTTATTTATCTTTGACAACAAATGTTTCACACACTTGTAAGTTTTAATATATGTTGGAAAGTTCACTTGTGAGCTTATTATCTGTTTGAAGTTCAATAAAAAAAAACAAACTTTAAACTAACTTCTCAACCAACCAACATTCATTTATCATTGAACGAAATTTGCTTTTAAGTTTTCCACATCAATCAATTTTGTTTTTCATTTTTTCCCTCCCTTTTTTATATTTTAAAATCACAAAACAATCAAAACCAATGTTCCGATCTTTCCGTGGTGTCTCATAGTTGATCAACCTTTTCTGATGTTCTCAGGATGCTCCATATCGGGACCCGAAGGCTGTAATCTGTTTATTTATCATCTGCCCCAAGAATTTGGCGATGGCGAATTGATGCAAATGTTTATGCCATTTGGCACCGTTATTAGTTCAAAAGTATTTATCGATCGCGCTACAAATCAAAGTAAATGTTTCGGTGAGTGTTTAACTTATTTAATTGAAACTTTTTCAAAAACTTCTCTAACGATTTCTATCATTACCAGGTTTTGTTTCATTTGATAATCCTGCCAGTGCTCAAGCAGCTATTCAAGCGATGAATGGTTTCCAAATTGGAATGAAAAGACTGAAGGTTCAGTTGAAAAGACCTAAAGATGCCAACCGACCTTATTAACAATCAGAGTCATGCGGCGCTAGAAAAGTAGTTTATCAGGTGAGCGAGTCAACACGAGCGTTCACCATACAAAAGTTTTAATTTGTTTTACTTTCGGAGAATCTTCTGGTCTTTTATTTGTCGCTGCGAAATCTCTTTTTTGTAGAAGACATTAGCCGAAGCTTTAAGAAAAAAAAATAAAAATTTAAACAAAAAAGAAGAAAAAAAAGTAGAAAAATAAATTCAAAATTTAACTAAGAAAAGGAAATTTCCTCTAACGTTTTTATTCACACAATTTGCATGATAATTTTTGACTTCTTGAATATATCATCAATTTTTATGTATAAATAATATTCATTGATATAACTCAATATATCTTAAAAACAATTTTTTGGCCAATTTTAAATATTGACAAATGAAAAGGAAAAGAAAAAACAAAGAAATTTGCGATTTTATTCTTTCTTTAAATGTTAATCTCTAGATGAAAAAAAAAACTTAGTCGAAGATATGAATTAAAGAAAGAAAACTGAACCGAGCTCCGTATTAAGGAGCCTTAAAAATAATCAACAATAAATTTTTCTCGCATGCGAAGTGAGAAGAAATTTAAAACTTTATAAAAATTAAATGAAAAACGTTGGGAAACAAAGAGAAAACAAATTTGTGGGTTTACTAACTTTTCTTTCCTCCTTATTTTTCTGGAATATTTAATAAAATATAAAAAATCTTTGCTGATTCATAAGTAACTTAAGTTAGTGGAGGAAAATGTTATGAGATTATGGTAATAAGATCTTTTTTAATTCTTAATTTCTTTACTTTCCTTTGTTGGAATTTATAATGATACTAAACAAGCGAATGAAGAGGAAAAAATATTTAAATTATTATGAACAAGGAAGATAATATATTAAAATAATATGATTATAATCAATAATAGAATTTACACATATGAAACACATAATTTTTAGATAAACCTTTTTGAAAGATGGTGACAAATCCAAGCCTCCCTCAGACACGTTTTAAGAAGTAAATAAATGAAAAATGTCGCTATGGGAAAATTAAAGTAAAGTAAAAGTCAAAATTATGATGAAACCACATTATTGGCATCTTTCACAAATTTTTCAAACATACATACATACATACATGCCATTTATGAATATAACATTTACAGAACTTACTCTTACTTAAATAATGAATTAATTAATTAATTAATGAAATCATTTTACTAACAGTTGATATAGATTTTTTGAAATACTAAGTAAATATTTGCAAAGCATGTAATCTTTAAACATGTAAAAACTTAGAACTTTGTTTCAACATCTAACTTTGAAACATAATTTTCTTGAAAATTATGATATGATTTCGAGAATTTTTGAAGGAATTATCGAATGTTGAAGGAGTTCAAGTCTTGTTTTACTTCATATCGTGACACGCCTTGTATTTTTCGCTTCAATGCAACAAACAAAGAAAGAAGAAGTAAATAAAAATTGCACAAAAAATTTATCATAAACTTCAATCGCTTTTTTCCCACCATCCCCAATGAATCTTTTAGTTGTCATTTAATTGATAGTCGTTTCGATGAAGCTTTGAAGCTAAGAATTCCACAAATGGGCTGTGAATTGAATGTTTAAACATCGTGTAAAATTTCTAAGAAAAATAGCATACAGAACTTGAGATTATTTTTCTGAGCATTTCATTTCTCATTCAACGATTTTTATTCAAGCTTTTGATCTTTAGTGAAAATAAAAGAAAGCTTTTGATTTGAAAAGGGAAAAGTTGTTTCAATATAGCCAATTATATTTCATAGAAATATGTCTGATGATAATAATCTGCACAAAGAAAAAAGCTTAAGCGGAAATAAATTCGAATTTACTTTCCCATAAAAAAATGACGAGACGAGAAAAACAAGATTGAGCTCCCGAGACATTGCGTCACTTTTATTTCTAATTTTTGATGTAATCTAGATCTCAGACATCACATCTTTGATGCGAATGAAGAAAAAGAATGTAAAATTATACGACAAACTTATGCTTAATATTGGTAATATTCATACCCAAAAAAAAATTTGCCAAAATATGAAAACAAATCTAATCTTTTTCTTAGTAGAATGTAGAAAAAAAAAACACGAAAACGATGCTTGAATAATTCAAAAGAAAAAATAACTAAAATTGATTTTATCGATCAGCTTTAAATAATACTTTAACCTACTTTAGTATTCAAAAGAAAATAATAATAATGATTAACTAATAAAAATTCCTAAATGACGCAAGAACGATGAGAGTTGAAAATTATTAGATAAAACGCACCATATCATTTAACTACAGAAGGTAAAAGTTTTGTGTAAAAAGAAAACTTTTACCCAAGAAACAAAAAAATAAAATAAAATAAATAAAAAGTTAAAGAAAAATGCATTTTCACACGACTGAGAAGAATGAAAAATCTGAAGATGATATTTACAAAAATAAATTAATAAAGTAAAACAAAAGATATGAATCAACTTCAATTTATCCTGCTTTCATAGAAATGTTTGGAACGGTCTCGGTGCATTTAATTTCACTTTCGGATTAAAGTAGAATTTTAAGAAGACAATTAAAATGGAATTTCAAGAGAAGCCCGTATCAAATCCGTACTGAAAAAAATTTAAATCTTATTAAAGAAACCTTGTGCGAATAACGAAGGTAGCAAATGAAAAAGTATTGCGTTCTTATTTTTCTTAAATAGCGAAATTATCTAATTAAATAAAATGTAGCGTTTCTATCTATCACTTTGATTGATGCAACTACTCGCAAGCTTGTGACAAAGTTCATCAACATTATACACAAAATACAACAATTTTATGAATCAGTAGAAATCTATAATCTTTAGTAGATCATTTCATATTTTATGTTTCGCTTTCATTCATTTTTTAATCTAAATGAAGAAAAAAAAAGTAACAAGGAAGCTCTAAGCATAGAATTGAAATAGAAAAATTAAATTCTGTAACGCAGACCACAAAAAAACTCAAGATGGAAAATTTGCATAAAATTAACTATTACAAAAAAAATAAAGATATTTTAAGACGATGAAAACAAGGATAATAGCAAAATTTGCCTTGACAATGGTAAGTTAAATTTAAGTCAACATATGGAACAAAAAAAAGAAAAATAAATAAAAATAGCAGCGAAACCACATTAGCTTTGGATGAGTTTTCATTTCATCGTCACATCATCCAATTTCGAATGATTTCTTCAAGAAAAATAATTTTTTCATCAACGATTACTTTGAAAAAGTTCTTTGAACACTTTTCACATTGAAGGAACTCATTAAGTATGTTCCCACAAATGAACAACTTTCAATATCAATCTAAATTTTTATCGCAATAGGAGACTTTAATGAGCTCATTAAATAATTAATTAGTGAAAATAGTTATACTGCTGCTGCTGCTTATATCCCAGAATATTTTTAACGCTCGAACACTACAAGAATTGATGCCGTTCCTTTAATGTAAACTTTATAAAAAAAATATGAAGAAGAAATTGAAAAGGGAAACAAGTTTAAATGTGGAATACAAACTTTACCATTGAGCTTTGCATTTTTTAAATGAATCTTATGGCTTTTCATTTCTCATCAGCATTAAATATCTACACGGTAATTGGAGAAGATTAAATTGTTAAAAGTTTTAGTTCACAACTTCGTTGTTTGGAATTATTAAGTTCTGGAGGCTACAAAATATATGAAAAAAAAAACTTGTAAAATCTTTAGGATAACGAAAACAGAAAATAGTAAATAAAACTATTGCTAAGCTAAGGTCCTTAATCAATATTTAAAATATTATATATTTATATACAGTAAAATGATAATATAAAAAATAGGATACAGGGTATTTCTCCCGACAGGGGATTTCTGCAATTAAAATATTTAATGAAAATTGAAACATGATAAGGAAGGAAAAAATTAACACGGTTTGTTTTCAGTGATTTAGAAAGAAGGAAAGTTGAGGAGAAGTTATTGAATAATATGATGGAAGAGAAAGAAAATTTCCAATATTTATAAAGTAAAAAAAAAGCCAAATTAGTTAAGTTTTAAGGACAACAAAACAGAAGCGAATTGTATGAATTTTATACTTTTGAACGCTTTTTACTTATGTATATTCCACACAGACCTCTTTAAACTCTTCACCTAGTCGCCCAACTCAGTTCATTGCATGAAAATTAATGCACTAATTAATTTTCCTTTTTTTAATATTTTCACACGTCAACAACATCAAAAGGTCGAATAGGAAACTTTCTGATGATCGCATTAATTTTTTATTGGTATTTTTAAATGTAGAATTCACGCATGCTTATGAAATCAATATTTACGGTTTATGTTGTTTCTTTTTTTTTAAACAAGAAAAATATCGTCAGCCAATCGATGCCGAAAACTTCATTTTGCCAAACCCAGCACGAGAGAATGAACCACTGAGTTGATTGGCTGGAGACATGAAAATTGTCATTCTTGATTTCAATTTCAATAAATTTCTTAAATATCTAAATATGCTTAAAATCCAAATATAGAAAATTACATTTAAAACAAGAATAGATGAAATTAGTAATCTTTAGATGAGAAAATTAAACTTAAACTATTGAATCTCTTCTTTTGTTCTCTAATTAAAATCATTTATTTTTTGTTTTTGGAAGAAACAAGGAAATATTAGAACAAAAATATGCCTTATGAAAAGAAAGAAAAAAAACTTTTGAAATTGTTAAAATAAATTTTGAATAAACAGCCATAGCCTCCGATTGATTGATTTTAAGTCTACACATATTGAAATAGATTCAGAATGTAGTTTGCAGTCTCGTATTGAAAGGATTGCTACAAAGTTCATTTTAAAATCATTTTTCATCTCATTTCTTTTATCAAATCCCGTCACAATGGAAATCTCGTCAACATTTGCAATTGTTAAAAAATTCAACATTTTCAAGCATTCTCCAAATGTCACAAATCCTACACTTTGAATTTATTTTATAATTTTTCTGTAAATACTTAATATGATGAAAGATGATCAAACATAAAGATATATGTATCAATGCCAATTTTTCAAACAAAAGTTATTCTCGCATTATAAAAAGAAAAAAAGTCGCTAACATAATTTGGTCGAAAATCATAAATATGACGGAGTTATAAATACTTAAAAATATTTGAAAACTTTCTTTCCATCTTAAAACCTATAAAAACTTATTATCTACATTGTAGGCTACCAGAACAAAAACCTATTCTAGTTTATTTTGCACAATCAAATATGAAAATAAATGAAAACGATATCAAAAAAAATAAATAATAATATTAATATCAGTTTCTTCATCCACCACTAATATTTTTAAATAAATTTTTGATGAAATAAAAACAAAGTTTTTTGAAAATGATTGAAATAAAATAATATTTAGAAAAATTGCATGATGAACAAAAAAAATCTTATTCATTAATCCATTAATCTCATGATTGCAAAAAAAATTTAAAAT